ATCGGTCTAGGTATTAATATAAAGTAGTATTAATAAACCGTTAAAATATAATAAGGATATCATTAAGTCTAAAGGGGTATATTAACTATTTAAAGCAACTAAATTTAATATAAAATATTATTTTCTTTTTATCCCTTATTATTATTTATACCGTATAGAAAATAGCTATTATATCTAGCTTAATAAATTACTTAAACTATAATAAGTTCTATAAGGTTTTTAATATTAATAATAATAAATAGTAATCTTACTATATAATTATATTAAAGGCTTTATAGTTATAATAGAAATATAACCTTCTTTCTAGCTTTTTAATAAATAAAACCAGGGTAGCTATTACTAAATTATTAACCTATATAAAGCCCTTATTAAATAAGTTTATAAAGACTTTCTATAATATAAATAGCTTTTTTCTTAATATTAAGTAAAGTAGTTTTTATAAAAGACCTAATTCCTTCCTATTCTTATCTTTAACTAGCTTAATTTTATAATTAATACCTAGTCTATAAAGAAATAATTATAATATCTCTATAAAGTTAAAAAGAAGTTTATAGTCCTTTAAGACTTTTAAAGGTAAATATTTCTTAAGGTTAATAAAAGCTTTAATAGTTAATACCTTTTTAATATCTTTTAAATTAATTACTTTAATAACCTTTTATAAATTATAAATCTAGGGTATTTAAGTTATATTAGGGTTATAATTAGATTATAATTATATTATATTAATTTATATTTCTATCCTATTTCTTTACTTTTTTTCTTTTTAATACTATTTTTAATATTTTTATTTATAATATATTAAAAATATTAAAATTAGTAGAAAAATAGCCTTCTTAATCTATATTATTAAATTTAATATTATTACTATAATAAAAAGGATATTAATATTAACTTTCCTATAATAAATTTACTATTTATATAAATAAACTATAATTTAGTTGTTTTTATTTAAGCCTTCTCTAAGAATACTTTTTCTTTAAGGTTTTTTACTATATAAATATAAACTATTTATTTAAAGCTATTAAGGTCCCCAGTTAATAATATTATTAATAACATTGCGCGTTACATCACGGTACAGTGGGATTTTAATAAGGGTCACGTAATCTGATTCAATTCCTCGGCCCGAAGGCAAGTTTTATTCTACACAGTAACATTTAGCATATAATAACTAATATAGCCACCTTTAACTTCAGGCTGCCTTAACTTTAACTTTAACTCTAAATACATATTCCTCCGATACATTTTAACCTTCTACCTCTATTTCTACCCCAGCCCCTCAGCGCCTTATACATAACTTCTCTTTACAGATTATTCTTAAAGACCTTAAGTATCTCTACGACCTGCCTCTTTAAGCTATTACGCTAAGCTATATAATAAGACTTTAACTTAAATACCTTAATAAAGGAGCTATTAGTCTTAAAGACTAGCCTTTCTATAAGCCTATTTTTTAGGCTTTTTAGGTATTTAAGTTATTTCTTTACCTCCTATATTTAACCTAATATATACTTTTAGGTATAGTTTCCCTTACTAAGCCTTAAACTATAAAGTATTAAAAGCTTATAGCTAAAGATAATTAATTTAATTAAATTATAATTATCTTACTTATTATAGGGAGGTAATATAAAATAGCTATTAAAATCTTTAAATTAAACTAAAGATCTCTAGCCTTATCTTTAAGTAGGCTAAGCTCTTACTTATTATAGTAATTATTAATAGCTTTTTAAATAATCTTATAGGTTAGGGTAAGGCTTACGTTATAGTAGATATTTATTACTTAGATAGTAATACTTATCGTAATAGTAGCTATGAAAGAGGTTAGCGATATAGACCGAAGGGGGTTAATTAACTGACTGTATGTTACTTAGCTTAAGCTTTACTTCTTAATTCTGACCTCTACTAGGTAGCTATAAGGGTCGATTAACTAGCTTATGGTGTAGATTAAGTTAAGGATATAGGGAAAGCTAGCTTTTATATATATAGCTATATAATATATATATTTATCTAATTAGAGTTTAGTCACTGTATATAACTTTTATTATACTGATTATATTAAGTTTTTAACCTTAGAAAAGGTTATTTTTATTATTAATATTATTAAGAGATTTAAAAAGCCTAGACTTAATAAAGTTAAAGGTTAAAGTAAAAAGAAAAAAAGCTATTAAGGTCTAGGCTAAAGCAGATTATATTTAATACCCCTACTTATTAATTAAAGTTAATAAAGCTATAAAATAGTTACTTTTTCTTATTAATATATAATAAATAAAGGTTATAAATAAGCTTAAAGTTTATTAAAAAATGTATATTATAACCTAAGTCTATAAAGGCCTTTCCTAGGTTATTATTAACTTAATATAAAATTATAACTAACTTACTAAATATAATTCTTTTTTATTTTTCTTAATTCTTTATTTTCTTTCTAATAGGCTTTAGTATCTAGTTTTATATTAAAGCTATTTATTTTTTAACCTTTCTTTATAAATAATATTCTAGTCTTTTTCTTTATTATTATTACTTTATAAAATAGTCTATAAGGTAGTGATATTTATAGGTCTAGACTATTTCTTTTTAAAATAAATAATAATTAGGTAATTAGGAAAGTTATAATAATAATAATATTAAGAAGGTTATTATTATCTATTCTGGTTTTTAAAACCTTAAAGTTATTACTTATTTACTATATAATTAACCTTACTTATTTAAGTATTATTATTTTTATTCTAGTTATTAAACTGGCTTTTATAAAAAAGGCTACTATTTTATATATATAACTTTATAGCTACCTTATTATAGTCTTAAACCTTTTTTAATTACTATATAATAGGTTAAACTTTAATAAGCTAGTTATAATAATTATTAATTAATAGATTAATAAAAATAAGCTTATAATCTAGTTATTTATTTAAGGTATTATATAAAAATATAATTTAGAATAAGTTATTTTATTATATTCCTTTTATATTAATTATTATAGTTTTAAACTAGGGAAAGAAAGTTAAGAAGGCTTTTTTAACTCCTTACTTAAGGTATAGTAATTTATTTATTACTTATTATATAATATTAAGATCTTTATAGTTATAATCTAGATAATATAGAAATACTTCTAGTTTATAGTTTAGTTTATTACTAGCTATATAGAAAGTATAAATTATTTATTAAAGCTTTAAGTTTAAATATATATTAATAAAGTATTAAATATTAAAGTTTAATATAAAGAAGTTATTATTAAGGGCTAACTTATTATATATTTACTATATTTTCTTAAGAACTTAGGTAGGTTTAGAAGGGGTTTATAGTAAATAGTTAGAGGGCTATTAATAGTTTTTTTTTTATTATAATAAGTAATATTAAGACTAGGTCCGTTTTTATTATAAGAGGTATTATAAAAGGCACTTTATATTCTAAAGGAGGTAATAATATCTATACCGTTTTATATTAATTAACTTAATTAATTAAATTAACTAGTTATTTCTATAGTAAATATAAAGCTATCTATAAGCCTTATTCTATAATATTAATTATTTAGGCCTAGAAGGCTTTTACTTAAGCCTATAGGTATTTATTTATTATAGTAATAAACCTATTACTAATTTATAATAAGGTTAATATAAATTAATATTAAGTCTTAGATAATATAAAGGGCTAGACCTAATAGGTAAATATAAAAAGGTAGCCTTATATTAAGCTATTTAAAACTAAAGAAAGAAAGAAAAAGGAAGTCTAGTTTATAGTAAGGTTATTATAAAAAAAACTCTATTTTATTTATAGAGGGGGCTAGGACTTGGTTCTATATACTTCCGTTAATAAGTCAATAAGCCAGGTCTGCTTAGCTACTATAGCGTTATAGCGTAAGTAGAACTATTAACGCGGTATAGCCGCTGACAGTACCGACGCCAACCTCTTACAGAAGTAATTGCATTATTCAATAGACAACAGCGGTATGAGCTAAAGGAAACTATTGCCGTTTCGCAGGAGAAATAGACTAGTAAACTTAGGCTAAGACTTAGTCTAAACTATGAAGATGTTATGTGGTATTTATTTGAGATTTATCCTAGCTTTGCTATAGTATTGTTCAACTTCATACCTAATACTGACTATATATATCATTGGGTATTTTATGTATGAATCGCTAGAGGAGCTCCCTATTGAAAGGTATATATAATAAGTAGATCTGCTGTATTATCTAGAAAAAGCCTGTGTTCTTTAGTAATTATAGGATAGCGTTACCCGTAGCGACTAGACGAAGGATTCCACATCTCGAGTTAATCTTGGACTTGCCCTAGGAATTTATAATGCCTATTACGACGTTATACTATAAGCTTACCTATTTGACCTTAGAGTTGGTATATACCTTTCCAGGTATATTGGTCAAGGTCTACCTTGAATCCGTCAGCGGTAGATAAGAACGTCTTGATCTTGACGAGACTATCTATATCGAGATTCTTTGCTGATCCCAGACTGGCAATCCAATCACATTCCCCCATTTCCAGTAATCGCCACGCTTACCTCTTTTCATCCATTAACAGTTCTTAAACGCTTTCCATGTGCGTGTACAACACGCTATTTCTCTCCCTTAAAATCGCTACTACTGGTGCTTTTAGTAACAGTCATTTCGTAAAACTCGAGATCCTGGAATATTCCAACTATATTTATTCACACCTTGGGCATATCTTACAATGATAGCGAATACGGCTGAGGAAATCAGATGTCACTGCACTGCAAGGAAGATACGGCTGTCGTCGTCTCGGACGAGGTGTTCTGATAGAAGATGAAAGACGAGAATAGTGGTGCGAATTATATTCCTACAACGCGAGCCTGTTCATGGTGTAGATCTTTGATGAAACGCTGGAGTTTAGATAACTTCAGTCATCCGCGGTTGAGGATGACTATCAGTGGTAATATAGATCATCTGAAAATTGAGTACTATGTAGCTGGAAAGCAGATCTATGATACCAAGACAAAACCTCTATATAAAAATAGAAGACATATGTTCTACCGCTCCGTTATGAAACGGTGTACGCCACTGGATAGCTGGCATAGTCCCAGGCCTTAGCTCCTTTCAGTAAAGTTTGGTCGAAACCATCCTTGCCTCCACTCACATACAGAAATTTAGTGAAAGGCACCACAGCATGATAAGTGAAGACAGTGTTGCCTGGGACAAATACCACATCTCCCTGTATCAGTTCCACAACTTCATATCCCTTGATCACGATGCTGAGCTTGCCCTCTTCAAGTTGAAAGGCAACCGGTTCGCGCAGCTTGGTTTTGATGGAACGTGTGCCGTCGGTTTGATGGCTCAAAGTCACAGTTCCCATGGTAAAGTTGCTATTGGTTTGACTCTTAGTGGCCAAGGGAGCGATGAGCTGGTAAGTACCACCGATGTTATTGAGGTACTTTGGGCCCCTGTTTTTTGCGATGAAGTTTGGAGTAGTAGAGTCGATTGCAAGAGTGTTTCTATCGTTATGCCATTGTGACGAGCCACCTGCTTGGCCATTTATAAAATCTTGCCGTGGTTCGAAATCAAGCTGAGCAAAGACGTCGAAGGACTCAAGAGTCGTGATGACTTTAGGATCAGTGCCAGAACTTGAATCGTTTAGAGCAGCCGGGACAAATGGGGTGCCGGTATTGGATGAGAAGTCGTCGCCCAGAGCGACGAACAGTTCTTCAAAACCACCAGGATGAATAACACCAGTCATCTGGGTATCCGGATCGAGGACCTGGAAGGTATGTTTGGTATTGTGAGGAACGGCACCATAATCACCAGGAGTTAATTGTCGACCTTGTTGTGCCGACGAATTAGACTCGGCCCAAAGGCGAAACTGTCCCTTGGTGCAGTAGAAGTTCTCGTAGTGGGCTTTGTGGATATGCGGAAGAACTCCAAGCCCAGGCGATGAGGGCGCATTAGTTTGGAGTAAGGTAAAGGCACCATCGGAGGCGTTGCCCGTTACCGAAAAGCGGTACACCTGGGATCCTACTGACACGGCTCGCCCGAAGCCTTTGGGGAGGACATACGGGCGAGGTGTGTCTGGTGCTTGGTCAACAACGAGTGGGTGGGATGTAGATTCCGGATGTGATTGAGTTGAGGGAGCTGCAGCAGCCAGGGCTGCAAAACTAGCTAGCAAAGTGCCAGTTCTCATGATCGGCGAGTCAGAACTAGAGGCTCAACGGATGGCTGATGGTAGGATGAGCTAAAGCATTACAAGTGCGTTAGTGCCTTATTAAATATAAGTACCCCTGAAAACCTTTCCATTCTTCTTCACCCTGCTGTTAATTGCGATTTTGCAGATATATGGACCGGATCCTCAAAACCCCCGTTTGATCTGATACTTCATGGCTCTGTGAGTGGATGGAATTACGTGCGCGGGTTTCCAGTCTGGCATCGCTGGTCATACCTCCTGTCCAAATCATGAAGATGGATCAATGCAGACGAACGCCTTACCGCATATGGATAGGTGAAGGTACGTAATAAGAAACGTATGTCTGCACGGCAATTCCGAGCTCGGCAATTCCGGACGTTGACGAGAATTTATGTCCCACTTGCCGGACGCACAACACCGCCGAAAGTCTGCACCCGTGACTAGCGTCTGGAAAGCCTTCCTCGGGGTCTCGGAAATCTGCAAGGGAAATTAGGATAATTTCACATCGATTCCTATTTGGGATGAAGACGGGGATAAGAGCGTCACGGTGAAGGTGGGGCTGATAGTGAGTCCCAACGTGGTACTGAGGCTTTTCCATCGATAATGTCCGATCCCCGTCTTCAGGTGGCGCGGTGATAAGAAGGACAAAGACAACCAACATCTGTCCATCATACCGGATTCTCGGCCTGCAGAGAAGCGCGCCTTTCTATCGACTTGGGCTGACTACCTACATCGTACCTCCTTTTTTGCTGTCTGCTCCACTGGATGTTTCTGCAGCGGGTAGAACAATAATCGTTGGCTCTCATTTTATCAATTGACCTGTTCCCACTGTTGTGGTGTCGAATACCAAGATGACTATCTCTGTGGAAAGACGTTACATACTGTATTATGCTTGGTGTTTGCGCTGATGCGCTAAGATTTATTGTTGTCTGACACGATGCAGACCGATGAGTGAACGCGACAGATTGTCAGTCTCAGCATGGTTGGCTGGCTGACGTCAAATTTAGGGTTTCCAGTAGCGACGCAGCAGGGATGGACAGTGATTCATCGCCATTTAGCAGACCTGGCCAATAATTACGCCTAAGACTTGGGTCTCTCGCCATGTCACTGTATCACAATTGAATTCCGAAATTCGGCGTTATTTTTTAATGTGCTGTGCTAAATCGATGGAGGTTTAGGGTAAGTGAGATTACCATAAATGACATAAATCCAGACCACGTAGTAGACAATGCATGTATTATCCATTGCATAAGACTGAGACTCTTACTTGTACTAAAAGCTGGCGTTATAATGAATGCTGAGAATAATTGTGTTACTGTGGTGTTGTGCAATTCTAGTACAAAGCGCTGGGGTCGTGCATGTTAATGTTAACATGAACACGGCCATGTTGGGTGAGGGGCGAGAATAGCTTGTCTCATTGGCCAAGCGCGGGGTAAAGGTAATGTCGTCATTGAGTTGCTTTACTGCCAAGTCCAGCCGCCTGCTTGATTAGTTGCTCAGTCACCTAACTTCCGCGGCGAAGTCAGTGTACATCGACGCTTATACCTCGGAGCAGTAAAAAACAAGATTGTGGACGCGACACGAGAGACAATGACTTTTGTTGTCGCGGACGAATGCAACGGATGATGCGACGAAAACAGCGTTGCACTGATGCGATGCAACACGAAAATGTCCTGTGTCATCTGCAATTGCTTGTCACTAATTATTTATACGCTGAGATCTGCTGAGTATAATGTTGGGTGCACGCGCCGGAGACTTCCCTTTTTGCGCTCATCTGCCGATGATGGAGGTCGACACAGCAGCTAGTGCAACACGGCAGTGTTAGAATTGGCCATCTCCCGAATGCACTCTCCCAATTGTTATTACGAAGCTCCTGATGCCGTGTCGTATATTGCAGCAACCCAGGTGTACTCCAAGCATAAAGCCACTATTTCAACCATTTAATACACAAGTTTGGCTTACTCAATCAACACGCTTAACATTCTGCCAACTTCTCACTATGTGCAAGTATTGCGAGAAGAACGGCCCCGACGTAAGTTGAATTGTTGTCTACTCCTTTCAACATACTAACAAGATCAACCAGCACACCGCTGGCGTTAAGGTCCAGCGGTACAAGGAGCGGCATTCTTGGACCCTTTCCTCTTCATCACCAACTGCGCTATTATCAGCAGTACTACCACCACCCCTTTTGTTTATCACGATATCAGCATCCAACCCTCGCCCTTGAATCACATCTACATCCCAAACAATGGTGATGCTACAAGTGGACACCTATGAGTGCGGCCGGCAATTTTGTCGGTTCCTGATGGCTTATAGGGACAGCGCGGATTAGTACGGCTTCACTCGCTAGGATGTGAGGTTCATGAAACTTTGCCCTTAAAAGCCTGGAGAAGAAGATTTTCGCTTCAAGTGGGCAATAAATCGACAATCACTTGCGATATCTCGCTGATGAGCTTGCGTTAAGCTCTAATGCCCACAGACACAACAAAAGACCGCAGCCCCGCGGAAAGACAACAGTTTCCACTTTCTGATAACACAATGCGTACTCGGTAGATGTTCCTGTAATTAGCCATCAAGGTAAGGACTTACTCACAGTTTTCCTGTGTAAAAAAGCCCTCGCTGTCTACTTGCCGTTTAATCTCGACATAAACACAAAATCAGCATCTTCAACTGCCACCTTCATCTTTCCTTTCCAACCGAGCTTATTCAATATGAAGACCACCTTCGCTCTGTCTGCCCTCACCTCGAGCGTGCTTGCCGCTCCTACTACTTTTCAGCTTGCCATCGGTGGCCTGAAGGAGATTAACAGCCGTGCCATTTATACCCAGGGCGATGCCTTCATCGTTGCTCCCGACACTACCACCCATGGCATCAACTTTGTTCAAGGATTTAGAACCCTGAAGATCGCTAACGGAGCGTCTGGTGTGTCTCTGACTCTTTTCATTTCTGAAACATGAATATGCTAAAGAGTTGCCTCAGTTTATGTTGGATCTGACGGCCACATCGACGTTGATGGAGGCGAGCCAGTCCCTACTGATGGCTTGACCACTGGTTTTACTAGCAGCGGCAATTCTATCAAGTGGTCTGGTGGTAGCTTCTTTGCCTGCCCTAAGAAGTCTTTCTTCGCTGGCGACTAGCCCACCTGGGAAATCTGGACGAACCGGTCTAATGTCAAGCTTGCCAGTAACTGCGTTGAGGTTACCCTTAACAAGAAGGCTGCCTAGAGAGCAATCCCAAATGCTCAATTTCAGAGCCTAAGCAGGATATCTCTTGAAATAATGCTTCAGTAGCTTCAGCATAGTAGAATCACTTTAAGCTCAGGCTTGATAATAACAGATAAAACTAGAATCGATCGAAATAGTCCTTAAAACGAGGTCCACTTTGTAGCATCTTATTATGTAGGTAACAAATTGATACAAAATCTCGCTGTAAATCATTTGGCAAATCTAGAAAGTTAAGAGTTTTAGCTTTTTAAAAAGATTCTACAGCCTATAGTTATAAGGTAAGCTCTTGAACTGTAGATACGTTTTTCCTGGTTTATGTTCGTTACTTCTATAATGGCCACCACACGGTACATATATTCGTAATACGTTTGAGGTGAGGGTTGGGACAGCACCGAGTTATTATCAATAGACATAGCCAGCAGGTCATAGGACATGTGAAAAAAAAAACACCCCTATCAAGTTAGTTACATTAACAAACATCACAACAAGTAGAGCAATCAATAACGTGTGATGAGCAAGTCTTTGGACATGTACTGAAGACATTGGCCCTTACAATGAAGGGGCCATAGCTGGGAGTCCCAAAGCCTGAGGTTGAAGGACATCAGGAGATCTTGGATGGTATCCTCTAAACGAGCTCTGGGAAAAGCGCGACATACAAGACCACCTCGATCAGCTCCTAAGTCAACCTGATCTTTCCAGCACCAATTGCTTGCACAAAAGCATAAACAGATACTGTCGAATACGCTAGTATATATTGGAGATGCTTTAACCACGCCGGTATTGTTAACAAATTGGTAATGCCGTGATGGTTAGGAGAAAACCCTCGGATATGCAAATTGTGATGTCCTCACATCTCTATCCTCTCTATCATTTCTGCCCTTATAATAAAGACAGTTCTATTGCTTAGCAATACAAGAACGACAAAACTTAAGCATTTTAGTTGTCGACGAGGGTAAGCTCTGCTCGGAACCTCCCAAAGTACAGATAAGGGCTCTAATGACCTCGATTTTAACACACTTTCGACTCAAACCATACATAATAATAACAGACGCGACATTTCAGTGGATGTTCTTTCGAGGTGCTACTATGAGATGGCTATTGACCATTTCAATGATGGGAAACGCAGCTCGACCTTGCTTGTTTCCTTCAGTATTGTTCGAGGTATATCGACCTTTACACGGCCGGAGACCTCTGTGGCCTAAACACATTTATTGGCATTAAGTTCATTTACTTGTGGGAATTAACAGAAATATTCGCATTCTCCTACCCTGAGTACCTAACTTGCTCTGTGTAAAGAGTTAGCGTAGTGGTTAGCAGCGAGTCAGGTCTAGACGCAGAGGCTATTACTTGAGGAATTGGATCGTAGATATCCCGAACAATCGGGCTGTGTCGGCTGGGTACTAGAGTCGATATCAATCAATACATGTTTGCTGACAAGGTAAATCAAACGACCACCACTTTAGCAAGGGCGGTCAGGCCCATTTCTAGTGTGACTTACTGGGGCCTCATTCTATTACTGTAGCACCTTTTTGGGCCACCACGGTGGACACAAAAGTGGCGAGATAACGTGCGGTCATATTTCTGATTCTTACGATAGCATTCCAAGCATGCTATTACAAGGCGCTTTCGTCGAGATTACAATCGTGCCTCCATTGCTCAACCGTACAATAACGCATTAATTGCGTGCCGTTCTTTTTGAAATCCTGCTCTGTACCTACAGTCAGCAACTGGGATATTATGATCATTAACGGCAGTGATGATAATGGGATTGTGGTAACTTTCGTAGCAAGTCCGTTCCAGCACCCGCCGAGTTCTCGTGACTCAAGGTGTGCAGGGGTAGGGTCCGATCGGGTTGAGTACAACAAGAATCTCTACCATCGGCCGAAAGACGTCATAAATGACTGCAAAGTCCGATGGGCTAACCGCTTTGTACACCTTCCAAGTCTCTACATCTTTACGTTACAAGGTACAAGTACGGATAGCAATGCTAACCCACAGCCCACCGGCTTCCCAAATGGCGAGAGACCATAACATTTCCTGGCTTCCGAAAGCCAGCACCGCCTTTGTTTCAAGATTCTCTACTATGAGCCACTTACCTGCCTGGTTCCGTAGTGTGGTGTAGCTATATAGATGACTTGCTTGCTGCCGTTAATTGACATTGCTTCTCGTCCAGAACTCACCTTTTTGGCAACGACAACCCCCTTATCCTTCCGCTCTATCTACACAACTTCCGGCCACAGATAATACCTTCTACTGCAATTCGATGTTCTAATGCCAAGGTGTCTACCAGTTATAAGGTTCCAGGAGAGTTGTTTACTGGTGATGTTTCCATCAATACTGTCTTCTGGAATGAGAACAATGCCATGTCCATTGCCGATGTCCCCTTCAATCTTGTGGTCCTAAACACTGGCGTACTTATGGATCGGGCCAGATTTCTCGCCTGTGGTTGTTGTATCAGGATGGACTTACGAAAGCGGAGTCAAGTCTCGGGGTCTTTACGCAGAGGGTGTGAGTGAGACCGGGAACAACGTACTGGCAGGGAAAAAGATTTATACATGGCTAGCTCATGGCCCGGCATCTAGAAGGACAACATATACTGAGAGATGTTATATATAAAACAAGATTCACATGTATCTATTTCTTCACCCTATTCTTTTTTACGGCGTTAAAAGCACACCTTCAAAGCTTGCCCCCTCACATAGTGTCTATTTTTTTGTTAAGTATTTCAACGCCAATCCAGTAGGGCAGCGCAGTTATAGTATTCAGTGGAGGAGTTATTTAGATATGGTAAGTTCCCTCCCTCTTAACCCTGGAGTAGAGCAACGCCGCATTTCCACGCTGCCGCCGTCGTGATCATGAGAAATCATCCGCTCTTCTAGCACTATCTACAATAACCAACATAATTACTTAACCTCACTATTTTCTTTTAGCTTTAAACTTCAACTTTATCAAGCCCAGGCTTTCTAAATGTCTTAATAATATTAAAAATAAAAATAACCCTTTTAAGGTCAAAACTCAATATAATTAAGGCAGCAGAAGTCACATAAGGTAACTAAACTCTATCTAAGTGAATACATAGACTGTAACTCACACAGCCGTACGCATAAAAGCTGGCTTCTCCCCCCACACCCTCAACCTGATCTACACTACAAGCTACCTAGTCAATCGACCCTTGCAGCTGCCTGATAGAGTTAACCTCACTATGGGTACAATGTAGAGTAACGTTTGTTATTCCTATTCACAATAACCCTATGCTTAGGCTAGCAAAGTTGAAGCCTACACAAACCGATGCGAACAATCGCGAAAGTCATGGTTTAGGGAGTACTAATACCCAGGCTTGTTTTCTCATCCGGTATAAAGGTTTAAGTCTGAACTTTCAAGAATGACTTGACGGTGCTCTCCACGCACTGATCCAACAAGCTGAATTCAACGTTCAAAACCTCTCGAGCCTTGCTAGTGTCAATGCCGTACAGCCCTCCAGGGAGGTCGCTACTCCATGACTCTGGCAGCTTAGTGCTCAGCTCCGGGAACTTGGTCTTGATTACATCCGCAATTTCTGCGTTGGTGAATGTTGACCCAGACGTAATAAATCTGTGCCCTGCTGCACTTTCCGTTTCTAGGGCTCGCACATGAGCCAAGGCCACATCATGTACGTCAACCAAGTAGAAGGTTGCGGTGGGAGCTAGCTTTTCGTGCATCTTGCCCGAGATCATGTCTCGGAAACGGGCATTAGAAGTGTTGATACGGTCAAGAGAGTTGAGATAATGCGCGATAGGTCCAAAGACGACTGGCGGGTTGATTGATGCTAAAGTAAATTCCGGTTTCTCGTCTTCGATAAATTTCCACGCAGCTTTCTCAGCGAATGTCTTGCTGCCCCTGTAACCGTCTGCGGGATTTGACGCGGCTTCCTCGTGACTCACAGGATTCCAGTGATTCTCGGTATATGTATCCGGGTGGTTCTTCATGTTGAGCATAGCTGCAATGGATGAAGTAACGACAACACGTCTCACCGAAGGGGCGTGGGCTTTGATCGCCCGCATAACGTTAACGGTACCATTGATTGCAGGGTCGAACAAATCCTTCTTGGCATCCTGAATATCAAAATGAAAAAGGCTGGTGCAGTGAATGACTCCTTCGAAATCGGGGTTGGATTTGATGGCCTCGTCGAACGCACCCGGCTCTCCGATATCCTTGACAATTGCGTATGACAATTTGTCAGAGCTCATCTGGATGAGCTGCAAGGATCCGTCGGCCTTTTTCATCGGAGCGGACCGTGGTAACAACGGAATGACGGCACAATGATTAGCGAATCATGCTACACGAAGCAGTCGTGGTTATACTTACCCATGACGAAGAAGCGTCTCTAAGCAATGCGCAGCTATAAAGCCACTTCCGCCAGTCAAGAGCACTTTCATCTTGTCGTGGTTCGTAGGGAACTTGGATTTTGCTTTAAGGTTCTCTGCTGACTGAAAGAAGAGCAGAGGTGTTCGAGGCTTGACTAGGATATATGGAAATATAGAAATTCCTGGCTGAGGTCCATCATAACACTCATGATATAATTTACCGAGATTTGCAACTCAGACACACGTCTCGAAGAAATTACGCAATATTCGGGGTTTACAGAGAGTTGCTTCCCGTCATCGGCCGAAATGATGAATTAATGAAGGATTGGATAAGTAGACCTACTCCACTGGACTCCAAGTTACACTACAACCCTTGTGAAATTGACAGCGTCAGACTTCAAACCTGCTAGTAGAGGATTATCAATTCTGGATTTTCTAAATCTTTATCGCATTAATCTTGCCGGTTTGCACTCCTGTCTAGAGCCAAAGCTTCTGTGAAGATAATTGCCAAAAAGAAAAAGGTGGCAGACTGGACTGGAAAGGGCTATATCTTTTTTTTCAAGCCCTATCAGTAACAGAATACCAGTACAAAGCTAACAGACAATCAGGGGCTGGACTGTACAAAGAACAGACCATTCCATATCCACTTTCGTGCGTCGACCGACGTTAGCTGAAGTTTAAAATCATGCTTGGGCTAGCTTGCTTCAACGTTGAAGTGATTTGGAAGCTCGAACTCGAGAGACAGCATCGGGCCTCCCGATCAACAGCTGGACATACGAATTATGTTATATATGCACTATATAAAGCTTACCTACTCATGTTGTAAGGAGCGTCTTGACAGTCGAGATCTTCTTAGATGACGAAGTAGGTCTATTAGTTCTACGCTGATACATGCATCTCTATAATAGACCTCACACTTGTTCTTCTTTACCTTACGGGTCTTTCACAATGCCCGATACTCTTACGAAGCTACCTCAAGCCCTAGAAGGAAACGCACATCCTATGGATATGCGTGTTGAGGATGCCGAGGGTTCGCGTAAGGAGGACGAGATCCTAAAGGGTGGACTGACTGGATGGCTTCAAGTGAAAGGATCTTTTTTCTTGTTCTTTAATACATGGTAAGTCCTTCCGAACCACTTACTATGTCGATCTATGTGCTAAAAGCTGGTTATTTAGGGGAATCATTAACTCGTATATAATATTTCAGACAAATTACGAAACAGGTCTGCTCTCGACGTCCAACTCGTCTGATATATCATGGATAGGGTCCGTCTCATCTTTCATCATCATGTTCGTTGCGGTGATTACCGGACACATTTATGATGCCGGATACTTCCGGACTCTCTTGATTTCCGGCACGGGGCTGGTTGTTGTTAGCCACATGTTGCTCAGCATTTGCAAAAGTTATCGGCAAATCATGCTTTGTCAGGGCGTATGCATAGCCCTAGACTCTGGAGCTCCCTTCATGCCTGGTGTCGCCAATCTCCCCACACACTTTACGACCAGAATCTTTTTGGCCGTCGGCATCGCTGCGTCGGGCAGCAGCCTGGGTGGCGTGATCTACCCCATCATCTCCCATATTCTACAACCGCGCCTGGGATTTGACTGGACGGTTCGCGTCATTGTACTTATCGCTTTATTCGGTTTACTACTACCAATCCTCTCAATGCGTGTGCGAAAATTCTCCTCGACGCGTCGCAAGATTATCGATTGCACAGCCTTTCAGGAACCGCCTTATATATTCTTCACCCTGGGACTCTTCCTTGCATTCATGGGGCTCTACGTACCGCTCTACTATGTACAACTTCATGCTATCGACGGCGGCATCACCGACTCAAATCTCGGTTTCTATCTACTGCCGATTCTAAATGCCGCTTCTGTTTTTGGACGCATCATTCCGCATTACCTGGTAGAAACGTCTGGCCCATTGAATTCAATGATGATATGCGCTATAGTTTCGGGTATTTTGGTCTTCTGTCTTGTGGCGATTACAAAAACTCCGTCAGTGATTGTTTTTTGCATTTTATATGGCTTCTTCTCTGGTGCTTTTGTGTCTTTGATGCCACCAATCCTCACTTTGCTGTCACCAAGACTTGGCGTAATTAGAACCAGGATGAGGATGTGCTTTACTATAGTTGCTGGGGCGATACTCAATTCGCATGGTTTCAATGCTGTCTGGATTTATAGCGGTGCTTTTACTCTAGTCGGCAGCGCTTGTGTTATAGGGGTAAGAATGTTTCAAGCAGGCTAGATAGTTCTAGCAAGATTGTAAATAACCCATCAGTAACTTGATATAACCCTAAACCTCCTGTTGACATCTATCTGCTGGGTACACTATTTAACCCAATGATGGATCACGAACCCGGAGTTCAAGCCTAAGTAATAAACGGCCGTCTCCTTATCAAGCTCAAGAGTAGAGGATTGAATAAATGAGCATGGATTATATCAATTGAGATGTTAACATTGCATCGAGCTCAATTAAGTACCGTTTCGTAATTCATCACCTTATGCTCTTAGCATCCTATACCCCTTATTGATCATTCACAATAGATTACTCTTCACCAAATGTATAGATAGTACATGGCAGTGGCGATAGCGGAAATTTCAGTGAAAGCAGAAGCCTTCTCAAATAACATCTTTGCCTAATGATTTTACTGCTTGTAAGCAAGTTAAGCCTGGAATACAACGGTAGATGAGAAAATACGAGGGTCTGGTGATTGTTGGCCAAGTGGTTGAGGAGTATGCGTGTACAGGTTGGAATAATCTCAGAAGTTGGACCCCAGTATCTTATTCTGACTGCTCTTGTTGAATCCTTGTGCCTCGTTTGTATACTGTACTAAAGTGACAGGATTATCGATCACGCACGACTAAGCAAACGATGATTGGTCAAAAACTGGTGATGAACCTATCTAGAATGGACGAAAAGGCTCAATATTGATTGAAGACGAGATGTTGTGAAGGGAAAGAAGAACTTTGATCGAGCAATTCGAAGGAGAGTAATAAAGTGAAGCAAAAGAAATAAAAAGATCTTACACAGTTGCCTGACCCTTGTTAGACCGATTACGGACAGCGGTGGAAGGAACTAAAGTCCTTTGGTGATGAAGATTACGTGAAAGGTCACATGCAATGTGTGAGATTTTAATATGGAGCCATATCTAAAATCTTAATTTTCGGCAATGTAAAGACATACAACCCTGCCCTAGCTTTTCCATCTGCGTCAATGTCGCAACTTCTTTTGGGCAATAAGGCGTAGCAATGGTAACATTTGTTGGTTGTTCATGACGCTAGATGTAGCTGACAGATTACAGGAAGTGCATCCATTCAACCAAGACGCTTTCAACAAAGCCAGTAAAGAGGAAAGCTTAGATGCAATCGAGGGTGTTGGTTAAACAATCCATTGGAGTAAGTGCGATCGTGTATATCAAAAGACATCCGGAGGGGGTGTTTGGTTTGGCATGCTGAAGGAGGGAGGGTGGTAAGAGTCATGCCAGGTCAATCAGTTTACTTTGTCCGAGGCGCAAACGGTGAGGTCAGAACAGAACGGCCTGGCAACACTACCTTACGGGTCACGTTTCAGGACTACTTTACCTTCTAGTCCTTGCCCTGACCGTTGCCATTGCATCAGTCTCGACTCTCACCTTAACCATCCTCCTCTTCGACCTCGGTGAACGTCAGATCTCGGCTCCGATAATCACAGCAACCAAAGCTATTAGCTTTAATACTGCAGATAGTTTCGCTTTCAGTAGCATCGCGTATTAAAGATCCAGGCCTCTAGCATATTAGCGGTTTGCCAAGACTCGTCCTGCCGAGATAGAGACACCACTCTACACCGACAACACTGCGGAAGCAGGAGACATCTACCGGGCCATACTTCCCTTTAATAAGGCATTAGATAGACCCCACTCTCGAGTATTACCATGGCCCTGCTGTCGTTATCAACCAGCGAACTGCTTATTTTCCACCAACCTTCATCAATGCTTCAATTCAATGGGAACCGGGTGTGAGGAGTGGAATTAGTGGCTTGCATCTCAATGCGACATTTGCCGTCGAAAACCAGATCGAATTCCTTGGTAATGAGTTGAGCAACCCTATTAAGATCTATTACAAGTTGCACAACAAGTAGAATAGCACAAAAACCTCCGCCAACTCGCCGACCGCTTTATGCAACGAGCTTGCGATGGTGGAAGTGTCCTCGAACAACGTTACGATGAATCCGCTATCTGGTCGGTCGTATGGTTTCAGATATGTTACCCTCATAAACTCGGGTAAAGTGTTGAATGGACGTTTCGAGTCAGGCATGGGTATTGCAATCCCTGATGATCTCCTAAAGGAGTTAGAAGATTTGAAATATCACACGAACGGACCTTGGACGGTGGCTCACACAGCCGATGAGACTGAGGTATTCAACGTCACCGTGTGCTATATCAGCCAGAATCTGCCTCACAAGTTCAATGTTATCATGTCTGGGAAGCCCTTGTCATCGGAACCTAGATTCTTGACAGAATTATCAAGCCTTACAGTCATAAGAAACGATACAAGTATTCTCAGACAACTTGGCGTTGGCGTCTCTCCAGACAACACCACAGGGCGCGGCACCTTAGATCTCCAAGTTCGCTCAGGACCAAATCTTTGGATGGAGCTTGACGGAGAAGTATCCATACAGTCTGCGTACCTAGAGCTCTGGGTTAGACTGATCGAGTTTTCCACTCTTGGTGGCTGGGACCTTGCAGGTAACATTGTGTACAAGGACATTACTACTAATGTCATTTGGGCAACCCATCCAGGGCATGCAGCTATGTTCCAGAGAATCCTCCATGAGACTGGCAATCTAGCACTAGCTTTGCAAGCAATTATGTTCTACATTTATTAGATGTTATACTATAACTGGCTTCCTATCTTTGAACCTACGCATGAGGCCATAACGATTAACACCTAGAACGTGGTTGTTCCGCAAAAGTGGTCGTTTTATTGTCGTTATTTATTTTGACTACCCATTTTATCCTGACGGCTCTTACTTTGGTGCTGTTCGCGAAGCGCACTGAGTCCTCCCTTTTAGGCAATGCTTGGCAGGCTGTTTGGCAGCTGGTGTCTCCCGAGACATAGGATATATTTCGAGTAGCTGGCAGCGAGGGATGAAGTATAGATAAGTTGAGGCGTTGGCGAGATCCGCGGGCAGAGACAAAGAGGCGTATGCTTTGACAAGTGGTGTTGATAGCGGCAGGATTGAGTTGCGTGTGCGTCAAGGGTATGACCCTGGTAGAAACAATTGTACGGTCTGCCAACAGAGATAAAACCCTGTCTTGCTTTCAATTAACCTTCTCTACTCTGATACGCCTCTTCAAGGCCCCCTTACATAGTTTCTTTCTGTAACCTGCAGTTTTCTTCCAATTTTATACACTATTAAATTGGCCTGGGATAGTCGCTGGTGTAGAGCGGCAAGCTAGTCTCTTCGCACAATATGGAGGCTATATGACGGGGCAACCATCAAGGCATTCTTTTAACTATGGTAAAAAACACGGTGTTTATATAAAAGCATTTTTATGAATCGCTTGTATGACTCATTCTACAGAAATGAAGACGAGAACGGCCTTTATAATGCATCTGCTCCTCTGGGCAAAGTCGATTCGAGTCCAGCTGACTAAGGGGATAATGGCTCAAACGTGGATGCACTGTATGTCAGCCCAAAACCTACCTCAATCAGCAACTCAATCAGAGTTTTCCCCGAAGGCAAAGAAGACAACATGAGCATTAATCTTCTGCTTGACCCCAGTCTTAAGTTAAGGCGACTTCATAAGGTATGAAGAAGGAACACAAGTCGAAGGCAAGCCCTTTGCCTTTGTCGGAGAACAAACTCAAGTACGAGCGTTAAATAGGTTACAACGCTATGGATCCTAAAGTCCATTCCATTTCCATCAGATGAGACTCTTTGATCTATCCTCGGGGACAGAAGGATAAGGAAGACGCCAATTACGACCCTTCAAGGTTGACGAGACGCAGCTGCAACAGAAGAAGAAGCGACCGCCCAGACCCCAGCTCCCAAAAGCCTCATGCGGGGTGCGATCACGAGCCTTTCAGGACTCAAAAGGCAAGATGCTCTGGTATTATATCTGGGATCCCAGAAAACAAGGGAGTAGTTGACGATTATGACGTGACGTTCCGCAGGTCGGCCATGTTGTGCCTGATGCACATTAGTCTGTTCCCGCCTTGCTCCTTGTGCTCTTTCCACGGGACCCACCCTTTCTCTCCCTCATGTCGTTAGCAGTGACGTTGCGATTCATTACCAACAGAGGCGGTGGTCTGGACCTTGTGTAAGAGAATGGCCATTATCACCGAAGTGTCTATAATGAAGTCTTGCTCCAGGGGTGCAACCACAAGTCGTCGTCGTAGTAGGTGTAGCTCTACCTCCACAGCATATTTTCCCATGAGGAGCAACGAGATAACATCCTACCTACTGTCGTATATCATAATAATCTCCCACCCTTATGTTCTGTGCTCATCATTTGGTACATTATAGGGTCTGTCTCTGCAGTCTTTCAGTAGATAGCGTTATTCTCAATGCATTATCGACACTGTAAGAGAGACCTACCATTCATGCTAGAGAGTCGTTGATTGTAGCTTGTCAGGAGATCCTCCTCGTAACATAGACATTGTTTGTTCCCACCGTCCTACACAAGCTTCTGCAACGAATACACAAATAAGCAACAGTTTTCAAGTACTTGGAGGAAAGAGAAAAAGTACTTACTTTACGTTTGGGATTTCGGTACTTAGGACACGCACGCTGTCTTCGTGTCGTGGTAGGTAGGAAAACATTAGTATCAAATAGTAATAGAGATAAGCTGCGGAAATGAGATGCTTAGGCATGGCACTTATGCTCGCGGCTATGGTACTAAACAGGATAGTGTTTCAAGCCAAGATAGACTGAATTAATAATAGCGCTACGATAAGAGAGACTTGTATTTTATAGGTCCTTGGGTCTATAGATATTGGAACGTGGGAAAGGAAATGTTAAAGGAGAGAACAGAGTGAACCATGTCTCAAGGACTAGCTTGACCCTCAATCTCAAGGCTGACCTCATTTTAATTAGACATCAACCCTACTTGTGCTTGCATATTTCAGTGCACTAGCAGTCTTCAAAGCTATTGTAAACGATTTCGCCCTCAACCCATCCTTAGAACCTTTACATGCTTATAGCCTCCCTTACTCAGCTCCCTACCAACGGCAATAGAATTAGCCACCTTCCCCATCTCAACAAACCCAGCTTCCTGGTACTCGATTAGTATAAGAAGTCTCTCTGGGGTGAGTTTGGAGGCCACACAGTACCTTTCCTCGATTGTTACAGTTGCTCCTACCCGGGTAATCGTCTCTAGTGTTCTCTCCGGACCGACCTGCCTAGCAACAATATCAAATTAGATATTTAAGAAAGACCGCCCACGCGCTTGCAATGATAGCGACTAAAAGTCCAAAAGTCAGAGTAGTAAACCAAGCCTTCGGCCTCCTGCGGGTTAAGGGATCTACGTTGCGATCCACTATTGTGGCTTCTTTTGCCTCGCGTTGGACCCGCGTCATGGTCATGCCCTTTCCCAAAAGTGTGTAGTCGATAATGATATATGATACACCCAACACGAAAGCCCAAGCTTTAATGCCAATGGCAACGAGTAGAACCTTGTAGTAACCGTTGTCTTCAGTTCCATCTTGTAGAACACCAAAGACAACATCCATCTAGTGTTGTTAGCTTGAATGCTTATTGATTGGTCGGTTGTTGATCTTACAATAGTTGAGCCTGAGTTATTGAATGCTCTCCAAACACCAAATGCAGTCCCTATCTTGGCTTGATCAGCTACCAAAAGAGGTATGCAGATCTGCAAAGGCATCGAATTAATGACCCCCGCCAAGCTGGAGAAAACTAAGGCCGCGGTGGGATGCACGTTGGTAAAGCCTAGAAGAGAACAAGCAATGATCCAGAGGATTGGAGCTGCGGCGACATAGTGAAATCGATGGCCATACTTGTCTATAGCCAAGCCAAGCACTGGACTAAGCACAATCGGAAGAATCTTCTGTGCTGTCGAGAGATAGCCCGCCACTTCCTCTGTGTACCCCTTCAGAAATATGATATCGGCCGAGCTGGTACTGAATCCACCAGCTGCGCCGCTCTGTAGCAACTGGGTGGCTGGTAACATAAGATATGCCCAGGGCAGGGTCAATAAGAGTTTCCAGGAGAAGTTGCGCTTGTACATCAAATGCTTATTTGTGATTGCTGCGTCGCGGCCTGGTGTTAATCTATACTTTGTCGGAACCGCAAATCGCTCGAAGCAAACGTAAGCAATGTTCATAGCCAAAGAAAGTCCACAAAAGACAACTGGGATCCAGAACGTCCAGCCATACCAGCCAGTACGATCTCGGATTGGGATGGCCACCATGCCAGAGACGAGGCCGACAGTGCTAGAAATAGCGCTCTCTAGTCCAAATGCCAAAGCAAGGCTAGAGGCACCGAACCAATGGTAAAAGAACTTGGTAATCATTAGTACATTTTTAGGCGATAAGCGAGTGCGTGAAATACCTTTTGCGTCGCGGAATCTAAAACCGCAATGCCAAAACCCATGAGTACGTGCCCAGAAACAAGCAGCCTCCAAAGTCCAATCTGGACGCCAACAGCCGTAACAACAGATCCGACAAGGATAACACTTGTACAGCATAGCGTGATGATGTTAGGGCCCCACCAGTCCAGAATCAGGCCTCCGACAATAGGAAAGATGGTGTTGACAAAAGCATCTGCACTGCTGATGACACCAAATTGAGTATTGTTGATACCGAGTTCTTCCCGCAGAGTGTTTTTGAGTGGGCCTAGGGCTGAGCCTGTCCAGGTATGGCCTATGGGAAGAGCAATGACGAGGCAGAGTGCAGTCCATTTATATTTGGCGGGAATCCGCAGGGGATTAAAGGCCTCGATGTCGACTTCAGTAACGTCGATGTCGGTCACCACTGGCCTTTCGTCGTGTGGAATATTATGCTTCATCGGGATTTGCTCCATACTGTCTAACACCTAAAAGAGATTTAAAGGGTATGAAGATACTAAAAACATGTTTTACTTTTTGACTCTCTTATATACTTACGCTCTAGCAGCTAAACTTCTCATGTCACCGACCTCGTATTACTGGCAATCCACTACGTGGGTAACATTAACCTTTTTAAACTTATTAGATGGAGCTTTAAGTGGAATAAGGTTATGTCCATCGATCTTGGCAGGTTAACATGTGGGCCTAGGCCCGTTATGCCACCCTAGAAGATTGGTGGAAATCATTTCTTAACTATATAAGGCAGGCAGTAAACGTAAATCTTTTCAACTATGGAACCCACCTTGAGGGTTTTATTTAATCTTCACCTGATGCCAAGGGACGCGAACCGTGCGCCAAGAGATTGATAAGACGCGAGTGACTCACACTGAAATATCTTATCTCGAGAACAATTAATCCATGCGATCGTTACTCCGTACTGAACAGCTCATTCCGGATGCACTGGGATAAGCCTAGAGTGTCTACCGTGTCGTTCCCCTTGTTTAGTTACATACCAAGACCTAACTCGGACCGACATTATCTGGCAATAGTGAGTGACAAATTAGTAAGTAAAAGTGAAAACTATTGTGTATGTATTTAAATGTGTAATTAGTAAATCCGTATTATATAAAAATATTTAAGTAAAGAAGTTAGTTACTAGATGCTAATATATATATCTATTAATTATATTTAAAAAGGATGAATTATTAAAAGTTAGAAAGGTATAAAGTCAGGACTTACTCCTTTGTTAAGAATGTGTGATTACACTAATCCGCAATCGGATTCCGGTCTAATTCTTGTTGTACTCACGTGACCTGCTATACTTTTCGGTTTATGTAATGGTTATGGCTGGGAGTTTTTAGCAAAATCGTACGGAAAGATAGCGTGCCTTACCTTACCGCCTAGCTTCCTCTCTTTTCCAGCCCCTGACTTCTATAGAACTAAAATGTATCCAAAAGGCCGAAAGCTCACCGAGGCTTTGTTAATAGTTAGCCGGTCCAGTCTAGGGTGCATATATAATATTATCTAATAACTAAGGGTCTCGCTCGGATACTTATTTCAACCATAGTTACAGTCTTCCGTTATCTTAGATTCCTATGTCTACTAGCCGGACCATAATAGACGAGCTTAACCGCAATCTAATAACACCTAATTAAAGTCATCTAAGATTCTAGGTTGAACCGGAATGGACAATCTGCTCTGATAATGGTAGACTCTTGAACTAAAGTTAGCTAATGTACAGCAACATTTCTTCTTTATTATAGGGATTATTACTATGTGTTTTCTTAGGGACGCTTGTATATGCTATAGTTATGCCTGATGTTAAGGTAAAGGCTATTACGCTTTTTGGTTATTAAGTCGAAGACCCAGTAGACAGATTAGTAGTATAGTACGTCTCTATATATTGAACCCAATGGTCAGGAAGATTCTATGGTGCTCTTGTTACTGCTTGAAGTACCTAATGAACCCTGAAGCCGATCAAGTTATATAGGCTCCCGCGTCCAGTGTTATACTGGGGTCGCCCCAATATCGCTCCAGCACGAGCTGTCAATACCTCGATTATAAAGAAGGTAGGGCATTATTAAGAACACCATTTAACACGTAGTTGGTTACACTATATATATAATAGTGCAGTACCAATCCTCACACTAAGTTCCTCTTTTACAGTACAGGCAAGAGGTATATAGTTATGATAACAGGCAAAAAGCAAGTAGTTAGGTGTCTGAGACCATTGCGATTTCACTGCACATAAATCTACTGCAAAGCTGCATTCTCAAAGCTTAAGTAACAGTTTAGAAATAAACACATGAGACCCTCTAATGGTCTAGCTGTTTTGTTTACGTGGGAGAACTGGTCTTGTGATTGTTCACAGAGGTGTGATATTAAGGTACAATGACTGTCACCAGCTCTCAGAAGAGTTAAACGCCTAGGTTCCTCGAAAGTTTTGATCAGCGCTTTGGTTGAAAATGTAGGAATTTTATGTGTTACGAATCTCGGCTTGATTAAAGTATTGGGCTGTTCTGTCGCACGGACTCCAAGCCTCTTCGTAACGGAGAACAAGTCTGGGGTTAGAAATGGTTTATTCGGGAGCATTTTCTATTGACATTAAAGATCTAAGATCATTAATGAACTTTCATGTTATACTCACGCACCTCAATTACTTAATAACGGAACAGCTACCCTAATGCGTCATGATGGAGTTTTCCATACGCTGTACAAGCTTCTATGAGACACATTGCTGATATTCGGGACTTTAAGGGGGGAAGAATTGGGGTCGTCAAAGTGGGAGAGGTACCGAGGCAGATTCTTTTACGACTTGGTGGGAAGAATTTGAGTCATATGCTGCTTGCGCATACTGACTTTCCTACTCTTATAAATGAGTGCTATTTATACACCAGTGACACTTTCACAATTGCGATGTCTATGGGTTTAGGAATATTCACCAAGACGGGTTCACGATTTGGATACGCCCTAGTCCACTTAAATAGGTTTCAGGACCATTTGCAAACCTCAGCACGAGATAGCCTCCACACAATCACCTCCAAAAGACGCCAATCCCTTACGGCAAGTAACCATATCTATCCTCATATGACGTCTTTACCTTCTCCTCTTTGAGAGCCCTAGGAGAATTACTAAAGTGCGTTAATGTAAAATCCTCTCTTGGAACACAGAAGCCAGCCGCGTAACATAACCGTGGTTCGATCGTGCATGGATATGCTCCACCTCCTAAAAGGCAAAGGACTTCTGAAAACGTTTTCCAGCGGCACAAACATTGGCATTAGTTTTACTTGTTCCTCTTATAGCGAGGAGCATAAGGGAGGAACAGGTTTGCATAAAATGACATAGCTTATTATGTCGTTAGTCTTTTAAGACCACTGATATCTAAACTATCATGGTAGGCAATAATATTTCTATTAGAGATTTCGAATATGACTATTTTATAGCTTTAATTTGAAGAAAAAAAAAGCCAATAGATTAATTAAAACCTTTAAGATGTAGGTACTCAGAGATGACTCTGAGAAGGTTAATATATCTCCATATGGGCTACCAATTTATGTCCTGGGTTACAGAGCTTGTTTTGCTCAAATCCTACGGACTTCGAAGTACGGATCTCGGCTTGTTCTTGGATCATGTGTTGCCCACTTTAAGTCTTGGCTATATGCCGGAATCTCCTGACTTGGAAATGATTCCTTGTGGGCCTACCCCCCAGGTTCCAGTAAAAGTCCGCGGCGAGTTATAGGATTCATATATGAGATCTTGGCTTCCTAAAACATCGTTGTAGGATTCCTCGGCCACCTGAAGCAATATTGTAGAATCCCTTCGGCCGTACAATGATATCAATGATTTTTCTGGGCTGACGGTGACATCGATAATTGACTCGAGGAATCGTAGGAACATTCTCGAGTAGAGTCTAATCAGAAGACAACGTAATGAAAGAGGTTTTTAAAACAGTCATCTATAAATACGGGGAGTGCTTCTAACCATTTACCTCCAGCATCACCAACATCTCATCTCATCTCACTTCCCAAGTAAGAGACTCGGTTTCAATTCCCCTGTTTCACTCAAAAACAACAAAGACAATTTTTACATTCGTGCATTCATCATGAGAACTTACGCTTTCCTCGCTTCTCTCTTCGCCTCGGGAGCACTTGGACAGAATGCTGTCGCTGTGTTTCCGCTCCAGCTCCCCTGAGTGGAAGGATTGTGAGTCTTCCACACCAAATTAATATTCAGCAAACGTACTCTGCACAAATACTAACTAACTCATGTAGGCGACACTCTCTAGGATAAAATGGGTTTTACTGCGGGAAACCCTCGGGAAATCACCAGGAACTGCGGCAGAGACACGGTCATTGGCAGTGAATGCTATGTTTTCTACGAGGGCGCTTGCCAGATTGCCCAATGTCTCCTCGGCGACTCCTGCGTTGGTACCAGTGAAGGTAGGATCTTCAACAGTAAGACTCTTCTTGAGAGCCAGTGCAGGAGCGGCGACCTGGGCGGTCGTATCACCGAAGACCCCGGATACTTTGAAATAATCCGCTACACAGGCGTTCCGGCCGGACGTCGCCGTCGCTCGCGCTCCTTTGGCAGGAAGTCCATCTCTAGCTGAGTACGAGAAGACCTTTAGAGGAGATCGCGGTATTGTTATTTCCAAGACTATTACCGATAACATAAAGAGACAGACCGGTGATTGGATAAACCTTGTCACGTACGACGGAGTCATTAAGCCTGGTGAGCGGTGGAGAGTGAACACGGAAGAGCTCGCCCCTGACATCGATAGGACTTGGGAAGAATCGTCGTTCCACAGTATCACGGTTGGCGTCACTGCTAGTGTGTCTGCTGGTCTTTTCGAAATCTTCACCGCCTCGATGGAGATCAGTACCAGCTACGAGGAGACCTACAGCGTCGCAAGTTCGCTCAAGTACAGCAACGGAGACTGCCCAAGCGGTGCCAACATCTACTACGCCCCAGTCTATACTCGGTATGGCGGTATTTAGTCTGACGAGCCCGATGTGAACTTCGACATCTGGGTTCCTCGACAGGTGAATGGAGTTCTGGAGGGAAGGTGGATTCTTGAGTGTGTCGGTTTTTCGCCACCTTGAATAAAATCTAAGGTAGAGGGCCTGGAGGGAAAGATGTACATTTAGGGTAGGGGGTCAGAATTAGGGAAGAGGGAATAAGGGTCTTTAACAAGCTTGTAGTCCACCTTTAATCTCTGTCAATAGTGCTGCCTGCTAGTCGGCAAATTAACTATATATCTAGGAGAGTATATAGAGTCCTAACGAAGGATATTAAACATAGTTAAGAGATTTATACTTATTAAGAACCGATCTAGTCCAATCCCATAAATAAGTAGAGGAATTTAGTTATTAGAAAATTATCATATTAGACAGGTCTTTTACTTTGCTAACTTTAAATCTAAAAGTTAGCAAGGTACAATACAGCTTAAACCCAGCTCTCTAGGATCTTAGTATGTCCATCCACCACTTTGAACATTTTTGAGTTGAGTTCTAAGAGTATCCAACGGAAAATAATAAGTCCTATTAAAGTTTTAAGATATTTTCAATCATAGGAGAAAAGTCCTTATATTTTAGAAGAAGAAATCCTCGAAACTGAGAATGAAATATTAAATACTTTCATCTCACTGCACAGTAGTAAATTCAGCTAAGGAATAGGGATTCTATTTATTTTCTTTATCCTGGCAGTTAAAGACTGTTTTCTTCTTTTTTTCTTTCTTCCCTAGCGAACACCTGAGTATATACGGCTTTCACTTTGAGAAAGAGGAACACAAACAAGAGGCAATAACAGATAGGCCAAGACGATCCTTGCAATCAGCCATTGAATAGGACTTGTCACAGTAATAAATCCTTAAAATACCCCGATGCTAATAGCAGTATTGTAAATAACTAACTGGAGTAGAAGGGTGAAAGCGAGAAGGTCAGCAGACCTGTGGAGAAAATGTTACGGGCAAAGTAGGCTGGATGACAGATAAACTTTCGTAACGATTTGAACCAAGCGAAAGCAGCCATGGAAAGGCCTGAGTCATTTCAAAACTAGTTCTATAAAACTTCCTACACTAGATTCAACGGATCTTGGTTTGTAGGAGCTTTTCTGAAAAACATGAAGCTTGCAGTAATCTAGAAGATCCTCATATATGAGTATTTTGAACGGCTACATACACCGATGTGAGTATTCGATTGGGATTTGATAGTCTATGAACTTCTTGAAACAAGATCACTTGAACAAGGCCAATTTATATCAGGTCGTTAGTTCCGGACAAAAGTAATCCTGATAAGATAAGCTCCGTTGAGCTGATCTAACCGGTGAGTTTCTTGACAGTGAGATTTGCAGTTATGGATCCTCGCTTAAGTAGGGGATGAACAAAGCGGCGTGCTATGACATGCCATAGTAACGTTGCCTGTATCGAGGGATGAAAAGCGCTGACCGGCAGTGGAATGAGGAGTTAGATTGTTATGAAGAGCAAACGTTAAATGACTAAGGATGTCTAAGGAAAGGAATCAAGGCTGATAGAAGATAGGGGACTGTCCAAACGCTTGAAATGGCTATGATTGGTAAAGAGGCGGGGCAGATAGAGTTTTAAGCATCTTATGCAAGGTGGCCCAAGGGTACAATGTCTGTTAACTAAGTCATGGAATAAGTCACAAGTTTCAGCGCCTTGCAGTAAAGATGACACAAAATCAGATTGAGTAAGAAAGGATGAGGCGGGGGCTAAGCCCTGTTTCAGGGCGTAGGGCCTAAATATTGTTTTACTGCAAGACAGCACTACTTTTGCATTCTTCGTTTTTCTATTGGAAATGTAACTATCTATATATTACTTAAACTACTTTTTAGAGCCCCTGAAACCAAGTCGAATTGTAATTCGAATCTAAGAGTCAATCTTGAAAAAGAAATGCAAAGCTAGCTTATAAAACCTGTTGAAAGGAATTGATATGTAAGTAGCGTCCGGGTTCCCTATACCCACTCCACACTGACTCGCTTCCATTTCATCTTCTGTTCTATATAGACTCTTGTTATCGTTATTGTGTCCCCCACTACACATTCTACTTGCGAAAGAAATGAAAAGTTCCATCATCCTCGCGGTATGCTCTGTAGATCTGATATCTACTGTTATAATCGCAACTCTAGAAACAATCAGAAACTGTCATATAAGAGGAGATGCTCGAAGAGATGTAAAAGGCGCAGGGTGTAACAACGTCAGCCGCTATTACCTGACTGGAACGCGGTGCGACCCATATGGCTGCAATTGTAAATGGGGCCGTATTGAAAGTAATGGGATTTTGGACAACTGGATCTCATATGAATGCCCCAAGAGTATAGGAGTGAGTTATAACTTGGGATCTTAAAAGCTGTATACTGTTTTAATATTATATTACTGCAGACCGATTTATGCGGAAAAGATTGAATCTTTGAGCTTGAAAAATAAGTTAATAAATCTTAGACAGTTGACTTTTTTGTTAATCTTCGTCATATATTATAATATTATAATACGAGACATAGAGCAACAAACAAAGGTTTTCCATACTTAATCAGAACACATTGAGAAAGAAGATTGTCTTGTAGCCATATCTGAGAATGATTTGCAGGGAGAACTAGGTACAGAGCTATGAATCTCCAGTCGATTAATGAGTAAATATGAAGATACGCTGCCTCAATCAATCTCACGGATTGCCGGTTGTGTCTCGTATATACTTGTGACGATTACTGCACGACTAGGATGCCGACCTTGGTATGGAATGTGCCATTTACGTTATTTATGTTTACGTCTCTAGTGGTAATTACGACCTAATTGGGCGACCTGCTTTCGAGGTTACAAAAGAGGCTGGAATAGGTGACTTTACTAAGTGGCACTAGAAATTTCATGAACCCTGTAGGCTGTAGCGCTCTTTCCAAGGGTCTCGCCGCGTAAAGAACTTAGATAATTGGTGAGTTGTTTGGCAATAACCATTACGTGTGACGTGTTCTATCCCTTTTAATGTTCATGCATATCTCAAATCCAAAGTGGCCTGATAATACTCTTGATGCATGTGACTGGCTGCGGAGTCAACGATGTCCAAACTCCCCCAACTGTTACTTTCACCTCCCAGTTCTTTACATTGGCATTACCCCGCCTCGTTGCGTAAACCCTCATCGTGAACCGCGTTCGCGCTTACCAGGTCACTAATTGTGATCTCTGAGAATTGCAGAATTGTCCATTTGAAACCTGCGGCAATGCGGAAGGATCATGCACCCGTGAGCTTCGCCCAGCCGAATGCAATGATGCTCCTTCCACTCGTAAGTCATATGCAGGGTAAGATAACCCGGATTGTTCGCTTACTTTTGTCAGAAACTACAGCAAAGAATTTTAGACTATCTTGACTTCACAACATTAAGCTTTTGTCGCTTGCTATGTCATGATTGGAACAGGCTAGTAATGATGTCTTTCGGTAAAGACTTCATATATCATTTCAACAATGCGAGCCTCAATACCCTGTCATCTCCCAACCTGCAAATGATTGTGAAGGAGATTATCGTTAGTTGGGCAATGCCTACGAAAGAACGGCGAGATGGCCTCTCCACACAGCTTACTGCTGCGCTGGCTTTCAGGGCTGATATCTCATTGCGATGCTACAACGAACTATCAGAGACTACTTTTAAATGCGACTGCACCCACTCACCTGCAACTGATTACAGTCATCATTGTTCAAGTTTTTGGATCGCGCTTCAAGCCATCTCGTCTCAGCCACACATAAAGCTCAAAAGCCTGATACTCTCGAGCAGCGTCAACGATACTAATGCTGAGACTCGACTACCAGAGATCAGGTCACTTATCACAGACAAGCTTCCAAACTTACAGAACCTGGTGCTTTGTTATACCCACGCGACCGAATATGAAGACCTTCGTGGATTTCTCTCCCGTTGCCAAACATTGAGGCGACTTTGTCTTCGTGTTCGCACTTTCAAGGCATTAGATGAAATTCATTTCCCATCCTTGCGATACTTGCGAATGTGTGTCCAACGGTTGGATGAGTTTGCTCTGCGCTTCTTGAATAAACATACATATATTGAAGGAGTTTATATTTCATATTTTGGTTGGGATTCGTCATGTCATGGCGGTACCGACAACTGTATGAAAAGCTTGAGGCGAGCCCTTATGAATACTTGTCACAGCGTCCATCAAGAGAACTTGAACCAGGATTCTAAGTCTTGGGGAAGATTGAGTTAAGACGTAGTGAGAAGTTAATGCAAGCAAGCTTTGCAATTGATGTTGTTATGCATGATAGGGACTTTACATTTTACTGACATGTGAGGATCATTGTAAACTTTATGTCTCAGTAATCAAGGTGGTCCTCGAAACTTTTAGCCCTAGGAAGAACATTGAGCGAATAGACGCCGCCCATGGCATCTACTATTGACTCCCAAGAGTTCCGATCTAAACCCTCAGATCACTGACTTGAGCAAGCAGTGTTCTACGGTACGAAGGAATAAACAAGACGCTCTGTTTAACTGTAAGCTCATAACCAAGACATAGCAAGACATTAAGAGTTATATAATTTAGACTTCTAGGCTACGAGCCAAGTAACTATGAACTACCACTCAATAGCCGCTAAATGATATTGAGACCTGCAAGACATTCCACTATGTCCGAATCTAACTTAATTTATTCAGCATTTGCATCTACTCCTATAGCGTAGTAGTCACACATACCGAGTCTGCATACATAATATAAGCCACCAGGACTCACACTATTCTCACCAGCTCTTTAGGCCTTACTAGATTCTCCGTAGTTACACAATAGATTATCAAGATCATTACCTCTTTCGTCTACAAAACACAAGAATTTTAGATATTTTATGCACTTGTGATATAGACGACTTGCGTTGCCAATGCGGTTTGAAGATACGGTGATCATCCATTTTCTAGGTAGCTTGCATACAAAGCAATTTAAAGGGTGCTTCGGGGCCGGAGCGATGGGTAGGCTGGGGGTAGTAGACGATAAAGCAGTTTGTATGCTGAGTTAGTAGCTAGCTTAACTGTATTAACTCTTTTTTTTGAGTAGGATTGGACCCTTGTACTATGATGGAATTGCAAGTCTTTAAAATATTGTAGTTCTATAGGATACTTTAACAGCCGAACTCTTACCTTAACTTAATATGCAAAAAATGGGAGCCTATTTATAAGCATCATGTGAATGCGGTATATATTGCTCGATATGACTCTTACTCTAAAATGCAGTGTAGGAGGCCGACCACCTTAAGAAAGGAAGAATCACCGTGGCGAATGTATGAGTGCCATCAGAAAATGAGGGGTAGACATGTTGGCTCGTGTTGAGCTGCGGCCAGATGGAAAGCAATTGGCTAGATTTACATTTTCTTGACGTATGACTCGAATGATCCACTCTGTGCTGGTTGAGCTCTTCTTAAAAGAGAGATGTCCCTAAATCTGTCCAATAGAGACCAATAACTCAACGAGATGGGGTGTAGTCCTACAAAAACGAAGCCGGCCACAGGCGGGGCTTAAGATATATGCTGTAATCCTAATAGGCAGAGAGATATTTTATGTTACTCATGCTGCATTGCACTTTGCCATTGCAATCAATCAAAAGTTGCCAGAAAGTTCCACGTCACATAATATGTGCTGGTACTGATTTAAGAGTGACACACCCCACTCGCAGTAAAAGACGCCAAAAGTTCGAGTACTACTTAAAGACAAACATGATTTTATGGCGCATACTAAGTCTCATTCTTCATTCAATGTTTGCAGCCTGAATTTGTGATCACCACAGAAAAGCCTCCTTCAATCTATTACCTATCAACACGCTTAAACATGACTATCCTCTACGAAAACATTGACCCTGATGGCGATACTTTAATTACCATATCCTACGTGGCCGAAACTTCCCAAACCGCCGATGAACTAGAGACCGTTGCAGAACCAGCGGTAACTGAAGAGCCAGTGGCTGATAATGAGCCAACGGCTGCCGAAGGTTCGAGGAGCTCCTTCTCGAAAGTACATAGCACTGACTGATATTTCCTGTTGGTCTAGTAGAACATTCATTATCTGAGCTCAGGCTAAAGGTGTCCAAGAAACACCTTACAGTAGCATCACGGCGTGCCAGAACGATGTTCGAAAGAGAGTATTGTGAAACCCAGAAATCAGAGGTTGACGGTCTTTACCACTGGAAAATAGAGCCACTGTTTGATCCTGAAGCCCTCAAAATTGTTTTAAGAGCTCTACACGCACAAGCTCAAGATCTGCCCGACCAGGTCTCGCTTGATATGATGGTCTCAATAGCTGAAGTTGTGGACGATCTTCTATGTCACCAGGCGCTATCCTTTTTTGTTAAAGTATGGATCACTCGACTATCTCCATCTCAATCAGTTTCCAGTCAAATGTGTGACGATCTGGTAAAATGGATCTTCGTTGCATCGGTATTTCGTCTGGACGACAAGTTCAAGCAGGCGACAAGAACGGCAATTATGTATAGTACCGGACCCATAGATATCCTAGGACTTCCTATGCGTCTAGATATTTCTGGTATGTTCATTGTCTATTTGCAAGTCTAGTACTTACAAAAGCAGATAAAATTGAGCAAAATAGACAGGATCTCCTCCAAGATCTGATTAACCAGTTGCACACCGTGCTGGACAACTTATGCTCGGGGCACTCTTGCGTTATTCCGCAATGCGCTCTGACGATGATCGGAGCATTGACTAAACAAATGCACATCAACAACTTCCACTCGCCTCGTCCCACAAGGCCTTTTCTCAACTTGAGTCTGTCCTCGACACTTGCGGCGGTGCGATGTTTTGACTCACCTTCTCTATATCTTCCAGCAGAAACAATTTCGCGGGACTCTCTTGATGATCTATTCTTTGGGCATAAAGAGGATTTTTGGTTGCTACAAAAAGAGACCTTTTCGTCATCAAGCCGGAAAAAGAAGCACAGAGGACTGCTAGAACCAGAAGACGACGAAGCGACTGATAATACTCCCAAGAAGCTGATGGTTCATTATTGTCGCTTACAAGATCTCCTTGAGCCCGGAATTATCCTTGTGGAGTCTAGGCTTTCGACCTTAGATTTAGGTTACGATTGAACGGGTTCAGGATATGCCTTCGAACTTGTGTTGTGGTTTGACTTAAAGCTAGTTGGGGAGAGTGGCAAGCAATAAATACAGACAATCAACAGGAAGCCAGACCCTGTCCCTAACATCGAGTACGAACAGAATATACAAGCGATACCTGAATTCTCTAATCTTATATATAAGTAATACATCACACTTGAGTTAGCAATTAATATAGAATCGTTTAGAATACATGTTGCAAACAATAAAGTTTTAATCCAGTTTGTGCTTAGAGTACTTTGTAGCTAGTCGAGGTTTTTCAAGTTGAGATAAGCCTGCCTTGATATAACCTTTAACTCGTACTTTAAAGATACTTTCCGGGTAAATTTATTTGGTACACTTCTATTAGAGACAGCTTAGTGTCTGCAGGAGATCTAATCTTGCAAATCCCTTGTTTGTGCAGTCAAAACAATTGAACCGTTGCCAATGCTTTTTCTGCCTTGAGAGTTTCGGGGCCTGCAGAATTGAAGCAGTGAGTTGAGACAGAGGATGGAGTGAAAAGATCAGCTTTTCTGGCCGCATACGTATGATTGGCGTCATCCTTGACTTACTTCATTTAATGGGATATGCTTTGGTCAAGCCCCGACACATTCCGACAAAAGGTTCGTGTTATGAACTGGACCAACCTGTGAGAGGTGAATTATAACTTTTTGGTCCGCGGCATTCTCTTACACGTCTTTACAACAAGGACTCTAGACAGCGAGGATGTAGCGATCTGTATAAGAGAGGAAATTATATTCCTCCCGGCGCTATGTAATGCCGTAAGAAATAAGAATTCGTGAGTGACTTATCGTTGCATACCGTGTCGGGGGATCTTAGAGGATATTCTCTGTATGCACCAAGCACCTGTAAGGTAGGAAACTCACGACCTACATAACTATCTCTGTGACCTTTTAAAGTATAAGGGACAGGCTTTAATAATAACAAATCTTCTCGACTTTTACCCTATCTCGGCGACATTATAACCCTTTGAAAAGGAAGATCTGGTTCCGAGGTATGTTAGAGGAGCTGGAAGTGAGGGTGATGTATCTACCCGGAACTTTCTCTATAATTAGCCGCGTCGAGCCCTAAATAGTCCTTTTTTCTAGTTAGATCTTAGTTATTATCTTGCCATTCCTTAAACTCTGCTTCTTTTATTATGAAACAGATAGTTAACTGGAGGAGTTTCCTGGATTTTAACTGATAAACCTGTGGAGATAATTGAAACTAGTTGTTAGACGAAGCAATTATGACAAAGCAAGTTCTATCTTCGGAACTTGAATAAGAACTCGTTCTTCTATATTTTAATCCAGTCGCGGAACATTACAGTTACTCTGTTACCTGTGCTTCTTGTTGTTCAAGCTCGCCTTATTAAGGTGATCATTCTACACATCTAATAAAGCAAGTAAAGTATTAGACAAGATCGAATTGATTGAAGTAAACTAAATAGGAGCCATGGGGATTTTATGTCATGGTCTATTCGGATTCTCAGACTTTCTTGGAGCATACACCAAGAGACTATCAGCGTCATATCCTTGGTCCAAACTCCCACCACCTGAGCGCTTTAAACTGAAAATACATAAAGGGCTTCCGTAAACCATTTGCTTTCGAGGGCGAGGGCGAGTACAAGCTCAATCGGCTTTGTTGACGAAGGCGAAAAGGGTATATACCATTCTTGACCAAACTTCCAATGCGCCATTGAGAATGCCTCAATGTGATCGAAAAGCTCGACCCGTCCCCAATCATAGTATAGGTCACGTTGCGCTGGAGGAGGTTCAGAATCCATAACTTGTAGTCAGTTATATTGCTATTTACTCACCCGAACAATGTGGATCCCATGGAAACCTACCTGTAGTACTCTACCAGGTGTAGGACTCTTCGCTTCCTCTAGGAGCTCGTTCATCGAATATACCTGACTCGTAGTCTAAAGTAGGGCAGCCCTGCACTGGCTTCCTCGCCCTTCTCCAATCCTGTATCAAGTAATTTGTCATATTGAAGAGGTTTGCTTCTATCGTGCCGAACATCTCAGCGATAATTCGTTTCTTCTTGTGTAATGATAAAAGTATGAAATGGTAACCAGTCCCAGATCTGTTGGAAGATAACTAGTGACGAGTTGATCTCGGCCAAGATGGCCAACGTAATCAAGGGGTATAAGTCGAAATACATTAAGGCCGACAGTGATGCTTAACCCAACGACCATAGGCAAGTCACTTATCTTAGCGGTAAAGTTTTCGGGCCACATAATAGCTGGCAAACTAACTTCGCTTAGGTTTTAGTAGAGGTTTTAGGACGCCTGTTGTGTCGTATGAGCCACGTCCCTTCTTGATTGGGGCGCTCCGGGCTTTAACGGCCTTGGAAAATGAGGGACTTAAAGCTATGTACATTGCAAGGAAGCTTGATGCAGGTTCAGAAGCGTAGAATCATACAATTATATGGGCAAAGGTGATTGATTGTGATTAAATGGTGGTAGAATCGTGCTCTTTAAATTAGTTAAAGCGGAAGGGCATTGTGAGGCATTCAACACCTCATGACAGACTGGGTGGCTTAGCAGCAGATGTGTACATGAGACAAACCGCTCAGGAATTACTTGGCAAACCAGTAGCGGTGAGGCCTCACTACAGTTGGCTTGCAGAGTTTGCACATTACTCAAGTGCATCGGCCTGCCCAGCCATAGATCCTCGCTTTTCTGTTAATAAGAAGTTTTGAGTAGGTCATGGCAGCGGTCTGGGTGATCCGTGGTGAGCAGCACCATTACTCCCTATGCATATGCCCCACCTTAGCCTCACCAAGATCATTATACAGCTTACTTTACATATAAGCTAGTCTTACTTTGGACTACTTGATGGCGGTTTCCAAGTCTGGCAAGTAATCCATGAAGTTGCTTGACTAGTTCTTTCTCATTGGGTCATCGAGCATGGCCATAGCGCTACTCCTTAACGCCTGTCCATCATGGAGGCACACGTCTATCTTCTCTCCTACATCAACTCAATCGCTACAACGAACTTTCACAACGAGCAAAAAGCCACCACGAGGTTTGGAAGATAGATGTTTCAGCCAATTCCAGCTCAACATTTCTCAGGCAAACCATCAAACGCGGCTACAGTCCCGAAGTGAGGCGCTAAGGGCGTGTATCCCTAAGTCCGAGGACGAATGGCAAAGAGCCAGGAGAGATCGTACGTTTGTGTCCTGAAAAAGACCCTCAGACCTTATTTGAGGCTCCAAGTACTAAAATCTAGTAGGTTTGTGACAGCTGAGACATTGTTTCATGGGTTTCAAGCATTGTCATGAACAGAGCCTTGCCTAAAGATGTGCAGCAGTTCATCGATACAGCTCCCTTTTGCGTCGAAACTCGCAAAAACGAAGACAAAGCTCATCGCAAATATGAAGCTAGTGCCCAAGCTAAATGTTCGGTTATGACTGTTCGCAATTATGCATATCTAGTACGGAGCATCATTGCGTTAATGGATCAAATCTACCCGAAACTGCGGCATCGTGCTTTTGAGGCTGTTCTACTTCACGGTGAGTAATCAGGATAAACTCCTTTCCTATAGTAGTGATGATAAGAAGCTCCTCTGAGCCTAACATCTCTAGAACAATTTAAATCATGCTTCCCTAGTGTCAAGAGCCTCCCCGAAGAGCATGTATCTCAGGCACTATATATTCCATTCATAGTTGGATATCGTCTCCCAGAATACAAGTACAATAAGATCTGCAAGGCTCTTAGTAACAGTGTCCTAGAGGAGTCAGAGTTTCTAAAGTTTGTGTCGGTTCTGGAAGACAAGAAACCCATACCTCACATACTGCCCGCCCCTTAGCAGCTACAGCCTCCATCAACAAAAGGTTGCCATGACCCAGGCCACGATGAATGCGACCAGATTGATTATGAGCCGATCCAGGACGACATTGATATTATCAAGTATCTCGACACCGAGAAGATGTTTGCTATCCCTGCCTGCGTTAGTGACCACAAACGCTTTGGCCTTTGGGAGGCTATTCAGCAAAGGTCAGCTATAGCAGCGGAGGAACAGTATAGCTGCGAACCCCTGAAGATCCCAGGTGTAATAAGCTTTAAATTTGAATGGGCAATATATCACGATGCTATATGTAGCCTGGTTCTTGGATCGTTAGTGAGTGAATTCGTCAGAGGTAAAGAAACGAGCTAATTCAAAAGGCTGAACTTGGTTTCATCAGCCTAGGTACCATGCACCTAAGCAGGATGTCAGTCCGCCATGATACCGGCCCTATTACCATCCACTCCAATTGGCTTAAGATTCTTGTCCCTATTGTCTCGACTGCTAAGCCAACAATACTGTCACTTAGCAGTAAAGGCTTCCAAGAAGACGTAATATGGGATATCAAATCGGGACTCTTGCTTGGTCCAGGCATAACACTCTCGCCATCACGCACTCTCTATTACATTTCCGTATCTATTTCTACTTTTTAGTGCATAGCTATCCTACCTCTCCGACATCAGTACGCATCACACTGGCCCTTTGTCCTTGCTTTACCGGATTGTTGTCTCCGACCTAGCAAGTTCCTTACACAATAAGACTCTATGACTAGAACGACGGGCCTAAGCTTTACCTGCACTACTCGAAGCATTTAGATTCGGAGAACCCGAGAGCTAGTTATGAACATTAATCTTCTTGGGCCTATTATATATCCTACTCCGTAGAGACCCAGCTATCATCCGTACGTCGGCGGCTATTGAGCGTCTGCAAAGCAAGCCCTGATTATGTCTATCTCTACATTCAAAGCAAAAGCAGCACCAAGACCTCGATCTATTCCATTTCGCCGCCTGTCTGCTGATCTCGCCAGTCCAAAAAAGACGCGTACGGCGCTGTAAGCGCTCAAACCAAGTTTGGGGTGCAAAAGTGGCCATTTATGAGCTTTGATTTATCGCTAAAAAGCTACAACCGTGGCCTTGAGACGCATGCGCCAACGCGGCACGAAAGTGGTACTAGCTAGACATCGACTTTCGATGTAATTAGTTTCTTGCAGGTCCCTTCCACATCTTGGATGATCAAGCATCTAGACCAACGTCCTAGTGCTTGAACCATTTTCCTTTCCCAGCGAAGCGCCCAAGTCAGACCCACTCCTAGCTATATCAACACAGTAAGCCAAGCCAGAGACAATAAGGCGCGGTTGTCTACGCCACAGCATCACTTGGAATTCATCTTAGCTATCTGACAAGTTGTCCCAGTTGAAGTTGGCGTTTTGCTGTGAAAGACTGAGGAACGCGTCTCCTTACCGCATATGTCACTCCAGCTGCAAAGCGCGACGAGATTGGTTTAACGCCGTCACTCAACCAAGCTACCTTGTTTACACAGCTCACTCACCAACGTCGTGATATGTTGCAGAATGAAGCAGGTTGGAATACAATTGTTCTTTATCTTGGAGTTTCTAAGAGTAATACTCGTAAGTACTGTATATCAATGAAATTCTTTATTACATCCTTGTCAGGTATATAACTACAGCAAGGAAAAGACTGTCTCTCATACATGTTTCTTCTTGTCGAGCCTGTTCACTTTACAGCATGAACAGTTTAATAAGGCGCCTTTTCGAACCTTGAGAGATTCTTCCTGTCGAACCGAGTAAGGGATATCTAGGAAGTTACAGTTGTGTAGATGTATGCCTTATCTACTTCTCACTTAATAGCTATTACTATAACATCAGTTAATATGAAGTTTCTTAGTGGAGATACTAGTCTTATAATAGGCCAACCAGACTTTCTACAGGCAAATGCCAAGTGGTGCAGGCACGAGAACATTGAAAAATAAGATATAACAGCGTTGCATAATTGTCCATTAGCAACTACAAGGGCCTAAACCTTACTGTCGGCATCTCGCTTTTCGAAACCATCATCCTTCATCTTTAAAGTATAAGCCTTGCCGTAAGTGTTTTGGCGCTTCTCGAATCCATCATCCTTCATCTTTAAAGTGTACGCCTTACCATATGTGTTCTGAGGCTCTCGCTTCTCAAAACCGTCGTCCTTCATCTTCAGGGTATAAGCTTTACCATATGTGTTCTGAGGTTCCCGCTTCTCAATTCCATCATCTTTTAACAGGTAAATCTTGCCATATACGTCGGTATCGGCGGGTTTAGCGTCCCGTTTAGCAAGGGCATCGCCTATTCAACATTAGTCACAAACTTGGACGCATGATTTCTAGACTTACCTGGCAGCGGACTTGCGACTGTAAAACCGCACAAGACAGAAAGTTTGAGAATCTGAGAAACCTTCATGTTTGGAATGTTGAGAATTAAAGGGCCAAATTTCAACTTGATTGTTACTAGATGTTTCTTGAATCTTTGGTGTAGTGTTAGAGAAGCAGCGTTAGGTGAGATTAAATAATTAATTGATCGCTGTCTACAATCTGCATGTTATACAAAAAGGGACCTTTGTAAGACTTTCACTACTTAGACAGGAAGGTGTTTCCCTTGCGGGGAAGATAAGGATGACGTTTATCTAAAGCCACCAATAACATGTGCAGAACAAAAGTCCTTGGGCTTGATGATGACCATAAACGTTACATTATTAAGACGAAGCTATTGCAAGTTAAGAGCACTTCATTCATATGGCAGTTCGAAGGAATGATAGACAATCTTTCAAAAGTACCCTGTCTACACGGCTGCGTGAGGCAAGACCTGCGCAGTTATTGCATCAATTGGTATCATAATGCAGGAGTGACGTTGCCTTATCAAAGATCCTGCAGAAGCATTGTCCATCAAAACTCCCGAATTGAGAAGGTGGTTACATATGGAAAAGAGGCAGAGGAGATAAAGGCCATGTCGTACTCAAGAAGCCGGATAATGGTTCTCTTGTCCGAGCCTCAACCTTAGAAATTCCCTACTCCTACAACCCTCGCCAAGCTCACTTAAATTCTTCCTCAAGTTGAGGCTATCTAAGTGTCAGTAGGTCCAGTCTCTGAGAACTGAGAACATGCCGTTCAAAGAACAGAACGGCTCGGATGAGAGCCTACTAGGTAGCGATCGTGACAGCGAATCGACTGAATGGACTCCACTGAAACAGCGACGCAGTTGGAGGAGCCACGCTTGGGCTGCCTTTAACATCCTCCTGTTCACTACGTCTCTGTGTCTTTTTATGGCTCCCTATTTCGGAGTCAGCTTGACCTCTGACATGGATCATGTTCGCAAGACGTCATTTTATTGTAAGAATTCCTCTCTTATTTATCTGTTTCTCAACAAAATTAACTCCAGATGCAGCTCCAGTGCTTGACTCGATCAACTTCGAATTGAAGTCGACAGAGGTAGAAGGTGGTTTATTTGAAGCCAAGAACCCCTCCAGGTGGCGCAACTCTTTGAAGCCTGACCCTGCTGTTGATGAAGCATGGGAGGATCTTGAGAACATTCGCGTTTTCCCCATCAGCGAGAGTGAGGTTCGCCGACTTGGCAAGGATCCAGAACTTATTGTCAAGTTTCCTCCGGAATATGGCCTTGGTGATAACGCCTACATGGGACAAATTGACATGTTTCACCAAATCCACTGCCTCAATCTCCTTCGACACTTGGCATGGGCAGAATATCATCGTAACGGCACGGCGAAGAAGCCGTTTTCCGACTTACATTGGGTCCACGTTAGTCACTGCACGGACATACTGATGCAAAACCTCATGTGTAATGGCAATCTGGACATCATTACATTCAATTGGGTTGAGACTCAAACAAATCCATTCCCAGATTTCGGTGTCAAACATCAGTGCAGGGACTTTAATGCGATATACGAGTGGCAGGACAAGCACTCTGTGCCCAAGGAGTGGGGGCGAAACGTCACGCGACCAGCTGGTGCGAAGGAAATCCCTATCAGCGAAGAGTATTATCGGATATACGGCATTGATAAGAAGCAAAAGTTAGAGGAGGATGGTCCAAAGTGATCATAGTCGAGGAAATCGATTACATTAATAAAGGAATTACTTCGTGGCCGAGTTAAACATTCCACTCGTCTGCCTTTGTGTGCACCTTTGTGATGTATGATTACAATTAGTATCGTCCGTTCCCGCCCAGCATCGCACTCCTTCGCACATCATTTCTCAACCGGTAGGATCATCTCCACCTTAGGCTACAATCAGAGTTCATCTTTTCGCATCGACTGCACCCATACCTGATAGCGGCTTTTATGATAGGCCTTAAATAGGTATAGATCATCACGCGGCAGTAAATTGCCGACATGTAAGCAAACTCGGCTCTATATGGCAACTGGTGGGAAGTAGAGGAATAATATCGTATCCACCTGCTTCATTCGTCTATATTACAGGAACTTATGTTTCCAATAATGTTGGTTTATATTGTATGGTAATGGGATAACCCTGTTTTAGAGTTCCGCTGTCTTGTAATCTTTTTACCAGTGACGCAAGTCATGGGCCATATAGGCTCTATTCGAGTTTTTAAAACTTGTCTCGAATCTCACGGGCTTTTGCCTATAATAATGGGCTTGTTTATTAGTAGTAAATACTGGGTGATTGCTTACCCTACGCTCCAGGTCCCAACATAACGACACGGCTTAACGTTCACGAGCACATCCAATAAAGAAGCGTAACTCTGCTTTAGTACGCAATTACTCTGCTGGCAATACATTAGCGCTTATTCCCCCTCACAGGATCAAAGCTTTTAACATATACCTACATAAGTACTTGATCTGCCCTTTTCCTTGTGGTTTGCTGCCGGGATATTACAGGTTTGGTGGTGGTAAGTACCTAGTGAAGTGATTGGCTGGAAATGTCCATTGGATAATTTGAGCCAATCAAGTCTTATAGACCCCACCACTGTTGGTATTCCCCTGCTCGCAGCGTCCGTAACCTACTCAGGCCCAGTAGAATATTTTCAAGGTAGATAGAATGCCTATCTTACAAGAAATGGTTTGAACCAAGACTTAGAATTTCCAGTAGCCGGTTTCGCTTACACAGTGGCCTAAGCTATAGGCGTTGTATCCAGAGTCCTCACCCTAGCGGTGTTCGCTCACAAATTCGTCGTCAAGGTTCAGGAGGTAATAGACAGCTTTCGCTCATATTCTCGCCTGATTCGGGACACGCTTGTGGTGGTGGTGGTGGTAAGGGGCTGTCGAAAAAGCTTCTCGGGGTGTTCTCTCAAGCGCCTCGCTTTAGCATTGAAGTAAAGATTTCGGCTCTTCAGACAACCCTGGAACAGTGCAGACGTTCAGGTAATATATTTGAACAAGGGCTAATTACATATGTTTCGCGGTTAAACCAAGATTGTAATAGCTCCCGGGACTGGGCCAACTTGGCTTAAAGAGGTGGCGATGGTATTAAGGGATTTAGGCAATAGCTTATCGGTTATAAATCTAATATCAGTGTTTCTCTGAGTTTTGCAAATATGTAAATCTTGGCCTGCAAACTCTTACCGTACAACTTTGACTTACTATGCCTTATATAGCCGGACTTCTACTATCACCGTAGAAGCTGTACAGTTTTGTCGAAGCTTAATCGAAACGATGACTATTGATCTGGAGGCTTAGCTCGCGGATGTAAAGAAAAGCTAGAGATTCTGACAAGTCGCTCAGCGGCGAGCACTGAGTTGAAAAAAGCAATTGTTTAGAGCGTTGAAAGCGAGCGTTTCAGTATTGAGAAAGGTCTTTAGCTTTGCTTAGCGCTTGCTCAATATATTGACGAAGTTTAGCGTCAATATGCCACTAAAGAACAGCAATCATCACGACTCCTCTAAACACATCTAATGTCTAAAATGATTGTTGCCGAAGGACTGAACACTTATAAGGGGTATCTTGAATTTTCTCTTAAACGACTAAAGAAACACCAGTAGGAGGTTTCTGACTGATTAAGTGCTGATGTCTTGGCCGGCGAGTCATCTCATAGAAAATTGCTACTCGACAGTCTGGCTACTGAGGCCGATATACTGTGACGCTGCATTGACTTTTCTCAGATGTCGATATGTATCTAGAAGAGAAAATAAGCAATATCTAGAACTATCCCGAGGGTGATAATACGATACAGTTCATGGTTTCGACAGACAGGCGACCAGTTAATGGTAAAAACCGCGGTATAGGTTTAAGACTGAAGCAAGCGGCCAGTTATTTAGACGATATATTACTGCAGCACATTTCCCAAGACTTCAAAGCAATCAGCTTCTATCATTCCAAAGTCACTGCCGGTTCCAGAGCCAGCCCTGCACCAGAAACAAATACAAAGCCTTCCACAGGGCCAACTGAGGAACGCTCCACTGGTCGGGGTTTCACGCTTGATAAAAAATCTGGCCTCTGTCTAAGTTCTGCGGCAATTTGATGCAGGTGATTTTATGTGATGGAGGATGTGGGTGGTTCTCGGCTACAGTGAAACATCACCGGCCTACAGTTGCGTCGCAGACAAGAGAGGCAGAGTATTCTACAATGAAGCCGATCGAGTTTAGTATGATCTTGATCTTTCAAAACCCTGCAGCTGTTGCGATTCTACAACCGAGGGTTACAAATACCTTGCATCTCCGTCAACTATGCAGATCAAAGTCTGAATTATTATGGACACTGATTCTGACGCTACGGGTCTGGGGGGCTCATGGCATAAACCAATAGCGCTTTCCTTCTCCCAGGCCTTCCCTTACAGGCGGTCTAAAATTGAGCGCCAGTAAGCGCAAATTTCCACAATATAGATACATACCGAAGAGGTGGGCTAAGAGCAGTCAGGGCATAATAAGAGAGGCAGCGAACAGCACGGCTGAAACTAGTGGCTACATTACAGGCCTACTGTTACGACTCCTTATATTTGTGGCCAATACGCCTAGCTCAGACATTGAATAGAAACGCAACGCCAATTTCAGAAGAGAATAATCCTCTTAAAGTCCGTTCCGTTTACTCAAAACGACCTGCCGCAACAATTTCAGCATTTCAAGCTAGCCAAGGTCATCATCTTGGGTAAATTGACGTGTTGGAGGACAAGAAGTCTACGCGCTGAGCACCTACCAACACGGGCAGGTGTTTTTAGGAAAACAGCGCCGGACCCAAAGAAGCAATATCCTTGCCCTATTTTAACTTGGTCTAAGATGTCGTCGGTACTTCTCCACGGCAATTTGAATGACTCTGTGTGAAGTACTTCTCAATCTAGCCAGAGCTGGGACATTTAAAGCGATTGAGAGAAATGAGCATGAAGCCATATTAAGTTTCTGGACCCACGCCTTGTTCTATGTCTTGTGTCTAATATATACTGGTTCGAGCTATGAAAGTTGAGTGCCTATAGTCATGAACACCCACATCTACTGGTGGTAATAAATAGTAAGCTCTAGCAGCCGACTCCAGCCTCAAGCCTCCACTCGGTCTACAAAAGCTGATTTCCTCTCGACGCCCTCTACCTCGCATCCTTGACTATCACAGATAGTCCTACTCAGCATATCTTGGTCAGGTGCTTGAGTCGAATCCCATGAGTTGAGCTGTCTAATCGGATTCCGAAATGTAGGGAACCCCCATCGACTTAGGGCTGACTCTACAGGGGCCTTAAGCAGTGGAGCAGAAGCTGCTATCAGTATTACGCACTCCTCCATTCGAGACCAGAGAAACAGCGGCATGCTAGCTCTGAAGGTATCTAGGGAATCAATATCAAATGTCTTTATGTAAACGACTTTCAACACCGTAATGATAGTGGCAAAGAGACTGAGTGCCATCAAGACAGACACGAGGCAGCGCTCTATAGCACTTCTACTCAGTTTCCAGATGAGAAACATAGGAAGAATAGCCAACACCAAGTCACTGGCCATGCTAGCTCCTTGAATAAGTCAATATATGGAACTTGAGAGGGGGAAAAACAGGGAATGTTACCGACGAAAACATAGCCGATTACCCAGACTTTCTGCATAGGCATACATTCTGCATTATCGACCGGTTCCCACATGGCCCGCACCGGACGGCACTCAAGTAGCTGGAAAATCTCGCTTGCGGCAAGCGTGACTATTTGGAATCCCATAATAAACCAGAGAAGCATTTTCCATGACTTGGACATGGAGAAAGAGTGCAGCAACCATGCAATAGAAAGTCTGGCGAATGTTGACACCTAAAGCCCTGTCGTTATGACTCCAAACAAACATTTAAGGATAGAGATAGTGTTTTCAGGACTGATGTAATCATTATGACGTCCAAAGCCATTTGCAACAGCGGCTGCGAAGAGTGAATAGGTAATTATCTCTGCAACCTGACTAGTTAATTGGTGCCGATTGCACTCTGGGGTCAATGTCTTACCATGGCAATCATAATGAGGTAATCTGAACCGTTCAGTTTGCAGGCGGGGGATACACGATTGTATAACCGGAGCACGAAGACAATCAGTCCCAGAGTAAAGAAGGGGGTGATAATAGCCAAGGCGCGTGTCCCTGTCGAGTCATCGTTGGGGCTTCTTCCGATCATAGCCAACCGACGCGTCGGTCGAGTCTGCTATTGGTGACTGTAGTGTGTTGCACGTCTCGATCTTTGCGTCTGCAGCGGGCGACATGAGACAGGTGTTTTTGACATTCGGCATGTCATATGATAGCACTGTCGACATGTAACAGATCACGGAGTGCCAATACAAACAAATACAGGCTCAAGAATATTCAAGCTTGGGGGAGAGGGGTTCATACAGTATTACCAAGATTACGCACAGGATGCTGTGTCTTCACGCTAAATACGCCACCGGACGATTAAATTCCGGACCGCCTTGGCGTTAGCGGACCGTCAGGATGTCGCTGCAGTGGTTTGGGTGATGAAAACGAACCGAGCGGTCAGATATGGGCTAGTGGCGATATTCCAACAACCCAATCTCTTGTGTCATACGTTAGCTTTCAAAGATTGTATTCCAACTCAGCGGGAACTAGAAACGACGTAACACCTGCATGCAAGTAAAAGAGCATAGCGCTATTCAGTGTAAACCGCCCTATTTACTATACTGCCAGATGAGTCGCGCAAGCTTGAAACTGCATATCCTACTGCTTATCTTCCCCTTTTTTTCAAGGCTATTGAATGTGGCGCAGAGACATGGCCAGATGTCTTGTCGACATGTCATATGCGGGATACGGTTCGGTGCTGCCAAGGGATCCATCTATACGTCAGCGGCTATCGAGGCACACGACAAACACGTGTAAGCAGCGTTGATCCAGTTAGTTATAGAAGCGAAACTAAGACCTTGTCGGGAAGACTGCATAAAGGTGCCAAGTGTAAAATATATGTTATTAGGCGTTAAATACGATTTCCTATCGTAACAATGAGAACTTTTCCTATGTTTTTATTATATTATAGATTTGTATAGGATTTTCCATTTATTAGGCTCCGGGGTTAAGTTCACCCTAAAAATTCCTTAGGTTGACGGGTTTAACGTCAAGTACGGTTGAAATTTATTGACAGTTCGATAGAGTTCTGCCACTTGCTCAAACTTGCCGAGTTGCCATCGAGAAGGTGTCCTTTCCTTTTTAGGTTAAGAAGCTATACTAAAACGGGAGTAAAAGTTAAATTAATATCTACCGCCCCCTGCTTCAGGGGAAATTACGCTGAGCCCTTATCTCACACTATTACTCCGTACAAGGCTTTACATTCCAGCGCGTTGTTAATATAGCAAGAACGGGAATAACCTAGTATAATATGGTGATTCTTCCGTCTAAGATTTAAAGTCGCGTAGAAAATAAGCTAAGTGATTGTGGCTATTTTTAAATAGCTACGTGTGAGTAAGAATTATTATAATAACGACGGTGACTGGAGGAAGTTATAGTTTAGTTTATATCTTATTAAATAAAGACTAGAAGCAGTTTACTATATAAGACTGTATAAAGCTGGGAAGTTTCAGTATAGGGTAGCAACAACAGGTTAGCAAGGATGTCAGTTCGGAAGAGTGCCGTGCCATCTGGGACGCCTCACGGCCAAGAAGTGAGAGCCCAAGACAGCAATCGAGACCTGCAGAAGATAGTGGGCATGAAGTAGAACAGCAAAAAGATAATAATAAGACTCGACCGTCGGGCCCCTTCTGCGTAGGATTAGATGCGGATAGCGGTTCGATGATTACTCGTAACATCTGGATAAAACGGTCGAGGAACCGAAATGGGGCAGGTCACGAAAGTGAAATCCAGATAAGAGTAGTCAAGAGATGTTCGGCGCGCCTGGTACTGCTGGGTTCAAGCGGACTAGGCTAGGAAACAGCAACTAACCATAATGACACCACATCTATACATCTAGGATTGGGCGATGAATCAAAACACTTTAATCGTCCAGGCTGATTGAAATATAGCACATGAATGTTATTACTCGTAGCCCAATCAAATAAACTAAGAGCAGTAGGACCATGTCGGGCGGTTTGGTACAAGCTGTGTCATGCTCAACCTGGAGTTGATTTTATCATCACCTTGAATTCATATCAGAGATTATCTACATTGCCGCCGAATTTCATCTATAAATAGGTTAACAAAAGAGGGAAATCTCTACTGCGGATTCTTTAAGCTTTTAACGTCATTGGATTCATTACTTTCCATTGCTGGACGAGGAATGAATTGACAAACTCTGGAACTATACAAACGAACGGCTTTAATGTGAACTACTGGTGGCCTGAGAATGCGTATTAAAACGTTAGAGGACGTGGTGGATGAATAAAGTAAATTCTTTAAAAGCTAGCCGAACAAAATATATAGAAGTGCTAGTAGGGATAAGCTATTAATTTCTTCATCTAAGAACATAATACCGCCTCTCTTGCTCTTCCGCACTGCCTAGAACTTCCAATACTTTCTCGCCTATATTTCTAACCCAGATTGAGAATATCAACACAGGTTAGGTTTAATAGTATTGTATATCGTAAAACTTGACATACATTAGGGACACAGATGTCAGTATCGCCATCCTCGACGTCAGAACCTTCCGTAGCCATATCAGAATCTTCTTTATGGCTACATACTCAAGTTTGCTTGATCGATATGTTTAATCCAGTACGCAATTAGTAACTAAGGAGCCTGCATGGCGTCGAGTTTAAAGATAAACCTGCGTTCTTCTGGGCCGTCATCATTGGAGTACCATGATATCTTGTACTACGCTTTCCTCGGAACCAAAGACATGAGGTAAAGAGCACAGATCAAGGTAAAGAGCACAGATCAAGGTAAAGTAACTAGGTATAGTTCAAAATTCGAACAATATGTCGATAAGTTAATATACAAACAATTAATGCAAGACTGTCTAAAGAATAATCGTCGAGTTCAAATAAGCATATAGACATTTACCAGAAGAGACAACAGTTTATGCCTGCAAAATTAGACCGGGTCAGTCTTACCAATTCGTAGCTTAAATTACCTCATTGCCCAAAAGATCCAACCTTCCGATTTTAACATCTCAATGAAACCTTTCCAGGCTTAAAGAAATGTACGCGTTATAACCCACTGATAATCCAGTACTTGAAGTAGTATGGTAAGATATGAGGTGATGGTAGTGGGTTGGTTTTGTCTTTACTAGCCTTACCTGTAAAAGAAAATTTGTTAAGTGTTGGAGATATCTAAGTGGAAATATTTCCTCCTGCGGTAATATAGTGGCTATAAGACTATTTACAGTTAAACTTCGTTATAAGTTAAACTATTTTAATAACTAGACACTTGTTAAAATATAAATCTTCTTATACTAAATAATACCCTGATTTTCATAGCTAAAGACTGACTCATTTAATGCTAAAAGTAATTTTTAGCCTGGAAACTCATGTCAAAGGTTCCAGAGCTCCTCGTCTACTAATCTTGACTTCACCAATGTGCCTCACGATTGCCTCCGTAGATGCCCGCGTCCTACTGTCGATCCAATTCCCATGGACCTGAGCCTTAAGATGCATGGGAAGCTGTATCAAAGCAACAGGCTTCTCAAACTCTTTGGTGTCAAGAACGACAAGTTCACTCCGATTAGCAACACGTCGCTCAAGCATAGCGATGATCCATCCATCCCCCTGGGGCGCATTAATCGTACGGGGTATAAAGATTGGTTCCTGGACGAGAGAGTCTTTGCCTGCAAAGAACCATTTAGTTTCGCCAGTGCTATGACTATGCATTGCTAATCCATTGAGTCCGTGGAAGATGTTAGTCCCGCCTTGTGAAGTTTCGGGGATGAAGACGTTCAGAAATATGTATTCGATTTTCTTCGTCATAAATCGTTCATCAATTCGTGGGAACTCAGATGGTACGTCGAGGATGATCTCTGGATCTGCCACTTGGGTTCCACTTGGGGCATTGAGGTCAATCTCCCAGCGAACAAAATCAGCTTTGGCGTCTGGAGCCGGCATTCTCCCGTCATCTGGCGGGAAGAACGGAAAAGCATTGTCGTGAACCCGAGATGTCTCGAGATATAGTTTTCCATTTTCCTCCTCCCACGCACCCCCTGCATGGATATTCATACAATTCTTCCAATGGTAGACGCGGTGTTCTCCTTGCTGCCAGGAAGCTGGAACCTTGGAGGTCTTGCGACGGGGAACTACGATAAACGTAGCTGGAAGGTTGTAGTCCCAGGCCCAGTGCTGCTTGCCTGCTTTCATCCTCTCCACATTCGCTTCAAACGGCCAAAGGATGAGGATAATAAAATTAGGTGTAATGGCGCAGTCATGGATGGGAGCGCACCAGGGAGACTCAATCCATTGCTCATTATGTTTGATGCCGTCCTTGTCGAGAGAATAAATGACTATATCTCTAGTCGCTAGACCCTTGGCCTCGTACCCATAGGCAACGAGTTCATCGGAGAATGGGTCAATTTTTGGATGTGCTGTGAATGCTTTGGCCTTGACCTGTCCCTCAAAGGGGTCATAGCATAGAGTCTCGAGAGTGTCAGGGTGCATCTCGTAAGGAAGCGCAGATTCTTTAAGCGCCAATAACCGATTTGCCCAGTAGACCATATTCGTGTTGGCAGTTGAGTCTACAGCAGCCCTCACGCAGGGATGGTGCGTAAAGGGATTTCTATAAAGACCAAACAGAGCCTTGCCGGCTTTTCTTTCAAGCTTGTAGCGCTCTGTCTCCACATACTTGATCTTCATGTCGACTCGACTGTTGTGGATTCTGAAGGCAGAGACGTGACCATCGCCGTCAAGGGGCACGTTATTGGGATGAGGGGGTACGAAAGGATCGCACATTACTCGATAGAAAGTTCCATCAATGGCAGGTGGTATCTCACCAAGGACAACGAGATCACTGATTTCTCCTTCAATCCGACAGGGAGAGTTAGAGCCGGCGAGGTCGAAAGCTTGGGGCCATTGGGACTTAAGGCCATGATGTTCTTCTGGTGGAGACATGGTGACAATTGTTCTTGCGGTTTAGAGGTTTTGTGATTCATCAGTTGTAAAATAATTGCTACTCTTCAATTTCGTCTTACATTCTCGGGACGCAAGGGTGTTTATATCGCTGTAAGTCGGTCATAATATCTTCATGGCCCCACTAGCTTAGCGTCGCGATATCTTCCACCTCCGCATCCTAGACATCCTTGACTAACTTGGAATCAAGGCAAGTCATCTTGTTCAGCATGTGGGGTAGGCGGGAAAAGTCCACCGCCACAAGATTGAAAGGCCCAATGGCAATAGAGGGATTATTATTCCCCCGCATCTGTTGTTAAATAAGGTTCTGGCTAAGTACGAAACGGGATGTGATCTGTATGTGGGAAAATTCTATCGGTAGTTGCACTGCCATTCGTCCGGAAACCTCTCTAGCCAAGATCTTAACAATTCTCAGGGTACGTTAACCTCATGCACTGCGTGATGACTGGAGACTGTCCTGCGCACCATGGACACAGTGACAGCTACGTTCTGTCCTTCATTGTTTAGTTATCCTGGTTTGCAACCTACCGTCCATGCAGAATAAGAAGCTCTAGCTATGATAACATTACTCTAAGCTTCCTCTATTTCAATCGTGTTCTCCACTATAAACTGACCGATCTGCAAAGAAACAGTAAGAAAGAGGTTTAGAAAGCCATTTACAAGAGGATTACAGGTCTCTTCGTTAACCACTTCTCAGACATACAAAGTCCTTTACAGTCCGTGATGATAATTCTAGCCTTACCAGATGGCTCTCCGAACTCAGAACCTGGGCTGGTATAACCAATGTTAAGCACCACGACATTAAGAGGATACTAAGACTCTCTAATGATAAGCAAGTCGTGATTGGCGGCACTGACGTTTTTGTCAATGGCATTCACAACATGAACATTTAGTAGGTTGAGTAACTAAGGTAGTCATCACGCCATCGCGGCCTCTCGCACAAGCTGTGATACCACGCTTTGAGAGCCTCGGCCGTCTTCTTATCCTTCACAATATACTCGACTCGACGGCGAGTCCTTTCATTGTCTTCAATACCAAGCAGCTTGAGACTCTGGACATAGTCGGGTGCGTCTTCTGGCTGAAGTGGCTGGTGGTAACCACCAAGAAAGGCCTTGTATGCCTTCAATTTAGTCTAGCCGTCTGCTACCAAATCCTCCTCCGCCGGGACCCCTACGAGAAGGGCGTTGAAGTTTCGGACGCGTCGGTGGTACCAACCAGGCTTAGACGCGACCTTGTTTCTCTACTCCTCCGGCTCCGTTTTCTTTTGCCCTCCCACTCTTACAGCCGTTAGTGTTCTTTAAAAAACGTACGGTTCCTTTGCGGGGTTGATTAACTGACTAGTCCTGGCTTAATGGATGGAGTGACGACAGGTAGCTAAGAGAGTTCATCAACTAGTGTGCTTATAATGTAGAACAGGGAAAGAGGTATAAGAGAAAAAGCTCGCTTTTATTTGTATGGCTATATAAATTATATATATATTTACCTAATTCATGTTTAATTACTATGTATAACCTCTAGAAATCCTTCAACTTTGCGGTAAAGGCATATGGAGTTTAATAAGCTATCTTGCGGAGTTTTATGTATAAGTTTAAGCTGACTTTAAACTTTCGCTTATCCTACACATAGTCCGACGGCAACGGTATCAGCGCTTAACAACCTAAGGGGCCTCATTTATATCATGCTCCAGGGAGTAACTACTATTAGCGTTTTGTTTAAAGTGACTGCCGAGGTAATCTAATGGCAGTAATAATTATACTAAAGATAGACATCGGGCTATAGGACCTGTGTAATAATAGAAGAGGGGAGTCTTTAAGTCACAGTTATATTCCATGCAGGCAACATTTACTTATATTTATTAAAATATATATAAGCTTAAAGAAAGCAGTAAATAATGCATCGGATCAATTGTAGTGTTTTAGATATTCGGTTATCTTCAAAAGTCCCGTTATCCCGCAAGAGACCAATCACGATAAAGCTGTTTGACTTCCCCGCGTCTTTCTCCAAATAAGGTTCTGACTAAGCACAAAACGAATCATGATCTCTATGTAGGATAGTCATATGGACAGTTGTCCAATTTAATTTTGTGCAATTCGACCGAAAGCATGCTTAGCCAAGATCTTGATAGCTCAACGGGCACTTTCTGCACGTAGGTGAGCCTACGAGACGTGAAGGTTTGTCTGCCGCTATCTATCTTACTTCCAAGCAATGAGTTTTGCGATAGATCCATCTCAAGTGCAGCTGTCGGATCCATCACCCCGCCGTGCTGGTATGTGCTACATTCCAGATCCTCTTCTACTTTCTCCGTCCCTATCTCTACATCTCTGACGAATTTCCGCAGTTTTAGATCCACCTTCTGTCTGCCCCTTTTGCCAAAGAAGATTCACTCGCAGGTATGTATTTCTATCTGAGCCACCGGCATGCTTACTCACATTGCTCCTCAGAGATGCCCTCAAACGGCACTTGGCGATTTGCAAAGTGCGCCTCGACACGGGGGCAGATATGCCACTTCTGCCTGCTCGTCAACCAAGACGTAAGAAACCAAGGGCCTGCAATCGCTGTGTCCGGTTGAAGCGCGCTTGCGATCGCAGTGTTCCTTGCAGTACATGCATTATGCGGAACTACGAATGCTCTTACGAGCAGGCAACCTGTTCCAAGACATCAGTGGTTTCACAAGATTCGTCACAAGCAGAGACGAATGGTGTATCCCAACAGAAGATATTCGATGGTTTTGTTGAAGAAGCTGACGCAATGCCTGTCGTCTTGGCCGGCTTCATTGACCACTCACTGGAGTGGCCTCATTGCGATTCCCTACCATTCCCGCTCTTCGACGTCGATATCCGAAATTATATCCGCGGAAGTGACCTACATTGTCGACCTTGGTTTGGTCAGGCTACTTCACGAGAAAACTTGGCTCTACCGTTTTTGAAACGATTTACTGAGTCGTCTGGCATTGCCGATGGCTTCGACTGCGGCACCTTAACTCAAAGGCTTCAGTTGAACGAAGCCTCCAACGATCCATTATGTCAAGATTTGGCCGCTAAAACATGCGAGATCGTGGGAATGGTGAAGGGAGCTCTGACTCGAACACGGTTATATTCCAATGCTAGCATAGAATGGTCTCCGGTCGTGGAAAGAGCTTGTTTCGACTTCTTTTCGCCATGCAATCTCCACAGGTTCTTGCGTCTCTTCTGGTATGGCTGGTATCCTAACAGTCCGATCATCTACAAACCAAGTTTTAATCCCGAAGCTGAACCGTGTGGAATGTTAGCATCGATGGCCGTTTTAGGGGCGTGCTTATCTCCAGACTCGAACGACTGTGTACGTGTGATGGCGTGGCTTACTCCCGTGGAAGAAGCAGTTTTTGCCAATGATATCATGTATGATGACTTTATAGTTGCGTCACCAAATTTGGTTGGTGACGAGACGATAATATGGGATAAGCTAAAGGCGTTGTATGCTGCCTATTTTATATGTATCGCGCAGAACTGGGAGGGATCTAAAGAGGGAAGACAGCGTGTTCGAAACGATCGGTACAGTCGCATTGTCTCGGTACGTCTCGTCACTTGGATATTTGGGTGTTTCGCTAATCGTGTTTGGTAGATTGCTAGATCCTTTGGTCTCTACAATCTGAGCTTGGAGAAGTTGGATATTACGCTCTCTACTCAACAAAACTGGGCCAAGTTCATCCTTCTTGAAAGCATGATTCGGTATGTTTGCTTCGACTCTCATCTTGAACCTTCTTTGACGATTGGTTAGTACTGCTACTTATATCTACCTTCTTGACTCCGCACTCGTTCTCTACTACAGACTGCCACCAAGGGTTATATCACTTGAACTCAACACCGGACTGGTATCTCCTGAGGCTTGTTTCCAGGCAGAGTCAGCGGCGGAATGCTTCCTACAACTCCATATGGCTACCAAAAGAAGACCGAACCAATCTCGACTGACAGTATCGTCTGCTGTTAGAATTTTATGCTCACCTCATAGCATAGACTTGGATATGTTCGAGAGTTTCAACTCCTTCAACATGTTTACAATGGTTTCGGGTAGGCTTAACGTTCTCCTCTCTTTCACTTCTGACGATGATACAGCTCTCTGTTGTCTAGTGTTCCAGTACCAGACCACTCTGGTTGATGGATCACAAGTAACGCCAGCAGCCACTGGCTTGAGTAGGTGGATGTGGCTGTGGCAGCGAGGTGGCCATGTTGTGGTCAATTCCGATGGCCACTCGATTGAAAGTATGTGGAAGCGTGTCGGTTTCATGCAGCATGCTAATGAGTATTATCATCTTGCTCGGGCAATGCTTGAGAGATGGAAGCTTACCGAGAGACAACTTGGCGATACTTTGGCCACCTGGACAGCGCCACTTGAGTCCGTCCAGGGTAACCCAAAGTATGATGATGGGGAAATGGTCCAGGTCAAGGCTCTCATTCACGATATGGAAAATATGACCTATTAATTGAGTTGTTGTATTTACAGCCCTGGGTTTGTTATTTGCTGCGGAGATGTTGTTGTCTTTGTAGAGCCCAGAACGAAATCTCTCCATCCTTTTCGACACACTAAACCCAGTTCCCCTTTATCGTGTTTTCTAATGGCAAAGGGACTAAATCATACTTTTATTTCCTCTCTTTTATAATTTACCATTCTTCAGTACTTGTTTTTGCTTACAGTTAATAAGTTCTTTATGTAATTTATACGTTTCGGACATAAACTTTACGTATGCACAATAAGTTTCTATACAGCTTGTAAGTACTGATTTGTCTTTTACCACGAGATCCACTCCAATTATATCGCGTGCTGATCTGGATTAATCCATGTAGGATCTGCAAGGTCAAATGTGACGAGGCGAGACTAGGCTACAAATCGTACGATGGTGACATTTATTGCGAGAGCCGCATTATGAAACCTGCCGCATTTTAAACCTTATCTATCATATCGCGGCGGCAGAGCCTTATTAGGTCTAGCAGTGTGGATCTTAAAACATTACATTTGGGTGAGGAGGAGCTGGCATATGCCCCACCTCTCATTGAAAAATACAAACGCCTAAACGGAGCTATGGTCTTTAATTTAGCGGGCACATTAACCTACAGGGGCAGTTCTTCAGCCCGCCACCGAGTGATATCTAGTATCACGGAAATGGCTCACATACTGAGCCAGGCTGGGAATCTTAGACAGGCAGCCCGTCGACTAGATCTCTATTCATTACACACTTTAGCGTGCGCTGTAACTTTGTGAATTCGGCAGAGCAGAAGCAGTGTGGTGCATCAAATGAGTAACGGCAGCGTTCCAGTTCACAGGGAAATTTGGTTATGTTTAAAAGGGCAGTATATTGATCGACTTATAGAGAAGATACTTGTTCCCATTAAATAATAGCACTATTTTGTTTACTTGTCATAAAGTAACTGAAATTGGGAAATAATGCTTTCCTAGCTTGCTTAACTAGGTGATTACTCCGAGTACATTCTCCGCGTTGTAGGTATACAGCCACTTTGCACCGGCTTCAGCACCCATGAGTTTGAAAGCAGCCCAAATGATCCATTCTTTAGCAGCCTGCTCGTATGCGTGCGGGCTACTCTTGCGTAAAGTTCCATTCTTGGAAGTAAAATCTAAAACTTTGACGATGCGATCCTGGCGGTGTCGCTGCCACTTTTCGAGGGTGTCACCTGCAAACAACTCATGGCTACCTTCGGGATGAGCGAGGTGCACGTCGCGTAGGCGTTCCAGCACGTAAGAGAGCGTTTCAGCATCCTCGAAGGCCATGGCCGCACCCTGGCCGCCAGTTGGCGGAATCGCGTGTGCTGCATCGCCGATAACAACCACTCGCTGGGCAGCGGACTTCCAGTTTTGAAGTGTCGGAACCGAGAAAAATCTGCGCACAGGTCAGTTTTTGACCACCTGACAGAGGTATGATTCTTGTGAAAATACGTACGGCCAGCTCGTCAATGTATCGTTCGGGGTTTTGTCACAAAGCTCTTGGACTAGAGCTGGCCAGCGTGAGCTGGAGGAGGCAAAGCGATCCGTGAGCCATTGATGAAGTTCAGCCTTGTTTTGGAATAGCTGAGACCACTCCTCCTGGATACGGTCTTCTGCTTCAATAGTAGCAAAATACCCGATTTTCTTACCATCGAAGCTGGATGGCATGATGGCGAAAGAGCCGTTAGCGCCAAACATCATTGAAGGAAGAGGCGGAGGCGATGTAGCATGCATTGAGGTGAGATCTGTATCCGTCACCGATCCCATGATACCCATGAGGCCACTGTATTCTGGCCGAACAATCTCGATATGATCTCTTACTTTTGAGTGAATACCATCGCATCCAACCACGAACCCGGCGGTGACTTCTTCTCCGTCCTCGAACACGGCAGTCGCATTTTCATTTGTTTCTGATAAAATCCTCTTGAACTTCTTCTCGTAATGAATAGGAATACCGCGCTGTTCACAGGCAGCCAAGAGTTCGTCATGCACAACGGATCGTTTGATCCGGAGAGCACTAAAGTTATAATGCTTTTGGCTTCCATTTAGGAACTTTCCGAGTATATTCCCAGAACCATTCTCGAACGAGATCTCTTCATAGTTGAAGCCTTGGGTACGCAGACGACCATATACGCCGACGTGGTCCAACACTCGAGCGGCGTTGGGGGCTATGGCAATATTACCCCCTGACCTGTAGCTCTGGGGTCGCAGCTCATAGATGGCACTGTTGATATTGTGTTTATGTAAGGCCAACGCTAGAACCGGTCCCTTAGAGTCGTCAATGATCAATGTCTTATGTAGTATGCGGTTGAAGATACTTACTGCGAGCCCACCACCAATAATGATTACTTGCGGCATTGAGAAAAGCGAGACTTTGCGTTTACAAGCTTGAACGGTTGAAGAGAGATAAATTTTCTGAGGGGTGTGTATGAACTAGGGGGTCACAGGCTAATGTAAGGTATAAGTAGCCGCCGTGAAATCCCACGGGGATTTCATTCAAGCTTTAAGCAGGTTGCTTTGGGCTCTACAATTGCAGTATTGCATCCGACCCAATAAGCGCTAGTGAGAAGATAACGAACTATTGGCTACAGTAGATAGAGAAGATGTACCTGTGCTGATGATGCAGGCCGGTTGAGCCGGTTATTTTATTACAGTTGGCGCTTGCGACTCGGTGAGGGTTGGTCAGAAGACGTCAACCCCTCTCGATCTATGATGGTAGCTAATCCTTCCTTGCTACAATTCTTATAAATACATGTAAATTTAAAGCAGGTAAATCAAAGCGTGTTTCTGTGCTGTTAATTTATTTGGATGTTTAATTTCTCGTGCGATATTATTCATAATACGATATTCTATATTTATGCTCCGTCATCTGGCACTGAGTAGCATACCTAAAGCCGATCTCGAAGAACCGTAATGGCTTGTTCCGAATGCTTTCAAGGTCATATACATGATGGAAAGTGGACAGGAAAAGTGCGCAACATCTTTGGGCGACAAACCTACGTCGCTACTCCGCTAGACGATGTGCCGATCAAGGGTATCGTCGTAATCGTGCCTGGCGCATATGGGTGGGAGTTTGTTAACAACAGGCTACTTGCCGACCATTATGCATCACGTGGCCACTTTCTGGTTTATCTTCCTGACTTTATGGACGGTAGACCAGCTCCCCTTTGGCTTCTTGTGTGTTGTGACTCGCATATCCCTTGAGTATTTACTGCGGCTAACTCATTCGTACAGGATGTCATGGCTCGATTCGGAGATGCCAATTCAATCTGGGACTTGATATGGAAACCGTTGGTAGTTCTAAGTTATGAAGTTATGAGATCCATCTATACTAATTGTCTACAGATGGTATACAGCACAACTCGTGTACGGGGTTGTCCCATTCTTCATGTACAACAGTTCTGGTCGCGCCTGGCCAAGGATACGGTCTTTTTTCGAGGCTGTTAGATTACACGAAGGATCTGAACGACGCATAGGAGCCGCAGGATTTTGCTGGGGAGGTAGGCCAGTAATGACTCTTGCGCGCTCGGACGTCGACACCGCGAATAGTAAGCCACTCGTTGACGCAGTCTTCGCAGGCCACCCCAGTGGTTTGTCTCTACCTGGCGATGCGGAAAATGTCACCAAACCAATCTCCGTTGCCATTGGAGATAAAGACCAAGTGACGCCCATGTCACAAGTTAACGTGATGAGGAGTGTCTGGCAGGGCTTGGAAGATGTTCCAATTGAGTTGGTTGTGTATCCTGGGGCTGGCCACGGATTTTGCGTCCGTGTAGATTCTAACAACAAGAACCAATTTCAACAAAGCGAAGAGGCCGAAGAACAAGCGTTGAGATGGTTTGGAAAATATCTTGGCTAGCGGACATCGCTGACAGGTGAAGCCAACCTGCCAGTGTATGAGATAATCTCGAAAATCTGAAGAATGCTTGGAGGCAAGACGATCGAAGCGCACCTGGCATATCGCTATCATTCTCGATTCTATACCTATATATCAAACTATTCAGTCTTATATAGTCATTATCACCATGATTTCTGGCCATTGACAAGTTCGTCGTTGCTAAAAGTCTGGATTTTTCGTAAGAAAAATAGCCGTATGAATGCCGATGGAGGTCGGCAACACGGCTGCGCGACCCGAAGTGTGGCAAGTATCACTGGATTAACTTGAAACTCTGAACTAACTCTATCATACCTTGACAGACATCGTATTAATCCTGGAATAACCAAGATCGGCTGGCCCAGCCTGGTTCGAAAATGTCAGCCTACCGATTCACCTTCGCTCCGTCTAAAAACAAATCCTTCACCCTCTGGTCATTTTCTTAGGCTGGGTTTCAGTCCAATTACCTTGTGGGAACTACTCACATGACGCTCCATTCGTGGACATGGTTTAGGTATCTGATTTTGAGGCCCAAACTCTATGCTTATCTCCCCTTATTTTGCGCCAGGCCTAGAAAGGCTTTGCCGCCGACACTAGGAGCCTTTTTAGATCTAGAGTGGTGTACCCACCTGTAAGCGCCAACTACCTTTAGGCATGTCATGTGATGCCTGTTAGCCGGAATTTCTAGAAAAAGGTATTATGATTAATTATTGATTGAAAAATATAATTAAAATCCTCTTTCTTTTATTTGTTTATAAGATATAATTCAAGTCCCCTTTTTATTCTATATCAATTCTATATTTCTGTATCTCTCCAAAGACTTTTTATCAACTCATTAGTAGTCTAACGGAAGAGCTACGCATATTCAAGTTCTCTCACATTATAACATAGAGCGCCTAGGATTCAAGGCATTATACTCACCACATGAAATTGCACTAGACAAAGACTAATCCTTTTAGAATGATTAGCTGTAGGGTCACCACCTGATTACCTTGACGGTATACTAGCGAGGCATTCGTAAACCTGTGTGGCTAAAACAACGGAATTAATATATGAGATCTAATAGGTGACTAACAAACCACAATTCATATGTGGTCGATCTGAATCATACCCTCCTCCACCATCTACTTGCATTGAGAATATCTGACAGCGACGCGTAATGTTGTGTTATCACTCACTCTACGTTGATATGCAGGCCGGAAGGGAGATGGGCACGCATAATCCAGCCATCATTCGCTCTCACAGTTCGTGGGCACTGGTATGAATGAGACACAGGCAATCATCCCCCCTCCTAGACAAGGTTTGAAGAAGAGGGGCCGCCACCCGATGTTCAGGATGGTCATACGGAGTACATAGTACTCCATTCTGGTACGTTACTCCCAACATCCCTCACCGTGATTGAGCTAGCTTAACGAGTGCTTCATTGTGCTTGACGTCAGCCGCCACTAGGAAAGAAATCAGGAACTGGCATCCTTAGAAGAACTTGGCATATTCTCAGTAGGTTTTTCTTTTTTAGCTCATTGCATGAACTTAGCTTGATATCAAGAGGCTTTAATCTTGGAGGTCACTTTGAACCCAACAGGCTGTTGATATTGGAGGCTCTATGGGGCTCATACTGTACAAGCAATCTACGTATAAGAAGGGCGTCGTGTACACCAAAACGATCACCCGAAGGAGAGCATCATGCCAATCTCGGTTTATTCAGCACTTCTCGTATCAATCCACACACATAAACTCTCTCATCACATAGGCACTCGGGTGTAGTTCTTCTGGCTGGAGACCGCAACTTAGCATCTGACACCATGGCCAACATCCCCTCAACTGTTAATGTCGCAGAGTATCTGTTTATTCGTCTGCGACAGCTCGGTTGTTTGTCTCTACATGGCCTCCCTGGCGACTTCAACCTTCTCGCCCTTGACTTTGCTCGTCCTTCTGGACTCACTTGGGTCGGGTCATGTAATGAATTGAATGCAGGGTATGCTGCCGACGGATATGCACGCATTCGCGGACTGGGTGCTATTCTTACGACATTCGGCGTTGGTGAGCTTTCTGCCCTCAATGCAATTGCAGGATCGTATGCAGAGCTTGCTCCTGTTGTTCACATTGTTGGTCAGCCCAGCCGAGAGACACAGAATAGTGGTGCCTTGGTTCATCACACCGTAAGACCCCTCCCGCGATTGTATTAGGAAAGGAGTGCAAAGAAGGATGTATTCCAAATTGAAACAAATCAAACAGAGAGTTAACCGCGTAGCTTTGACCAGCTCGGAAATGGAGACTTCAAAACCTTCTCCAAGATATACGAGACCGTCACCATCGCCCATACCAACCTAGTTGACCCTACCGCAGCACCATCCCAAATCGATCATGTCTTACAGGCATGCATTGTCGGCTCGAGACCAGTCTACATCGGTCTACCCACAGACATGGTGACTCAGCCCGTGGACGCCGAACTACTTCAGACACCGATTGATGTAAACTATCACAAGAGTGAGCCTGAGGCTGAAACAATGGCCCTTGAAATCATTCTCAACAGACTATACAAGGCAAATCGGCCGGTCCTGCTCATAGATGGAGCTGTCGAACGCCGTAGGGTACGTTACTACCAACTATCGAACAAATGGTATAGAATCTGATACTACCATAGCTGATCGAAGACACGAGCCAGCTGATTAGACGCCTCGAAATTCCCGTGTTCGTGGCACCAATGGGAAAGGGCTCTGTCGATGAGAATTTGCCCAATTTTGTTGGCGTCTACTCTGGGGATGGCTCTCGTCATGATATCCAAAAAGCATTTGAGTCAAGCGATATGATCCTCACCATAGGTAATATCAAATCGGATCTCAACACGTCAGGTTTCACGTATCAGTTTTCAAAGTTTAGCACAATCGACATTCATTATGACCATGTCGATGTAGGCTACGCTCACTTTGGTCAAGTCTTTGTTAGATCGATGCTACCTCGGCTGGTCGCAGCTGTTGACCCCATGCAATTAAGCCGCTCAGCTAAGATCATGCCGACTATCAAAGCTGCCCCGCTGGTTACTCCCAAGGACGACGTAATTTCGCATGCTTGGTTCTGGCCGAGGATGTCGCACTTCTTGCAAGAAGGGGATCTCGTTGTCGCTGAGACTGGAACTTCTTACATAGGCGGCTGGGAGCTCAAGTTACCGAAAGGGGCACGCATCATCAACCAGATGCTCTGGTCTAGCATTGGATATGGCGTCGGCTCTACGCAAGGTGTCGCCTTAGCAGTGAAGGATGGCGCTACGGGACAGCGAACCATCTCATTTGAGGGCGATGGTAAGTCCAAGTATCTGAACTGCATCAAATGGAAGAAGACACAGTCTAATCAATCCCAGGGTCTTTTCAATTAACGGCACAGGAGCTTGCAACCATTATTCATCACAAACTGGACGTGACCATGTTTTTGATCGAGAATGGTGGATACACAATAGTTAGTCGACCTCCGAATTAGTTGTCAGAGTCTTGCCTTGCTAATTGTTACAAGGAGCGTTTTGTCCATGGTCTTGAGGCTCATTATAACGACATTCCCCAGTGGCAGTATTCCAAGCTCCCTGGCATTTTGGCCCCCGCTGGTCAAGAGGCTCAGATCCAAACATGGAAGATATCTTCACGTCGAGAACTTGATGCTCTCTTGAGGGACGAGGCATTTGCTTCCGGGAGGGGACTGCAGGCAAGTCATTTCATCTGCCAACAGTGCTTATCGGGCACTACTGATGCGTATCTAGTTTGTTGAGGTACACATGCCGAAGTTGGATGCCCCTCAGGTCCTGATTGATTTTGGGAAAGGAGCTGGTGCGCGCGTTGGTTGAGCGAGAGCGATACTGAGAAGGTAACCTAGCAATGGATCATCAAATGAATAAAATGTATGTAGAGCGATGAATGGAGGTACTCTAACAGTAGCTGTTTCTCTGTATATACAGGATTCAATTTAGGCCATACTCTTTTTCTAACCACACCTTAGCTCGATACGCAAACTCTTTATGCTCATTTGAAATATGTTTGCCCTGTTCTAATATCCAGCAAGCTGCACAAGCAAAATACTGATTGATCCTACTACCTCTCGAAGGTATTTGAAAAGACGAATCTCTTACAACAGCCTCCAGCATAGGAGGGATTGATTCCATAATACTATCCGCAGATTCGTTGATCAAGTGCTGCTGTCTCGGTACTTGACCGGCAAGAGCCGGATCATTCGTAAGATCCATCATAACTCCAAGTGTGTCTAGGAGCATTTGTCGGAGCGCCAGTTGGCCGTGGTGGAGGAAGTTCATCTTGTGCGCGGCCCATGGATCACTATAAAAGCGAATTTGTGAGATGAAAGGTAATTGTGCGGTTTCAAAAATCTTTGGGAGCTGTCCCTGTTCCACGAGTGATTGATAGCGTGGCTGCCAAATTTCTGGAAGATCCTCTGACAAACAGTCCAGTTCAGCTAGAAGGCACTCTATCTGCCTATAATTACCAAGCAGCAGTTCTAGGTAATCTGAGACACAACTCCAGTCTGCCTTGAACAGCTCCTGGGACGTGTGAAGTGATCCTTGAGCCTGCAATAAAATCAAGGCCAGTCTGACAATCGGCACAGTAGTATTGAGTTGAATACCGCAAGCGAGCTGCACTGGCAATGGTTCATGGCAAAGTGCGAGTTGACGGGATTGTAGTCGGTGGTGTGCCATTCGATATAAAGACCATCCTTTCGCGGACAAGACTTGCTGTGTTCCTCTTGCAGTTAGAAGATGTTCGATTGCTGTACTATGAGGCCCCAGAGGTTCTTGACAGGGCATGAAGGTGGACTAGGTAAACTATTAGCACCATGATTTGATATCAGCTTAAATTTTGTCTTGTTATCCTTGACTTACCTCAAACATATCAATGATCAGAAGAGTCATCAGCATGCTATCGTCCACTCCAAAGCTGCCAGATACTACGGCTTTTCTTATAGCTGAAAGGGCAGCTCCATACTTCGCACGAGCAAGTTGTCTCAAACTACAGCTGCTGACTTGAAAATGATGGATGTTTGCCAGGGCAAAGGCGTCTACAGCAAGGCCTAAGGCAGAGTGCGGGGAAGCACGAGCCTCCATACCAGGAAGTAATTCCAAATATCCTGGATTCTCCCCACAGCCGTGTGGGTAAGCAATCCATTCTGCGTAGAAAATATCCCTAGCTCTAGCTTCTAGCTCATGTTGAATCGGGCTGGGAACTGATTGAATAGCTCTGGCATTCAACCAAGGCGTGGCTCTCTGGCAAATCGCCATCAACTGGGTAGGAGTGAGGCAGAGTTCCTGTATGATGGCTTTAGAAGAAAGCACCTCGCTCATCTCATGGGAGGTATCGCGACGCGCCCGGATAGAGTTTACCCGCGCTACATCGTTCTGGTCTCGGAAAATAAAGCCGTTTTCGGGCGTATAGCCATTACAGGCAATCCCGCGCCTGACACAAGAGCCACACTTCGGGCGTACAAGATCACACTAAGCAAGTCTTTTAGCTTTTACGTCGGAACAGGCGTCATCGTATAAACTATGCATGCATACCTTGATTTTAGACGTTCTGCAGGGTTGACACACCCGTGAGATATTCATGTTATTCAGATTTTGTATGAACTGAGGTGGGTGGATGACAATGATGCAAACGATTCTCGCATCGGGTTTATTTAGTCTGGCTAGTCGAACTCTAAAGCATAGAAGGATGTATATATTATCACGTGCTTACTCCCTGATCAATTCGATACATCTAGGGTAAATCCCATCCGGTACAAGACACAAATAACCCTCTATAATATTCATCTTGGATTTAAGCCATACCCACCGAACGATCAATCGCTACGATGGGGTCCCGGGGCTCGCTTTCTCCTTCCCATCCCGCCCTTCCGGTATTGATTAAAACCCAATACAGCGGTAAATATAATACGGAGGACAAGAAGGAAGATCAGCCGGGACAAGAAGCACAATCCAGGTTGACCTATACAGGAGTTCAGATGTGCCCAGTTGACGGTCACCTAATCCTGATCAGTTAAAAATGACAGAAACTCTGTATAATAACAAAATGGAAGGGAGAAACGCCGTTTCTCTCAGATTACTCCCAAAATGTATGCACGACGATAGTGACAGTTTTGACAAGTGTGCTAAATTCTAAAAGGCATTTGTCATAAGCTTGCAAAATGATTGTATTGTTACAAGTGATGGATAATGTGAGGTGCATGCGACCCAAACGCCAAGCCCAAAACAGCTACTAAGCCAGTAATTGCGAAGTACCAATGATGAAATTTAATCTACCTTGCTTCTTAGGTAGATATGGAGAGTTATTCATGTCAGCTGAGCAGGGAATCAGCATATCGTACTAATAAGCCGAGGGCGATAGGTTTGTCATCGATACCGACTTCCATTGAGCCTCAAACTCAATTCTAGGTTCAAACAAAAGATCCAGAGATAACAGTCCCTCAACCTCTTATAAGCGAATTTTGCATCTATCAGGGGACGGAAGGATACATTCGTAGTCGCGGCAGTTGCGGTATGATGGCTTTCAGGCTTCCAAGACCAATCGGTTCCTATCTAACGTGTTGCTAGCGTGTGATGAACACGCCCCAATCCTTATGTGATTACTAGCGTAGGATCAAGATCCTGTTCCTCGACTAGGCACGTCCAAGCTCAACGTTTGTGTTAGCAACTTGCGCTAGACCCTAGAAAGGCTCTGCCGCCGACCCCTTTGAAGCTTTTAGAGATCTACGGCACTTGGGCACGAACTGACATACAAGAGGGGAGATTACTTTTTTGTGCTTCTTTCTGATATTCTATTCAAGATGCATCTGAAATCATAGAAAAACTCTCTCTTTTTATTGTCGCAGTTTCACCCTCACTTCTTTCATCTCATTCAATAGAGTCTTGCTTATCAAAGTTCCGACTAAAACAGTTAGTGTCTTATTTCTCTTCTCGGTCGCCTTGGGCCTGACAATTATTATAGTACCTCGTCAACTGCACGGCTCGAGCTCTTATCAATCGTCAAGCCATCTCTCCGCCTTTACAGATTGCCACAATGCTAGTCAACCCTCTCATGACTTTGAACTTTGCCACCCTGGCCGCAGCTCCATCTCACCTCAGGTCAAACCCGACTCTACCTAAAAATAGAGGTGGTAAGTCCCATCTAGCAATTACCTAAAGCAAGAACAAATTAATAAGGAAGCAATTAGGTCAAGAACTCCCTTTGCCACCTAGAGGTGTTACTCTCAAGTATATCGCTCTTGGTTTCGGCATCCAGAACTACTCTTGCACCACCGGGCAGCCTGTTTCCACCGGTGCTCTGGCTATGCTCTACGACATTACTGACCTCTACCCGAGCCATCGAAACCCCAAGAGTCTTTCAATGACTAACTTCGAGCGACTTACCGCGACTGTCCTTGAGAACTTTGAAGTCCCTCTCCATCTCGTTTCCACCGGTGGCGCAGACTCCCTTGAACCTTTCACCAAACCTGTTCCACTCGAATTTAACGGCCATTCCATCCCGTTTCTTGGTCACCATTTCTCAAATACGAACGGAATTCCAATTTTTGATCTTGGTAAACAGCGTCTCAATGCAACTTTAATTACCGCTGTGGATGCTCCGGCAAATGCCAACCCTGGCCCCGATGAAACTGGAGCCGTTCCTTGGCTATACATAGGCGATGCGGGCGAGAGTATCGGGATATCTTATGTCTACCGCGTTCTGACTGCTGGCGGTAAATCTCATGGCTGTACTAGTTCTGACAGTGATGAAGACAGCACGCCTTATGCCGCTCAATACTGGTTCTATGGATGAGTTTTCGTTTGCGTTCACGTTCTGTGTTGACTCTCTTTCTTCTTCCTACTATTGTTTCACCTTATAAACACCCTTCCCAGTATGTAGCCACAAGCCTCAATATCGAGATGATTTATAATGGAGGCCAGGGTTATGAACTCCCTCCTGCAACCCCTCTTGGGACAGTAATAGAAGGTCTCCTGGTCTACAAGGATGCATTTGTTAGGTCGAGTTTCGACGTGAGGGGTAGTGGGTAACTTACAAACAGGGGAGTTCAAATGCTGATTCAAGCAGGGATAAATGGGCGGGTTATGTTGGCGTCCCTATGATAAATGTAGATCAGCTTAGAAAGTTCGCAGAAGAGGCAGAATCTAGTATTTTATACTTATTATATGTCAGAGATCTGCAAGGGCATGCTGAAGGCCATCCTAACTAACGGCTTTCTCTCAGCACCAGGTGGCCAACTTGTTCAGGTAACTAACGAATGGGTCGGTGCCAGGGATGCCCGAATCGTTCTGTACGACACCGATGGAGTAAGAAGTCTCATGACCGCTACCTGGCTGCTCCAGCTTGGAGGGGATGTTCACTATACCCAGAGACCTGCGCAAACCCTAACCGCCCACCTAGAACATATCAAACTCAGCTTCCATCTCAATAGAAATTCTTAATCGAATGCAAGATGCTGTTATTATAGATCTCGCCCGCAGTCCAGCGTATAGGAAGGGTTATCTATGGTTCGCCTCAGGACCAGAGCTTGCCCGCGATTTGACCTCCACCCCAGGTGATGGACCTATTGTCCCCACGTTACCGAATGGTACTATTGCTGCTGCCAGCACAGAAACATTATACGAAGCCATTTTTAGTTTGCCATGAGAGGTCTTTTGTCTGAGTGGGGATACCCAGGCGTGGAAAGCAACAGGGCGCACACTCGAGACGGAACAGCGGTGGTTATCTAAGCCCATCGACGTATATAAGCGACCGTACGAGGGAACGGAAAATGCCAAGAAGGATACGCAGGTGTATATTAATTGGGAGCATGGCTTGTGGCTTAACTTGTAATATTTTTTTATCTTTAACCTTTAACTTTATTAAGCCTAGGCTTTCTAAATCTCTTAATAATATTAATAATAAAATAACCTTTCTAAGGTTAAAACTTAATATAATTAAGGCAGTAAAAGTTATATAAGGTAACTAAACTCTATCTAAGTAAATATATAGATTATATAGCTATATATATAAAAGCTAGCTTCCCCCCCCTTATACCCTTAACCTAATCTATACTATAAGCCTATTACCTAGTTAATTAACCCTTATAGCTACCTAATAGAGATTAAAATCGAGAAGTAAGATATAAGTTAAGTTATATATAGTTAGTTAATTAACCCCTAGCCCCCTACCCTTCGGTCTATATTACTAACTTCTTTATAATTACGATAATAAATACTATCTAAATATTAAGTATTTACTATAATATAAACCTCGGCCTAGATTATAATAATATCTATATAACTATTAATAGCTATTATAATAGGTAGAAACTTAACCTACTTAAGAATAAGGCTAGAGATCTTTTTACTAACCGCTTTATACCTATATTTTTTAATATTAAATAGGATAATTATAGCTTAATTAAATTAATTACCTGTAATTATAAGCTTTTAATACTTTATAGTCTAGGGTTTATTACTAACTATAATAATTAGAAATATATATTAAATAAAAGGTAGGAGGTAAAGAAATAACTTAAACCCCTAAAAAGCCTAGAAAATAGGCTTATAAAAAGGCTAGTCCTTAATATTAAGACCTCCTTTATTAAGGTATTAAAGATAAAGTATAAGGCTTAGTATAAAAGCTTAGAAAAATAGGTTAACTATATAGTTAAGGTCTTCTAGATTAATAAATAAAGAGAAGTTATATATAAGGCGTTAAGGTGGGGTAGAAATATAGAAGGTTAAAATTAGTAGGAGGAATATATATTTAAAGTTAAAGTTAAAGTCAAGGCAGTCCTTCAGGCCGAGGAATTAAATTAGATTATATAACCCTTATTAAAATCCCACTATGCCTTCTTCGTGATATAATGTATAATGGTATTAACAACATTATTAACTGGGCTAAGGTATCTATGCTGCGGAGAAGTCGAAAATATGTGGTTGAATCTTGCTTGGGACGATCGCTTCTGTTACGGTTTGGTCGATGTAAAACATCGAATCTAGTCGTTGTATCATTGTGAAGTAAAGGTTCTTGAGAAGGTATTACTTGGTCATAAATTAGATCGAGACATTTCTTGCGCCTAGTGGATTGATTAGACTTGTTCCGTGATTTTAACCTGGTCACCAACGGCTGATCAGATCTGGCGTTCCTTTGCTCATCACAGACGCCTCAAATGCCCAAGTTTCTGATGGTGTGTATTCACCTCCTCGTCAGTCAAGCAATCGTTTCTCGAGGCGCGGACATGGGTAGCAAGAAACAACTGTATCTGAGCTTATTCTGCAGGGAAGCGATAGCCTCGGCTGCCTTTGTTTCAGTCTTGGCCATGATGTTGGCTGTGCGTCAACCCAACGTACTAGAGCAGCAGACACTTCACTAGGGGGGCTGATAGGGTATCCCGGTTAGATCCTTTGAATCGAAACACAAATGTTTATTCGAGGGTGAGATTAGTATTCAATAAATGATAACGTCGGGCGAGGACGACCTGATATCAATTGGACGAGAGGTTTAATGCAAGTTTTGGAAGGATGTCGTTGATTGTTTTTGCCGTTGATCGGCTTATTTTCATTCCCTTAGGAATCGTCTCCAGAAACCTCAAGTCATCAAAACGAATGGTCTAATTTGTGAGAACTTTGATCATATGGCTATGAGGACCATGTAGCTTGCCGATGACAATGTGATCTTCTGCAAAGTTCCCAAAATCTACATTGTGATCCGGGATATCAGCCAGAGTGCGGGTGGGAAGGATGACCATTTAGATCAACTTTGGACACGAGGGGGAGTTGGATAAGTTGAAGTGCAGGCAGACATGGAAGCATGTTGTCTTTGCCGCTGGCCGAGGGTAGATATTTTATATTTCCAAAGGATTGCCTTCCGAATTGTATAATTAAAACTTCGCCACTGCAATAATCTCGTCACCGGCAAATTGAAGCTTCCCCTATCATATTTAACAACAATATAACGACTAACCCGTATTCTCTTCGTTTATCTATCTATTCTGGTGGGCCGAGTCCTGGTAGATTGTTCCGCTTTTTGCTATATAACCCATGGCGATTCATTCGATAAAACGTTCTGTAGCTATGCTTAGTAACTTGATTTCGGGCGCCGTTCAAGCTTGGAGTCTATTCTTTCAAAGACTCAAGGTCGTCCAAACGCTATCGCTATTCCTCTACACTATTATTAGGCGTCGAGTCCAAGAATATTCGCTATTACAGGCAATTGTTTGAATTGTTCTGGCTCTATCATGCGCAGGCTTGGTCAAGTTGCCTCTGTCCCTGTTTTCCGAAATTCCGCAGATCTAGATATGCCGTACACCCCTAACGTCGCCCTTATGAGTGTTTGACTACTCCCAGAAAGACTCAATACCATCCTCCACGTTCTCTCCCATTTCAGTTGTTCTATCTCACATAATTTCAGGTACACTGCAGCCTGTATCGTTAACATTACCTGTGTTGTAACTTGGCATTTCGCCCAGAACGTGGTTTGTCCTCTTGATGGATTTGACTATAATCAAACTAGTCATCTCAGGCTTGATATAGATTTTCTTTTCGAGGTTACAAGGTAATTTCTAACTGCTTGTTGGCATTGGGGTCTCTTTAGAGTCCTGCCAGCTTTCTATGAATTATGGTCGAGAGCCTTTGTTATCCGCTTCTGGAGACCTTGTACAATAATATCAAAGATTTTTATCTTTACCGCCTGGATACTGCGTATGCGACTTTTGGCGGTGTCATTCCTAATATCGATGTTGCTCTGCACTGTCCTAGTATCTGCATACTAAATTTTCTGCTAACCACTTTATCGCCCAGCGATCAAAAATCATCCTACGTATTAGTCAAACCCAGTTCTTCAGTATAGGCCTTACCACGAGACTCATACTTAGATGCTTCTTAATGATCTGTATTTGCTTCAAATTTGATAAAAGCGGCGATTAATCATTAGCCATTTAGTTTTATACCTGCCACCTTGTTTCAGTCCTTCATTCAGGATGCGGCCGAGACTTTTACTCCGCAACAGTTAGCGGGTGCCTTTGCAACCTTATCTTTCAAGACATAGGGAGGCACAGAAGTGGCGTTGTTGCTACCATTTATTCTCAATGGACCAATCACTTTGTGGCTGGAAGGTTCGTCTCCAACAAATTCTACCAAGGTTGTCTCGTCGCGAGAGGCGTTCGCAGGTTGCTCGTGTAACTTCATAACCTGTGCTCGGTTAGACTGAGGGCTTATCTTAAGTAATACATCTATTTTCTTTTTGGCTTTATCCTTCAACTTTATCAAGCCCAGGCTTTCCGAATCTTTCAATAATATCAACAATAAAGATATCCTTCTAAGGTTAAAACTTAATATAATCAAGGCAGCAGAAGTCACACACGGCAACTAAACTCTATCCAAGTAAACACATAGATCACACAGCCATATAGAAGGTTAATATATCAGAGGAATACATATTCAGAGTTAAAGTCAAAGTCAAGGCAGCCTAAAGTCAAAAGTAGCTTCAGGCCGAGGAATTAAATTAGATCACATAACCCTCATTAAAACCCCACTGTACCTTCTCCCGTAATACAACGCACAATAGTATCAACAATATTATCAACTGGGGTGATATATCTATATGGCACATTATGTAAGTAAACGTCAATTATACTTAGGTATGATAAGAAACCAATGTTTGGGCCTCTACCTGTAGCCAAAACTTCATCAGAGTCGCGAGGCTGGAGAGCAACGGTTTGGGGTGATCCTAGCTTTTTAAGGGAAGGTATATCTAAGACTCTGACTTTATTAGATATTTGACCCCTAGGTTGTCGGCTGAGACCAGACTAGAAGGGGCGGTATGTTGGTTGATCCTGTCGCAGCCAGAATTCGCCCCAGAGTCACAAAAGTCAATCACCTCATCCGGATGGTAATGATGGGTGAGTGCGTTGGTGGGTGGCGAGGCGATAGGCTTCGAAATAACTTGCATCTGCTACGACGCCCCGGGAACAGCTGATTCTTAACCAAAAAGACGTCCTCGGGGAGTAAAATCTCCGTTAAACCAGACGCACCATGTCATCTGTTCCAAAAGCGCAAGGCGGATGTGCTCTAAGCTGACAGTTCTTGGCTGCTAGACGTTCCATCGTTCGACAAGGTCGTGGAAGCGCTCGAGGGTGATGGTGATCTACTAAGAATCTCTCCCAAGACCAATAAGCAGCTCCTAGGGATACTGGCCGGCGAGATCCTTGATGGCGGCGACGGCTTCCTGGCTATGTGCGTCGAGCGTGTTGAATAACTATCGTGAGGGTCGATCGCGAACGCTTGTAGCTGGCGCTGGTCAAGGAATAGCAGGGGTTTCCGTGGCCATAATGGAGGAGGCTTGGGAGATCCCGTAGTGTTTGTTAACAACAGAAGGGTATAACCTCAATGATGAACTGAAGAATGAAATCACTCGCATAGAGTCGCGTCGGTGTTGGAAGCTCTTGCCCTCAAGATTAGAATAGGATAAGTGATGGCTAAAAGGTAACGCCATGATCTCCGCGCAAGACTGCAGCAGTAGGGTCGACTACTCACTCTCGCAGTTCATTACAACGACCCTACCGATATCTCTGCGTATCTCCGCAATATGATAATTCCTCTAATTCGCCACCATACCACCTGGTTTTATGCCGATTTACTTCAATCTTCCCATAATGTGGTCACCAGATCCTCTCAACAGCCACCCTTTTGGCCCAAGGAGAACGCCATTGCCTACTTCAAGCATCTCCTCGGCGCCGTGATAATGAGATGAATCCCGGTCGGTCTCCACAACTAACATGGCCCTTCGCATACTAACCTGTCGCCAACCCAGATTTCATGGGGATCCATCACCTAATCTCTTCCTCCTCCGGCCAAGCTGATCGCACATCTTCACGCACTGTCGCTTTGCTTCGCCGAAATCATACGCGAAGTCGGCGATAGCCTGTTGTTCTGAAGGACCACCGCAAGTCAGCCTACGTCGAACTATAGGCCGTTACGCTGTTCTCTCCGTCGTGGCTATTACTATTTATTGTTAAACCAGCCACGGGTTGAGGCGGCACCTTCGACGTGCCCGATCATACTTTCGCAATATCGCACTCGCCATTGCTCTTGAACGAAGATTCAGTCTAGTTGCCTGTAAAATGGATTACTAAGAGTGCTGGTGGTATATTGCCTGGTTCCTCCGCATGATCGCCGTGGCTTCGGTAAAGACTTTGATTCCGGCTGCTAGTCCTATTTCTATGGTATGCTATCTACCCATGTCTCACCAGAAATGGCACGGCCAGGTTCGCGGAGAGGTCATCTTGGCAATCATATGAGCTGGTACGAATCTTAAACGCTTTAGGGTAGACAGAGAAGGAGCGAGCATCAAAAAGCTTGTGAAAGTGGACCTAGAAGAGAATTCCATTCTTAATATTTCATCGGCATAAGATAAACAAGCAGTGACTTTTATTTACCGGGTTAATGCTCTTGATTGTCTCAAGTGGTTTTACGGGACTCTCCCAGGTCGTGTCTAGACTGCACCGAGTGTTTCATGTGGAGCATCTAAGCACTATCGACTCCTGATCCTCTACACAAAGATATAAATTCACACCGGAACCGTGAGGGGTATTACATTTTGAATCTTTTGTCAATTTGACTTCTAAGGAATGTTTATAAAATATCTCTGGTGAGCTCTGAGAGCGCCACGACCACAACAACGGGGCCTGTCGCAGGGTAGACATGTTCTTCACGGCCTCATGAAACAACTGCATTAGTTATCTAGCTGTATACCTTAACTCTGCGGAATGGAATACCCCGCCCAAGAGAACTTAGAACAACTAATCAACACATTTTTGCTGCTGCTCACCACATTCACTTTAACCCTTCAAGCACGCTCGGTGCGACATTACTTAGTTTCCCCTACAAGCTGTTACTGTTCTTTCTATATGAAATTTTTAAACCTTTGGTTTGTGGCATCCTTGTAAAGCTTATAACTATTCCTCGCTGCCGGATATCCGACAACTAGAGACATAGTAGATGCCGGTAATTATCTTTATGTAAAGTCCCGCTGACAAATTGTTTTCAAATAAGACCACGTACCGTTATACGGAGTACTAGCTGAGGGAATTTATTTCCCCTGTATTTTATAACCGAGAGCTCGTAAATAGTGGATACTAAAGTTTAAACTAAGAAAACTTGTTAACAGATGATACGATACTTCATAATGAGCTTGTTAAATTTTCAAGGTATAAAGATGAGATTGATCCAGGCATACTCGCCGCTGTTGGGTCACTCCTTTTTTTCCATGATATATTCTATTTTTCTGTCTTTCTCTGGACGTACGTCATGTGGTCAAAATTTCTCAGCAGTTTGCTCTTACTCGGCGGAACTCTTGCCAATGGCATGAGCGTGGCGGCTCCGGGAGGTAAACCTGTCATTCCACAGAACATTCATGGTCACGACGCAACCCGACACCATCCCCGGGACGTAAGGCATATAACAAGTTATATCTGGAACGGAGGAGAAGTTGCAGGCCCACGCTGGTAATCCGTAACTGCAGAAGTCATTATCCCAAATATCACCTTCCCGTATGGATACAATGCCAGCGCACAGTATGGCTCTTCTGTGTGGGTTGGCATCGGTGGAGATGCAAACACCTGCGACGACCCGGCACGAGTCAACAATGGAGGCCTTATCCAAGGAGGTTACTACTATTTGTACGACCCACAAGGTGACTTTGGAGTATTTGCCTTCTATGAATGGTTTCCTGATCCTCCTGTCTTCCTGGACGACACTGAGGGTATCCTGACGAACATTGGTGACCATGTGCGGATGACAGTCACGCAAAAGGGAAACACGACTGGAACCTTTACCTGGGAGAACTTGACACAAAACAAAAAGTAAGTCAAGACAGACAATATTCTACAATTCAGTTCTAACTCTGCTTTACAGATTTTCAAAGGATCTCAAAGCCCCTGTGAATGGCACTTTGTGCACTAATCACGCCGAGTGGATCATTGAGAGCTTCATGTCCAAAGATGATCCTGACAACTTGTTTCCCAATTTTGGTGAATTGTCGTTTATCAATACCAAAGCTGTGTCAGAAGCAGGCAAGCCGGCGACGCTAGCCGAGGGTATTGTTGTTACTGCCGAACCAGAATTGAACAGCGGGAAACATTTGACAAGTTGCGAGATGGAGAAGGCAGATGTCACGACCTGCAAATGGCTTGGTTATAAGGGAGTTTTTGGTCACTAAATAAGTATTATAATGTAAAGAACCTATTTTATACATCTTAGATTCTTAACATTTTTTCGATACGACCTTCAACTATATGAAGCCCAAGCTTTCCAAATCTCTCAATGATATCAACAATAATAGATTCTTAACATACTAATAAAGCTATCCAGAATATTGTCCAGTCTCAGACATAAACAAGCGATAAACCCCAATAGATGACTTTGGCATCATTATCTCAGCTGAGATTAACGTTTGGCATGAGATGTCATTTAGGCTCAATGTCGAATGCGAGCCATTTAAACCCAGAAACGATCTTAAACAAAGGATTCTTATGACGTGCTCTCCAATCATCGCATAATAGATAAAGGGCTTTCCACGGCTGCCAGGTATCTCATATCAGTCACAGAAAACCTTCTCCATACTACAAGCAGTAGAATACAGGCCATTGTATCCCAGTGGTATTTGCGCAGTTGGGTGGTCGTTTCGGATAGTGGATTTGTATTATCTTATCTCATGGATTGACCGTGGAAGGAGGTGATCGATGATCAAGCGTTTAAGGACAATGCTCTGAGTGAATCGGTCTGAATTGGTAGCTAGATGAGGTATCTACGAGCCGCCTAAGAAAGAATCGCTCGGCCATTGAGGATACCAAACCATGAATATGCCACTGCTCCGTCCTTATAGGGATCCCGTCCGAGCTCTTGGACAGTACTGATGACTAGTTAACGTCGCGGATACAGCAAGCCTGAACCAGGGCGACTGGTCTGGGCCGGAACAAAAGCTGTTATATCGTTATTTCCACTCACCTCGAGGAATACTCCCCATAACCATCTTTCTATCCCAATCTGTCCCATCCCTTACAGATTGATTTGGCGATACGCCGCCGAACTTCCTGTCTGTTATTTAATATTAAGAGAGTGTATTGATGTATCTTCCTGATCTCCCATTCAGATTCTTCCTGGGCGGTTAGTCCAGTGGTTTTCGAGACACTCTGATAATTCACCTATATCGCCTTCACAGGACCATGTTGTTGATTCAAGAGGACAGGCTGACCGTCGAGATACTGCTCGATTTTGAACTAGCCGCTACACGTGTCACTCTAAGTCTTCAATACGGGTCGGGAACGAAGGTATCTTGGGCCAAGCAGCCGTTGTGCAAGGTGACCACGTTGTTGACTCTGGAAGTCGTCGCGCCCCAGTCAAGCTAGGGCCATTATGGTGTCACCTGAATGTCGCCAAGTGTTGCAGAAAGGGGCATTCACGGATGCGTGTAGTCTGAGTGTAGATTACTGTCTAAAATGTATTCCTGGTTCTCTAAATTGAGAAGTGGGTCGTATTGAGATATTTGATATAGAAGTTTGGGTTTAACGACGATGAGGCGGTGACTCACACATCACATAGGACTACCTGATAGATTCGGACTGCGTTGTTAGTGGATGTTAAACATTCCCTAAATGATGTCCTGAGATAATTCGACCACCATTGAATGACTGCCTGGCGCTTTGTTCATGTGCTTGCCTGACTCTGTATCGGAAAGGCCCTCTTGTGGTACTGCTAAGTCAAGGGCTCGTCCAATTTAAAGACTGTGCCGTTACAGAAAGGGTTGATAGAGATGAGTAGGAAGTTCCGATGTGACGCTAGGTTTGAAACCAGCCCCAAAATGATGGTATGCGAAGTTCTAACTCGATAAATGTATCTAAGTGTCATGCAGACTCCAGACTCTTCCCCACGCCTCTACCCAATAGTTGAAGCTGGCGGTGCTGAGGCGGTTGACAAAGCAAGTTTCCAGCGGTGACGGATATCCTATGTTTGTAATAGGCTTTGGTAAGCAACAGTATATTTGCCAGGGAGCATCCCGAATCGCCAAATCGTTACATCTGATTACGGATAGAGCATCTCCCATCAAGGCCAGCCAATTCGACAGGACCGAGACAGCGGTACCACCGAACATGAGGAACAGCGTTGAAGCGGCGTCAGTCTCAAATAACTTCCCTCACATAATAACAGAGCAGAAATCCATGGTGCTCAAAACTCTCAATTCTACTAACAATACGACCTCGATCCGTCCAGTCGTCAAGATAAGTGGACAAGATACTCACAATTCTGGCGCACCCCGAGATTCCAGCGAGGGGATGTCTCCGAACGTCGGTGATGGCTTCATAATCGAGCCACCTTGGCAAGTGTCACGAGAATGGCCACGTCGCGCTATGAGTGCCTGGGTAATGATGAAACAAAAGTCAACTCAGCAGCGAACTCAGCAGACGCAATCTGACTGGCTGTGCTAACAAGGGCTGGAATGTTTATCCCTGTAGCAGCGGGTTCGATGTGAGAAGCCCGAGGCGTCGCCATCAGTAAGCTCGATCGGGGCAGATGCCTCATCATTGAATGGATCCTCGATATCATTACGTGCGGCTGGTTCGACAGAAGAAGTCTTCGCAGGTTCTGCCTCGAAAGCGACAGTGTTATTGTCTGCCGACCAGACACGTTTGTTGGAGGTAAGCAGTCTGTGCATTTCGCCTCGGATATGATAGCAAAAAGACGGTCCGTATATACGATCTTGGAGGAACTGCGTCCGCAATGCGCTGTAGAGTATGTTAATCGCATGCAATTAGCTCGCCGCAACCCTTTCGTGCTAATTAAGGCCCTATTAAAGATATTCTGTATGTTCAGCTCTGTACGACATACATCGCTGCTAGTCTTAAGAATAATTGGAGTGGGTCCTCGACGAGATTCTGATCTAACCAAGACAGAGGACTAGTAGTAGGTCCTAAATCTGGCAATACGGCTACACGCTGAGTCTATCACGCTTCCTCCGTCGCTTTAGTAGCTCCCGATTTAGAGATGAGATGGGAAAGGACTGGCCAGTGCTAGAAGGTCTCAGGTTTCGTTAATGACTTTGGGATATCTTTCCACCGTAGCTTATTAGATCGATCGCCCGAGAGGGCTTTGTCCGAGACTAGACCGGGTTATCTTTATACAACTCGCAAAGCTAGCCTTCTGCATTATTAAATAACTGAGGGATCTGACAAGCTAGCGCAGCAGATTCTTCACGCGCAGAGCGAAAGGCACTATACCTAGTATTTCTTGAGGGAAGACCTTATTAAGGTAATGGTATTGAACAGCTCGAAGATGCCAAAACATGCATGTCTGAGAAAACAGCCCTAGAAATAGAACAAGAAAGGGAATAGTGTCGTGATGGTTGGAAATGAAAACTTTTGCCTTTTTATAACGCATGAGCGAGAGCGACTGCTTCTTCTGGTATCCTGAGGATGGGGTCGCATTGTCGCTGTTCCAGGTCGTATCCATCTCACATTCAATTTTCTCCAACCTACTAACATGCCTTCCTTCCACTTGATGGTCTCTCTCCCTTCCATAAACCTTACTGCACACGCGCCTGCCACAGAACATATTTTCCCAGGAACATTCGCGACCGCCGCCACTTCACGTCCCAGAAAATGACCCTAAGAGCAATCTGACTTCGATCGGTGAACCGGACCTGGGCACAAGGCCAACCCGAACTCTTGCAACACCACGTTCGGGTATCATCTTCAAGCAAGGTAGACTGCTCAACGTAACTGAGATTCCTATAAAGGTTGAATTGAAGAGAAATCGGCGGGATGACCTTCACAATCTGTAAAAAATGCGATATAGCATTAGCAAAAGGGATCTGACCAACGAAAACAAATCTCCTACAGCACAGCTCGATCAAATTCGCAAAGAAGGGGAGTTCAGTCTGTTGCCTGGCAAGACACTTGAACTACCTCGTCTTAGCGGCTAGCCTAAGCACGGCCACTTGCGTCTTTTTGCGTCATACTGTCATGGCTGTTAGTGTGCTAGTACATCGAAGAATGATGGGCAAGTAGCGTGCGCTATTGGGTCGAACCAGCTCCGTCTCGCCTGATCTATCAGCCTAAGATGTCGGACGGTGTACTTCAAATCCCGATTGCCGCCCTGTGAGATTGGGTACAAGTCGACTTATCGTCGCTTGTCGTAATAAGTAGCGTGTGGGAGAGGTGCTTGTTAATCGACACGTCAGAGCGTTACGGGTTATAGAAGTGAATATAACCTAATGGCTATGGAATTCCTCGATTATGATGGTTGGTTGTAGTATCCTTTGCGAAGGTTTCATTGCTCTTACATTAGCGTGGTGACAGAAATCGAAAGCTCAGTTTAGCAGCTGTGTTGGTGGACGCGACGCTTTGACAATATGCGGAAAATAGTCTGATTGGTGAAATTTTGATAGTAGGATACTCACGACGTCGACAACAGCAGGAGGCGGATGATAATGGTTTTGGTTGTTACTGTAGCCCGTCTGCGCCACGGGCGTGCCTTCAGGTAAGTTGTTGGTGAAGGCGGAAGCAGTAGGCCGCTCCGGCTGAGGGATCATATTCTTGCTCGCCGCGTCGACATATTCGAGATTGCTGGTCGCAGTTTTTCGCTCAGCATGATATCGCCTTGGGTGACGATACTGAGCGCTGAATGGGCTTGCTTGTCCTCTTGGGTTGTAGTGTCGTAGAACGTTATCATGCCTCTTAGTCGCGTGGGTGGCACTGGCGATGATGGTCTCGGGCTTGGTAGTATATTTATTGTTTCTCGTTCAAATGGTCTATGCTTGTGTGTGGGTGTACGTAGCCTTGATCTGTTGCCGGCAGGTGTAGAGGGGCGATTGAAGTTCTGACCTGTGGAGAAGGTTGTGCGTGAACGTGAAAAGTGAGGCGTAATGGGACCTTATCGCCTCCGAGAACTAGTCTCTGTCAGTACTCGTCATGCCTTCCAGTGTCTATCGCTCAGGGAGATGCTGCAGCTTTCCAAGCTGATTGGTCTGCACGGACGGACGAGAGGAAGGGTTGATATGATTCGGGAGGCTGTAGTACCAAGCTGTGTCATCTTGCACCTATGCATCGACTGATAAGTGCATTTCGTGTTGAAATACTCGGTTTGCGTTGCCTGGGCCGAGTCCGAGTCTTGATATTGCCGATGAAGTGTCGGGGCTATGAAGATAACTGCGCTTATTCTCGGATCGCTGATACGTAGGTAGGCAATGGATGACTGGAAAACGCCTCAGAGTGGCAGATCAATAAACGCAAAAAGGAGTAGTGAGCGCTCTGGGACAGTCTATCCTCATCGGTCAAGGGTCTTTTGGTGGTCCTGTGAAAGGATTCGTGATGGGCTGATAGGCTCAACCCCCTTAGCGGAGATGAATGACACCACCATGCTGGCGGCGCGGGGACAGGTTCAATAACGGGCTTCACATCCTCAGAGGCGATCACAGACAGAGCCAAAGGTGGCACAGCCTGAGGTATACGATGAATATCCTGGGTCGATAGATCAGAGAACACAAGCGTGGTTGGGGCTGACCTGAGAAGAGCGAGATGGTGAAAGCTGATCCGTGTGAGGTTAAAGGCAAACGCATCCTGGAAAGGCTGGTTGAGTCAAAAGACGAAATACATGCCTATAGAGCCGCCACGAAATATGCTTGGGATAACCTTGGCCTGTAATCTTAGAACTCTCTTCTTGCTGTCCTTCCTACCTGGCTTGGATCGTGTTCGCTATAGGTTCCTACAATACGACCCGGGCGCCAGGATGCCGCCGAAATGTATTAGCAGCAAGCTGATATTTGAAATGTGTCCATGGGAAAAGTGCTATAGTGAGTGCCCAAAGACGGACCTTGTGGCGACAGTAGATAAATATTTAGTTATGTGGCCTTGTCCCGTTTGCTGTGTTTGATGATATGCGTATGCGGCTTTGCACGCCACCAAAACGCTGGGTATCAAACTCCCTTTGATGATGGTCTGATCCCCTGCATCGCCAGAACGTGCTGAGCATACATCGATTCGTTTACCGGCGAATTTGTAATGTTGACTATTGGCGATCGAACACATCTCTCAACTAGCCTCCAGAACGTCGTCCCTATAGGGAGGTCTTATCGCAGACCGATCCATCGACAGCGAGATGTGATCACGTGCCATACCGTTAACAGATCAAGCATCATCAACCGGCCGTCCCCTCACTCCCTAGAACGTAGCTTTCTTCATAGGCTGTAAAGAGCGTTCGGCGCCCTTCTAACAAGTATCGGTGATTCGCCTCGCCAGACTTTCGAAGTGATCCAATCTGGTGCTACTGAACATTATGTTCTAAATCTGTTTAGAAGTAATTATTCTTGGAAATTGATATGGGAGATTTCTGTTAGCTATTGCTGCTGTGAGTTGGGAAAAGTCTAATGTGGCTGACTTGAAGAGTCTTCGTGCAGGAATTCGTTCCACCCTTATATGGGGGCCATCAGACGTATGTCAAGACGGTGTGTGATTGTAGCCACTCTGATAGTTTATCGTAGTATTTCAAAACAGACAAAGAGTTTGTAGAGTATCGTTGGCCAAATGACAGTTGAGTGACAGAGCGTGTGGGACAACTCAGTAAAAGACCTCCCGATGCCTTTTTTCTTCTAATCTGGCTGGAACCCTCGGCCAAGGCAGAAAAGTCTTATTATATCATCCGACAGTTTTGCCGAGGTTGCAGGGAGCCTACTGGTGAGTCAGTTAAAAGGGTATTAAAACGGACACCCTGCGATGGGACATGAGCCGACCTTCTCTTTACGGCGAACGCCTCGTCCAGCTATCCGAAAACCTTCATCGAAGGGTCATGCTTTTGAAGTCAAGCTTCAAGGCATGTCTGGAAACAGGCGAGTGTCAGTCGCCCAAGATACGTAAATATGGCTAGCGACATCCACGACGATCGGGAGATCTCTGTACCTCGCATCTTAGACCTTATCTTGCTGTGACCTACATCGGTGTGGCATACCTATGACAAACCCATACACCAGCGATTTCATGTCTATGATACACCTTTGAGTTTTCGTCGCTTCTGGGCACCCTTTGCCAAAGTCTAAGGCGTGTGGTTGAAGGGATGCATGCCTAGAAGAAGGCCTCTCTAGGCTTCAAGTTGAGTCGTCCAGTTTTGAAACCTTTACAAGTGTTCGCAACACTGGACTTGAGTATTGGTCACTTCTTTCTACCAACTAGGGGTCTTGTAAGCTAAAGTATTGAGTAGTTACGCCTTTTTACTCGGGAGGGGCGGTCACCCGCATTGCTTTGTTTCTGATAACCAGCAGCGTGAGAACTCTCATCGAAGATCACTGTTTATTAAATAACTCTCTAGTAAAACTTCTCTTCTCTTACCCTACTAGCTCTGTTTATAAAATGGCACTATAGTGGCTAATGGCCCTTGCTGAGAGTTCTTTGGAGCGGGTGGGCTCTATAAACAGAGGTTTCTCGATTTTGATTACCAGAATTAACAAAGTATCTCTTCTCATACCCGTTTGTATTTTTGATCAACCCCAAATAAGTCTATTTGTCGAGAAAAGAGAATTATACGAGTTAGAAGCTATGGATATGGCGGAAGAGCGAACTCCATGTAAGATCACTCTGTGGGGGAGTGCCCGACACTACTTATGATGACCTTGTAGATTAACGCTCTTTATTGCCACAGTGTTTTGCACTCCAGAAGCTGACAATATGGCATACATTAAGTGATTTTTCTACATAGGGCTCTCACTTTCTTACGACGGTGATTTTCAAAAGCGGTGGCTATAAGGTATACTACCGTAACTAGATACCAGCGTTAAACCGCTGTATGATCAGCGTGAGTAAAGGAAGAATCCTGTGGCTGTTGTCTGCAGAATTCAAATCATATTCAAGTCTCGCTCATCAGTGACTGGCGTTGACGTTGCACTACACAAGTCCACGGCTACAGCCTTGCCATACTTCACTGCTCCGGGCCTCGGTTGCCCCGAATTCATCTCTGCAGTCGTGCCTCTATTTCTTCTCATCATCCAACATTATCACGCCCCGCACCTTTTCCACGAGCACCATGCTTAATTTGTGGCACTTCCACGCCTTGATCTCCATTCATGCCACACTACTTCCGATCATAGACGTTGTCTTTAATCATCCTTGGCTACTCGACAGCCTCAGTCCGAACCTACCTCTCCATTATCCGTCGACGTAACCATTTGCCACTTATCAACCACCGGGAACGTCAACTCCCATTACAATTTGTAGGTCTGAGTGCACTCAGTGTATTGCCAGTGACTGGCATGCACGAACTTCCTCAAGTGACCGTCGGTTGCAGGTCCCGATCCCAAGTGCATGTCATTATAACTACCGGCAATGTTGCCTACCTCCTTTATTGTGCAAGCACCTATTGGAATACTTCACCGGACACCTCCCACTCATAAGACCCCCCTCCACCGATAACTCACCCTCTTTCTAGGACCTCTCCTCCGCCGACGACTAGTCTCCCTGCTACGACAGCCCTCCTCCGCCAATAGCTCCTCTGCCAATAACTCCTCCACTTCTTCTAACGGACCCTCTGCCGAAAATATCAGACGTCTTATGGCGCGCTCGGGTGCCCCATATGGTGTGTCGATGTATTTGTCACTTCGTCGGGGCTCACTGGGTGGTGTAGTTTACTGACTTGTGAACAGTGATAATGGACTAGGAATGTCTTAACGATATAGTGGTGATTTGACGTTTCCGTGACGTTTTTGTCCTTAAAAGGCTCTTCTTTACGAGGCTGAAGCTTTTCTTATCCGTTGCTCTGTTTTCCTTATTCGCTTAAGGCCCAAACTACGCGGACTTGATTCACTGTCAGCTTCATAGAACAAGTGAATATACATCAAACCGCATTTTCGCCCAGGTCTCCACATACAGCATCGCACACAGGCAACGACATGCCTGGATTCTTGATGAGCTAGATCGTTATTGGGACTATCCCCGTTTTATCCACGGCGATATTCATTGGATTTCTGATCGATTACTTGACGAGCGAGCTTCTGAAGTGCTTGGTCACTTTGTAGAGTCAGAAGAAAGACAACGATTGTGGAGACCAGGGGGGCTTGTGTATGGGGGATGGTGCAACAGATAAGAAGTATTCACGACTCACGACGCAGGCAATGGAAAGAAGTGGTCAGTCTTATAATCTTCAGCACAGAGTTACTTGTCGACCAAAGTTGTATCAACGCGTGGTGTCGATGGAACGACCCACAGGCCAAGGCCATCAGACAGGTTGCCATCCCGCCGAAACGATCCGACCCATGCTTCCCTGGAACCATCAATGATTATCGCTCTACCTTGAGCTTATCAGCATGTGCCCGTGCGTCAGCATCTCTTCTTACAAATCACCTCCACGGTCATCGCCATCACTTTCGCGACGCAATGCACTGCCCATACAACTCATGTCAAGCCATCGTGTGGCTGATGCCACCATTACCCCATCCACTCAACGGCGGCCTGCTTCTTAAAACGGAGACCTAGACATCCCGTCGAACAATTAGTCGAACCACATCGAAGCCTACAGCACACACTCCATTCAGCATATCCAACCTCGTCGCAGAGTACGAATCGGGAGAAAGAGTGTACAGTACGACACAAGAGTTGTCCTTTAGGATTGAGCTCATATCACCATTCCCAACTCTTTTTGAGGAACCAAGAAGCAAATACTAATCTTCAACAACAACACTTTCGCCACATTAAACGACCCCAACGTCGTTAATACCGTAGCATCCATGCCGTCATCGTTACTCAAGGTCTATGTCTAGACACAACAAACACAAACTCCCTCCCTCCCACGTATCCCGATTTGCGAGCAGCATTCGAACCAATCCCCCTACTCCCGTTCGCCTTTTGTTCTCGAGTTGCATATTTTATCTCAAGTCTGAGAGGCTTTCAACCGTGCAGCGACATGATCATGAACCTACAAACATGGTCTTCACTACTAGCCAAGGCCGTTGTGGTAAAGACCGCTATCGCGCTGAGTACAACATACACAACAGCCGAGCGTCTCGTAAATGGAGCCCAACCTCCTCCCCGAAACTCTTTTGCAGAGAAAGATGTCCCTATGCGTGTCATTCATGCAGACATGTAGTCTTGGCTACATCGCACCAGTTGATGAGCGTCAATATCAAATCGAAGATATCTGACATAACCCCCCTGGGTAGTGGGGAATGGAGGTCATCAGCGGCAAGATTGGCCTCTGTGTCGTCCCCGGGATGTCTTGAAGAACTAGGCGAGGATATGCGGCGGCATTGATGGAAGGTTGGATCAGAGCATTGGACATGGCCGGTTCGTATTGAGAAGCCGTCAAAGATTCAGCACGGGCACCCTCAGCCGGGATGATCCTACGATATCTGGGAGTCCCGGAACAGTAACGATACATCTCCCACATCGCCGCGGTCGGTTGTTCGTTTACCCTATTGTTGTCATTTGAAAGCTCTGGCCTCTTCCATTCACGCAAGAAGGGATGTTTCAAACTTATGCGGTCTAGCTGTCGTTCTGTTAAGACTAGGTATAGGGCCGTCGGATCTTACCATGGCTGGAACAGATCCCAGCGCTTATCCCCTACAGTCCCTCGCCGCCTTTACATCTCTACTCTACGCTACAGCGATTGCGCCGATTCCTGCTATCAACGCCAGTCGTCCCCGCCCCCTCGCCGCCGCCGCTGAGTCTTTTCATCCGCGTCCATCGCTTACACTCACTCGTCACCTGGCGTGTCTACTCAATTCCGTGAGTAATGCGTTCAGCCTTCCTACTTGTGCCTTCGAAGTGATGCACGGCGGCGTGGGGCTCGCAGCCTACAGCTCAGCCCAGCAAATATCGCTTTACACGCTCCTGATGGACGTCAATGTCTCTATAAGTGCTACATCCATTCGTCGCGCAGTTTGTACATCTGAGCCTCATCTAGGGCGAAGTCTTAGGTTTAACCCGAGGAAACATGACCTGCTGGTATACACCTGAGCAACTCCGGCGGTCATTTGTGTGCCGCTCGGATTCAAGGATAATAGCGCGGATTCGTTGGGAAAACAAGGATGGAGGTAATCGACCGTTTGAGACTGATGTGATGAGTGACAGGATCAGGGTTCGATGGCGGGGGTGCCGATGGGTCAGTTACATATTGGTCGGATTTCAGCAGTTAATCTCGGTAGACGTGTTCAATGATTGGAGTTCTGGTTGACCACCAGCCCAGAAATTTCTGTTGGCAATATTTTGATCCCCTGGATGGAAATAATCATCAAGAGCCGGAGCCGAGACTAATCGTTGGTTATGGGGAGGGGGTCTTGTATCTTACAGTCCAGGTCGGTAGAAATTCACATAGTTAATTGAATGGTCCCGCTTTCGCCTCGAATTGCAAAGATGCTTCGTCGATCGGCCTTTCCCTGGCTTCAATTATTGCCGCCCATTCTCGGCCGCCATCCCACCCTCTCCCTCGACGTACATCCACATGCTGACCAGCCAACGTGCTCCCGCACCATTAGGCCCATAAAAGGTACGAGGCTATTCTCTATAAGCGCGGTTCTGACAACCCCTCTTTTCGCGAGCTAGAAAGTCCCAAGCTCATCCCTAGTCTGGACGAGCCGGGGGGCGTGGATGAGGAGAATCGGATGGATACTTGGCAAATCCCTAAGGGATTTGGGCAGTATTTTAAGAATTATTTTAACAAGTGGGGGAGGGAAATCCCCAAGGGGCGGTGGAAGGCGTGGAACAGGAGAGGAAAGAATAGGGAGTTGGAGGGGGACAGCAAGTCAAGAGTCGTGTTGATGGGAGTGAGGAGCGAACAGCGCAAATCAAAGATGGCAGAGAAACCGACATTACACGACGAACCTTTTCCACAAGCAGTATACCAGCGTCGAAAGTCAGGCCATTACCAACTCGCAAAGAGCCAGTAATTTCTGAGGCACACCCGAGTCACCTTTGTCGGTTGCTGTGCGAAAAGAGCAGCCTGGAAATACTCCATATGATGATGTTCATTCACTCGTTATCTGTCACTGTGTCCAATCTTCTCGTCGCTATCACTGGGGACATCTGTATATTATGTAGGACTGCTGCCAGTTTCTTCTTATTCCCACGCTTTCATAGCTCAGGTTGTATTTACTGTTGTTTCTATCGCACCATCTAAAAACTCCCCCAGCCACGTCCGGAAACCAGCACCCATCCACTTTCCGAAAGTTCTTAAAGCAGCTATGAGCTGATAAGCTCCTACCACATTCGCTGTATCTCCAATCCTGATGGCTTGATCCAAAAGAACCTATCACCGTTAGCAAGTATTACATACTACCATCTTGATTAACATACGATTTTATCTCCCTCATCCATGGCAAACATGACCGTCCACACATGCCCATGAACCTGAATGACTGGAATTCCAATTGCGCGTCGGCTTGAATTTGCAGCTCTTAGTCGCATGAACCACGCTGCAGTCCATATGCCCAATTGAGCGTGACTTTTATCCACCACTCCAGCGGACGTTTTCGTCTCGATGAATACTGGCGCCGGACGCCGTGATAATGCATCATACACAGTATGATTCACAGTTGAATAATCCGCCTTGTCTAGGAATGCTTTGATCTTGGCTTCGAGCGTAAAATCGGGAAGGAGAACAAGTGCGAAGTCAACCATTGTATGAACTGACGCTTCTTGCTCGCTGATGTGACTGGACGTGACACTGGATGCTGCGGATGATGAGGCTGATGACCACGTTTGGTCGAGTGATATAGGCCGGAACTCCTTTACTATCTGAGCGTTGGTTATGGTCTCTGGTTTTACGGTTGCGATGGGTTTTAGTGCCAGGTCGAGAATCGGGTAGTGGACTTGGGCGTTCCATGCTGATTCTCCTTTGGTCATGGTGCTCGCCTCGGTAGCTTCATGGAGGATGTCTCTGAGTCTCTCGTGTTGATGCCGTAGCAACTCATCTTGCGTTTCATCATCGACGTCCTGCCACATGTAGGGTAACGTTTTCGCGCGTCCAACCACATCTGAATCCGGAATTCGTTTTAAATTCGGCGGTAGAATGGCCTGTTTGTGTATGACCATGAATAGCTCATCGTACAGCTTCACCAAATCATCCGATAGGGCGGACACCAGATCTTCAGGATTGATCACATAGATCGGAGGATCGAGCAGTTTTAGACTTGCTGTCGTAGTATGTCGTTTCGACGGTGAAGCACGCCGACGCTTAGATGGCGACGGCGAAGGGCGGAAAGAGAAGTTTCGGTGGAGGAATCCTTGTTGTTGAACGTCTTTTAGGGACTGGGGCGTCTGGTCGAGATCTGGGGCGTTGCGTTTTGGGGGACTCGACATTGGGCTTATTAGAGGGCCCGGCAAATCGGCTTCGTCGCGTTTTCGCTTGAGTGGCTGCTGGGGGCTTTGGTGAGGTGTTTTTGTTTCTGAGATATTGTTGAGCCAGCATTGGATGGCTGATGGATTCATTGTTAGATTGTAGATATTGCTGTTAATGATGATGATTTATTATCAGTAGAAATGGAAGGGTGTTGATTTCGAATGGTGGTTGCGGGGCAACAACGAGTGTGCTATCTTATCGTGTATCTTATCGGCTTATCGCGTCAGAGAGACCATGCCCAAAGAGGATGTCTGTGCTGACTGATCATGTAAAACCGGTGTCAATTGGTTTACTTTCTTGATGGACTCCACCAGTTCCGATCGCTCTAATAATTCGTGTTTCTGAAATTGATTTATTATCCAGTGAGCGGCTTGTTCACAGGAAGGTCAACATCACTGACAGCTAGATCAAGATGGACAGGAGCCAATTTTCTCGTGAGAATAAGCTTTTGGCTAAATTATGGATATGACATAAAAGTGGTGAGCCGAAGCGACATCATGCGTCCTGTCGAAGGTTTCAGAGTAGAAAAGGAACCCTTCCGGCTTTTACGGCTCAACGCTTCTCGGCGATAACAGAATTCATAATATCGCTGGAATAATTGATCATCCTCTTCAGGGTTGTACAGTCGAATCGGGGTGGGCAAGGTGTAGGGTAAATGACAAACACTAACGCAGATAGATCTTCATTAATTGTAGTGGTATGAATTGGGCTAGTATGTAATTCGTATCCGAGGGAAACGGTGTCGCCCGGGGTAGCAGTAAGACTAACTAACTAGTCTTTCGAGGAGAATACCTTAAACTCCCGATGTATCCCCTGTCCTTCGAGCAAAAACCTGAATAGCATACCTTTTGAAGCCATTAGCTAACTCGAAAATATGGTCGGCGAGTCGAGAGACTTTCTGCGGGGCTCAGCTATGTACGTCACCTGCAAGGAAGCCCGACAGTAGAATGTAGTCTGTATTTCAGGAATCAAAAGGTGGGTTGGTATAAGAAAGAACGGCTTTGGATTGAGAGGTGAGAGAAGTCTTCAGGACAACTTCTCCTAAATAGTAGTCGTAGTGTACCAAACCTTCATTTGCCTCTAGTCTGAAGAGTCGAATCTTGTAATGTACTGTAGCGAGCAACTCGTCGATCGTGTATTCACTTGCCATGGTCGTCCCATGTCTCCACCGCAAGAACATGAAGATGTCAGAGTGCTAGTCCTGGGCCCAACCGGAAAGACATTGAACAATAATGAGACCGAGAAGCATCAACTGATGTATAAATATTGTAACATCGGGGCTGAAGTGTAATAGTTTGAGGGCCTCCAAGGTATTATAAGATATGGCCGCTTTTAAATAAATAACTGGTGTTTGACCAGAAAGATGGGAAAGTTGGGATCTACATCGACAATTTATGCAAGCAACATGATCTCCAATGTTTTTAGTCATGATTTCAAGTAGGCTAATAAAGGTCAGAAAGCGGCAGCTCTGAAATTGGCTAGATCAGGACGGAGTGTTAGAATGGGTGGTTGGCCGGCAGGGTGGTGATAATTAATCGTACGGGCACGTTTTATATAAAAGTCTTAGTCCCCACTAATTAAAGAAACTGAAAGAAGAACGAAATACAAATGCGAACTAGAACCGTGCCAAAGGATTTTGGGGTTAGTGTTCTACGCCGACCTTATCCAAGCTTTGGCTACCGATCGGCCTGAACCTGTCCTTGTCTCGTCTTTGCATAAACGAGCGATTGGACATGAGAGGCGTGTCTGAGTTGAATATTGTGGCGCTGGTCGACTAACACACCTCTTGTATCTGAAAAATGGCTGAAGCTTGGGAAGTAGTGCTTCATCGATCATCAAGCCATATGGTCCCAGTGCCAATGATAAATCAAATGCAGATCTCTAGTGATGAGTTTGACAGCCGGTGAAATTCGTTAGATATTTCGTTTCACAAGAAAAACCTTGTGGACAGGGTGAATGCTCTAGAAACAGTGGCTAAACATGGAATGGCGCGTTTTTAGGCATACGTCCTGCCAATTAACGATTAACATGTCTTTTGAATCGATGACGATTTCTTCAATTGGGAAAGGGAGTAAGAGATCCAAGTTGGAGTAGCTGTATCCAAGGCTGAAACTTATTGTTAGCGAACCCTTCAGTTCAGGATTGCCCCTCCCGTCATACCTCAATTGCTAATATGATGGCCCAGGTTGCAATGACTGGTAAGTGCAGAGTCAGTAAGGATAAGGCCAACGGCCAATATGAACACAATGGATCGCATCTTAGGTAATGGTGAAAATGCACATCCGATTTACCGGAGTCATTGAAAGAAATGGAAATGCTACAAAGGTAGGACGGTGCCATTGAAGAGACCATTATATGATAAATCAATTTGCAACGGTACAACTCATTCCCTCTGAATCAATAGTCGGCCATCGGATCAGGGGTATACTTAATACTAGAACACGATTGGCTATTGTCAGCCTTATAGCAAAATAACTGAGCAAAACAACTGAGCTGCTGGCGTCCGCCCGCATCCAATGGCAAAGGCCAGCATTACAAAAATCCCGGGTGACATCCGGCTCTTAGCACCACTACGATGTTCGATAACTAAGTAATTCGAAAACTAATGATAAGCGGCCACTTAAAGCCTATTAAGAAGATAGCTGCACGAATGCTACTTCGAGTAAGCGAAAGAGTGATAGACGTCAGGAGGGACCAAATATCGTGTCCCCGTGCGGTGCTCATAACAATAATTGTAATATTTCAAATGCTGTGCACTTTCATGATTGTCATTCAACATCTTTAAATACACTCTATAACCATTCTTGACCTTAGTCTAGTCATGGAACCGTTCATGGAGGACAACTCCGGTGAAGATTGCACGATCCCAATCATCGGACAAGGTATATCCCAGATATTCAATTCCCCTCTTCATCTTTGACAGAGGTCCGCAACCATTCGAGGTGGATGTGGTAGTTGTGGCATCAGGCTCGGGCAGTGTAGTTGTGAAGGCGGTCACTCCAGCTTCTGAGCAAGCCTCGAAGTATTCCGAAGGAGAGTCGCAGTACGTAGCGTAAGGGGGGACTTCAGTTGGGAAAATAGTTGTGTCGGTGGGGTCATCGGCGCGCTTCGTGATCTTTGGTTGAGGGGTGGCCCAAGCTGTAGGAATCTGGTAATACACCCGGCGCTTCAGAACAGTTGAAGTTCTATAATACCTAGTCAGTACTGGCTTTGGGGAGGGGGGGATTTAGGGGACCCTTACGAGGTGAGGGGGCTGACGGTCACAGTGTTGTAAGCGCTGCAGTCACTGATATGACTCTCTACGTCAGGTTGGCCGTTTGGGTCATTGAGGCCTGCTAGACAGACGTTCGCTGAAGAGGTCACTTCAGTAGATTGAGAAGTTGTCTCAGAAGAAGTGACCTCCTGCGTAGTCTTGGTCGCTTCAGTAGAGGAAGTCTCCTCCTCGGTAGTCTTCGCCGCTTCAGTAGAGGAAGTCTCCTGATCAACAACAATCTGTCCGTTCTGGCATTGGCTCTCTGTGTCCTGGTATTAGCTACGTTCTCATGATCCAACGGTTCCCTCATACGTTTATACGATGCAAGTGTCACTGACTGACAGCCCGTAGGCTTTGAGGTAAAGGTAATGTAGACCTTTCCGTCTGACGGAGTTTGACAGAAACCTGCCTGTCCAAACGCCGCGTTCGTCCACGAAAGGTAGCCTTCAGCGATCGAGAAGGCCCTCGTGACTGCGCCGGCCGGCACCGTGCCCTGAGTGGTAAGCTCTTGGTATCCTTCGCCTTCGTAGTAAATAGGCGCCCCATCTTGGAGAAGCTGCTCGGAGTCAAAGTGAAAGACCGTGGCGAGGTCACAAGAGGTAGGGTTGTTGTTGCCAACGAACGTGGTATCTCGCTTCGCAAGGCGGCGTTGGGGATTAACCTGGAGGATGATGGCCTCGCCAATAGGCCCGTTGGAGGTGGTAGTAGAGGCTGCTTCCGTTGTCTGTGTCAATTGTTCAATAGACGTTGTGGTCAGGGATTCAATAATTGTCGATTCACTAGTAGACTCTGCTTCGGACTGAGTGGTACTGTGACCAGAAGTGGTGATTTGAGCAGCAGTTGTTGTAACCGTTGACTCAGTGATAGAGAAAATGTCCGAGGGGAGACTCTGAGGCTTGCAAGGCCCAGCAGCAACATAAGCTGCAAAAATAGCGGCAACCAGAGTCTTAGCAACCATGTTAGTTCGATTGTCAGAAGCGAGTAGTTTGAGAGAGAGAGGACGATGGAACATGGGGCCGCAAATGGAAATCAACAATATAAATATGGGATTTCATTTTTCTCCTTAATTTTATTATACTGCTTTAGCGGTAAGAAAAGCCCTATTGTGGCTGGCTGTAGTCAGGGGAAGTAGGAAACTATTGAATTGTTGTTGTCTGACTAGATCGTTTTCGGAAATCTAGACTAATCTGAATTAGCAAACTGGATTTAGCCAGTACCTACTCCGTACAGAGTAACTAGTGGATATTAGCTCGCCTAAACTAGGGGGACCCTGGTAAGGCTGTAAACGTGTGCAAATGTTGATGTTTTCTTCGCTGTGCGTCTCAGCCAAGAATATGTAGTTATATCACGTCGCTTCTACTGGCAATATACCGTAAGAAAATAGAGGGGATAACATCGAGGTCCCACCGTTCACAAAGAAATCATCGACGGAGCGCGGCCTGATGATTTTTGCATCACTGAAATTCATGCGCTCTTTCGGTGTGGCACAGTTACTGCATGGCAGGAAACGAGGATCTTGAATTGTCAATTGGTTGGATACTGCTCAGAAGCTGTTGCTGACCAGAACATCATTGAGCAGTAAGGGCATTAACTCAGCACTCTATAAGAAGCGGGCGACTCCAGACGGCCAGCAGAGTGTGGATGTACCGTGACCCGATCCATCGATGTGGTTCCAGCCAAAGATGGAAAACTAATACTTATGTCCTTTATCAGCCACGAGATGATAAAGCCACGAGTCTCCGACCCTAGATTTTGACGAATTTCTGGGAGCCCTTGCTCTCAAAAGTTGATACGCTATACTACAACGTTTCTGCAACGGTACATTGGTGGCCTTGGGTAGGAGATGCATCGAACCACTAAATGAAGAGGTCCAAAAATGGCACTGAGCTTGGCTTCCTGAGGAAATGTATCGGGTCGAGTGCCTCTCACGTTATGTGAGGAAGACTGAACATCGCTTACAAGATATTGATGGAGACTTTACTGCAAGGAGAGATGACAGTAGGCTTTGTTTTCCTAATGGCATTTGGATCTTCTTGTAGTCAAATATGACAGTAAATTGACCTTAGCATCCGACTCTTTCACGCTTAGGAATGCTAGCCCTTGATATGACTCTGGCTCGAGCGGGTATGGTTAGCGTCTTGTTTGAGATATTGCCTGTGGTTGAGTGTTCGCGCGTTCGCCGAAGAGGACAGTGACGATGATGGCTGAAACGATAGCTAATTAGGCGAGAGAGACGTTAGAATGAGGCCAGTGACAGATGGAAATGTAAGTTACTGGCCAGATGTAGCGCAGGGTCTTAATCCTGGCGTGTAGTAGGTTCAGACGATACAATTGTCGAGGTCATCTCTGTAAGAAGTTCTATTCAAAAGCTGGTATTGCATAAAGGCAGGACCTCATGATTGGTCGTTGTAAGAGTTTCTGAATTAATAAATCTATTTGAGGGCATGCAGTACATGGATGCCGTGTACCCTTGGATGAAACACATATAATGGCGCAAGCCAGGCCGGGTATTGTCGTCTACTTTTCTCCGTCTGGTCCCATCGGATGCCAGCTGGTGGTGTTTCCCTAGGTCAAACCAAAGATGATAGACTTATTCACAGCGAAGGATTACCACCGTCCCATCGGATGCAGGACCCTCCTAGCCTTATGGCAGGCTGGCACTGTGCTTATGTGCTAACTGCCCTCTGATCGCATCGAAAAGACCAGTGATAACAGGGTGGCCCACGACCTCCATCCGCGTGTTCAGGTCGGCTTAAACGTGCCAACATACCTGTGAGCGCGTGAGACCAGCCACAGTGCTTTTACGGCACGCTCGCGGTTGGTATCGACATCGCGATTGCTAGCTGACACATCCCACTGGGAGACCTAGAAGCAGAGTCCGTTCTCTACTATGGCCTACCCTACAATCGAAGCTTAGACCTACAGATATCATTGTACAGGGACAAAAGCTCTACAAGATCGGCAGTACAGAATATATACCGGCTACGCCTCCTCGCGTTGTCCACATTCAAGAGCGCACAGATAAACTTTAGGGTGTAAGTATCTATGGTTACGAACTTCAAAGAGTGTTTGAGCGATTAACGGTCATTTCTAGATCTAGGATAGCTGTGAGATTTTTTATAATATCACTGTGCACGATTACCATTTTCGACCAAGATATATTGACAAGATTTGCTCGGCGGAACTTGCGGTAGAGCAGTCTCTTCTGGCGTTTAGCATATACTCAGACAATCCTCTTGATTTGAGTGTCTGCATCAGAGGTGTTCCTGGACTCTTCTGTCTCCCAAGAGAGAAAAGAGACCGTGATTTTGTCTTTGAATGAGTTTCAACACACTGGCCGACTTTAATAGCATCTGTTGCCGAGGCAGGATCCTGTAGAGCTACACAAAGAAACAGGCAGTGCAAGCTTGCAGGATTGGTTATGGTGCTGAGGGGGATGTGCCGCCAATTTGTCTGAACATTTCAGGCCGGGCGGCTTTGCACCCTTCTCCAATACCCTCCGAGACCGTTTTGGTGTGCCGCACGCCAGACAGGGCTCATGGGCCGTAGTGACAGAATGATAACCGGATCTCTTTCTATGATCTGCGCAGGATGATCAGCACTGTATAGTATGTTGTGTGAATAATGACGACGCCTTCTAATATACTAGTTTGAAGCAGATGCACAGGCTTTTGAGTTGGAGAGATTAGTTCGACAGTGTGGCTGACTTGAGTGCTTCATTCCACGTTTTATTTCACTTTCACATGCCATTAACTTCATGGATGCGCTTGAAATGGGGACAAAAGATCGTGGTATGAGGCCTTTCCCCACCATCTCATATTTACTTCAAATTCGCTCAAGGTCTACTCTTTGCTGTCAATTCTTTCTACATTTGAAGCTTACAGAGACTTGTGCTTGTGTGTTCACATCTACCTTCGGTGGCTATGAGAGGATGACTTGATGGAGAGAAGATAGCGTGATTCGATGGTTGTTGTCGGAGAATAAACGAAGGTCTAACAAGAGTAGTAAGTTGCTGCTAATAGGACGATACATTCCTTTGAAAGTTTCTCGGTCGATCTCAGATTTGAAGGTTCAGGAGTACGATCGGAGTTTGATAAGTGTAAAGCTGAAGGGTCTTGAGGTCCTGCGTAACGGTGAGAAGCGACGACTTCACCCATGACTCTTTTGATTCTGCTTTATCAAACTCTTCCAATAGCGCAGCCACATCAATACCAAGGCTTCAACAATAAAGGTCTTCCTTTACTTCGGACACTTGCTGTTAGCAAACATCTCTCGACAGTAGCATGATGACAGAAACTGGTCAGTTAATATTTAAGCGCCATTAAGAAGCAAAACGCTCCCTTGGTCCATTGTGCTGCGTCAGGATTGCTACGTTCCAACCAAACAGCAGCCACAGAAACGCTCGATCAGTTTGGTCTGATCGAAATACATACTCATATCAATCCCCAGTGTGCTAACTTCGACTTTTCAGATCTCCTTTTCAATTATATTATCATTGGTCTGGTAGGTATGAAGGGATTCTTGTCCCCGTTTCTCACTGGCCCCGCCTCCCTCTTACATCTCGACGGGTCTCTAAGGCTGAGCATTATAGGCTTCATTATTCATTGAGCTGTTGCTCTCTTTCAGTAGCTGTTCTCTCGTTTTACCGAAGCATTCGATTGCGACTACATCCAAAATCAAAATGGAATAAGACCATGGAAGTCTTGTCGTGCTGCCCCCCTTAATAGCCGGTCGGAAATATGCAACAAGTACGTGCCCAAGACACCAAAATCATCCCAGCGCTCAGGACCCAGATTCCCTTATAGACAAAATACAAGCTTTCAGCCAAACCCCACAAGACCCATTTCTCATATCGCCCTCCTCTCCCACTCCCACGCCTTCTCCTAACTTATCAGTCCGTCACTATCAGCAGCAGCAGTTCTAACAACAGCAACAACAGTAACAACAGCAGGTTTCGAACCAATACTCCCCGCAACCGCAGCACCAGTGACAGCAACGGCAGATCGCCATAATGAACGGCATGAATGGGTCCAACACAGCGGCGGGAATGCCTGTTCCCACGGCTGCGGGTCAGTGTAGTGTTGCGAAGAGCCGCTGGGTCGCAACCTGTAGTGAGACAGACAAGCGCCTGTAGTAGTCTAAACTGACGACCATAAAATGGGAAAGAAACCCGGTGCCTTGTAATATTCCACCGACAACTGGTCATTTGGGCCACTTTTTGAAATTCTTAATGGCGTCATGCTAAACTCACCGCATTCCACAAATCCGGAAGCAAACATCAACATTCTATCTACCAACATTATGACTTGCACATCGAACACGGAACTGATTTCCACTGTCACTGACTATATTCCCAGTTGGTCAATATCAGACAACTATTACGAAGGGAGAGACTAGCAGGCTTTGACCTGCCCTCAATTAAGTTTACCAGTAACACCTCGCGCCACCGTTACTGGACTTGGAAAAGCCACCCTGCGTTTTTGTCTCCTCGACCGCTAAGGAATGGCAGTCTAGACTAGTCGTAAGTTATCTGAATATTCCAGTAAGACCATAGCTACATATCGCGCCAGCGTGTATGCTCATCGTTCATATTGGTGCAGGGGTAGGCACCCGATTGTGAATCTTTCTTGCACCAAATCTTCAATGCAGGCCTTCCTTCTTACAGCTGTTCCGGAACCACCTGGCCTGGTGCGGCGATCAAGGTGAGTAGCTAGAAGTCTACCGACGAATGTACTTTGACAGCGAAGCTAGATATATCACGCTCAGTAGATGAGATGTATTACGCAAACGGGAAGTAAGCCACTAACTGCAAACATATTCAAGTTGAGTTTATGCCAAGACCCCTGACATTCTGTACAACTGATAGTAAGGGAATGCAGGTTGTAAAAAGGGCCAGAAATCGAAAAAGCAGAAAGCCGATGAGACCTGTTCGTATCTCCACCAGGGAGTCTGTGTCGGTGATAAGAAGAAAGTAACTGGCGTTAGCGATCAGCGAAGTTTACCTACCGGCCTTGGGATTAGAGATGATCTTTTAGGACCATAAAGAAGGGCCTTTGTAGCATGATGGATGCCTGTGTAAATGGTAATTAGGGTGACAACAGACATTGGCCTGGTGATTCGATTACAAGTCAAAGTACTTATGTATGAAGGACCTCCGTTTCAATAACAACATGAGAGGTTAATATTAATCCGTTGAGAAACATTTTATAACTACTATTTACACTGAGGCACAAGGAGCTATAACTTCTCATCTCAACTGGTTCGTCTTATGATAAAAATATGGTTCCCGACAGCGGAGGCAACAGCAGGAGCAATACTAAAAGGCCAGGCACCTACAAGCTCATAGTCTACATTATCAAACAACACTGGGATGCATTGACCTCTTGCTACCAGGCAACACCCTAAAGTACCCATTGAAACAGATGTAATGATTCAAGCTTATGTGCTGTAAGTTCCCGGTTACGGCCATCTCCTTGTTTGGAGCTGCCCAAGTCTGTACGCTGGTTGGCCTTATCATGACTTCTTTTGCTGGTTCCATGTCTTCAAGCAATTACCTCAAAACTGAAATTATGGTAAAAGACTGGTATGAAAAGGGTTATCAAGTTCTCCGCCAAGAAAGTTCCATAAGGGGGTTGATAAACAGAGTCATCTGTGGGAGTCGTGTCTGGCGCTGGGGGAGGGGAAACGTCTGGTGTGTCGTTCCTCGGGGCAGATCAGTACCCAACCTCAACACTCGAACTTATATAAGTGAAAATAGCCTGTTGATCAGGAGTGGAGAGTAGCTGCGTCAGCGTCGGAGCCGTTAGCCAATCAGGTGAAGAGCATGAGACTATACGAAATATCGAAACAGTAGAGGAGGGATAGTTATTGGAGCCTTCCCAAGTTGCGACAGGATAGCCAGACGCTGTTCCACTGGGGAAGTCGTCTGTCCCTCTGGATCAAGCCCCAGGTACTACTTGCTTCCCGACGATGTGGGTAACCTACTTATCGTCCGTGGTAGGGAGATCGATCTCGAGCTCGGACTTCTGTCGGCTGTTCTTGGTGTAGACTTTCGAGTTTCGGTCTGGCTATTGTCTTCTACCTTAAGGAGAGTGGAGATTGTTGTTAGCATTTGGTCTGACTATTTATGGCGTGATAAGGTTTTCCGCTCAAAGAGGAGGGATATAACACTCAACCCATATGTGCCATGTCGCTGGTGGTGAGCCATAACTTTGGTGATGAGATGCTGAGCCAACACCGTACAGCCTTTGGTTGTAATTACCCTGCGAGATAAGCGTTCGGGTAATTGAGTTGAGACTTCATAGCCGAAAAGCTGATTGGTTGGAGATTAAAAGACAGTTCTGCTTGAATAAGCCAGGGCGGCCGCTTAGACAAAAACCCTGAGATTAACAGAAGGTCGGGGCCAGGAAGCCTGGGAGCCAATCTGCTAAAAGGCTTTACGAGAGCAGAGACGAGATCTTTTTGATGGAGGAATCCTCTCCTATGACCGACGATGTGTCTCTGTCCGATAACGAAATTGAGCGGAAGATCAGAAAGCTCTCCAAGGGGGAGGACACCGATAAGGCGTTTTATATAAGCTTATGCGTCGCAAAGCTATGATATAGACGTGAGTCGCGAGAGATTAGGTTCCAAATATAAACGGTCTCACTCTTTCTATAAAGACAAACTGGAAACACACTCCTGGATTTACAAGGCTCTTTGGTCGAGGCAGAACGAACGTTGTTAGGGGGGCCTGGATCTGAAGCGGAGGGCGAAGTTGCAGTTACTGTTTAGAATCCGGCTGTACATCCCTGGGGGTCGATGTAATGGGTCTGCAGCAGACAACAATAGCCGTACGTAATGCGGCTAGGTCTTTATGGAGTTCCGTAAAGTAATACTTATGCTAGGTGAGGTTACTGAGCAGGACGAGGCGTTGGCCTTGATTCGTTAGCAGTCATCGTTGGAGTCGTCATCAGGTTAGAATCTTCGGCACTTCGAATAGGGCAATGCCACCGCCCATCACTGTAGTCACCACCGCCGCAGTTGTGGATGAGGTCAGCGGGAGTGTCGCAGGCTTGATCGTGCTGTCTGCAATTGGGGGGTTGATGCCTGCCCTTTTCAATTAGGAGTGGTTAAGTGTCGATTCATTTGTTACAGGATTTCGTCTCGGTGTTGTGTGGGTGCAGTGGTCTTTGTACCCTCCTTGGATGCCTCACCCTCGGCCTTGGCGGCATTGCCTCCTGTCAAGGCTAGCTCTGCAGGCTTCTGCAGTGGGATCTTCCTGCGTATCTTGAGCAGGTTACTCGATCTTGGGTTTCTCGGTGGCGTGGTCTGCTATAGCAGCGATCCAGCACTACGTTTGTCTACTACATCTCGAGTTCCACGGTAAAGGTCTCGGGATTCAAATGATAAGGCCGGATTGAATAGGTTTTGTAGCAACTAGCGGCCGTCTCTCCGGCGGATACTGGCTTGGCAGGCGACTCGATAGCAGGTACCCAACCTCAGGCTCCTCGGTGACTTGGTCTGCCACAGTAGTAATGACTTTATGTCGAGATTGACTTTAGCCGCGACGACCCTACACGTGTCTCGACCTCGGGTTTTCACACGCCACCGAGCACAGGATGCAGGAGCAGAGGCGATGAAGTGCGGGGGGCCTGAGGAGGATGAAGAGAAGATATCAAGTCTACTTGTCTTAAGTGCAGTGTGTCTTGGATCAGGAAGGCACAGAAGGGACCGACAAGAAGGAGCAATAAGGGAGAAAAGAAGGGTTCTTAGGGACCTGGTCCGCTATGGAAGAATTGCTTTGCGTTATGGTCGGTTTTGGCGGCGACGACCCTGCACATCAGTGACAAGTGCCTTAACCATGGGCTTGTCGGTTATCTGGTCCGCTACAGTATAGTTTCTTTATATTGGTGTCTGCTCCGGCGGTAGCGATCTGGTTTGAGGGTATTAATTAAGTGAGTTCGGCGGCATACCCAAGGCCTTGATTTCGTTGGAATGCAACGGTGACTGTTTATCTATAATCTTAACAACTCGGATTTCTTCAACTGTAAAACTCAGGGTCTCCAGTTAAACCTAGGTAAGGTAATGTTGTAGCTTGGTAGTAGCTGCTTGCCCTTCATGGTGGGGGGACGGCCTTGCCGGCGGGAAAGGTTGGGTGCCAGCAGAACTATTGGTGGCAACCATCTTCCTGCCCAAACTTGTTCGTGCAATTGACGATCGAGAGGTATTGTGTGAATCCAATGGTTTCCGGGTTAAAACGCGATATCGCAGGTTTGATCGTAACCGTCTGCAATTCGGATGAGGTGGATTTCCTTGTCGATCAGGTCGGCGGCCTGCTCCAGGAGAGTACCAGTCTCAGTGGTACAGTCACCAAACTCGTCATCTTGAGGCTGAGATAGCTCTGACGACAACTCAAGAGGGATGCGGTCCTGGTTGAGGTGGGACAGGGCAACCATCTTGCTGTCCAAAGGTTTTCATGCGACCCTAGTGATTGGTAGGATCTGATGGTATTTTCCCAAGTTCAGCAACAGCCACATCGTAGGCTTCATTGTACCGACAGCGGTTGGGATGGGGTGGATGTCCTTGTCGAGGAGGGGGGTCTCTGGCGGAACTTGATTGTGCGATCGTAATAAGGTCGGATGTCTTATCGAGTGAGAACTCAATAGTCTGAGATATTATAAAGCTAGGTAATAGCGATGTCGATGCCACAGGCGTGATCTTAACTGTCAGCAATGTGTATTAGGTGAACGCCATTGTCGGGGAGGGAGGGGGTAGCCACCACCATGAGGGCAAGGTCAAGTGCTGACGCATCATAAGAGGGTGATGGCCGCCGACTTGCTGACCGAGTTGGGTCGTGCGACCTTGACAAGGTTAGATGTCTCCTTGAGCGAAGACAAGGATTGAATGGTATCCAAGATTCTGTCAACCACAGTGGTACCGTCACCAACCCCGCGTTGCGACCTATACCCTCAGAAAGCTCTACCTATAGCGGGACTAATGCCTCTGACTGTCTTGGGTGGTGCTTGCAGGAAAGCTTGTAGAAGTAAGAGATGACCTCGGACAAGAAAGATTGGTGGGAATAATGGGTTGACTCGGGAGGGGCCATTGATGGGCGACATTGCCAGTTAAAGATAATACTTCTTTGTGCTGGCGATATGGTCATATCCATCTGTTTTGGGATCCTGTTGAAAGAGCTGGTGTCGCGCAGCGGGAGATTATAATGGTTCACCAAGAGGAGATCAAGTACAAGCGAAGGATAACCCAAGCTCCACCGGCCTCAGTCTCTACCATGCCGCCGCCATCCTCACAGTCAGATGTTAACGTGCTTGTTGACTCTGCAGCTGGGGAGTATTGCTGTTATTTGCACTATAACACCCTTAACGCTCTGAGTAACGAGTGACAGCTCCAATCCTTCAACCCATCGATGATTTGGCAACGGAATTGTTGAAGGGTGCCAGTCGATCGCGTTTTACAGGAGCCTGTTTCTAGATGACTTGTACCGACGATAAGAGGAAGTTCACCTTAGGTGCGAAGCCAGGAGCAGCACCGGGTTTGATATGCATCGCAATAGTCTTCTTATCTCGCTTGGGTATGACGTACGTGCTGGGTGAAACGAGCTCCAGCACAGGCCGAAGCCATCAGGCTTGACGACCTGGCCATTAGAGGCGAATCATGTTTATACAAGTCGGTTCCGGAGTTGGCCTCTAGGAACTCGAATCTCTCCGGCGCCTTCGAGGTTGACTATCTCCTTGGCGTAGGCGACAGTCTCCTCCTCATCCATGGCAAGCGTATCGGAAAGCCATGTAAGAATATTGAATTGTGCGTTGAGGAGCATTTTCAACATAGCGGCATCACCATCCTTGTCCTGCTCTAGACCTTGCGAGCGCGGACGGCGAGTGGGGTAAGACTTTATACTGCCTGGTAATCGTGTCAGCAATTGCCAATGGAAGAGAGAGGTGTGGCAACTTACCTCTCGACTTGTGACCTTTTTCTTTCTGTACTGAGGCATCGCACGTTAAAGAAGCGGGAGCAGGGGTGTAGGTATGGGCAGTTTGTCAAACCGTGGCTCATCGTAATGGAAGCGTATCAATACAAGACTGAGCTGCTTGACTGTTCGATGATAAGACCGATGTAAACGAAAGGTAAGTCGATGAATGTGGGAACCGGCCTTATGTTGATGCGCGGTGAAGATGGCGGGGGCGTCCGTCGTTAACGTTGAAAGACACGCGACGTCAAGTTGAGAGTCGTTTTCTTATTATGTAGGTGAAAGAAAGAGTAATTTGTGGAATGCTTTGGTTGTAGTTGGAGTTGGCTGTGAGGTCGTGGGTTTTGTTTCGGTTGAAGTTCAGGTGTGTGGAACGACAAGGCGATACGTCACGCCCACGCCCGCTCAGTTATATCATGAAATAGGTCATCTAGGATAGAAATCTTTGATAGACCGTATTTCAAGATTGTCCTACAGCTAGTTGACAACGCAAGTGACTTGCTGCATTGGTGTTGTGGCGATTTCTCTGAAGCAGAGATCGCATACCTGGCTATCATGAGCTGCTTTGTGCTTCAGCCCGCATGACATTTGTCTTTCAATCTTTGGCTACTGCTTTTCATGAGACATGTCACGGTCAGTACGCTATGGCTTCTTACAGAGAAAAGAGGGTACATATGGACCTAACTTTGCGCACCATTGCCGCTTTGGGAGACGCGTATGAGTCTAAACAGACAAGACTCTACAATACCAATGTTGTCGTATCTGCCGTTAATAGTGTTGATTACGAAACCTCGTTTCCGTACCAGAGTTATCGATTCTGTACGGACATTATCCGCCATGTCCTGATCGTTAAGATGATTTTCCAGGAAGGAAGTGGTTCGTCAGGCTGTTTCGAGAAGAGACTACCCTAGTCACAGAACTACATCAGTGTCCCCCAGTCGATACGACCTCCTTCATATGCCCCAGCCGCAATTTGATTAAGCTTGTAGTTGGCTTTTAGGGTATAACAGTATCTGGCACCTTTCTTATTAAGCACCTCGGTGAAACTCATCATAAAGGTGTTTGTGGAAATTGGCTAACCCAGCGGTGACGTAAACCCGACCATGCGCTCCGGCTTGTGACAGAAATGATCACTAAGCGTAACTCTTTGCTTCACAGGAGTACAAGAAGAGGCTTGAATCAGGGGATGTTTCTGAAGGCTCATTTGGGGAGCCAGCTATCCCGACGCAACACTGAACTCTTCAAGTGTCGATCAACTCCACCCTTTAACATTTTTGCTCATGTATGGAAAGAGAGCGGTCTTTGAAGACTCCATGAGTCATGAGAGCAGACAGAATTTGGGTTATGTTTCTTCTATTGCGCGTAAACCAAGACTTGTCCCGAAGTCCAGCCTGCTTATCACCCTGTCGTATATCCTCCGGTCCCGTGCTCAGCCCCGACATTTACACTTCTGGCGTCCTTAGCCGTAACATCTCTTCTACCACAGTCATCTCAATTTCGCGGCTACTCGATCATTATATTCCACCTATGTAGGTCAAGCTCAACAATACGTCTAGTGATAATGGGTAACTTATCCTTATGCATTTGACCAGCCCGCATCAACTCACCTAGAGTGGCGGGAGGAACAGTTATCAACACGCAAATTGGAGACGTCGCCTGAGGCCAGAGGCTGAATTTATCTCAACAATTAGGGGATTACCCACCTCAACGAAGTTATAAGGAGACTCTCAAAGACCCAAACGTCGCTGGCCAAAGATAGTATGCAGAAGTCTCGGGGGAGTGATCTGTGTGCAGGGACTCGAGATATACCCCAGACGCGACACTGGTACGGCATCCCAGACATAAGGGGAGATGAATGTAATTTGTGTAGGTGGTAGCGGAACGGATCATCTTGATGGCCATCGCCAGGCCCTTTGCGATTCATCTTTCCGGCCTTATTGGTAATAGAGTGTAGCGTCGGCCACAAGAAGGGGTGACCAAGGTGATCAAGTACCGGTGATTCCTTGTGGGAACGCTTAGAGACTCAGTCCCCTATCGTGACAGAGGGATGATGTCCTTAAGAAAGCCGCTTCAGATCAATCTTGTCATTCAAGATCATTAAAATCACAGGTAGGGGATCCTAGCAAACGGCATTTGGGGGCCTTTGACCTGCGTTCCAGAATCGACAACGACATAACAACCTTTCTACTACCAAGCTCTCATATCTTCAATTATGCAGCACATCCTGCGATACTCCATTCATCACAATATCACAGACTAAAAATGCACTGCCAGGGCAAGTATAATGTGGTTGTCATGATGGTCCATGTTTATTGGTATAGTATCGTCCTTGTCCGCAGTACTGATGAATCTGCCCTGCGATAAAGACACAACTGCCTTAAGGAAAGCTACTCCCTACCGCAGACCTTATAAATCCACTGCTCACGCGGGAAGTGACCTGCTCCTCTGGAAAGCAAGTGACCATAAATGAGAGCCTCGATATCGAGCTGAACAATCCTATGTCCTCCCGAACATACGTCGTCAACGACCTGACTTCGATGAAAGCTGTGGTGACCAAAGGTTCTCGCATGGTCAATACTAAACCCTCCAGCTCTCTTAGAGTCTTTAGGTTGTCAGTAATAGCTAGATACGAATGTATTGATGGTGGCTATAAGATATCAACATGGCAATGCAGGATCCATATAGCTATGGCTTGACTGGTCTCTCTTTGATCAAACTTATGATCCTTGGATGTGTAGATCTTGCGGTGCTGCTAGGTGTCTTGCAGATGAAGAAACGAGACCGGGGTACTAACAGCAAGCTGCCTCCCAGGCAAGTTGAAGCTTCTCTTTTGATCCTCCTCGGTGTCCCTTTCTTCCTCCCTCTCATCTTGGGCCTCTTCCCTTGGTCTTCGCCTGCTCTTGTTCCACTTCCGCCATCGTAAATTGGACATCCCACGACAGCCCCCGGCGGAGGCTGCAGCCAGGTTGCATCTGGCGGTCTTCGGGAACACTTTCGGATGACTCCCCAAGCAGAGGACAACCCAAGCTCTACGGGCCTCGTTTTCGTCGTCCTCGACGTCAGAAGAAACACGCCCAGTCGAGAACTGCTCTGGCAGTGGGTCGGTAACTCTGCAGACGAGAGGTTTGTAACTTGAGAATCTACGTGCAATCGACCCCGATGTTTACAATGAGTGGTTTACTGGCGTAAACTTGAAGTGATTATCTGTTTACAGAGGATTAGGCCAATGCAATCTTATGAACTGGAATGTTACAGCCTTTCTCTCGCATTCGGGTCATGGGTAGTGTGTCTTGGAAGCAAAGTAAATACAGCCACATCTCAAAAAGACCAAGGACATTCAGGCTGAGGAATTTCGCCTTTCTACTTGGATCACCATAGTATAAGTGGTCACACAAGACTACTCATGAAAGATGACCTTCAACGCTCTCCTGTCTCTTGTAATTACAAGTTAAGTTATCGATAGAATTTATCAACAAAATATACTGCATAATTATAGTAGATATGAGGAGACACTTGATGTCTTGCCGTATGTCTAACTCTCTTGTGTATCCCTATGCCCAGGCCATGTCTTAGCCAAACCAAAAGAGTATATACCTGGGCTTTGCGCGGTATATTGTCAAAGGTTGTCGACCGCTTGCAAGAATATTCAGCTACTCATAACCGCTGCACTGCAAACATCACCACTATGCTCATTGACCTAACTCTCTCGGCCGTACCTCAGTCGTGGATGAAGTTACCAAATATCATAGAGTACTTTGGGGGGTGGGGGGGTGGCATGTCATTTATCTTCTCGTTTATGTTGTCATGGATTTCAGGCTGAGGGGGACCGACAAGATGTAGTATCTAGTTTGTCAATATATGCTGGTACTTGTGACTATAGCCGAAACATCTACGTACATGGGCTGTTGATGAGCTGACACCCTTTATTCTATGCACACCGGTGATGAGTGGTATACCCTCGTCTATCCTCTTCTTAATGGCGGTGCAAGGTAACCTCCGTCTTCGTTCATTGGCACTCATACGCTGAAGTAGCATTGTGTGATCGATAGTAGGAAGGGGAAGCCACATAACATAATCCTAAGGACCTGAAGTGGTTTTGTTTGAGGATCCTCGTGCGTAAATCCCAAAGTGTTGGAAAACCTTCTCTTCCAACAAACGTGGAGTGCTCGGGCAAGTTATGGCGGGTGATGTTTCAAGTTGTACGCCTAGAGGCTGACTTCTAATCCTCGGGTGTATCAATCTCTGGAGGGCTCAGTGGTGGAAATGTGAACATGTCGTTCGGCCTTGTTTTCTTAGTATCTATTGGTGGCCACCTATCGTCCAGAAACATTGTCTTGCCCAACATCTACGGCGACCTAAAGATGATGTCATTCTATGGTAGAGGTATGGGCATCCGGTCTTGCGATAGAATCGAACATGAAGCTTGAGGTAAAAGGCAATGATGAAAGACAAGAACCAGGCTTACCCTCGGTCTTAGTACCGATTGAGAGAGCTTCTATTCTCCTTATTCCAAGTCAAGAAACTTCCATCCACGCCCACATCCGCTGATATCCTAGCAGGAACCAGATCTATAAAAGGCTAAGCACAAACCTCATGTAGAGTCCTGTTGCCCCTGTTGGCTTCTTAGTGGCGGGCGTCTCAGCAACATCCTTCTTCTCACCGATAGGCTTCTTGTGAGCAGTAGGCTTCTTGACCTCAGGCCGGTCCTTGGCGAGCTTGGTACCACCCGACCTGAAGTCTGAGTAGATTAGAGCCAAGGCCAGGAGGATGCCAGATTTTGCGATCGCGAAGGTCTCGCCAAAACTCCCGCTCGTATTCTTCCCCCAGCGCACCAGAAGACTCTCCTTCCACAGATGGCTCTCATTCTACAGCCCCTCACCCTCACTAGCTTCTCTCACTACCACAGACACATTCTGGAGGCTTTTCTGCAAAGTGTCAGTGAAACCTAGAGATATCCAATACGAAGGGTGAGTAGCTACATGGTCTAGGACAGTCATGATCGTTGCTTAGACAATCAAGGTCACGGAGGTCGTATCTGCCTGTATTAAGAATGCGTACGTTGATGTTCTGGTGTTGCAGCTCATCGCGGAGAACACAACCTGGGACTAGATGGGCCGCGATGTCTTGCGAAACACATGCGATATCCGAACGAACTGCTTAGTCAAAACACAAGTCTATTACAGAAATTAAGGATAACTTACCCAATAGCGCTGACGCTATCCTCGGGAAGCAAGGGGGTAGCAAGATCAATGGGTGACGCTGTGCAAAGGTGCTCAGTGTGACGGAAAAGTGAGTGCCTAGAGATGAGCCTTTCCATACGCATCAGTCCACGCTCCGTCATGATCGAAAACAAAAAGGTGCGCTTTATCAAAGTCACAGCAAACTTACGGATCGACCAGCGATAGAGCTCATCGGTGTGCCCCCGTCGATGAAGAGAGCCGGTCGATTACAACTCTGAGCCTTACATCTAGTTATACTGTCACGATAGTCTAATCTATAAGACTTTAAAGAAGAGTTACTCCAATAATGTTTCTAGGATTTACGTCAAGTTTGCTTTCAAAAATGAGTTTTGCAGCCAGGAAGTAAAGCAATAATCACATACGGAAAAGTCAACAATCCAGTTCACGGTAAGGTCGAACCTCAGCCATTTCGTCGGGGAGGATCCCATATGTATACACCTTGTGATTATAATGGCGGATTGGCTGGATATGGTGGTGTTGGGTTTCCAGAGATATGAGGTGGTGTTGGATTAGGTATTTGGTCATGGCTAGTGCGCTTTGGCGTATTGCTTTGTGTGTGTCTACCCTCGTAATTCTCGTAATGATGCAGACGTGACACTTCTGGCTAGTGAAGACAGGGACGTTATTCAGGCTAGATCAGCGACTGTTATTACTCTAGTAATATGAAATGAAAAGAGGAACCATTGACTGACTGACTCGCTTTCTATAGAATCACTCTAGTACTAAATGTAGCTTACTATCTGATAATACGGCAAGCTTCCTCGTCTAGATCTAACTAGATGATGGCGCTTGCGTTAAGACAGAGTTTCTTCCGTGTTTCTATTTATGTCTGCCAGTACATGATGAGGCCGAAGTGATATCAATGCACAGTGGATGATCTTAACCACGTACATCATTTGCACGTCAGATAGCTTTGACTCCAGTGACAAGTCAACGATAGCGCAGGGTGCTCTCATGGGCAGGAAAGCTGATAGCGTGGGCTCAACTTGGGGTATGAGGAATGACTTAGGTGTAGGTAATTCCGGTATAGATCATTACGGAAAGGGAGAGTATTTACGATCCGAGGCGTTCAAGTGGTTTTTGGAAGTAATTTACATGCATATGAATTAGCCAGACATTCATCCAAACGTTTTTCAACAAACCTGTACTAGTTTGCAATCAAGCTGCGATTAGAAGCTTGTAAAGGATTACCTTCATTTTTGCCCCAATCAGTTTGCCTAGACATAGAACTACTTGGTAATCGAGCGGCTTACATAATATCACCGCCATTTTCACAAAGAGTAAAGGTTTTAATAAACCAACGAGTGGTCATCACTTGGCTAGTTTCTGCGGTCGGTGTCGATATACAAATATCTGAGATTCCGTCGATTTGCTGTACTTAGAAATGTAGGCTCGAGTTGTCATGATCTATTACCCATGTTCCACAGGTGAACGACTGGTAAGCATGTGTGGAAGTCACGATAATGCAATCCGTCACGTTAATTATATGTGCGGGCATGGACGCGAAAGGGGCAATGAAAGAATGGATTTGCCGAACTCGAGCTAATATAAGTATCCTCATGGCTAGTACTATCTTAAAATACTATCAGACCAGAGCCAATGACCTGTATAATTTCAGGGAGCTTGAACAAAATCGAGCCTGAGAAATGAACCATCCTTGACATGTGGACGTGCTAATATTTTGTCCTAAAAGACATTAATAGACAGTCATAGATGCTGAAGAGAAAGGATGATAATAACTAGCGCCAGCTTGGAATGGCCAATATTTTATTACAAGGTAATGGGCATGTTTATCGATAAGAGATCATTGGACTAAGTGGTCGCGGTGTTCGTCTTGTGCAAAGTCAAGCTCGTGAGTAACTAGATCGTCAGAGACGGAGCTACGGGTGTGAGTTCGGCGTGATCACGTGTGGAGTATTAGAGACCTCCTCAGACAGGTACAGCCAGGTTTACCGTATTGGAAGATGTGATAATGAACTCCCAGATCATTACCTTCGAAAGTGTCATGAAGCTATATAATAGCTTGGACGGCAGCTTACACTACCCAGTCTGATGACGATGACAGCGAGTTCATGTGGGCAGACTGTACCGTGTTGGTTCCGAGTTCATGTCATACCCTGTTCGAATTCGAGGCATGCCACACGAGTAGTCATAGAGTTTAAACACCTAAGTTCTTCAGTCTCCAGGTAGGATTTTGTTCAAGGAGCAAATGCTCAATAGGGTTGTTAAGATGTGAGACTTGGCGATCATGAGTCTGGACGCCAATGTCAAGACTGTTTCAAATATGGCGAGGTGGCTCTGAGTGGACGTTGCTTTCTTACTCCTAAGACAGTTCAAGTCTATCTTGGATGTCTTGGCATTCAGGCACATCTAGAGATTCTGCCCCGCGATATTGAGTACAGCCCTTTTTAGATTTATGTACGTACTTGAACTGGACACTGCGTTCGTTTGTTTCCGCATGGTTGTATTATTCGGGGGCATATTTACGTAACAATCGTTGAATTAAGTGATGCACTTACCCTACGCCGTGGCAAGTTGGATTTATGCGACTTAAGGCCAGCAGATGACGCCGTCAGAAACCGGCAGAATGTAGTGCCGAGGCTGGATGCGCTGAGTCATGGAGATTACGGTCAAGCGCTTTGCCGCTATTCTGCCGATGGTCCGCCGAAGACGGGACCGCAGGCGGGGCCGAAGGTCCGGGATCAATGCGGTGCCCTAGGTCCGGGTCGGTGCGGGGCTGATAACGGTAACAGTTTGCCTACTCACACTACCCCGCAACGGTGTGGAACGAAAGATTACGTGCCGGCCAACAACACCACCAGAGAGCCTGGGCCGCCTTATCCACGACGTTACGGGGCTCATCGACAAGCCTGAGCTTAACAGTGAGAAGCGAAACAAGCTTGAGAGTAAGACTCAGCCTGATAGCGCTTCGCTCGATAGCACCTGGGGAAGGCACTGGATCTTACAAGACGTGCGCGCTGGACAGGCGAACCCGGCGCTCAAGGGTATTAGAGGTATGCGACGTATTCTAGTCGTGTGCCTTCGCAGGAACCTCGAGCTGTAGAGTTGTAGGATGACGACGGGCCTTTGAGAAGCGCAGTCGACCGTGACGTTATCCTCAAGACACTCAGGCCTGGCCGTCCACGCCCGTGCCCACACCTGTCGGCCAAGATCACCAAACAAGTCGACGATCAGCTGGAGGCTGATCAATCAGAGACTTTCAATGATTCACAAGATCGGGTACTGTCATCATTGTTGAGTCGCCGGTCTGTTACAACGGAGGATCTTACTACTCTCAACGCTACGGCCCATTCCACCACGGCCCAGTCACCTCTCAACACACAATCCGAGACTGGCCACCATACGATTGAACTTGACACCGGTCACCCCTCTTTCTTGGGCGATCTGGAAGATGCACTCAGTGACACTACACGAGGATACCTCAACGGACTGCGAACCATACGTGATAATATTATCATCGGCGCTGAGAATACGGCGCGCGACGTTACCACAGCGAAACAGCATGAGACTGACGCAGAGGTACAAGCCAATGCAGGACGTGAGCGAGATGAGGAACTGGAACGAATGGCGAGTCGCTTAAATCGTGCGAGGCAACCGCTGATAGCGCTTCAAAAAGCACACCGTAAGCATGACCTGGCGATAGAGATGGTGGAGGGTGAGGTACCAAGGTGAGGGGAATGAGTAGCCTGAAGAGATGATAAGTGTATGAGACGAGTTACTGTCTTTCTTTTACCTTGTTAGTGATGTGATGATATAGTATAACTGAATTGAGAGACTTCCAGTCGGTAGCGGTTGTGGTTATTAATTCATGTGTTTTCATTGGACTTCTGCTGTCGTGATGTTTTTGTGAGGGACTGAAATGCCCCCGGTCACGCCACAAACGCTGTTAGCACGTTGTAATCACTGTAGTCCTGTACTGGAGGATATACACGGCCGTGGGAAGTCTTGGATGAATTGAAGACCCCCAACCTGGGGAAGTTGTACGAAGCGACATGGACGTCAAGGGAAATAATATGGAATGGCAACATAGGAATCACGGTGAATACTTTCGAAAAGATTTAACATGTGGCACTGATATGTCTCTTGCAACAGGCAATAAGTGGCTGAAGCTGTACTACATGGGGAGCTGATGACTCTGAGATTATGGTTCTTGTAGGGGGCGTTGGTAGATCCCTTGTTGATGCTTGACGTTGGTGGGATGTTGGCGACTAGTGAGGTGCTTACGAATCGGATGCGCCAAGATATTCGGGAGTTTGTGCAATGGTCGAGGACCCTGGGCTTATAGAAATTTGCCACTGGAAGAATATTGCGGAAGCTATTGAAGGATCAATAGTAACTCTTAGTTAGCTCTCCCCTCTGCGTTACGTATGTAGCAGTGGGCATCATAGTTGCCATAGACAAACAGCATTGGACAGGTATGCGTGTTGACAAGAAGCAACATCGAGATAGGTTCTCTCGAAGATAACACTGGTGTTTCTTTGTCCGATAGTAAACAACCCCCATTATCCACACGAGAAGTGTAAACAAAAATATCGGTTTCTTGTTCGAGAAACTGCAACAAGATGCTTTTGCCTCGTGTCACGGACATCGCCACCGGGGTTTGCGAGTTAGTGGTTTGCCGAGGATATGCGCATTATCTACAGACGCTGCCTACATGGCTTTGAGAGCATGGTGTTTAATCTCGACAATTAGTGAGAATAGACGATGGTCCTTCGCTATGTTCTCTAGGGTTCAAATGATATGGCATGTGTTGTAATAGTTTAGAACATCATCGGCGGTAAACCTATTACACCTTTGGTGTCTGTGCAGTTGACGAGTTCTTAAGATAATATAGGCCCGAAGTTTAAGACTTTTAGTGGCTGGTTATGAAAGTGAGCCTTGGTGGTATGTGGTTCAAAGTAGTGTACCACCTGTCTGATTCAGTCAACGCCAAAGTCAGCGACGGGTCACAAGAATATGCCCACACATGCTTTCCCACCAATACGGGCTATAGCGAATTTTGGAGTCAAGTACAACATCCTATGCGGGGTAGAGTATCTTATTTTGGGGAGGGAGAAATTAATATCAGGTGGACCCTTTTAGGGCGTGCAGGTAACACTGTTTATCCTCCTTGCAGGAGAAGGAACATTGCTTTTTCCTCTCCACCCTTTCTCAGCGTGTTTACAAAGGCTTTGACCAGCTTTCCTATCCAGAGACAATACTGATTTACCCAAGGAAATAATCGAGACGAAAAGCTTACTATAACTTCATCTCAATAGTGAATACTTGAAAACACTACAAGAGAAGGGGACTTCCCTCATCCTCTCTTTGACTAAGGGGGGTGAGAGTGAAACCTTTTTAGTATTACTCTTGGTGACACATGTATACACAGCCCCCAGAAGCAAAATGTGAAACCGCCAGTTACCCGCACACCTCGTTAACCCGGCGTTACTGCATACTAGGTATGTCAGGTCTGCACAGCGGTTATGCAAGCTTGTCGGATGCGAGGATTGTTGTGTTATTATTGTCCACGGAAGAGTGTAATCTCTTGTGCTAACTTCTCTTACTTGTTTCCACTCACCAGATAACTAACGCGTGAGTTTATCGCCGTGACAAGGGAGAGCCATTGCGATCTTAACAGGTTCATACGTGCTTATTCGTCGATTCCGCAGAACGTATGGGTCCTTACACGGACGATACACGCTGCACTTTGGCACGGCGTCTGCTGGGTCTCGGGCGTGTTGACTTGGACTTTTCGGGACAGACGGGTTACAAAAGCGGCGGTTAGTACGGCGCCATGCTATACCACTCATCAGCTACATCAAGGTCCACCACGAGCGTTGATTCCACGTTCTCTTGATTTGTACCCGTCTCACAATGCCGCACCTGGATCGTACAGTCTCGCCTCTCCAGTCTCGCGCTCCGCAGCGTGATGCCTAGCCCGTTATCTACACGTCACCTGTAGCCTCCCGCCTGCTATCCTATTCGCGCCATTATGTGACGCTGGCGTTGGACGGCTATCCTTAGCCGTACGGGGTGCTTTTCTTACTCTCACGGGGTGATGACGTTGCTGACATAATGAGGCTATCGAGCCGACCAATCATAGAGACAGCTTGAAAGCTCTAGCTTGATTAAGCGAGATCCATCTGGACGCCCCTGTCACGGGGCATGTTACGGGGCATGTTACAGGGGCGTTCAGATTGACCTTACCCCTTTAGACCGTGGCTGCTGAAAATCGGATCTGATTGGTTGGATCGAGAAAAAGGTCACGTGCACCCCGTGCGTTTAAGAAAAGTACCCCGTCGAAGGGAAGGGTAGCCGTGTTGGACGTGCTTGAGGCGGTTTCGTGTAGAGTCTTTGACCATAGACTACTCGATTGAAAAGAGCAGAGACGATAGGAAAAACAGAATCGTGTGGATTGACGCCGTCACCTTGATCAGGACCTCAGCGTCTGTCGTCAGTGTCTTTAATCAGGCTGGATACTGGCAAGTCACCCACTCACTGGGATGTCGGTCGCTAGGTTTCTGTAGAACAGGATCCAGAATTCCTATTGGAGTTCTTGCAACAGGATGTGCCGGGTTGATGACAAGATCTTTGCCTGTCTATTCATTCGAAAGAATCCCTTTTGCGATATGGTTCTCGTTCTGTGACACCGTCTTGCTAGGTACCAGCGCCGACGCCCAGTTCTGCATTCTGCACTGGCTTCCTCACATTTTTTCACTTTGTTTCTTTTTCGCGCGAGCCCAATCCCTCTTGTTTCAAAGAACATTCATAATAAGTATCACGACACGCCGACAGTCAATTGAATTCCCTATCTTGAGCAGGGTAGAATAATTCCAGGTGTGAGCCTCTAATGACGTCATGTAGTATGCACACACTGTAGTACAGCGCCATGACCGCCATAACCGCCACTAGCACGATCCCTCCAGATCAGGTCAAGAGAACGATCAAGACCAAGAATTCCAGGAGCCAATCCGTCGCATGGAATTCTACTACACGATATCAATCGCATAGCTTCTGGCTCTTGGTAGATACTATTTGCGTCAAATTTCACTGACAAACAGCAGAGTTGGTGGTTACAGCGGGCATATCAACTGTAATACAGCGCCCCGCCCACTAAACGTTGACCACCTCACGATTGACGATTCTTGCCTCTACCACCCACGATACGCAGCCAGGCGTCTAATTGAACTGAATGCATTTCGGCAAGATTGAGCAATGGAATAAAATAGATAATTGAATGCGCTTCCAGGTGACACTATGCACGATTAAATTAATGGAGAATCAAGGTCTTTGTCTCCATTCCATTAATGATACATTTGGTCAACTTCTGACTGTCGCAAACTTGACATTTCTCATTGTTTAAGATACTAGTAGCGCAACAATAAAACTTCAATACAAATGTTTCGAACAAGCCATCATCTGCGATAGGTCAGATTGAGGTCCAAACCTAGGGATTGAAGCGAAACGTACCGTGGTCATGTTGTGTGGAATAATAAAAAATATTCAGTTGTTACCACCATTCTCATTCTCGTCCTCGTCCACCTCGTCCACACCGCCCAGCAACTCCAACTGCAGACGGGCATTCTCCAATCGGAGACGCAAAATGGTGTTCTCCTGCTCCAGGAGCAGGTTCTCGAGATACTTGACGTGTATCTCATGGATTCGCTCGTTGTCATCGAGGATGCGCTACATCCAGCGACGCGCGTATCGGACAAATCGTTGATCCGCGGCTTGGATGGCGGCGTCCACGACATTGAGAAAGGTGTCCAGGAATCGAGGCATTGTGGCTGATGTTGTGGCTGTGGCTGTGGCTGTGGCTGTGGCTGTGGTTGAGATTGAGGTTGGGCTTGAGCTTGTGCTTGTGTTTGTGTTTGTGTTTGAGATAAGTTCAAATTTGGGACAAGGACACAGATGAAAAGATTTTCCATGGCAATTCCTGTTGGTCTACTTGGAGCAGGTACGTTTATGAACTTGCGGAAAGAACCTATGACGTGGACACATCTCGCCTTGGACGCTCGCACTTGCCCTCAAGCTACGAACACCTTGCTCAAGGACAGTCTCGCCGCATCGCTAATCTTGCGATAAGCAAACAGGAACAATTTAGTGCGTTGGACTTTCGGCAAGACCTGACGGATTTCTAGACGTGCATTATCTCCCGGCTTGAGTGACAAACCCTTAAAGATCTTGGCGCTGTCTGTGGGTTGGCTGGTTTAAGATCATTAGATCAAGCCGAGGTGAGATTGTGTGTTTTTTCCACTTGCTTGGATCTATCTCAGCTCAATTTGGAATATGCGGTCATGATTGCGAGACTTTCGGTAATGTTTCTGAATGCGCTGGTGTAACAGACCTAGTTTATAAAGACCCTACCGCCAGTGGGTGACTGGGATAATCGCTTCACCTCAGTATCGGACTACCGCGCAGTTGTATCATTGAGAGTCGCGGCGGAGTCACTAACAGCAACGTCAAATACGGGACTGGATCTCCAGCTCGTCGATTGAGGCAACACCGGTTCGAGGTAATTACATCCACTTAGGTCTTAAACACTGGGAGAACAAAAACAGAAGGACCACTGATAGCTTCAGACCCTATACTCAATCGCGAGCTGCCTGTCTCGGCGTAAGTCGTCACTAGAAGCTTGTAGGGAGCTAAGGGTCAGAACGCTTGAAAGCTACTTGGTTGTGGACGGTCGGAGTTTGGAGGATCACCGACGTCGAGATCAACCCCATTGTGGCACAGTCAAAATAAAGAATTTTGTTCTCGTTCGTGGTATCTCGAAGGACACGTAGTTTGCACAAGAGAAGCTTTTATGAGAGCACGAAGTCATAGTCGTACCTAGATCTTATTGACTCGTTGAGTGTAGACCATGCCGCCAAGCCAGTTTTTGTTGGCTGACGCGGGTTGCCAATTACGATATTACCGTTTGCACCTATTGGCGAGTGTAGCAGAGCGGGAATAGTCGTCAAGTCGCAAATACATCCTCTCCTCAGTTTGGCGTCAGACTCGTGGCTACTCTACGCTGCGCCCTGAACACTCAATCGTGTGCGCAGATCATAGGATCACTTTTACAGGAATGCTATTTGTGTCACATACGACCTGAAGGTCTTTGATTATGTTACCGGCTTTAAACCAGTTCTCGATTGATCAATGACAGAGGAATCGGGAGGAGCTTGCTTGCTGGCCTGCGATGAGGTCCATATTGATCGCCACGGACTACGGGGGAGCGAGGTCTCAAGCTACATTCTTCCTCGGAACTGGTTGCCATCCGTCAATAGCGAATAAAATGTATATACTTGGAGTTATCTCGTATTGATCGAGAATGATAACCGTCTGCTTGGTCCTACCCTGAAATTTGACTGGCCAAGCTCTCGGGAAGATGCAGAAAAAATGCATCACGTGGTGCCCACTTCCCCGCGACAGCGATGGGATGACAGGCGGAATGACGTTCCGGGCTTCGACTAGTCAGGATCAGTTTCAGCTCCTGCAGCCACAAGGACGCTAGAGCAAGAGTGCGATCAATAGCATTAGAAACGGTTGCATGTTGCTTTTTCGAAGCAGGGTAAAAGATTCTAGACCTCTGTTACAACTAAATATTCTCCGACAAAAGAAGCGCTATGCTGTCATAATTGTCTTTTAAAAGCTACGAGCATGGCTTGGCATAGCGACTGCGATTCTCAGTCGCTGGCGCGGTAAATGACAGTCTAACACGAGGGAAAAGATCTCTCCAGACGTTACAGAAGATGAAGTATATTATTATCGCTGGCCATCCCAGCTTGAAAAACAATTCCAATTCTTCACAATTCACATCTCACCAGGAGAGCAACAAGCCAACATGGAGATGCAGTCGAACCAGCAGGCCTCCTCTTCTTCAATCGACTATGTTGTCAATATGGGAACGAGTCCATCAAGCCCCCACGCCCTTGCCCCTGCGGCCCCTACTGGAATTGCGCCCTGTCATCTTTCGAATGATGTACCGACCCTGCTTTCTCTTAATAATTTGGCGCCGCACCCTAATTGCCGCGGATGCTACGACAACAATGAAGCGCAGCCGATCGAAGGTGAAGAACTCGCGACGACTGAAGTCGAGATGATATTGCAAAGCTCACAGGTTGATCAAACCCAGCCAGGTAAGTTCACCACATCTTTCACGACTCATATACTGACACATATCGTATGAAGTTGATACAAACATCAAACACGACATCACCGCCGAGTCCAAACCCGACCTGAACCCCCTGACAAAAGCCTGGAAAGAGAAGGAGGAGCCTGAGGGTCTCTATTACGCTTGCCCCTTTTACGCGGTGGATCGATATCGATTTTATTCCTGCGGAAATTCGAGACCGACTTCTTTCTCCCGACTCAAAGAACACCTCGGGCGTAAACACTGTTTCGGGAAAACCCCCTTTTGTATGAACTGCCGCCAAGATTGGTCAACGGAGGAGGGTTTCACGAATCATCAGGGAAATTATGAATTCACGCCCATCGAAATAGCTGCGATACTTTCAAAACAAGAGTATGATTTCATTGGCAGGATGGGCAGTAACGATGAAGAGAAGTGGAACCATATGTGGACTTTTCTCTTTCCCCTGCGCTCTCTGCCCTCTTGCTATCACGACTTGGAATTGACCCAATACCTACGACTGCGGAACGACCTGCCGTTAATGTTCACTAAGTGGATGTACGGACGACGCTGGCCTGTCACACCGGAGATGGCAGTTGATTTCACCAATGGCATTGTCGGCCAACTTTTCCCCGGTTTGGATGCTCAGTTGAGATTCTTGCTTTAACAATCCCAGAAGCAATCAGCTAGAAGCTATTTGGACGATTCTGTTATCTACTCCTCGGAGCTGCGTTAGATGGAAAGTCTACCTTTTCAGGAAATAAACTACTATTCTCTACATATCTATGTGTGTATTTGGTTATGTATAGGCTTATATACCGACTGAATGTTTAGACTTTCTCTTATATCGAACGGAAGATGTATGGAGAAGGAAGTTGTTAAACAACCGACAAAAGGGAAAAGTTATTTTTGATGTTATTTTGGATGTATGGAATGTGTCATACTGAAGTTTGTTATAATTGATTTGAGAAAAGAGAAAATAGAGGCCAGACTAGCGAGTAAATTAGAATAATTCTCGAGGATAACTCATCAATACATGCTGGTGGCGAAAGCTCCTCACACTTCACAAAGGATGACCCTTTTAGAGGTCCTCTTCTCGCGCGCGGATGCTCCAGGTATGAAGAACAAAGAGTGCAAGACAGACACTCGCGGTGATTGAGATGGGAGAACGAAAGTCTTGGCGCCGAAAACCTTTAGCTGCAAAGTCAGTTGGTTACACAAAGGCGTCAATGCTTGACTGTGCTTATCACAAATGACGTTTTGTTTATCTCATCGCTCTGTTACACGATCCCGTCGCGTCAAGACTCCATTCACGTCACGCCAACATAAACAAGTCACAATGCGACGAGTCTCAACAACCAAGGTACAAGCAATCCATTTCATCCACTCTCTATCATTTTAACTGAATCCCCCAGTATCATTATTCTAGCCATTCTCTTTTACTCCCCGATTGTTCCTTTCCTCTAGTACGGCTTACCACAAACCCAAGTCTGCACACCCTCCAGATGCGCACTTCCGATGACTCGCTACAGGAGATAAAAGGCCCTTACCACCACACCAGATTCCAGAGCAAAGCTCGATGCCTTGTCGCCAACAGTATCCTGTACTAACATTACCCGAAACGCGCGGTCCCGCGCTCGCGTGAGGATACAACACCAGCATCTCCTCCCACTGGGCTTGCATCTGCTCCAGGGCTTATTCGCCTTGTAGTCGGATTCATTTCAGAGTCTCGTGGCGTTCTCAACCGAGCTTTTCTTAGCATTGTGACCGGAGAGGTAGGGCTTGATTTCGTGAGGGGAATGATGTTGGAGGATCGCGCATCTCGGCGCCGATACCGGATGCGTTCGACACTCCGCTGCTACCCCCCTGCTTTGTCTCTGTCAGCACTCCATCCCGTGCATCTCCAACCATCATCGACCCCACTATCAAGGATCATGGTCAAAATGCGGAACGAGGGGCTGCGTGTCGGATCATATCTCCTAATCTTTTCACCACTTCCACGAAGCTTCCTTGTACAGTCGATTGTCAAATCTTTCGACCGGCGACATACAAGTCCGTTCTGGAACCGTGAAAGTTATATTTGTTTTTGGCGAACGCAATCAAGCCAGTGGACAGACCTATCTACCACCAGCGTGCTTTAGCTTCGGCAGTGCGGCGGTATATCAAATATATATTCTCAGTAAACATGACATGTTCCGTCTGATTGCGCATCCCTCCACGCTGATTTACTACTTAGTATCACGAGTTCAATCGATCACGATCCCATGACAAGATCTCAACCGTCAGCCGTCTCTTGCTGCATATCCAGAATAGCAACAGACTTTACATGCGCTGCTTGAGTGTGTCATGCGATTGATTGATAGGGGCCAAGTCTGAGCGAACTTTTGTTAGATAACTTTTGAAGATCAATTGAGATACTCGCCACTGACCCTAAGGACATCGTCAGCTTCAAGACAAAATACACAGATACCCAAACGACGAGCGAGACTGGCTGGTTCTCTACAACCCGCATCGATTCAATCTTGCCACATATGGCGACCTGGGAAACATGAGGTTTGAGAGTGAGGTTGTATCCTCTTCCCGCTCGGAAACACTTCGCCTGGTGATATACTGAGGCTCGGTGTCGAAGATGTCTCCAGACGCGATCCAAGCATTGCAGGCGGTCGCAGAGCTGGACGTCGGCGAGTAGGAGTTAAGATTTCCATGTTAGATAACGGTTGTATAGGTGTAGCGAAACTGTGGCGAGGGCATTATAATAGTATGATATAAGAATTGATATGTTAACCAAAAAGGAGGTGGTAAATGAGGTGAATGTTATGCGTTGTTGAGGATGAGTTTGTTGAAGTTGTTGCTGTAAGTCCTACAGTGAAGGTAGATATGCCGACAACACAGCACTCGAAGAAGATGCGCCTGCCAAGCCAGAGCTTTCGACCAGGGATTGTCACCGGCCAGATCCTTTCGTGATAAGACGGTAAGTTCACTCGACTCAACTCATCTTGAGCACTGTCTAACGCTGCCCTATCGTAGATATCGCCGCTTTGAGGGCTGCTCTCCACCCGGTCCAGCGACTCGCTACTCATCGCCCATTTTCACTCCACCTCACACCAACCGAAACTACGCCTTCTGTGACTTCAAGAGGCGGTCCGTCTTCACGACTTGGTCCTTCGACCATACCCAGCCTACTTACTCCTGTGGGAAGGTGCACGGCGCTGCAAAAGAAGGGAGTGGTACGACAGTTAGATTAACACGCATCTACGAGCAATCTCAACTCCATTGTTGTCAGCATGGCTCTTTCAAGCGACCCAGACGTCTGTCTAACGACATATGTAGCAGCCCAAGCTATAGCCCGCTGGAGAGCACGCACCTGCAGCCCTTCTTGACCCATGGCTGGTAATGCTAAGATATCCAGTGCCCTCGCTCAACACGAAGACTCACAGGTCGAAGATGGCTAGGACCTGCATTCAGCCATGAAAGGAAAAGATTAACGACTGAGGATGATTTAGTGTGTATGTGCCATCCCTCCAGCTGGTGACGTTATCTTTGTGATCGCATAATATTAGATCTCTGCTTACACGTCAATAGTGTCATCATTCCCCAGCTGATGAATCTTCTCCACGACCAGCCGATCCTCTGAGCACACACCCACCTTGCACCGTCAGCCCATCAAGTACCACTGCGCGAGACCGTATCTCGAAATAAACCAGCGCGATGCCCAGTTTTTGCTCTTCCTCGAAATGCGAATCATCATCTCAGACTCCACGGACGTATCGCTTACAGCCAAATGAGCCAAGGGCCTCGATTTAACTACCAGCCTCAGGGTATAGCCGCGTCAGTCTCGCCCACTAGCTTCGCCAAAATCACGACTCCCGTCCTGTTAATACTGCTTTTCGCCGATTCCATGGGCGTCACCGGAGAGTGACTCTGGGAGCTTGTGGGACATCTCGGGTTCAGCTACTGAAGCCCCAATCTCAGCCAGCGATTCTATTTTGTCAATCAACGAATTTACACCTTTATCGAAAACGGCCGTCCAATTTTGTCAGGAGCATCCACTAACGTCGGGCAGGTTCGAGTGTTCGGTCTGACTGAGCCTCTTTGAAAGTCGTCAGGATGTGCCTGTCGGAGGACCTGGCGAATGTCACGCCTCCAAGAACCGCCGAAAGGAGACTTAAGGAATATATCAAGACTTTTGAGAGCAACAATCGCCAGATTGGCCAAGTGATTCAGTTCATCTATTTCAACTGCGCTACGAGTAGTAACAGAGCGGCTTATGGGAGGTGGCTGGGTGAGAGAAATACAAGCGGGAATTGCCCTAGCAATTGAATCCAGCAACAACATCACCCACGCTTTTGGATTTCTATTTATCCAGGCCCCAGTCGTTGGTTCACTGATGGCATTCCACAGCTGTCTCATCTCAACCTGCATGGCTCCCCGCAATTGTCATGATCGTTAGGACAACTTCACTTCTCGATGGGCGATAATCGAATGGCTTTGACCTTTAGTACTCTCTTCTTGATCTGTGTTTCGGATTAGCCTGTCATTTAGTTCTCAAGATGTTCCTATTCAAGATAAGATATTATTTCTCTTTTTGAATAATATAAAAAGGGAGGAAAACACTGCTCCGTCCCTTCTTGCCGACCAAAGCCCGTTACCTATGCGTCAAAGCTCTCACCAGTGCTCCCTCACCTCGCACCCAAAGTGGCATCCGCGCCAATGCAAAGACTATTGAAGTCGACCTTGAAATATTCGATGTAGTCAGTCTTGGCTTGCACTACTCCTTGAGAGCAGTGTCAAGTGTGGTCGTCTCCAGTCGTCTAGGAACGTCCTTCGAGAGCGGTTGCCGTTCCAGCGAAAGTGATTGATTTTGTCAAGACAACTCGCATTCTTATGTGTCCCAGATATGACCTCCTTTTGTCACACTGACCTGCCATGAGTAGCGCAGACTCCTACATGCGATCAAAACTCGTTATTCCAATCAACAACAAGGCAGTATAACCCCGGGTAATTGATAAACGGCCAAGTTGCATCCATCACAATTTGCGAAACCCAAAAGCGAAGTTGCCACAGACGAAGTCAAACGCGTCAAAGGAATACCCACTGAAGCATTCTTCGAGCACTAAGTATCATCGACGATCCCGCTCAAAGCCGGGGATCTCCTGAACAGGAACCACCGGCATCAACATATACTAATACAGAACCGGCGCCCGCATGTCTCTTTAGACAGTTTGGCAACACCAGTGGCATGACAGGCGAATAGCTTCTTGGCCAACCAGCGCAGAATCAGCAGCAACAGCAGAGTGGCACGAGGGGAGGAGGCTTGTTTGGAGGATTGGAACAAACAAGCCCGCATCTGGTGCTAGCTTTCTTCGGAATCGCAAGAGTGCAGCGCGTGTCCGCGCCGTCAACCATACTGGCCGCAACTCTTCCACAAGGTCAAACAGAAACAACCACCCGGCGCTATCTGTACTGAGTCAAATTCACTGCGAGCAACATGACCCTGAGGCTTGTATTAGAAATTTGGATGTAGTTTGCACTTTTTCAACGAGTCATTTTAATTTCGTCCTGGCGTTCTCCACAGATCCCGACAGATTATCTATTCGTGTTAATCCAGCGAACGAACTTCACTATACCATACATTGTATTACCTTACGGCGAGAGTCAAAGCATCTGAGAATAGTGTCGGACAAATTATGTGCCGGTGTCGCTGTCACAAAAAGACCTTCGGCAGTGTCGCGCCTCATGGTCATCGTCCCTACTGCGGTCGAGTCAAAGTAGCATCCACCTGAACAAACGCGGACTACGTCAAGACCTCCAAGGACATATCTTGAGGTTGGGTGGATTACCCAGATGGAGACATGAGCGAGAACGCCAACGGATACATGGAACAGTTACGAATATCTGGTCACGAAAGCCAATGGAGATGGCGATAGCGCTGAGGGTATCAACCAACTACGAATCTTTACAAAGGCCCATTTACTGGGGAAATTAAAAAAGCAGGCGAGACAACGTAGCCGTTGTACAGCCCGTCACTGATCTTCAGCCTGCTGGCCCCTACCCTGGACTGTTACACACTATGACTGCGGTTTGCTACCATGATGCCTAGCGTGTTGGGGACCAGCCGTTTAGAAAAGTCTGGCTACCTTTCAGATCGGTACCTTGCAGTTTACCTTAGCCGCAGATAGCTGGCCAGAAGTGGAATCAATTCTATTTCCACAGACAAATTTTGCAGATCTGAGAGCACTTGCCCTGAAGTGAGTTGTGGGATCCAGTTACACACCCACAGCATAGGATTCCAGTTCATCTACCACAGCCAAGATCGAAACGAGGACGCTACTACACGGCTTCTAACTATACATGACTACCAAGTCCATCCAACAGAGTACAATGTCTAGACTACACAGGACCATCGCCTATCACGAGCTATCTCTTCCTCTTCTTTGCTAGACACCAAGAGAACGCCGGTTAGTAGCGCCTTGACAAGAACTTGCTTCCGGAAACTTGATGAAAGGCATATAACCTCGATAGCACAATAGCGCTTTTTAAAATCTAGCCCAATACTACTTGTACATACGAGCTAAACACAAGCAGGAGGTGTGTGACGAATTAACACATGCTCAGTCGATGGGATGGGGTAGATAAGATATGAACGTGACAACGTGTTGCGAAGCGCAAAGGGAAAGTCTATTACTTGTAGACGACATGGAAAAACACGTTGGGCAAGAGATGACACGACGGCGCGAAGGTCTTCGCTGGCCACCTCTGGGGTGAAGAGCACGTAGGAAAAGCCGAGAAAAGATGCCGTTGTGAGAAAGGACCAAGAGCCACCGCGGTCTCGGCAAAGCACACTACCAACAAGCCTAAGTATGCGGTTTGGTATCCAGGATGATGTGCGTGAGGAAGCGAGCGCGTGTCTTGGAAGGTTATTCAGGGGCGTAGCTTCGAGAAGAGAAACAGGAAGTGTATGTGAAGATGGCGGCTTGGTTGACTTGTTTACTCAAGGGCGAGGGTGAGGGCGAGCGCGAAAGACAAATCGGCGTCGAGCGACACCACTGTGGAGGAAAAGGAGGCTGAGGCTGAGGCTGAGGCTGGTGAAATCGGAGAAGAAATTATTGCCTTGAAGTAGCAAGTGGACTCCCAAGGTCAAAGCCGCGTTTGTCTGAGGCGACCAGGGCCTCCCGTTCAAAATCCTGAGACTGAAGTTGTACCAAGCCACATTTCGAGTCTTGCTCCAAGATAGTATGCCATGGATGATACCAAAAAAAGTATTTCTGCTAACAGGACTTGTAGGCCATGACTGCTTACCTCGCATATCCACCTCTTGACGTGGGGCCGATTCGTCGGTCTGTCATGCACTGGTACTAGGGAGTGCACGAAAGTGCGAGCCCGAAGCCCGTCTTGCAGACAGTCTTGCATTACCAGATTGCTTCAGATTAACAGCACAGGGCATGATGTGCAGGCCAAAGGAGATACACAGTAACGCAGACTCGAGAAAAAGAGGGTCGCTCCCCGAGATAACCTGTCCATTAGTAAGACTCTGAACCTTGATATCCCCATCTGTCGCCGCATGGATGACCTGCACCGAACCTCATTCAAGCGACGCATTTCCTCACTTCCGTTACTTTGCGCACATCTTCACTTCGTCCTTCGCGTCTCAGTAGGTTTTCGCCGCTGCACCAAATCTTAAATATACCTCAGATTGCTGATGATACTACATGGCAGTCGTAACATCTCGACCAGAACACAGAACGCAGAGCACCGAGTTCGACGCCGACATCATTCTCCCCGAGCGCCCCCACGACGAAGCGCGCGAGTTACAGCGGCTCTTAAGAAAGTCTATCGCATCTCGTGAAAACGGCCCCGGGAGCTCATCCACCAACACCAATAACACATCCCCTCGCAGTGGAGCCAAGGGCATGCAGAGAAACTGGTATGCGTCATGTCGCTAGTAGTATGGCACCGTCGCCAGCTTTTTCACCTTTAACGAAATCACGGCGTTTCTTTACGACAGCGACACCACCACCGGAAGGACTTTAAAAAGGTCCTGAGTGCAAGCGTTTACGAACAGCTTTGGGTTCAGCACACAAAGAAGCAGCAAAACAGAATAGACGTTATCCCTCAGAGGTCCGGAGTCCCTGGGTACTCTGTCAAAAACAGCACATGGGGTTGACCCAGGTAATCAATGCCTGAAGCCTGCCATCACAAAATGCATCGACATCAGTGAGAATCAGCTTGACCGGCTTAATAGTCCTGCCTGCAAGGCCGAGCTTCTCCATCAGGTTCGGCCCGGTCCCGTAATTCACGTCATGTCCCATGTCGAAAAGCTCGATGAGCGTGTCTGGGTTCTCGTACGAAAGTCCGAACATCTTGAGCAGATCCCCGAACAGACGGAAGCTATGAAGTCCTTAGTGAAGAGCCGATGGGGGATATCCTTGGGGATTTCTCAACAGCTTGGTAGCCTTAAAACTGATTAACAAGTTCAATCAGATTGTCCGCAGTCATGCCATAGAACTTGGCAAGACCCTGGATCTAGCCTTCTTCTATAGGGCCCAACTCGACTACAAGAGCCTTCAAGCCTTCATTGAGACGGCGCCCGATGTTATTCCTAGCCGTGGTCTTGACCCATTGCTTGTAGAAGGGGTCAGATCCACTAGTAATATCGACACGGCTAAGATTGGGAGCTGTTCTAGAGGTGTGAATGAAATAGTTGGGGCCGAGGACTTTGGTGGCGAGTTCCTTGTTCCAATCGAGTGTCGACAACCTCAAGATCTCGCGGGTCTTCTCACGTACGGGAGGTGGTACCTGGCCAAGGGGAGCGGCGACCTCAACACAGCCCTTGATGACCTTGATCTCAGTCTTGCCCTGTATGTTTGAAGGGAACGGGTGCATTGCCCAGCACGCAGATGGCGTAGGGCAGATGGTCCAATTTGGTAGTACGCGCTATTGCACCGGAACGGGGAGGCAAGATGATGACCTGACTGTCGAGGCGCTTGAACAATTGAGGCTGATCTTCTGCCTTCTCTCTCATCGCCAATAATTGCTTGAAGTACAAATCGTGACGTTTGGTGTTGAGGCCGATAAAGACATGGGTGAATATCGCGGATGTCGTATGTCACTTCTGGATGGATTGTCTTGTTAATCGCTTCAGAAACCACCATTCGTTCATTCTTATTTTGTATTCGCCTGTCGATACGACCGGTATCACCTTTAGACCACCGAAAAAGGTTTTATAGCCAAGGTCTTCGGCACTGCCAAAAATACCATAGGCGGTTGGGCCAGGACTGATGAAGTTAATGACCTGTGCCGAAGAGTGATACAGGCAATACTCTGGAGCTGCCTGCCTTGCCGTAGCTTGGCAGCCTCTTTAACATGTCTAACTTGGCGGGACATAATCAATAGCCACCAAGACAGGCGCCGTTGTTGCTTCCACCTATTGGATGTATTTGTATGGCTATTGATACTGTACCTCGGGATTCAACTGCGAAACTAATATCTCGGAGTTCTGGCGCTGCACTTCAGACTGTAACACCATCTGTCCTGATTGAGATAAATGAACCCTCGGTTGCCATGTTACTTGTTAACGTTACTCCTGTCGCTCTGTGACACTTGATGTACATTGAGAGAAGGTGCAAGCTTTGCCGCCCTTGGACTCCAAGTTCTACTCGGTAGCTGTGTGAGGTGAAAAGCTTGAAGGCGTCCTGGTTTCGATATGACCTCCGAAGCAGGCTTGGCAACAATATTAGTTCCGCAGCTAACGCGACAAACCTAGTGTTGAAAGACATATACTCGGACCATTGTCCCATCAATAATAGTCGCCTTGTCGAGTATAATCAGGCAAGTCAAGGTATACAGCCCCAAGACATAGACAAAACGGCCCACAAATAAAAGCATCACTACAGTACTGACTTTACTGCTCGACATCCATAGATACAGATATCATCCCTCATCGAGACTTCACTGGTCCCACTCCCGGCCTCAACCCTCTTCTCACTCTCAGCGCCATGGGCCATCCTCAACACATAACTCAGTTATACACCCCTCACGGCATTCTGCGCATCTAATCTCCCCATGCGTGCGCCTGCCGAGCTCTGTCTGTTCTCCTTTCGACGATTCTCGATCTGGCATAGTCTATTGGCTCAGGTTAATGATGTTGTCGTCGGGGGCGCAATGTCGCTCGCCGAAGACTCGATCGATTATGGCTTTTTCAGAAGTCAACTTAGGCAGATTATGCTCCAGGAGTGATACCGATTAACACAGATTGTTCCGTCGCGGTCAGCACGATTTCAGGAGATCTTGATATCGCAGAAACAGCCAAAGAAATCAAGGATGAATTGATGCTTGCGAGTATGAGGACAATGTCATGCCAAGTGGCACAGCGCTGTTTATATACCCCGAAAGAAAAGGGCACGATAAGCCCCTTCTAGTCTGAGAGTCTATCGTAGTTGAGACTCTGTCCGCAAAAGAACTAATATTTCAGAAAAGGAATTGTGGTTTGACTACATGCCAGACCGACCAACAGACACAACATATAGGGAGTTCAAACAACGCTGGAGTGATTATGAGTCTGAGGCAACGTTGAAATATGTTTTAATTGCCAATATGAAGTTCAAGCGAGATAAAAGTGTTAGCGAAGTTACGAATCGGAGCCGCGAGGACGCAAAGCATATCATTCGCTGGCTACTAACGAATAGAAACGTCAAGCGAATCTCAGACGTTACCGTCGACGACATAGGTTCGAATCATCATAGCGATGAGTCCATAGAGAAAGCCCTTGAACGCGCTAAGGTAGAAATCTTGGACTGGAAACGACCAAATTTATGCCCCGCGACCATATTTAAAATCGGTAGCAATTTGCGAGAACTGTACCTCCATTGGGGCGGAAACAACGCTATTGTACGTGCGTGGAGTGAGACAGAAGGACTGCCTATGCCAGCACAGTATGGTAACCTAGAACGGATTTCCATCATCCGGCCCAAGGTATTTCCCACTTTCCCCATCTACAATCCAAACTGTGTGTCAGAATTAACATTACTACAGAATAGTCAAGATCTGTCTTCACGCAGATCGGAGCAGGAGAAGCAATTTGATGATCACCTACGGCGTGATTGGAAGCTGGCGGTGTCTGAAAGACCAGCAACTCCATCCAAATCATTACCAGACAGTACACTGGTAGCTTCGACACAATCTGAAGGTAGAAAGAGCTCAAAGGATGAGCCACGGGCTTTATTCAATCAGTCCCAGGTCTTGGAACCTCTTTAGAGGGCGAAAACCAGTATGGAGCCTCCAAAGACATATCACATTGATGAAGAGGCTTCAGTCGAGTCTACTATTGGCGGCAATAGTCACACGGGCGAGAAAGACCAGCATCGCTACATCTAATACATGAATGACTTCACAAGAGTCTTTCTGCAAATCAATCAGCCTTCAGACTCCAGCTCGGTTCAGGTCGCCCTGATTGATAACGGAGTCGACACGAGAAGCAGATTACTCCAGGAAAAAGCATATTATAGGAGGGGTTTTGCGTTTAACGATTCAGGAAACCGAAACTATACGTACTGGATGTCTAATAGCGACCATGGAACCATTATGGCGAGTTTTATCCGCAAACTCTGCCCAACAGCTAATATCTATATCATCAAGGTCGTTACTAGGCAGAGAAGACAGAACTTATATGGACTGACTATAGATGTACCCAGCGCGGTTGAGTTATGAAATGACCAGCTGATGAGAGCCTACGGCAGAGGTTCAACAACGCAGTGCAAAGGGCTGTTGATCATAACACCATCATGTTATGTGCATCCAGCGACCAGGGCGAAAAGGCAAATGACGAGGAATATCCGCACGACGCGAATCCCGCCAACATCATCCGCATTGGAGCAGCGGCAGCCACGGGCAACAACGCCGAGTACGTCAATAAAAACAAGAAGGGCACCAATTCTGGGCTCTTTATATGGGCTGACCTGTTCCAGCCCATTCGCAAGCAAATAGATGAAGTCAAACACAGGCAAGGCGAAACTGCCAAGAGTTTGAAGAAGCTTGAGATAGAAGTCTAAGAGACACTGCTAAAGCACCGCGTCTTCCTTGCGATGGGGGCTGACCTTGGAAGTGATGTGCTGGGATGGTTTAGGATTGTGCGTTCTTATGAAGATACATAACTACAGTCGGGTTTGCAATGCATGGCTGAAGGGGTTGAATCATTTGGACGTGACATCAAGGACTAATATCTGTTGAGAAATACCTAAAGCTGTTGATCGTGACCCAGACTAGACCAAACCTCCTTCCTTCATGTGCCCGCCCTAGGGTGGCGGAAACGCCTGAAACGTACCATCAAACTCGAGATATGCTCCAGTAACTGCCGAAAGGTCCAAACCAGGGCTCAAATCTTCGGTTGTTGTAATTTGCCAAAGTGTGAACGGCCCAACATTGGCATATATGCCTTCAGACTTTGTCCCAATGTCGCCATCTGTTGTGATAGACCCCGTACCAATTTTATAGGCAAAGTGACAATTAATAATACTATGCGAAAAGTGGAATGATTCGCCGCTCTGGTTGTATATGTCCTCGCTGCCAAGGTGAGCAATGTTAGCCTGCAGAGAACCCGTGCTGGTTTTGGCGCCGGGCGCGTAGAATCGTACATAAATCAAGCGCACATTGGATTTCCCAGCGAAAGGATTATCTAGGAGCGATTCGTTGGGCTTCGCGATGTTAATAGTCCAGATGGTTTGCTTGGATTTCTTGAACGAAGAGATATATGAAGGCGAGAGTGGCACCTGGAGCCTTTTAAAGGACTGGGGTGCACTCGTGAAGCTCTCGATGGCCGATTCGTAGTCCTCGAGCAAAGACTCCCCAGTTGCTTCAATAAGAGTAGAGATAAGCTGGGGAAACGGGGTTCCTGAGAGCGTGCTCGCGATAGGGTCGTCCAAACGGAGAGCCCAAAACTGGTAGGATCTCTCTGTGAAGTACAGAGTTCGTAGGACAACATTGACAGCATCAGCATAGAGCTTTTCCATGAATACAGTAGGAGTCGGGATATTGACATCAATATCAGCCAAGGCTTGGCTAGATAGAGTGGCTGCGGTGGCTGTATAATGGGCAATGTCCTGTTGATCTCTGTACCAAACTACGACACAAGCGTTGTAGTCCAAAAGAGCCTCATTGCGTGCGAGAACAGTGTCTATGGCCGATTTGATTAGTGTCTGAGCCTCTGACTCGCGCTGGGTGATACTTACTTATATAGTGTTGGTAGGCATCGCCGACCTTATGGAGGCTGTTTTGACCCAGCGAATCGCTGTATTGTGCCAGTAACGTAAGTAACTGCTCACGTGCTGCTATCAGCTTTGCGGCTCCTTCATCTTCAGGCTTCCACTGTCCGTTATTCGCGACTTTGTAACCTTCGGCTAGACCAGCAGCACTTGGATCAAATGTTTCAATTTGAGTGATGAGTAGATTCTTGTCTATTTTGCCGCCCGTGTTGTCTGGGATCGTAGTTGCTTCGTTGTGCAGAAGACCAGAGACTTGAAGTGCGCCCATGGAAGCCATGGAACTTTCGGGGGCAGCGACAACCTGAGAAAATGCCGCAAGAACATCTGTGAAAAGGATATTGTCCACCGAGACTTTATCCATAATTTGTTTCTCAACCTCTTGGATCGCTGCCGTCAATTCATTGTACGCTGGAGACATAGCAGCTTGGAAAACTGCGATTTTCCTTGAAGCAGCATCCAGTCGTACCTCTAACTGGCCGATTTCGACGTTCGCATGACTAATGATAAGTTGGCATTGGCTCGCTCCTGTCTGTACCGCTGCTTGTTGTTGCGTCTCTGGGGCATCAAGTGCCACGTACGCAGTGTAAGATTTCTCAATCTCAGTCAGGTACTGCAATGCAAGTTTGAATTGTTTCCCGAAGAAGTTGAACGAGCCCCGCGGAACATCGGATGGTGATTGGCCATAATAATCGAGTTTCTGCCGCACGAGTTGATTCCATAAGCCACTTGCCGCTGTCTCGACGTACTGTAAGCTTTTCATGCTGGCTGGCACCCCAGTGGTATCTCCATTGGGAATTATGAAGAGTGCTTGCTCTGCATTTCGATATGCGCTGCAGATTGGGTCGTTCGGCTTCAATCTCCTCGTAAAGCCTAACCTCATGATGAGCCTATATGAGTAGGCCTCGCACAATGCTAGACTTTTGGAATCGCCGATGAAATAAAGCGTTTTGGCTTTCTCCAAAAGCATCAAGCATTGATCCGGGTGTGCTATGATCATGGAGCTTTGGCAGAGCTGAGAAACATCTGTAAGCTCCATAAAACTATAAGAGCCAGCTGGTCCGCTTTGACCGTTTGCACCACGATCAGAGGTGCCTCGAGCCCCAACCCCATAGTCGCCTCCCGCACAATCGACCTGTTGCGTAATAGCAGTCTCTAGGGTTTTGGCAAACGCTCCAAGGACTTGAATAATCTGGATGAGAGGCGTCTCAAAGTCTGAAGGGTCCGGGACTCCTTCCGCCACATTTTCCAAAGGCTTTTACAACCTTTGGTAACTCATGTATAACAGTCGTAAGACTCTTGCCGTCTATAAAAGTCGCATGTCGAATCGTGGTGACAAACTTATTGATAGGATTGATGAATGCATTTAGATTGTCATCGGTTATCAACCCTTTAACCACATCTGACAGAAGGTTGCCAGCAGCAGCTAGTGACAACGGGACACTACCAAGGGCAATAATGGCTTTACCACCAGATGAACCATTGCCACCTGCTCCGCCAAGCATTTGTTTATTGGAGGAGGCGCCAGCGCCCCCTGAACCTCCGGCAACTAGACTCAGGAACTATTAGCAATGTTTGAAGTAGATATGGTCGGTGCAGAATTCCAACCCTGATGCCTGTTGCAAAAGGTAATTAACTGAACTTACCATTGATTTGGACAGGGTTTGTACTGATAGTGTTGTCAAAACACTCTACAGAGAGTGCCACACACCCACCGCTATTTGGTGCATTCTGACCAGCATCTCCTGTACCAGGGATACCAGAGGTGCCGGGCTGGCCACTGAGGTCAACTGCGCCACCTCCACTGACTACCTGGAGTGAATTTGAGTGTATATCAAGGCTGATCGTCTTGTTGGCAGAGATGGCGCCGCCTAATACCAAGGCCTCGCAATAGATAGCCAAGTTATTTTCCAACGCTGAAGTCGTCAATGAATGGATGTCTTCCACCGACAAGATCAGACTTGGACTTGTGCCCAGTGGAAACGTCTTGATATCAGTTGGTGGAGGCACAGACAAATCAGATTTTGGTTGAGAGTACTGTGATTGAGCCATGGTTAATAGGTTGAATCTTGGGCGTTTGAGTCTATGGGCCCGGATATTCCTGAGCATATCTGGCGTGCTTTATACCAATGATACAACTTGCCTGGAGCTCAAGCGGCCCCGAAGAGTCCAGCCAAGCCGAGACCGCAGTGAAAAAGCCACATAATCTGTATGTGATCGAAATTGAGGCATAAGATTGAACTCGAGGAAGCTGAGGTGAGACAGATCCAGCCAGAGTTATAGTATCATACCGCAAGGGATCAGCGGTGTGATAAGCTAGAGTGGGTGCATGGGAGCAGATAAGATCCATGCCCATTGGTGCGGACTAACGGTCCAGAACGATAGTTATGCGCCAGAGTTGAAAAGTGGTGTACTAAGCTGAGAAGGGAGTCCCAGGCAGAAGTAAGTTCTGTGATGATTGGTGCGAAGGCAGCGATGTAAGACGAGAGGTGCATGGCGTGGAACATGTATTCCATTTCTAACTAGAGAAGGTTTCGAAAGACAAATTATACCACACCAGTAACCCAAGCCAACATTGCAACGGGCAATACCAATAATTTGTTTTTACCTTTAACCTTTAACTTTATCAAGCCTAGGCTTTCTAAATCTCTTAATAATATTAATAATAAAAATAACCCTTTTAAGGTTAAAACTTAATATAATTAAGACAGCAGAAGTTATATAAAGTAACTAAACTTTATTTAAGTAAATATATAGACTATAACTTATATAGCTATATATATAAAAGCTAGCTTCCTCCCTATACCCTTAACCTAATCTATACTATAAGTATACTACCTAGTTAATCGACCTTTATAGCTACTTAATAAAGGTTAGAATCGAAAAGTAAGATACAAGCCAAGTTATATATAGTTAGTTAATTAACCCCTACCTTTCAGTTTATATTACTAACTTCTTTATAGCTACTATAATAAGTACTATCTAAATATTAAGTATTTACCGTAATATAAGCCTCGGCCTGGACTATAATAATATCTATAAAGCTATTAATAACTATTATAATAGGTAGAAACTTAATCTACTTAAGAATAAGGCTAAAGATCTTTTTATTAACTGCCTTATACCTTTTAATACCGGATAGGATAACTATAGCTTAATTAAATTAATTATATTTAGCTATAAGCTTTTAATATTTTATAGTCTAAGGCTTATTACTAACTATAGTAATTAAAAGTATATATTAAGTAAGAGGTAAGAGATAAAAAGGTAACTTAAACCCCTAAAAAGCCTAGAAAATAGGCTCATAAAAAGGCTAGTCCTTAATATTAAGACCTCTTTTATTAAGGTATTAAAGTTAAAGCCTTACTATAAGGCTTAGTATAAAAGCTTAGAAAAGTAAGTTAACTATATAGTTAAGGTCTTTAGGATTAATTAGTAAAGTAATAGAAGTTATATATAAGGCGCTAAGGGGGGGTAGAAATATAAAAGGTTAAAATTAGTAGGAGGAATATATATTTAAAGTTAAATTTAAAGTTAAGGCAGCCCTGAAGTTAAAGGTAACTTTAGGCCGAGGAATTAAATCAGATTATATAACCCTTATTAAAATCCTACTATGCCGTAATGCAACGCACAATAGTATCAACAATATTATCAACTGGGGCAATGCCAATGATAGCAATCAGTGATGTTAAGAACTTTATTCTGGATACTGACTGGCTGTCACGTGTACTTGCTATTGCCACCTTGTCTTGGATCTAAGAGCGAGCTTATTAAACATATTGTTCGATAGTTCTCTGCCTCATGCAGGTTTCTTTCGGATCACATTAGCCATTCTAAGAATCAGGCCATGTTCGTAGTTGATCCAATAAGATCAGATCGAAATTGAGTTTCAGTAATGCAACAGAGACGAATATCAAAAGGGGGCTTGATGGGTGGGCCCAGATCCAATCTTGCTCTCTGACTTCATTCCCTCGGTGTAATAGAGGTACTTCAAGCAACCTTGCGCAATACTACATAAGCCAGTCAGCGGCAGGATTTAATGACAACAACAAGTTCAATTCAACTTTCTACACTATCACAATCCTTCTCTTCAATTTATGAGATTCCATCTACAGGCAACATGTCTTATCCACAGATTGATGACATGGTGACTACAATGCAAGGCCAGTCCTGCACCGCGAACTGGGACATGCTTGTCAATTATTCTGTCAACGAGCTCAACACTTTGTTGCAACAGATTTGGCTCGAGAAGAAAATGCCCGGCGATACTATCATCTTTGATCTTTCGCTCCCAGGTATTGAAATTATGAAATACCACGTTGAAGTGACTCTGGCACCACCGAGCCTCTCATTTGATCCTATCGAAACAGGAAAAGCCATCTTATCATTCCCTATGAGCGGCTTTTACCGCATTGCTACGATAAACCCAAACGGTACTGTGACACCAGGAACTAGTACTTTCTTCCCCACAAGATCCTCCATGAAGTGTTCAGTCCCAATTGCGGGCGTGAGTGGCGATGGGTCTTCGTCTGAGCCCGTAGTGAGTATCACTCTGCACCACTTGAGGATGACCAAGGCGACCAAGCCTTGGTTCTGACTGCTTTGACATAGTTATCTGGTGGGATCATCGCGTTTGACCCCACTACCACGTTGCAATCATATGTTGTGATGCGCTTTCAAAATACCGCCGACACGATCTGGACATCCGTTCCCCCACCCGGCAGTGACCCCAGTGTTTCGACATTGTTTTCACAATTCGGTCCTTGGGTGTCGAGCTGGTTTAGCAATCCTACCAATGTCAAAGAAATCGACTTTTCATTTGCATAAGTTTCCAATTCAGCACCTAGCACCGGGTCGTTGTTGACGCCAGCAGCCTTTATCTTCACAACCCAAGCGAGCTCTGATGGGGATGGAGTTCTCTCAGTCTGGATACAGCTTGTCGGCAGCAAGGAACCTGGCAGCCTCACACCAGCCTCAACCCTCACAATCAATGGGTATCTACCCATCCCCTCCGGATACCATTCAAGTATTATCTTCTCTCATGATCTTATCAATAATAGTTACCTCTTACCGCAGTTGACGGCCTCCTTCACATCAACTACAAACAAGAATCCTGTAACAGTGGTCCCTTATAACAAAGGATTCCAGTACAGCATAGTGCTCGAAGCTTCTAATCTGGAATTTACAACAATAAAGGAAAGGATGTTGCTAGTGACCTGGAGAAGTCATGTCCCATCGATATGAGCCAGCAGCCTATTACCTTGTCGATTGACTACGCCAAGAAGACTACGTCTGGAAACTGGACCTGGACCTTCAAGAACACCTATGACTGGACCGGACTTGTTCCTGGAAGTCGGCTTCACCCTCCTTACGGAGCCTTCGAAATGATCAAGTTGAAAACGGTATTAAAAGTTTGCTCAATATAGAGAGATTTTCGCTGATTTAGCACAGACAAAACCTCTTGGTTCAGTTACGAATAATTCACTGGATCTTGGTCTTACATTAGACAGCGCAGACTTTACCCTGACATTATCGGCTGACTCAGCGCCCCACTGGTACGATATCTATTGGAGTGACAGCTTGCCCTTTGAAATTGAAGACGGGGCTGTCAAAATTAGTGAGGTCGATGTCAAAATCCCAGACGTTAACTTCTTCTGCGCCACCAATGTACTTGCTCCTGGACAGAATATTGTACAGGTAGACGCTACCATGGGATTGATCACTCCTTACGATTGCGTTTTGGTTGGCCAAGTTTCTCCTCCCACGCCTCAGTAACTCCTCTCATTGGCAAGAATAAGTCCATCAGGCAGTTCTCAACCAAAGACAGCTGAAGATATGATGAATAACTTCAGGTCCATACAGGGCTTCCTAGGACAGATCCTTGGGGGCTTTATCAACAAAGACCAAAATAGCATTGTGCAGACAGTTACCTCGCACGGATATGAGATTGAAGCTATCGACTTTGATCAACTGGACACCCTATATACACCCGGCCAAACCTTTGACGTGCGAATTCTCGGCGGCGACTACCAGATTAATGAGCCAAACATCGGACTATCTACGATTGCAATTAACCCTATCAGTGGTATACTCTGGGTTTATTCTCCCAGCAAAGTCAATCCATATGGTGCCAGCGATAAGTGCATTTGCTAACACTTATACAGCCGACACCGTTCAAGGGATCGGTCAGAGTGTTGATCAATCCACGGGAAGCATTTCGTTCAAAACCAATGGAGGCACCAATTGTTACCTGATGACGTTTGCACGCCAACAACCCGCTAGTGACTCCCAGCAACCGACGACCACTATCAGCGGCTTCACGTGGCCTGCAAAAGACCCAACCCAAAAGACACCTTTCTCTGGTCAGCAGTTCTATCCACTCGTCCAAGATAGTCTAAGCAGCGACCTGGTCATTCTTAGCAATGATCCTAATCAAGACTGGTGGGAATCTACATCAGCTACGAAAATGATGTTCGCCATCGGTGTCGGCCTTGCATTTGTGCCGGTTCAGAATTTATTAGGATACATCTTTTCTTGGGCCAAGACCAAAGTGTTTCCAGAAAACCAGCATGACCAAGTTCTTAAGTTCCAGGAATTGTACAAGGCGGCCACTTTGAAGGTTGCCAATGCGGAGGCTCGGAAATTAGACTTTCCAGTAGCCGATGCCGCTAACCTGGCTTCGCAAGCTGCCACAGATTACTTGAACGAACAGACTAGCGTGAGCGATAAACAGACACTTGAGGCTGGAGCTCGGGCAGCCATCAATCAGGCTACACAGCGCGCTATCAATGAAACGATTGGTCCCCAGATCCGCAACACAATCGCTGGATATACCGCTCTCATCAAAGATGCGTCTATGACTATCGTAGACGGGGCGTGCCTCAGCAGGTTCGATGCGATCTTTGGCGGAAAACGGTCTGCACTAATCGCTACCTACGTGGAGAAAGCAGTGGCGGCGTTGATCACGCAGCGTGCGGCACAGGAGAACAAAGCTCGCATCGGCCAATTGGCGAAACAGATTCAGGAGGGAAACGAAAACACTAAGCAATTTCGTAATCAGGCCATAGCCGCGAAGGAGGCGCTTGAACAGGAAGAGAAGACAACCGACGACCCAGCACAGCTGAAACCTCTCCAAGACAAACTCACTGAAGCGGAGAATCGGCTGAAGGAAGAAGAACAAAGTGTTGTAACGGCCGAATCACAGCAAAAAGAAGCTACAAGCAATCAGGAGGGACTAGAGAAAGATCAAGAAGAGGCAGATAGTGCTCGCGATCAAGCGCACGGAGAAGCATACAATACTTAAATAGTCCCAGTATAATACATTTGTCGGATATCTACTACAGATTAAGTCGCTTTTATTTTTGAACTGTGAGTTCAGCCTATGGAATGTCGGGTCAAGATCACCAGCGTTAGTTTGAAGATATAGACCATGTTCTGCGATGTGTATTACGTAGGGTAAGAGGGGAGAAGGAAAGTACCTATCTACTCTAGAAAACAACCGTTAATCCGAGAGGGGCTTCTCCTACATGCTTCACTGTAGTTGCATCGGTCTTCTCCTTACAACTATTATCCGTTCCTCATGCATCTTTTACAACTTTTTTAGTGCGATGAATAATTTAATCCGCTTGAAATTTCTTTCAAAATGACTCGATGCTTGCATTGGGATTCTCGAACTCCTCCTTAATATTAGTATCGAGGTCATTTATCCACGCATGGCTGTTACGGTAATAGAAGAGCCGCTCCGTATACCTGTATGATCTAGCAGGTTGTTGAAGAACTGATAATGATTCAGGTCAAATCACTAAATCAATGTGACTTCTCGGCCGCTACTCAGTAATGGTATTAAGAAGAGTATAGCAAAGCTGAGGAACGTTCTTACACTAGTTAATTTAGTCGGGATATTGAGAATACTGTCTATCCCAAGCAGAGCATTTGGTTGAGAACTAAGGCCCTTAAACCCGGAGATGTGCGCTGAGAAACTCTACACCACATATAAGAACTTGCCGACTTTCAGCGCAAGGTGCAATAACATAACAGCATCAATCTATACATAAGTGTTCGTGATGTTCGTAATATCGTTCCAATCTTGGTTAAATTCTGGGACGACGTCTACAAGGGTGAGCAATGAAAACCTCAAGCTTGCCTTTTTCGCAGACAACGAGCGTTGGGTTCTAGATACTGAAGGTCTCCAAGATAATCTGCCAGTGTTGAGCAATACCACAGACAACAAGTTCATAGAGTCCGCAAATTAACAGCAATATATAACGCGAGTAACAGATTAACCCATCTTATCCAAGTCATTCATCAGCCAAAGTTATACGAACGACAGTGCTGTCAAGAAGACGCCCCATCACAAAGTCCCTACTGCGCCACAGATTGGACCCTCTGGACCTCCATTCGAGTTGTCGCTGCATGTCCTGTTTCAGCGTCCGACCCAAGCAGCGAGATCGAATGTATGGTGCCAACAACATGCCATTCTTCAACAGCCAACGATCTAACGGCTTAGTAATACCACAGAACATCATCGTGAGCTTAAGCTTTAAGTTCCAGGCAATACAACGTTGAAGTTTGTAACAGCCCCTATTCTCGTCGATGGCGGCTAAGAGCTCGTTGTCGACAACATACTCGTCAGAGGCAAAAGAACCTTGATCTTAGTGCAATGGTCTGTTTTGAATCGTTGCTCAGCCGCAACAGGAAGTTCAAACTTATAAAGAGCCCAGTTTAGCCACGCCGACGTATCAGTCCCTCAACTCTGCAATGCGCTTCCTCTGGTAATCAGCATACTTGCTGAAGGACACGAAGTCACCGGGGGCAACCTCCAGATCGGCAGGGTCGCTACCAGGAAGCCCGACCGTTATGCCGCAATGGCTCTTAGGCCTAGTCTAGGGAAGCTCTCGGGCCGGGAGTGAAGGTATTCGGCAGCTACTACGTTGGCAAGTGACTCACAAAGACAGGGCAGACATCAGAGAGTACGCTGGCCATGAATCCGCATAAGCCTGAGCCTTAAAGCAGAGAGCGACATAGGGCCCTAAATCGACACTTATTCTCCTTGCCAATCTCTATCATGCGGTCATGTAAACGGAAAAGCAGCGCTTCTTCTTCTACAAAACTTGACACCACTGCAGTTTCATGTATATAATCAACTTGCACGGTATATCCGGGTTAACTCAGACATTCAATCCAAGATTTAAGTATTCGAGAAGAATATTCCGTATATCTGTAGAGCTAACTAGGTTCTGATCTAGAAGGGGCATGATGCAATGACACTATTCTGGTATGTAAGTGACTGTTATGTATATGCTGTTAGAGTATGAGTATAAAGTCGCCAGAGAAGCCATACCAGACCCCAACCGAGGATTGCTTAATCCAGTCGACAATATAGATAAGGGTTTGGCCAGGTGACTTCACTGTGCAAGGGCGGAAACCACGTAAGGCCGCGCCATTACTAACACTCGCTACGCTTCTATGTGCAAGGCGAACTAGGCCTTGAGAATACGGCTAAGGCATATCTTGTGAGTAAAGCTCGTTTAGCAGTTAGGGCTATCAAAGCGATACTGCTAAGGGAAGATACTTCTTTCGCAAGCCTTGTGAAGTTTCGTCATCGAAATCTTGACTTGTCTTCACTTGTCGTACAGTTTCATGGTAGGTCGCAATAGAAAAACATCCGTCGAAGTTACAGCATCTCCAGTGAAACTTTCTTTGCAAGATTCTAGTAATCTGGAATGATTCTCGGCACTGAGTTCCAAGCCATGCGCGCAAGCCATAGCTCCGGCGTAGAAAATGAATCAGTTTGTCTTTCCAGCTCTTTTGAGCTTGCCGTCGGCAATCCATTGAGCCAGCTCAGCACGCGCGGTGGCGAACTCCCTGGCGTGATTGAGAACGATAAAGCCATGCATCTCAATCTGTATCGTGGCGATCTGGGATATGTTGTTGTCTTTAGAGGTGCCTTTGAAACCGTTTTCTCGACGAACAACGCTGCACGTCCAGAGGTGGCCCTCAGGACATCGAAACAGTGCAGATTGGTCTTGAATAGCCATCAAAGCTTTTTTCACCAGCCAGTAAACCACGACGCTGTTGAAAAGGGGTGGCAAGGCCAGGGACATTAGTGCCATCAGCGATCTAACATATGTTCCTGTAGCAGGGAAGCTGTCCGACCTTTCGCAAACAATCTCGGTTGGAACTGTTGTAACCTACCTCAAGTTAGTAAGATAGCCAACACGATCGAATGGCCTTGCTTATATAGGAGGACGGGATTGTTTGCTGAGAAACCAGCTGGACTTGCTGCTGGACTTGCTCCTGATTCTGCTGCTAGTAAGTATAGGCATGGCTGGATAGAACACATATATTGTTTTTACATACTCATAGATGTCGATCCAGTCTATAGCCAAAGACACTCGGCACAGCTACAAGACCACTAAGATGCAGGGCGAGACCATTAACTCTGTAATAAGTACCCATTCTTCTTCCACCGCTCTAATGGCCAACATTGATGGTATCGGTGCCAAGACCATGCCAGACAAGCACGTGGACCCATTGTGCCACGACAAGACATCGTACCACCTCGTGGCAGCAAACTATCATGCTCGATACTGCGAGTCCCCTAAAACGCCCGATGCCATACCGCCGAAAGGTCATGGCGAAGTAATGGAGCGTAGTCCCCTGCATCAAAAGTTTCAAGCACGTCGGCTTAACACATCCGTCCTTGGCGTTCATCACGACCAGAGTGGGCGGCCATACCGGCGATTTACAAGTTCGAACCGCAGCTTAAGCATTTAATAGAAGTAGTCTAAGAAATACGCCATGATCATGAAAAGGCTCCCTATCACCGGTGGATCCAAGTTACCTTGATGGACGCCAAAACGGAGATCTTTGTGTTTTTGGGTTGACTTGACAGTTTATCCACTTCCGGTACCGCCATCCTCTGTCTCTGCAATGGTCGCTGTTGTCGGTCTCTTGACAGTGAAGTCGTCTCCATCGTCGATTTCCTTGTGCATTACTCAGTGCTGCTTGCTGCGTCATTCTGGCTTTCTGGTTCCAACAGAACATGCTATTGGTACTTTTTTTTTGGCTTTAACCTTCAACTTTATCAAGCCCAGGCTTTCCAAATCTCTCAATGATATCAACAAAAATGCCATTGGTACACTGAGCGCTCTTTTTTATCCGTCATCTCAAGAACTGATGACTTGCGAGCAATAAGTCCTTTGACAACGGCGATACGTTGGCCTGTGTACATTGAGTACTCAACAGCCAGATGAAGTGGCGTCTGTCCAGGGACATCTTCAGCGCGTAACATTGCACTAGGTGTCAGGGCAATAAGAGCTAGAACTATCTTCTAATCGTAGAGGAGGGTTCTGCTGGCGAGTGCCTCATGCAAGAAAGTGCTTCGTGACTGGCACCGAGCCCATTGGTCTTTGCCTCATGCAATAGTTCGGCGAACTTAGTCAACTATTTGAGCTTGACTTAAAGGCCCAGAATCAGCACTGAGGAAATCATGGTTGCTATGTTGAACAGCTGTGTGCAGCGGAGTGTTGTTATCATTGTCAATCGCCAGTAATAGCTTCAGACCATCAGGCTGCAAGAGCATTCTGGCGCCCAAGTTCTACACAGCAAAGCCCTCAGAGGTAGACATGTCGAACACCGGCTTAGAAGCCAGAAAGTGAAGGAAGTTCTGCCTCTGCAGGCTGACTGTCTTCAAAATTCTCTCCTTATTCTATGCCACGAGCTTCTCAAGCGTATTCGGGTCTTTTTTCTCATTTTGGCTGTTTCCGGCGACATTGTTTTTCAATTCTTGTCGCCTTCCTCAGAACTTCTTTGAAACAATGCGAGCGCTCGTTGGAGAAAATGGTGTTGGGCGGAGTCTCACAACGCGCTATCGACATGAGTTGGGAGATGTTGGGCGTGACATTGCGAAACAAATGATGGAGGCGTTTCTTTTCTGAAAGTTCAATTCGAATTTCTCAAGATTGATTCAAGCGAAATGAATGTCCGATTATCTCTCAATTTCTCGATTATTTTATCCTTGAGCAAGCAAGCTGTAAGATAATCACACGATTGCGAATCCGCAGTTTCCATTGCACCTTCGTGGTCTGCAATACTCTGTCATTAACGACCAACCCGACGTAAAAGTTTCTTAATTAATGATATCTCTTACGGAGAAGTTCAGCCACCCTTACTATTTTTAACCATTCTGAGTAAATTGAGTGCACCAGGTGACTGTTGTGCCTAACAGCTATTGGTTTGGAAAAGGTAGGAAATTCAGCATCTGTGTCTCGATTGGCGGACATGCAGAAAGTAGGAAATCTCATTCAAAAAAAAAAGCTGATGCAGCAGGCTAACCGAGGTGCCAACTTGTTTCTATTTGCGCATGTTCTTCGCAGGATATCGAAAGAGAGTGACGGGTTATTGTGTGGATCTATTTGGTAGGTGGAGGTCTTGAATGTTATCGAATCTTTCATCGTAGCTATTGCCTTTGAAAAGGTGGCTCTTACCTGTTTCTCGTACAAGCCAATAGTCCTCCATCATGGAGGTCTCTGATAACGAAGATAATGCCTTGATCAGATTGAAAAAGATGACAATGATCCTCTCCTCTCATTGGAAGCACCTCTTTTTATTAGCGGTGATAACGAAGAAACGTTCCATGCAAAGAATAACAGCAAGACCGATTGGCAGCGACGCATTGTCATAAAGCGCCTCACCAAAGCTACTTCAATTCAACGCTTTCTCCTCGATGTCATATATGGAAAGTTGAAACCGACTGCCCGATCGCCTTCGGCTACCCTGATGGTATTCAAGTTCCAGCTAGAGCCAATCAAGCATCGTCGGTGGCTTGTTTGTGCTCGGATAGTTATTGACCTTTTTCCTAAGGATCCTAGAGTCACAACTCCTACAGTTCTAGCCGTTAGACCCGACGATCGTTGGAGGATCAGTCCTACGGTAGATCATGAAGAGATCACAAAAGCGGGAAAGATAAATCTTAGTCTCTCAGGAGGTTCTATTGCGTAAGCTGGCGGAGAAACATCTCTGGAGAAAACCAGGGGTCGTGCCATTCGTGACGTCACCACCGTCACTGGAGGAATGCACTTTGGCGAGGGTATTGATGCCGGTGACCATACTGCCTGTGGCTGGACTTTACTGGAGAACAAGACACAAAGCACGGGTCTCCCTTATTCACTTACCGTACCAGTCCTCATCCAACAGGATAACGACAAGCAATTTAACGCTGTTGTGAGTTTGTCAGCAGGGCCATTGAAAAGAATGGTTATTGTATCTGCCCACTTGTTCGTATGCTGAGGCGAACCTTGGCCCTTGATCCTGCGCCATTACACTACTGTAATCTTGGACGCGTTGTGCTTGATGGTCTGCTGACGGATTGCCTTGTCGTCAGTCCAAGATTCGACTGAAATGTAGCTGTTCGGTCGTGTTAAGTGAGTAGTTCGTTTTCGCACACATGTCCAGGCTGTTGTTGTTTGTTGTTCGAACCTTGATACCTTGGCTTGACTGTTTCTACTCTGGATTCGGTGGTCAAATAGTTTTGATCTAACGAGTTGGCATTAAGGCGCTTGTCTGTGTGGCTGTGTGACCCCGAGTTGTATTATTCAACGACCCTTATCTTCTGGCTGTTGACATTGTCGATATCCTTCTCTGGGGGTCAAGATTCGTCAAGCAGTCGCTCGTCGTGACCAGATCCTACATCTACTTGTGTATGTGGCTGCTGAGAATAGGGTCTCGGGTTTCCGGCTTCGTTCACTGGAGACAAGACGAGGTACACATCAATGCTAAAGAGGCCGGTCATACGAACAACAATCTGGTGTAGATCTGCCGACCACGCCGGTATGAAACGAGTTTGCAGCGAGAAAATGCTCACTGGTATTCTACCACTCACTGCTTAAATACTCAAGCCAGGCTTATATATCTATTGCAATTCTATAACCCGTTTAACCAGACACAACAAGCCCTACATCTTGGCATTTGACTTCTCACCCCGCACCGTTCTCGTCTGCCAAAGTATAATACCCGACGCCAGGATCTGTCGTCGAGGAGAGCCAAGACGAGAGCTTAAGATAATACTCAGGGCTTCCACTCTGGTGAGTGGAAGGCAGTAGGCGACTTGACTCTTGTTGAAACACTACTCTTTGTCGTACCCTGACGCGTGCACTGGGGCGTGTCCTGACCAACCGAGCCAAGTCTGTTACTGAGGGTGAGAACATTGACTTCCTTACTGCTAAGGCTCTGGGTTTTGGCACCACTTCCACCGAAGGTTGCCCTCCGTGCCTCACTTTTCTCAGCGTCGTGCTGTCTTCCACGACCAGAGGACCGAGGACACTCACAATCCCTTCCAAAACCTCAGCTAAGACTAGCGCAAGTTTGTCACCTCCAAGTATCTTCTGGGTGTCTTAGATGCTCGATACTAATCCTGGCGCCAAACTGATGGAAGAGGTCGCAAGCCTTGGTTTCACTACCTCAAGGATAACCCCAGAGACCACACACAGAAGGATCGCGCGTAAGACTGCTTCAACTTTCAATTGTGATCTGCGCCTGAATCACACTTCGATTGTCGAGACCCAGTCTCTCCCCCTTTGGTCTAGATTTACTTGCCTACTGAATGCGGTAGTTCACGGTTCTCGGCTTCCATGCTGGGTAGCATATAGCTTAGCTCAACTTGATAGATTGAGCTGGATTACTTGAGAGTGCTCTCCATCAGACGGACAAATCTCCAATGCTCGCTAAGTAGTGAAGTGTCAGAGTCATGCTAGCGTCGCTAATAGACATCGTAGTCTGGCTACCACATCGTCACTAGATACTGGATGGGTTACCTGTGTTAGTGGATCATTCCAGTTTTGATCATATATTTATACTAGAATATCTCACATTCGACCTGAGAAACGATAATGCTTACCGTCATCTCTGAGCTGCTTGACAACACAACTCACGCCACTACCCATGTCAGGAAGCCAGCGGCTCCCAAACTTTTATCATATTCCTTCGTCTTCTGGACCTCAAGTTCAGTCCTCGGTACATTGCCAACACCATCGTCTTGGCGAGAGCTTTTGGCTCTCTCGGTAGCGGTGCTATTTCTGTTCGGCTGAGCTGTGTAGACATGCCAGGTATCTTTACCATGACTCACACCATCTAGAATTGCAAGCAGGTTGAAGGGCGTTAATTCAGACATTATCTAGGTGGCCTAAACTGACTTTGGAAGGACACGAAAGTTGCCCGAAATTCGGGCAAGGTGTCGCTGCTATGGTGGTTCCGATAACGAGGATCTTTTCACCCATCCGTGGCATATTAGTAATTGACCGCTTCGAGAACGACTCAGTGTGTTATATTCCCTTTCGAGTAATCTGCCCGCAGAGTACTATGTCGAGGAGACTAATCAATTGAAGTCCACCGGTAGTTGGGTTAAAAGTCGACATAAAGTGATGCTGATATATGATATTTGCGATTTGAACCATAGGCGATTATCAAGATTCAAGGTCGAGAGGGAAGAATCTCGGGAGACATTGAAGGTGAAGTACTGGAGGCGGAAGGGCTTTCATCCCTTCCACACCCTACCAGTCTGAGTCCGAACAGGATAAATTAGGCAAATGTGGGGAAGATCTGTATGATAATACGTGAGTGGTTTGTGATGAGCGATAAAAGTTGAACTGAGTTGTGAAGACCTTGAGCTTGAAGCCTGTAGGCGAAAATCCAGTTCAAGTTTTTACCGCATGGGGCAAACCTTCAAAGACTGAGTAATTGAATCCCCATTCCCAGTCAATCAGAAGTCTTGAGGCTGGAGACACATGAAGAAAGTCGTAGTAAACGTTTTGGTAGCCAGTTCTGTCGTCATTGTCGGAATTATCCGAGGACGAGGGCGCTCTAGATATTAGGAGACGCAACCTAAAGGATACAGATCTCAACAAAGCTCATACTGTAATTAAAAAGCCGATCGGTCACATATCCCTCATCGCCGTTGTCACGGTATCTGAGACTTTTGCTCACGACAAATTGGCTGTGGGCTGGAGGACGGCGCCGTAGTGACCACTCAGTTCAAGGTGGGTTTATTAACAAAAAAAACTCTCCAAGCGACCAACTGATTAAGGACCTACTAGTCTATGGTATTACTTCTCTCGAACCTTACTAGTTTGGCTGTGATGATGATAGATGGAAGGGAACTGTTGCAATCCTCTCCCTAAGTCGAACAAACAATTATGACTCTCCACATGGCGGTGTGTCAGCTTGTACTTTGCCAGTTTATTATAATTAGAAACACCTTTCTTGGCATTGATATAGGAGATTTGAGATATAGCGAATAGGTAGCTGAGAGTGATGTTCCCAGAGGGTGCGAAAGAGCGAGCAAAACACGCGTCAGACCAACAAAGGGAATGTCTCCTATTGAACGTGGCGACGAACCTCTACAACGTTTGACGAGTCAGGTAAATAGCAAAATCCACTTCCATTTTCCATAGAGCAGCACTGTATCAAAGCTCCTCCAAGACGTGTCAGTCATGGCCTGAGGAAGTGAGAAAGGATGTGACGAAATGGTCTTCTTCCTTAATGATATTAATGCTACATTACCAATTGTCGAGGGTGGTGAGTAACTTCTCTAGGGGCTCAGGGATTGGCACTGAGCACTGTAACGCTGGGCCTATTCTCTCTGTGGCAGTAACTGAGACACTCAGCGCCTCGGATTCTGATGGCACAGAAATGGGATACAGAACCATGGACTTGCAGAATGGTTTTGGAAATGAGAAAACAGATGAACGAGCTCCTGTCTTTGATCCCAGTGCCAGTACTCAACCGTCATGAGCGACCTAGACCTAGTACGGAAGGCAGTTTCTCATCGACCCATTCAGGAAGCTCTATCGACGGAACAGAGCCTATTGTTTGAGACCCTTCCACTGCTCCTGCTGTCGAAGAGCCTGGTGCACCAACCTATGGCTCATCAAGGACTACCAACAGGCCAGAAGATACGGATACCACCGTGTCTACAATGATAGACTCCCTATCGCCTCACGAGCTACTAAACTGCCAGTATGTGGGCATTGACTCACGAACGGATGTATCACAGAATTCGTCAACACACCTCAAAGACCCAGATGGTATCTTCTAGACTCGAATACCTCCCAAGAAACGAATCTGTATCAATCTGATGTGGGAGAACGAGTCGTACGCGAGCTTTTTGAGAGTCGGATTGCCACAGCTTTATACTAAGAACGAGACCAAGGACGAGGCGTGGTATAGCGATGACTGTGAGTACGACCTGAGAACAGAACGAAAATAAAGCATGGTCATTTAACTTATCAGGAGGGATCTCGAACAACCTCCAGTAAGAAAGGTCCTGTTAGAAGGCGATTAGATAAAGGATCGTATTGAAGAACATCCCTTCCGAGAGGTATGACAAAGAGGAGAGAATCGAGCCCTGAACGACAACGTAAAGATGACGAGCTCACGTTACAAGTTAAGTCAGCCTCTTTTCAAATGGGGAGATTGATGTATCATTGATATCCCGCTGGGGTGGCTTTTCAGTACTAATTACTCGGAGGAAAGCAAATTCCATAGAGCTTACTCTCAGTAGCGTTAACTTCTAACCCATTTGGTCAGCCAAAGTGAAGAAAAGCAATGTCCGGGCTGGGCAGTGGGAAGAAGACGATGGCACTAGTGCCTATAAAGCGTATCTTACAGCGGATAATGTCACCACACCTGTGTGAAAGGTCCAAAGGAGACTTATCTGGCGAAATATCTCTTCACAAGGCATATAAACAACCAGTTCAAACTGTAGAAGCAAAAACATACATCATTTCTAATCAAATCCTTTGCGAAGGTCCGACTTCAGAGATCCCACCTGTCTATCTAGCTAAGGGGTCTCATAACTTCTTCCGGTCGAACCGTTCTGCTTGATTGGCATAATACATCATCCCTCAATCTTGTGTAACAGCACACCACCCTCTGATAGCATTTCATATTTAGATATCTTAGGAAGACCATATCACAATGCTTCATCAACAAATGAAGAAGATGTTGGTGGTAGATTGCAGCTTGTTCATCGTGTTGAATGTCTCCAAGCCTCGCGGGTAAATGTATCTACACTAGATACGGACATGTTCACCAATAAAACCATGAAGATCGGGCTCTCTTTCCCGGCGGGGCCAGACTTGAACCTTCTGTAGTATCCCAAATCACTACCTATCCAACACCAATTAATACCAAGGAAAATGGCAAACCTGTTCTTGAGAGATGTGATGGAATAATCAGCAAGAATGCACAGCAACGTGCAAACCGCCACAGTCATATATCATAAACCCAGTGATCAATGGCATACAAAATTACTTTGATTCCGAGTGATCATTCTCATATGCAGTTAAAACGCTAAGTCAAGAGACTGCTCATCGAACAGTACCTAACATGGAACCGATGGCCTACACTTCTTCACAGACTACGCTCAAGGGAGCCGTCTCCCTAGAGCGACAAAGGTACAAGTACCTTGTTGAACAGGATACTGTTGACTTCATCGACGACAGTTATGAGCAGGTGCGGCAGAGTCAGGCGCGTCTGGATAAGATGACGTGGCCAGATCCCTCGCAGTGGATGTCTCTATTGGAAGCAGAGTATGTATAGAAATAGAAAGGGACCATTTCCCACGCCATGACGGCTTTTTCTTCAAATAGATGGTGCGCATAATATATGCAGTTGATGAATGAAAGTGAGATGAATAGTAGCGTATGGTGTGATAGCAAGGAGGTCAGGCCAAAATAGTAGCAAGACTAAGACTAGGGGATGAAGACGACTTGAAGATTTGGACATGAACTTGCAAGAAGCTCAAGTCCACTGCCCCGAGGGTGGAAAATGTTGTATTCAGTGGAGAAACTTGGAATCGGAATGTCACTACAGAACGCGTGATGAGACCGTATCTGTAGAGCTATAGAGAAGGGGAACGGAGGAAAACTTAACTGACATATGGCAGGCAACCCGCCGAGCCTTCAGAGCCACACCTCAATATATTGATCAGAGGGCTGCTTGACGACCCGGAGAAGATGACTCTTCTGAAACTCCAGGCGGATCAAACGACCCTTTGTTGGGATGTGGCAAGACAGGCTTCTTTTCGCGAAAGCCGACTTCACGTTTGGTATGGAATTACTTCAAGGGCTTGGTAGAACGAATTGGCTGGATAATGAGGCCTTTTTTGCTCCTCTGCATTTTTCCGGTAGGTTAACCTTTGTGCGAGTCAGGCTTTTTTGTCCCTGATCATCAGCAGAAGCAAGTTCATAAACGAGGCTTCTTACCCCAAATGAAGTAGACAGGAAGATATGCGTGAATGGATGGATTATGAAGTTCCTTCTTGGCCTTTGCATAAGCCTCACTCAGGTGTGATGATAAACGATCTGTGTGACTTCTTGGTCAATCAAGCCGTCAGATATCGGGCTGACAATCCTACCCATCCACACAGGATAGATGAAGACTGCCGCTCGGCCAAAGAATGGATCAAGAGCAAAGATTTTGGCTGCTCAATTATACCTAATAAGACAGAAGAGGTTTTGATCGACATAGACGACCAGAATGACAGAAATACCGAATGCGAGTCACACTGGCCTTGCAGTAAGGCAACGAGACGCGTCTCTAGACGTTGACATGTTGGCTTGCTGAACAGTGGAGATGATAAGATAAGATAAGCCGATAGTGCAAATCATGGTTAGCGCCAGCCCTTATGCTAACCAAAATAAGTATCGTCTGGAATGTCTCTTCTGCATTTTCATTGGCCCATTTCATATGCCCAACGTCGCAAGGTGAACATGCCCGTAGTGTCAAACAGCATTCCAACATTGTTTTTCGGTAATTGAATTGAATTGAGATGTCGCTCCAAGAAATCTGCCACATGGTTCAATAAAGGAAGAATCAAGGATCCCGTTGGTGTCCACTGCATGAGATTTCGGGATGTGTGGAGCAAAGGTCATATCGGACCCATCCGTTCAAAAACTTCAACACCATATTCTGGCGGATGGAGATGTCGCATCACGGAGCGTCATGCCTCATTCAAAAGAGAAAACCACGAGCTTCAATCTGATGATGAGCTTGTAAGTTGGTGATGATGTTGACATTGTTGGTGGTGATGGTGGTGATGGTGTTGTGGTGGTAAGGCTGGGGTTGAGGCTGAGGTTGAGGCTGGCGAAAGTGGAGAGCGTGGCTGTGGATGTACTGACTAGTTGGGAAGGACGTGCTGTACAACGCAAAATCTGGTTGTACAGCTCGTCCTTCCAAGTGAAAGTCCCCTTTGATATTTTAGGCAGGACGTGCTGTACAGCCAGATTTTGCGTTGTACAGCACGTCCTTCCTAATCCATCGGTGCGCATCACCTACCCAACTGGGCACAAGGAATTGCCAACTTGTTTACTTCTCCACCAGTTCAATTGCAACTTGAATGCATTGAGTTGGAATTGATTGAATGCTCCCGTCCAATTTTCAGAATAGTTTTCCAATGATTCGTCGTGGTGTTGCGACTCCATCACTGCGCTCTGACGCGGCGAGGTATGGTACAGCTCTCACTCACTCAGATCTTACTCAAATTAAGTGAGACTTGGAGCAGTTGTCAAAGACTTATTGAAATAGCTATAGCCGATTAAGAAAATCATTTTTCTGGCATGCACCATGGTGTCGCTGTCGCTACTCAGCCCTTCTGGTGATACACGCCTTGTCATCACGTGACACACCCCGAGACTGTTGACGAGGTTGCGCAACACATTCAGTAGGGTGCATTTATGTTCCTCATGCTTGCCAAGCCTTGAAACATCCATTGCTTTAATCATAGAGACATGTTGTCGTGGTGTCTTTTGGAGTTGATGTTTACTGCAACCATTTAAAATATCTCTCCACAGCCACAACTCCCCATCAGACGTATCAACGCATGACACCTGAGCGAGCAGCCAAATGATCGCGCTTTGGAGAAAATAATTGGTGGAGGCCTCAGGTGGAGAGGGTAGAGGTTATGAGAAGAGATGTCTGCTGATTGATGTTGGATCAAGCAATCCCCAGGTCACACACAACAGAGGCGTGTCCAATTGCGATGGAGACGTATTCCAATGAAGCGACAAAGTCGTTGAAGGTAAGAACGTGTATTTTCAGCTCTTGATTCGCATCTATTTGACGCTGATGTAGTCCTCATTTTGGCAGCAGCCCTGCCTGGTGGGCGATGTGACCGATGTGTTTGATAGAGAGTCCCAGTGACTAAGCTGATCTCATTGGTTCGCTTATAGTGACGCTAACCTCCAACGAGACTAACCGCTTCCAGAACTCATTTTAATTGGTTCGCTAGAAATTGAGCCAGCCTCCAGTGGGACCAACCGTCTCCAAGGCTCATTTTAATTGGCTCGTCAACTCAACTCCAGCACACGCACAAGTAAACCGGGTAGTGAAGCCAACCGAGTAAGGGCTATGGTCAACACAGAAAAGACCAAAAAAGCTCTTGTTTGGTTGGGGCTCAGTGAGAGTTTGGGTCATTCCAGGGAGTTGCAAAGAGACTGTCGCAATTGGCTGGACATGCGAACGCGATCTATACCGCCAATCCCTCTGAGCTGTGTTCTCAGACTTGCATTTTAACGTCACGCATGATGAAACTCTGTTATGCATTGTTGCCTTTCATTAATTGTTAAAGACTAGGCTGCAGTGTGAGAAACTGTCATTCTGCAGAATCTCAAATGAAATTACTCAGGCTAATACCGGGCCCCGTGAGAACAAAAGTTGCAATCTGCAGCATGTTCAGAACAATACAAACGTAGTAGCCTTTCAGAATTCTTGATACCCTACAGAAAGAGAGGATCACTAACGATACCCTCAATGAAAGCTATTAATCACTCTCATCTCGTCCCAAACCATCTCCCCAACTTCTAACTTCTATCCACCATCAATATCTCTCACATCTCCAACAGCCACAATATGCCACACTAACACCCCAACCCAAGTCTGCGCCAAACCCATTTCCAGCCTCAAAGAAAAGGGTATCCGCCACATAGAGGGCGCAGAAGACGTCCTCGCCGGTCCTCTCTTCGTCTGCTGTGCGGTGGAAGGAGGAAGTGCGAAATGTGGCGGGGAGAGATGGAGTGATTGGGATTAATAGCAACGATGCGCGATTCACATTTCATCATACCAAGAATGTGTACAAGACACCATGAAGTCGACATCATCTCCAGGATACGTTTGCTTCTGATTAAGATATGGATATGATGGTACCGTCTGTCGGCCCACGGAGGAAGCGTCCCTCAACCAAGCCTCCGCTTCCAGGTTCGCGGGATGACTGTGAGGAGTCAGCACTGTCTTGTGTGCAATGGGAGTCGACAGTCACGCCTTTGGCAGCATCAATACCTACAGCAGCATCACCATGACGCCCAATCCAGCACCGACTTGGCGACAAAGCTGGACAATGTTTCTATAGACGACCTATGCTTAGCGCTGGACCAGCTAGGTAAGAGACTTGTTGCGTTGCGCGTGCAGATTCTGCGTGAGATCAAAGATGAAGATGTGCATGCGGTGCAGGATGCACGGGAGGCGCATTCAAAGCTTCAACCTTCGTAGCCCCGGCGGAAGCTTGTCGCAAAGTGCGGGAGGACATCCTACCAAAACCTCCGGTAGTGCGTTGAAGGAATCCTCCTTGACGATGTATCCTATGAATGAGACTGAGAAGAGAGCAAAGAGAAAGAAGAGGATGCTAAGAAGGAAACGAAAGAGGCGCGTATAGGAGCAGGTATAGCAGATGGTCCAGAGGTTCAGCAAATCGTAGAATATGCCTTGGAAGAGATTCAAGATGGGTTGGAGAGTCTTCCAGGTTGATCTGGTACGGACAATGGGTGGTGTTGAGATTCTTGAGGGACTGGGTTCGTATGATGGTAGAGCCTGGATTAAGTATGTGATTGCCCTGGGAGTCTCTTGCTTGTGCTGAGGGTCTGCTGCTGACTTGACGACCCAGGAGGAAGATCCGTTTGTTTCCAACCAAGCTCTCTCATCGCCCTTTGTCGCTTATCGAACAAGGCCCCGAACTTTGTGGTCTTGAAGTCGTCCAACAAGTTTACCTCAGTCGTGATTCCAACTTGTGAATCTTGGGCTCAACCGGCTCATTCCCGTCAACCCTCACAGTCTCATCCTCCTCAAAACTAACCTTCACCCCGCCACGATCCAGTGCTTGTGACCCCCGAACCTCAAATCTGCTCGTGTCTCAGCCCTAGCCTTACTAAACTGCGCAGTTCGACCCCTTGGACGTAAAACTCGCGAAGGAACTTGTTGAGGATGGATTTGACTGATGAAGGCTTTGATAATGGTCGTGGCCCTAGTCATTGGGAGAGCGAGGTTGTGGGTGCTGTGCTGTTGGTGATGCGGGATGACCTATGGTTTTTGGTGGGGGTTGGTCGAGTCGGTTTGGACATCCTGTGATGGATTGAAGGAATGGATATCGAAAAGTCGATGGTTCTGGGATTTTATGTTAGCTGTGGTGTGCAGGAAGGGATATGATATCGGAATCTCAGGTATGATGTTGTCTGGTCTCAACTCACCATGGGCATATCAGCTCTACAGCGCCACCAAAAGGTCACCACAAAGCATGACAATGTGAAGGGGGACAGGTCATGTTCTTACTAACGAAGCGTGGTACCATCAGCAGCATTCAGGGTGCAAACCATAGCGGTGATAGCCCTACATGTAAAGAGAAGGCAAATAAAGACTGCTGCAGCAATACCCAAATCAAGTTTGGGTGACTCTCAGACGATGAAGTAGACTGGGAAGGAAACTGGATGGTGAAGAAAACATCTCTGGGCCGAACAATTCGTTCTTTCTTGGCTGCGGGGAAGAAACTGCCAGACTGCGAAAAGACACACGCTTTTTGAACCTGCGCTAAGCACTATCGCCGAGGATGAAGAGCCACTAATCTCCCCAGAGACAATCAACGCGAAAGAAAAAAGATAGTAGCTACCGACACAGTCCAAGGCAACACATTCCGTGCCCCGGTCCGCACAGTAAATATACTCAAGCTGTCGAGATTCGCGAAAAGGTCGATGTGATGGCCGAGCTGCAGAGGCATTTCAAGAACATGCAGAGGTCGATGATGCAGGTGATGCAGTAGAAGCTAGACGAGACGATAAAAAGGGCGGCGCTGCTGGACGATGAGTTGGGCCAGGCGAAGAAGAGGCTTCGGGAGCTGGAACTGGAACAGGAGCTCTTGGTGAAGGAGGGAAGTGGAGGGCGGAGAGGGTAGCGTTCAGAGAAAAAAGCGGTGGGCCGGCGGTTTTGAATAATGAGAATTTGAAGAGAGAGGGTGGAGAGGTTTGTCAAGAAGGCTAGGGAGAGGGGGGATGTGAGTGAGAATTGGTGGGATGGGGTGTTGTTGGTGTTTTGGTCTGTCTTGTCACGATAATCACTCTCACCGCCAAAGCCAAGTGCCCCTACCTTGAAACCCATTTCTTTGTTCTCTGCCATGCCACCCAACAGTCCACGCAACCACACCATTTTCACATTTTAATTCTTCCTCTTTCATCATTCCTGTCGTCCGTTTTCTCGTAACATCTGCGACGTGCTCGGTCTTGTGCTCAAGTGTTTGTCTTGACGAATCAAGCAGGTCTCTCACAGTCAGATTGCGACGCCATGAGGTTCTGCCGTACTGCGCAAGTTCGAGAACTGAAAGACAGAGACAGGCTCTCAGGTGAAAGAGAAAGTCCCCGAGGAGAGCAAAGCTCGGAGACGGCGCTGAGCGACCCGGTGGCCTTGGAATAAGTGACAAGCATGAGGTCGAATCTCATCACAACCCCGAAAGCAGATACGCTAGATGAGCGTCAGGATGAAGGATGTACCGAATTGCAGCTAGCGTCACTATATTTCGCGTAGTCGACGGCTTGGCGATGATGTGGTGCCGAGCTTCCTCGTATCGGCATTCTGAGTCCATCCTTGGTCGAAGCGGTCGATTCGTCTGCAGCCAGTCGTTCATCCTGTCACTGAGAGCATTTTCAATCCGACCATGTTAACTGCTCGGCAGCAACTAACTTGACTCAGGCCCTACAAAGGATCTGCGTGGCTTCGGCCTCCGAGCTCTCCTTGCAGGGCCTTAGGCGTTGTACGTGTAAGCAACATGTTGATTGAGACTGTTCCTGCTCTTGAAGAAAAGGGCGTGTCAAGGGAAACATTGATACTGTAAAGAAATGCCTATGTGAAATAAGTGAAGCTTCCACTTCGGTGAGATGTGATGGTGCGAGTAATCATAGGAATTTCGTGGGTGGTTCACTCGTGAGGTGCGGCGACGTAAACGAACGGACCTGTTGATTGAACCAAAATTAGCATCTCGGTACCAAGCGTTGGATGTTTTGCACTGATTGTTACATCATAAGCAGGGCTCTACAGGTCTCGATTGTGGTATCGTCCATACGTTGTTTGTTGATCGTGGAATCGAGACCAGCCCTGCTGCTCGCGACTAATTAGACTATTCATCACAACGACGCACTAGAACAGCATTGGTAATGCTGAGAGACTGGAGACTCGTCAATTCCGAAACTCAAGGCTGGTACATAGAATAGTTTTCATACATGTCTAGTTGATCGACCACAATATCTAAGTCTCAGTTACCAGACAAAGACCCTGCCGTCCAGGTCATAGGCATACAGACTGATCTAGCACACTCGAACGGTGATTCTCAGGTACCGCACCAAGCATCTTCAAAAAGGCAAGCCAATTGCTACTTCTCCCCGGCGTTCACAGTGGAGGCAGTTTTCGGTACCTTGGAAGCTGATGAGCCTGCGTCTTGGCACTTTCGCTTCTGGCCTCGCGGTGTCGTTGTGTCGTTGCAGCGTCCCATGATGCCGAAGTGCAGGTTTACGCGCTCCTGGAAGGTGGAGTAGGGCTTGAAAGGGACTTTGGTGTAGTTGACAGTAGGGAAGTCAAAGTCTTCGATGCTGCGTAACGGGTCGTCGAGGCTTTCGAGCAGCTGTCGCGGAACTTCCATCTTGAAGACGGTTGCGTGTGTTGTGTGTTTGGGTTTCGTGACAAGGAGACGCGCCTCAAAGAAATCCTCTAATTAGCAAACTCTTGACGATGGATGAGGATGAGGATGAGGATGAGGATGAGGATGAGGATGAGGATGAGGATGAGGATGAGGATGAGGATGAGGATGAGGATGAGGATGAGGATGAGGATGAGGATGAGGATGAGGATGAGGATGAGGATGAGGATGAGGATGAGGATGAGGATGAGGATGAGGATGAGGATGAGGATGAAGGAAACTTACCGAGATGGAGTCTGCTCGCAGACCTTGACGCCATCGATGTTGAGCCATTCCAACAAGAAGAAACAGCAGGTAGGGATCCTTGCGCCAGTCGTCAGGCGTTAGAAGTCGAAGTCGGCGGTCGTACTTCCGCTTGACGGGATCGTTGTTTCGGCCTCGGGGAGCGGGAGCAGGGCGAAGCAAGTCTCGACGTTTCTGATAGACATCGTACATGTAGTATCCCACCACTGACTCTGACTGTGTAGTGAGATGTGTGCCTGGTTCGATGCTGAAGGCGAAGCATTGTGGTAACTTGACCTTGAATCGGCCGTAGCGGAACACTAGATTACTTCTGTGATATGTTGTCAGCCACTCCAGCTCAGCTTCAGGGATCAAGACAAAACAGGAAAACGGCTTACTCGGCGACTCTCAGTGGTGTATCCCAGTCGAGGAAGATACTGTCGATCTGGCCGTGGGGGTCGAGCCCGTAGGCGAGTTGTCGGGTGGCTCCTGCTATCCACCTTTCGAACCTGGGAGGGGGTGGGTTTGCAGCTGTATCGTCGATTTGACGGAACTCGCACTTCAGAATCGACAAGTGGTTCCGAGTCCAGAATAAAGGGAGGACGGCAAATCCCAGGTTTTCGACGCAGAGGCTGTGAAGTGATCTGACGGTCGATCTGGACAGGGTGGCCGGCTGATCCATAGCTGATAGCTACGACAGCCCTTCTGGACGATGTAAATATTCTGGAGTGGTGCTGAGGTGGGTAGAAAGTAAGTCGTAAGGAAAGGGATAGCAAAGGAATTATTTCGAGAGAGTGAAATGGAGGAGAAGGTGGTTTGGGCTGAGGCACTGCAGCCTGCCAATGGAGATTACCAAGGTAACCTGCTTGGTGGATACCTTGCGGGAGGGAGAAAATGTATAGGGGACCGACAGCAGGAACAGAAGCAGTCTTTAGCTGGTAGTCTTGCAGTGTTCAGGGGCCCAAGATCCGAACAATGAATTTTGGCTGACACTTGCAAAAACACAACAAAACCAGCCAACAAAGTCAAGAACAAGGCCATGAGACCGTCTTTGTTCACCCACATAGCTATGTTCTTTATTGCAACACCCCAGGCCAAACCAACCAGGTTACAAATAGCTGACTCGTTTTCTCTAGACCTTTTACCTCACCGCGATCTACCCTCCCCAGCTATCACGATAGAAGAAAAGGCAAGCCGACAATTGCCTACAGTGCAAGCATAGCAGAACACTTACGTATCACGGCCCAAACTGCCCAAGCCAAGCCAAGCCACCATAAGAGTACTCTCCGATCTTGACGGCAACTACGAATACATTTCATTTCGGAATTCACCTTCCAGTCGGACTGCAGATTGACCAAAGCATCTGACACGCATTTCCAGCTCAACAATCCCACTCAAGATCATACCAACAGTCAACACATTACCGAAGCGATGCGGCTATCGAGCATGAAACAAACTGGCACAGGGGGTTAATGAAGCGTCAGTCTCCTCGTTCGACAAACCAGGTAAGATCTCAATCTCCAACCGCTCAGCATTATTGGCACACAACATCAAACTTGCATATGCCAACTCACCGACTACCAGGAAGATGATTGCCCAGCAGAGTAGTCTCACAATATGAGAAAGGCTTTGCCTGTCTCCGACATAGAGACGACTACGCCAATTGACAGGTCCTGGACTTGACCAAGACCAGGGGATAGAAAAGGAAGACCTTGATGATTACCTATGGGCGTCGACACGGCGTTTTTGTCTCCTGTTCACCTCACAGAAGCCAACATCTTCTGCCGCCAAGTTCTCTCAAGGGTCTCTCTCTCTTACTCCACCGCGACCAGCACCGTCCTGCTCCGTTTGATTCTGCACTTTTCCATTGTTGAGAATCGATGCATCTTCTGATGAATTGAATCGGCAATTGAGATGGCCCTTGATGTTCGATATTGCGGCGGCCAAACGTCTTCCGAAGCCTGTTGCTTAAGAACTACAGCACCTCCCCAGAAACATCATTGGTCTCCATATCTGCAATGATGTGTGACTGCGTCATTGGTCAACGTTCCTCTTCCCCTTCTGTCTAGATACGTCAAGTCGGAACGGCGGGTGTTGCAGACTAAGACCGTGTGTCTGTGTCTGTGAAAGAACATACGAATGAGTGTCTCGTGGCTCGAGTCTCTCTTTGGCGGTGAGCCCCATCTATATCTTGCGCTGGAACATGAGCGCGAACCAGTTTTTCTTTAGCTGCTTTGATAATCATGTTCGTTACGCGAATCTATCACAAAACTATTGATTGCTTCGATAATGCTGATTCGTCCGTTATCGCAATTGGGTTGTGATGGTGAGCAACTCCAATGGCTTTGGTTATGTAAATTTGCGTGGGACCTTCTTGGTGGATTCGGCATTTTTCTCCGGATGCCATGGAGTTTCTCACCAAATATCCATCCGCCAGAGAGTACTAATGGTGTGAGATCTTTCGCTCCACCTCAAAATTCCTCTAGGTAAAGATTGTTTGCCAAATGAATGACATAGCATCTCGTTGGGAGAATACTCATAAGAGTTACATGAAGGCTTGAGTGGGCAAGGTTCAGGATTACCCTGGACCTCATCAATGAAATTTAGGGCAGGAGATGATATGAGATAAGATAAGATAAGATGGCCACCTCAAAACGGTAAGCGAGATGGGTCGACTATTACTCAGAATAATACGTCATGCTTGTCCATCTTTGCTGATAATTCTCCGCGATTCTACACATGGGCAAGACATTTCTTGCTGCGGTCACTTTCAATAATGATTACCCACAAGTTTGAAAAAACTGTAACAATATGAAGTGGAAGATGTACCTCCAAAAAAACAAAGAAGAACTGCAAAGGTCAGCCGCGTCTTGTCTACAACGTGAAATTACGCGTGTCGTTACACAAAGAGAACGCAAAAGTACGCGACTTTTGCCTGAGATATTTGACTCCCTGAGCTGTGCATATGGATTATGCCGCCTTGCATAGCTCACCCTGCAAGGATTACTTGCTTGTATGTACCTGGCCCATGGACAAAGTACCTAATTCTTCTGGTCTGCTCTGCATGCGTGTCGCGTTGCTTACTCCACCACTCATGGCCCTGACATTGCAAGTAGGGATAACACCACAAAGAAAAGTCGCCTTCACATCAAGGTATCCATGTCTGTAGGTATGCAGTACATGCCACAAGCAGCTGGCCACTGGCATTAATTTGAAATCTTATTCAGTTGAGTTCTCTTAAATTATTGAGCCGTCTTCTTGGTTTCTTTCCTTAAAGGTCCCAGCCGCATGTTGCAAGACATGCTCTCCATGTCCTTTGTTACCATTTTCACTTCTACGGCCTTCAGGTCGCCCTTGACTGTCTTTTCAGTATTACACGGCTTCTTCTCCGGATACCCACTGCTAACAAGTGTAGGCTGTTACTTTCCCGACGCTTAGAATGTATCCATATCCCAGCCCTGAAATGCAAAATAATCCTCCATTGTTTTGAAAGTCGCCCACTTCTGCACAGAGTTAGCAACTCACATGTTGAATGACCGAGTGAACCAACCTCAAGTGTGGAAAGGATGAGTCCTGCTTCTTCAGGCCCTCCAAGAATAGCCCAGGAGTCGGATTGCTCCCGTTGCTTCATAGCCTCGAGAACACAATCTGCCCATTGTTGAGAAGACTCGCGTGTGACATTCACTTCGGCCTCGCACAGCTCCTGGTGCTTCAAGATGCACAGCCATCTCCTCATCCCAGCCCACGTGATAATCTCTCCCCCAGTGATCAGGGTATGCTGTCCTGCTTTGCGAAAGACAAAATGGATTGTTCCAGGGGGTAGATAAATTGTCTGGTTAGGACGAAGCACTACATACCTCGCTTGTTGCTTCACCGAGGCTGGATCCTCACCCCACTTGATTCGCTTTTGCCATGTGACGGGGATCCAGCCAATGCCGACTATGCCTTGTTGGACAGTAAGGAAGACACCAGAACCGCAGTCATCGACATGCGAAGATGTATGATTTCCGCCGTGGCTCAGGAGCATAAAGGTGGTAGCTCTGTTGCTGAGTATGGTACCCCCCTTGTTGCAGGCCTTGAGGCTCTGCAGAAGTTGGGAGTTGGGATGTGTGAGAAATGGTGGGTATGGAACAGGTACCCACTGCTCCATGTCAAGCACGTTCCACAGGGACCGTTGTACTTGTACCTTGTCTTCCAAGAAGTTGCGCCGTATCTGTCCTAGAGATTTGGGTTTGAAACATGAGCCGCGGCAGATGATGTTCCCTTGTGCATCAGTGACGTCCATGGGTAGCGAAGGGATGCAGACTGGATACTTTCTGTCTAATTCACGAGCTGGGTTGTAAGTGTCGAAAAGATCCTTGATTGGTTGACCATTCCATGGGTAAGGTTGCTGGTGGTTCACGACGAGAATAGCGCCCGAGTCGATCAAGCTAACCGCATGAGTCGTGGAGCAAAAGTAAGCGTCGACCTTACCCTGGACAAGATTGGGGCGAGATCCACACTCTATCAAAGACACAACCTCACTGGCGTTGAAGTGACGCCAAGTCTCATTCTGGCTTTTTGGTGGGTTGTCTCTAAGCCAGGATCTTGTCTCGTCTAATACTGACCTGACCCACTGTTCGTCAGAGCCTTGCAAGGCTTGCCCCAGGATCTCATGCTGGCCAATGGCGTAGTAGTGGAACTGTTGCCAGCGGTCACATTCAGTGGCGTCCAGGTCCGTGTACTGCTGGGAAGCGACAAGGTTCATCAAGTCGCGATACTGGTCACTCTGTTCAAGCATAAGATCATGCAGCGATTCAAAATAAAATCGCGAAGGCTGTCGTGCGCATTTGTCTAGCGCGTCATCTCGAATGGCCTGGCAGACAACGAAGCGCCTTGCGTGCTCGTGGGAAGCCGTAAGAGAGAAAAGCTTGCGAAACTCAGAGCAGGGGGAGTCTTGTGTATCCGTAGCATTTACCGTTAGCGGGCCTGGTGGCGCTCTAGCATCGTTCAACGACCACCACACCATCTCGTTAGATCTGTGGCGTCCAGTCTGAGTTGGAAACGGGTAGTGTTGTGTGGCAATTTCCCGGGTGCAGAGTGCGGAGTGCGGAGTAGAGAGGCACGCGTTACGTCACGTGCCTGCTGCCATCTTAAGAGTTGAATCATCTTAAGATAATGCTTGGCGCAGCCTGTCAGTGCCAGCTTGGAGGGGTAGCTATCATTCTTGTACAACACCAGCCTTGTTTCATCTGGCATTCTCTGCCTTTCTCTCATTAATTCACCAAACCTACCCAGCTCTTCCATGCCTCCAGTTTCTAATCTCGACCACCAAGTCCCATCTCCTTTCGATGAACACGGGAGCCGAGTCCAACACGCATTCCGTCGCATAAAGCAGGCATCGGGCTCATGGCCATGGGAGCTATTGGGTGAATGCCCGCCCCCAAAATGGGGCCAGTCTCTCACCGAGAAACTTGCTGGCCTGGTGGACAACATATGTCGCCAGGAGTCCCTCATCTCAATAGATGAGTTGAAAAACTATCTGGCATCGCAAGTGGGATGCGATGAGAAGAAGGGCGTTCTTACCAATAGGATCGTTGACGAAGCCAAGTCTTGGATCCGAAGAGAACAAGCCGATAGACAAAGGTCCATCACGAATGGTCCGAGCCAGATTGAAAGCCAAGACCAAACGAGGCATGAGACTGCGACCCCATCCCCACCTCCTCCGACTCCGACGCGAAACAAACGATGTCAACCAAATTCAGTCTCGAGGCAGGCTAGTCAGGAAGAAGTCTCAAAAAGGCCACGCGCAAACTCCCAAGTCTTGTCGGGCGGGGATGTCGAAGTATTTGGGAAAGAAAACCGACGTGACAGCAACTTGGTGTCCTCTCTCGACACTCCAGCAAGAACAACAGTAAGTATCCAGGTCTACCTAGCTATTTTGAATTCCTTTGACATTCAGGCCAGAAGCCATCATCACCCTCGGCAATCAAAAGTCGCATAGATTCGAGTCGTCACCGTCGTCACTCTTTTGCAGATGAACAGCGCCGGATAAAGCAAGACCTGGCAAACATTGATCTCAAAGCTCAAAAGACAGCCCTCAACAACGCTCAATCACACCACGACGCGACCTTGGTGACAGTCGAGCGGCACTCCCAAGTCCTCAAAACGCTTCAGGACCTGGCCAAAGGCTTCCACGAAGGCTCCTTGCCAGTACCACGCGGTGTCCTCGCCAGCCTCCCCGAAGCCCAAGCCTCGCACGACAATGCGAACCGCGACGCCGAACAAGCCAAGACGGAGTGGGAAGACGTGAAGAAAAAGCATGCGGAACTCGTCGAAAAGGAGGAAATAATGCGAAAAGGAATCCAGATCTACCAAGAACGCATTGAAGCCTGTGAGAGGGAGATCGAAATTGGCGAAAGGGAATATGAGATGGCGTTGTGCTTGGCGAGCCTGGCGCGTGTCGATGTTGAAGTCTTGGGGCAGAGATCGTTGGAGCAGATTCGGAGCTTTCGGAAGCAGATAGATGATATGTTGGCATCTTAAGATTGGAGTGTTTGGTTTGTCAAGGAGAAAGCAGCAGCAAATTATTGGCAAAAGTGCGATCCAAGGTTGGCTTTTACCTTTGCCCAAACCACGCAGGCGAGTTTGGCAGTGTTTGTATGAACATGTTCTGTTGTTCATGGCAATTGTCGTGGGCGAGTTTGACACCGTTTGTTTGGGCGTTTCCTGTTCATTGCAATTGTCGCGCAGACACCGCGAACATGAACATGACTCACAAGACGTTTGCTTACAATCAAATATCTGTTTCTATTGACAAGATGCTTTCCCAACATGTCCCGCTTTGCCAACAACATTTTGTCGAAACATTTCGAATTGGCTTCGTAGGGCAAACGGACCTGAAAAAACACGACTTGGTTTGTTCCAAACAAGCCAAGCTTTCTCCTATGGGTTTTCGCACAAGCTGTATTGTCCCCTCCACTCAATGCACATCCCGTTGCGCAAAGCCAGAGACATGCGGCATGTTTGATGCTTGTCCGGGCAAATCTGTGAGTTATCGTCGCCGCCACTCAGCGCTTTTCATCGTGGTTATGTGTAGACCATGAATTGCTATTGTTTCGTTTGGGTTGGTTCGGCGAAATCGGCGCTGTTTTCAATTCAGTTGCTACAATGCCTGGACTTGGCGGAGGATATCAGGTAAAGTATTGTTTGCGCTTGTACCAAGCTCATAGACCTCAAGCTCACAAACAAACTCCTCCTCATCTCCTTTGTCGCAGACTTGAGTTCTACATAAGGCCCAGATACCCACGATGGACGAGGGGGTACTGGCTGTCTCACCATTCATACTTGTCTCTCAGGAAATACATTGTCCGTAATCTCTACAGTCTTGTGGAATACATGAAGGGACTTGGGCAGTGAGCAGGTAGTAGAGACCTACCAAGAAGAGATGTACCAAGAGGAAGAACAAGAGCGTAGATTTGCCTTGGCTACAGTGGTAGATTTCTTTTGATACCAGAGTCTTGTTTACAGTATCTAGAAGATAGACTACAGTCCCCAAGAGAACGGCCCCAGCCAACACCGTCCAAATTCAGACCTTGCAACGCGACTTCTGTTGGTAGTTGAGTTGCAGCCGTGCAGTGTAATGGCCAGTCGAGCTGGTTGTATGTTGAAGACGGCCCTTTCAATCAAGTTGTCCTTCCTTAATGTCCCTAGCCAGTTTCCTTCCCCTAGTGTCCCATAGAGATCTATTAACAAGGTGCATGATATTGGATATTGCCGAGTAGGCGTGAACAACAACATCAAGGAGCGGAACTTCTTGACACTGGCAGCAACACCAGGCATCGATTGACACTTCTGATACATGACGTAGCCATTCACAGTGAATTACCGTCGATTCTATTATATTCCTTCCTCTTCTATTCAATTCTTCGCAAGCTAACAACTTTCGCAAACGTAAACGCGCATCTCTGTGGAAACGCGCTTCTTTGTGGGAACCATTTCCCCCAACATCAACCATTTCTTTGCACAAGAATCTTCAAGGCTTGCCCATTCTACATGACTTCTTTTCTCTATAAGTCCCGCCTCTCTGTCTTGCTCCCCAAGAGCTTTTGTTTCACCGACTAGAATCTCGCGCCTTTCGGCTTTTCGCGCTCGGCAACCTCTTCGTCGCTCGTACAGTCTCACAACCCCCCCTCACTCAACAGTCGGGATATAGCAGCTAACCGGTGATACTGCGCAGATTTTCTCTTTCTATTTAGCATGACCCGTCGCATCACCCGCGCGACGGCCGAGTCCGACGCGACCGTACTACGAAGCCGACGAGTCTCCAGAACGGCAACACCTCGCCCTCGTGCATCTCGCCAGCCTTCGATTCGCCGACGCACAAGTGTGAACCCAGATGAGCCAGCTCCAGCTCCAGCAACTTCTTCACCCTCTGTTCATTCTTCACCCGTCTCTCAAACTCAACAGTCGTCGCGCACAAGTGTCCAGCCTGCACCCGACTCCCCTCAACCCCCACCTGCCTCTGGCCAAGCCCTCCCGCCTCAGCTTGCCTACCATACTGAAAGGTTTCGGCAGCTTGACAACGAGGACCGCAGGCATGACGTGATGCGACGCATTATGGAGATGATGTTCATGCTTAAAGAGACCACTACATTCGACAATGCAGAGAGGGACCCTGTTTCAGAAACCTACACTATCTTACGTGGTCTTGTCGATGAACTGGAGACTTTGGACAACAATGCCGTGGTTCATCGAAGGCGTGTTGCTGAAGCCAAGGCACTCGCTGAGAGGGAGGGGTACCTGTGAGGAGAATTGTGTACGTTAGCCTGGAAAAGGGGCAGTAGTGGTCAATGATGTACGCAGAGGATGGAAGTCATATCAACGGTAGTCAGAACGAACAGATGATATCACCTGTATGAACAATATATCAGATCCGCATTGGCCCTGAACGTGTGCGATAGGCAGTCTGCTCATACCTTTTTCCCTGGCTGCAAGACGAGTCTGTCGGATTTTGGTGCGTGTGAGCCAACTACCAGGGCAGAGACAAATACCCCTACTACCCCGAAGCTCTGGCACCGTTCACACGATTCCACTACTTCTCATACCCTACCCTTGGACAAGCACGAGTGCCCCTGGATGGCCAATGGCAGCACCAAGAATAGACAGCGGCTCGATCGTCCTGAACTCTGGGGTCAGCTGCAACAGATTGCAGCACTCTATCAAGGGGTCTTTCGACTCCGCCATAGCCTCGGCAAGGAGTGTCTTCTCATCACTTCTATGTCAGTCCGCCAACAATTTAGCTGCGTCCACGACATTGCATGCATTGCCAGCCAGTATCCACGACCCCCTTTCCTTGTGCCGCCCACGCTGCTGGAACCGATGACCAGCATTTCGCCAACCCAATATCCTATTGCTTTGAGAAACCGTCGGCAGAAGAAGCTGCTGTTGGCTGACCACTTGGCGCACGGACATTCTCTGGAGCGTTGCGCACCTTAAACAATGCCAATCAAGACTCAAACATTCAATAATCGACAGAAATGTGCGAATTATGTGCATCAATAAACGACACGATCTAAACGATTAATTAGAGTGAGCGCTTTTGAAGAGTGCTACCCACGTTGCGAAGTGACGAGGAATAAGAGACTTCCTCGATTGATCCGTTGTGGGTGATGAGCAGCAACGCAGCTGGGATCACGGATATTCGTCCGAGGAAAAACACGAATCTTGAGTGCATCTTTAGAGAGACTTCAAAGGATCAATTGAAATAATCGTATTCACCTGGTCAAGGTTGCACTACGATCCGACCAGAAATAATCCATCTCCTTATCTATCCGATGGCCATGTTCAGCAAATTTTGGGAGCAACGCAATTATGATTGAGTATTTACTCACCCCCAACCAAACTGTTGATAAAGACTCAAAATAATTTCGAGTGTTCTTCTGCTGGTTTCAAGTTTTATTCTCTCTTATCGCTGTCTATTTCTTACCACTGGTGTCTTGGAGTTCAGCGAAATCACCTCTCACTACACAACGGAACCACAAGACGTCAAAGGAGGAATGCCGGCAACAACCCTCACACCACTTCTACCAAGAACTTACTTCTCTCCATCGGCCGCATAAGTAATAATGTCAATGCTCAGAAACATCTCAATCGGATTGCGCTGATTCTCACTTTGCGAAGCGTGCACTGGATGAGGCAGGTTTTCTCCCAACGTTGACTGCAGGAGGTTTGAGGTGAATGACGGCAAGCCAACCAATCACAGAGCTTTGTGCCGCTCAGAATAACCTCTCTGAGACTAGCGCCTTCCAAATTACAGCGCTCATAGCGCTTTGTGCCCTGTAGGCTGTAGCGTGGTCCGACCAACATGCAAGCCAATCACAGAGTTTTGAGCCGCTCAGAGTAACCTTTCTGAGACAAGCGCCGTTCAGAATACAGCGCTCACAGCGCTCTGTGCCCTGTAGCGTGACCTGAGAACCAACAGCAGTGAACGGCTGTAGGGCAGTAAAAAAAGAATCCGGTGTTCGACGGGATTTTGGCGCGTGCCACACTGGTGATGGCTTCAACCAACCTTCGAACTTTTTCCCTTCAACTCACAGCACCCGGAGACTATTTTGTAGAGACGATCAAGCTGATTATTATTCCGCAGAGTGCACGTTGATTGCTGAAGGATTCGTCGAGTTGTGGCCGTTTGAAGTTTTCGAAACCGACGATCCTCCACTTTGGCGATGTCGGCATGGTGGTTTGGCATCGGCGAGAGACTCTTGACGGGCGCATTTTTGCGTAACCACTCCAAACATAAATCTGAGGTGAGTTTTCACAAGAGAAACATCGAGGCTTTCCAATAGTGTACTTTTTTTTCTGTAGAGTCCACTGTGGGCTGATCTGGTGTTTTGTTCAGCAGGTATTGAGCTCAGGCTTGGACAAAGCCGAGACTGGATGTGACCAACTTCCCCACGGGCGCGTTTCCCCAGAACTACGCCAAAAAGGCCTTTGATATGCTTCTCTAGACGGCAGAATTCGGGGCTTTCGAATCATTAACCTTTTGCGTTGTTTTATTGACTCTGAGTTGATACATCGACTTCCCAGACTCAGAGGCAGACACCTTCCCAGACATCGAGGTTGGCTGGGCTGGATGCCGCCAAAACTCTCCGCGGGCTCGTTTTTCCACGTCTGCTTAAATCACACAACCAGGAGAGATACCCACGGTTGAGTTGAATTTCTAATTTTTCTGGCCTTGTGTGTGCTGAGACAGTGCATTCCCAGTCTGGTCTGAAAGGTAGGCATCCTAGGCTTGGAGGCTTGGAGGCTTGGTGGTTGGAATGGATATTGCCAAAACTCCCCACGGGCGCATTTTCGCATCAATGGTGGCATCTAAATTCCGACTTTAGATACTTGACGAGTTGAAGAAGGGCTATCGAACGAAGTAAGGTTTGCTCGGTTTGGACAACCTTTGACTTTTCGCCTTCTTGTCTGTGTCTGGAGTGGGCGAAAATTCTAGTAATCAACATAGCAAGTTGTGATATGCTCCATGCTAACAGCACTAGCAGCAAAGAAGATACAGCTGTCAAATCGGTACAGCACCTCTGCTTCTTGGTCAAACAAACCAGATCGCAATTTGCAACCAAGTGCCAAAGCAACGCCTTGGCCAGACATGATGGAAGTTGTCCAGCACCCGTGGCTGAGCGGAAGAACATAATTACGGGGCCGCACGCGTTGAGTGGCCCGCGCCTCTGCGTCGCCAAAACACTGACCACCAGAAATGCACCAACCTCCAACACCAACGCGACAACGACCAAGAGTCCCGCTGCTTTATAGACTATACCAAAACTTGCTCAACTTCCGTCGGTATCAGAAAACAAAGTCGCGGAAGTATCTATCCCTCTAGTCATGACATCGGAGTCTAACTCGCGGGATGTCCGGCCGGGCCCCGGAGAGCACAGTAGACGTCTTTCAGCGCTAAGATTAGTATTTTCCGAAAGTACTCAGTCAGAACTATAAGATTGGGCAAGACCGGAGCCACCTATAGTATTTCTGAGCTGGCGGTGGTGGTCCGAACTCTCAAGACTTAACCGCGGACTCCATCTTAACGAGTTGTCGCAGAGTGGAGTAAGATATGACATTGGAAAAACCTGAGGCTTTCTACAAATACTTGCAAGCTATAAAAGCTCAGTCGTTTAAGGCTATGAGAAATGGTTACATACCACGGGTTCTGGGGTATACATCCGCTGGCTTCCAGAAATTATAGAATAAACCAAGGACCGCCGGTGTAAATAACTATTCGTTTTATACCTATTTTATTACATAAACGTTACTCCACGACGCAAAACCTTTGTGAAAAGCGCGAGCGTTACGTTGTATTTTGCCTTGCCAATGAAGGCTGAACAAAGCCCAAGGCGCATTTCTAAGTACAGCTTCCAATAGACTACCCAAGTATCCACAAATGAATTGATAAAGGCTGAATGGCAGCGCTTTGTCTGCTGTTGTAAATGTCGCCTCTACAGATGAGGTGCTGTAGAGCCTGCCAGATTACCAGTGGAATTGAACCTCCTTAGGCTTCCCAGAACTTGTATCGTCGAAGTCGCACAAGCTATCAATGTGGCTCGGAATTGTAAGCAGATCAAGCTAAGGGGAGGAGAATGTGCCAATCGCCAAGGTGCGCCATGTTTCAGCACCCCCTCAGCTGGAGCAAAAGCTCTTTGCTTCATGCATACCCAGCTTCATCCGTGGCCAACAATTGAAGTTACAAACATCTATAGTTCATCCTTTCTATGCTTGCAACTTATACTGGATCATAATGGGTGTTGTTCCAAGGCGGTAGCGGCGGGGAATTAGTTTAGATTTAAGAATGTGGGAGTCTCCGTGTATCGCGGGGTTTTTCTGATTCCTTGATGCCTGTTTATTTACCGTTAGACAATAGGCGAAACCCGAATCAGTCGTCGTGCATAAGATGGCTGGTTTTGAACAGGTCAATGAGTAAGTGGCTTATCTCAGTTTTTGCTGCCTGTGACCCAAATGGCTCAAGTGAAGTTGTGGCTCTCCGCATTGTTGTTAACTGCGATGATGATGACTGTTGTGACAATGGTAATTAAAACAGCCTTGATTAAAATACAGGATTGACTGCAGGGAATGTAATGGTAGTGGGTTTAGTCAACTTATATAATATCTTGGTATTCTCTTAATACATTCCAGTCTTGCCTTATCCTAAATGATTGCAACACCACACATATCTACCCTAACAATCAGGACCCGTTCCAGGGCAAATAATATGGGAACATGCTGAGATATAAGTCATTCACTGGATCATTCCCATCCTGTGTAACAGCTTCGCGCATTTCTGTGTAACTCAGGATAGCTTCAACCTGCGACCTGCTGTGGTATGATTGGCGCAATCGAGATTATTTGCTTTTTCGCTGTCTATACGATACCGTGGCTGGCTATACACAGGCTAGCAGGCTTTATCACAAGAATGCATCATTTGTCAACGTGTACCATATGTCTGCTTCGCCACATAAAATTCAAGTTTAAATACCGCTCTTCATGCATTTCAACTCAGAAGTCAACATGCCTTTCATCTTCTTGTGCACCATCTTGTAAGAAACGTTTTCGAGCACTCAAGCCATATCGCAATGACTTTACCGGTTCTCAACGGCAGTGATGGTAATATGTCTCAAGAATTAGACGACCAAACCCATAAGCCGATGGAAAGTACCATGCATGGCCAAGCCGCCGGTCAGTCAAACCACTCTCGATAAATCAAATATGAAGAAATGATACAGACAACTCACCAACTCTTTGCCATCATCCACTGACTTCTCATATAGCAGTTCCGATACCTGAGTATTCAGATGCGGGCAGTGTACAATGGGCGTTCGGCCCAGATGGGGCGATCATCACTGGACCAATTTTGCTCGATGATCCCGTCAGCGGAATGGTCAGGTGCTACTCATGCTGGGTGTTCAAGTCAGAACACAGCTATAAAGCTAGTGAGCCCTATGGCTTCTTAAGTCCTGTGTGTTTGGAATGCGAGCCAGTGAGTCAAGTCTTTTGTTCTATAACGCGTTACTTACTCGATAGCCTTCTGTGGTAAAAAAGCCCGCGTCGTCTCTAGGGAAGCGAGGTCTGGATGCGGAACCCGTTGACGGTATATTAGAATCCGGACCAACGAAAAGAGCGAGAGGGGGCTGCAATAAATAAATCCGAAGTTAAGAATACAAATGAACAGCATTTGTTTGCAATACTCCATAGACGTTGGTTGCCTGCGCCGCATCACGATTTTAACGTTGCCGACTTGGGCTGCTGCTGGGCGACAAGATTTTCATTATATGTGCCAGCTAGGAAAGAAAGCAGACATTGAATCACAGCACCACATGAGGAAACAAACTCTTCCGTGTAGCGATCTCATTCTTATCGAATCCTTTGACTAATAGATGTCGAAGAGTCCTGCACGAACGATCATTATAGCGCTGGAACGGATGACTGTTATATTTCCTATGGATACTAGGCCAATATCCCCAGCCAGATTAATAATCATGTGTTCCCTGCTGTGACAGAAGAGTTAGAGGAAGACTTGGAATTCAGGCGACGTGGCACCATCCAAAATACAAAGATGTTCGGCAAAGAAAGGTTGGACGAATAGATCAAGACAAACAGCCGGAGGGAGGGCCAAGATGTTGTGTACAGTACCACGGCAAGTCCCCTGGGAGGACTGTGTGGCCTCGCTTACATCAAGAAAACTAAGCTTGAGGACATAGAAACGTTCAAATGGCCGGAGTTCAAAAGGTTAAGAGACTTGGTGACCGCAGAACGGGTCGTAGCCTCATAAACGGACCCATCAAGATTCTGAACGGGAAGGTATCCAGGCTCATGTCCGAGAACGCAGACTTGAACATGGGGGTAAGGAGGCTCGAAACTTGGTGACATGTGAAGAAGCTGTCATCTTACAGGCGGAAATTATAACAAGCAGTGGCAGAGCTAGATATTCAGCCGAGGGACGGAAATTGTTTCATACTACGATTTAGACCTGGTCAATTGCAAAGGCCTCTCAGCCAGGCTCTGGCATCCCCATCGGCGAAGGCAGTCATCTGAGGGATGTCACGATAACAAGCCACGCAAACGCCAACTACCTTAGCACTACTTCCATGGCCGGGTTGAACACCATAGGAGCGACCGACGGCAGGATAACAAAAGCTACTACCGCGTCCAGCCGTGAGCACAACGAACTCAACCTTAATCTATCCGACGGCAAGGACCTGACACCAGAGACATCATCAGCCGATGAGGCGTTTGAAGCGAGCACTGAATCTATAACAGCTGGTGGGAATTCATTTGTCTTGGGCCATCGACTGCAGACGAAGAGGGCAGATGTCAACGAAGAAACTGATGCCAGAGAGGACAATGTACGCAAGATGGGAGATTTGTTGGAATTGCAAGGCGCGTTCAATTTGTTTGTGAGCAATAAATAAAAATCAAAAGGCCCCGCCCTCAAAGTTATCAACATGTCTATCGATTCCGAGCTTCTGAGGGACGAAGAGCTGGCGGAGTATATAGAAAACGTCATGGCAGCAAGGCAAAAAGATTAAGGAACAAAACTGGAGCGTACAAGGCCGCACGTTCTATTAATAAAATGCTGGATGGAAAGGACAGGGCTGGCGGCTATTGAGATATAGAACCCTTTCAATGTGCCTGTGGTAACCAAGGAGATTCACGCTTTGCTCTTAGACCAGTTTGGGAAGTGTAATACCGCAAAGATCGACGACGACACTATCAATGAGATCAAGGCTCAGAGGAAAATAGGTAACAAATAGGTGGGGACTCCTAGCATTCATTGCTTGTAATAAGGGGTTCAAGGTAATAATGCCTTCAAAGGTAGGCCAGGACCTCCGACAGAAGTGCCACAAGCATCTCAAGGCCAATGATGAGCTCATAACAGTTCGTAGTTTCTGCAATTGACTGTGGTGTATTGTATTTTCTTATGGCCAACGTAATACTCATTTCCCGACAAAATCGTAAGCCATTTACGTATCCAGAGATGTCTCTTGCCCCGGTTTGGTTGCTATGCTGATTCCAGAAGCATTGATGTGCGGTGAGAATAAGGTTTATTATCAATGGTTTACCTCAATTGCCATTTTGGGAATCCGGGGAATTCATGATTGGTGCCCATCTTAAGAGCATCGAGGGCCTTACTGAACCAAGCCAGCAGAGGAGTCATACAACTTGACCGAATCTACGTGCATCCTGAAATAGAAATAACCGTTAGAAAGCCCAGACTTTCCACTTCATTTTCCACTTCTTGGCGATAAGCTGGCTTACCAGCTTTCATTTGGGTGTGGGCGTAAATCAGCTGCCACTTAGACGGAGGGGTCAGAAGCCCAGTGACGGCCAACACCCGCACATGGCGAAACCGGTCAACACTTCCAAATCTACGTGCATCCAGTTATAAAAACCTCCATGAGAAAGCCCTGGTCTCGGGCTATAATCTCATTGTTTTTTTTAAATATATACGTAAAGAATATCCTCTTGTTTGTGACGTTAATGCTAAGGGCGGGGTAGAAATCTAGTTACGGCGGCCTTACACCCACCCTATAGCTAGCTCACTTATCATCTGTCGGTGACGTACAAAGAATAACTCAGATGTTGGAAAAGAAGTGGTAATTAGTAGACAAAAATGGTGACTTTTTGACAATATTCACTATCGACGTTGATGGGTGGAGATTATCTGTCAACCAAGGATTGACCGGTATCTCAATGGCAGATTAGAAATTTGGTGAGTTCAGACGTAATGCGACCGAAACTATCGTGACTGCGAATATGTGACATGGGCTTTGTTCCAGACTTGGCGGTCTCGATCAATTTGTAAAGCAACATGATTGTCTAGTCCCCCATTGCTAACTCTCAAACTTGTGAATTTGTTATTTGGACAGGTAAATGCGCATGCTAATTGCAGACACGTTGATCCTGAGCCTGCCACGTGCGCTCGGTGTCCAAGTTCCAATGCAACGGACAGTAAAGGTGAGAATAGCTAGACTGGAAATGTGATACTCTGTTCATTTCTCTCTTTAAATGACGTGGTATTCTTCAAGGGGAACTCAAGCTTCCCAGCTGGTAGCTGGCGAGTGGAACACAGTTTATACACTCCAAAGTGAAAGCCAAGATTGGTTAAAGGTGTGAATGCAAGGATCAACTAAATACCCAAATACATCAATAGCCAAAATTCATAAAACTACAGCTCGCAGAGAGATAGTTCACACCTTCATTTACAGCTTATAATTACACCTAGGACCTGAAAGTCAAGTGTGTTGAATGTAGCGGAAACTCAGAGGGAAAGTCACGGCGACATTCCAGGTAACTCTCGGTAATGCAAGGCTGTTTCAACGTGAAGCTTTAAGGATTTAACGTATGGTAAATGACCTCACTGAATGAAATGCTACCCTCACCGGCCCTACTCAAACCTCTTTTGAAACGTTGTGCTGGAACTCTCGTTATTTCGGGACGATTTGTGGTTGGTCTCGAGACTTTGCTGTCCTTCATTTTTTAACGATCACCAGCAGCGCCATGAGCTGCCAGATTCGGAAGAGCCATGGATACATGATGGAGGGATTCGATCCCTGTGATCACGGCTTACCTTGATTGTCATTCGAGCTTGAGGCTCATGTTTCGTAGTCGTAATCACCAGTTCTGGTAGGCGGTGTTCGGCGAGATCACATAGCCTACTTACATGCGGAAACACGCGACGAGATATCATTTGAAGGGCTTTGTGGCTTGTGTACCTTTGGAGACGAAATCGTTTGTCGGTCTTGGGAAATTACGTTTAGCGAGTCCATTCAAAAATGCATGGTGAGAATGCTGAGAATGCTAAGAGTTCCACTGCTTAGTTCAAGCAATTCCCGATAGCTCATCGTATCAGTTTGTCTTTCCATCTGCTTCTCACTCAGGGCTCACCCCTCACTAATCCAGATCTGGTAGCATACTGGTCTACAGCTTGCCGGTGGTGCATCAGTTGGCCAACTGCAGTAGTAATTGAAGCCATTTAATGGATATAGTCCAATGATTAACAACTGATTTCGGAGGCGGGATGTCCGCTATAACTCCACTGAAGATTCGATGACACCCCAGATCTCCACTAGTAGACACTCAACTTATGCGATAACTTAAAAGAAGTGTGTAATAGATATTGCCGTTCTAGAGAATATACCTGTTTTGCTAATTTAATCAACGTCGTTGACGGTTCAACCCGTGACGTCAGGGTGGACAAGCGTAGAGTAAACAAACCATCAACTTTCATCTAGCATCCTCGCATTTCTGATACACAAGATGCAAATCCCTCTTCATATCGCGGAGTGATAATGATCACTATCTTTTTCATCCACCATTTCTTTCCATTTCTCCTAGCATTTGCGCGTCTCGCGTTTCTGAGTCTTCCGCCGTCATCTACATCAAGTCAATTCACTCTTAGCCACGGCTCTAATAAAGGACCCCTTGAAGACTCATCAAGTCCAATCGCTGAAATATCACTTCCAGCTTCGCTCCTAGTAGCCAATCGTCTCCAGATTCAACACGCTCGCATGGCGTCCCTTTCCAGACACCGTCTTGTCAGTAATTCTTATCCGAAACGAACGCCTCTCCCAGTATTCACGGCTCGTTTAAATATCAGACTCCGCCGGGGATAGCTATTCCGAACGCGTGTAAGAATAGACATGAAAAATTCAGAGAGAAGGAATCCTGCCTCAGGGGATGATTGGCCGACACTCGGCAATCAAGGGTCGTAAAATCACCATAAGAAACTCTATCGGGCACTTAAAGTAGCCAAGAAGAAGCAAACCATCAGAGCAGTCCATCTGAGTTCTTCACGAGAAGTCAGCAGTATCACAGTCAAGACCCAACGATAGGTATACTTCCAAGAACATTATCACCTACTACTTTCAAGCTTGTGGTAAAGTGGCGACACAGAAAAATAGGAGTGGTATTTCTCGATAACCACATTTCCGAGCACTACCGCTCCAGTAATGGTTGTTAAAGCCATCACGAGTCTAACCCTTAATGCCGGAACATCCGACGGGTTACGATGAATAACTCTAGCGGACACAAGCGGTTCGCCAAGTCTGTATTAACCAGCCTTGGTAAAAAAGGTGAGAGAGCGTCTATTTATTGAGACTCCCCGCCTACAAAAGCGACGGCTACGGTTGTGCAAGAGTCCCATCGATATGGTCTTGATTAGCATCCAATTATGAAGTGAAGGTGTTGGAAAAGGTCACATCGAATCAAATAGCAGTGCCATCACCACCACTGGCAAAGGGCCGAGCGCTGCCGAAGCACGCAAAACAGAGCCGATTGAGATGTGCAATTGATGTGATGCGAAACGTGGCGTCGGAGATCAAGGCTTTCTGGTCTCGTTTCATACCGAAATTGGAAAATGAAAGATAGTTCACTGATCTGTTTGATGTCCTTGATGTGGTGGGATCTGTTGTGCGTAGAAACCTCGATCGGATGGAGTGACATGGGGATGACAATTGCCAGCAGGTACAACAAGTGGATGATAAGTACATGGAACGTTCCCGGAATAGATGAAAGCTCTACTTACTTTATTTACTATATTCTCAGTGATGTATGTAAGTAATAATGATTTGTATTGGTTCTGTGGCAATTGACTAATGTCGTTGAGCGTCCAGGATGCGACTGTAACGGGACGACTAGCCACAACGCGAGTGTAACTCACTAGTGAATGCTTTCTCAAGGAATAAGGTACTGGCCAAGTAATTCGCGAGAGAAATCGATTGAGAGTGGTCTCAAGTTCTTGTACTGCAGGATGAGCTTAAGAGGGCGGAGTGGCTCATCACAAAAATGACCAAAGTGTCAGCGAGCCAAGGTGAGATTTTGAGCCACCCCCAGTCACAGAAGGTCTCAGAGTTTTAGAACTAAATCGAATAATCGAAATAAATACCTGACACCTTATTTGAAGTTAGTGCGACCAATCGTGGAGCGAACAGAGAGGAGTGTCCCTTCGCGTGCGTGGTTTAATTGACAGCCACCCAAGGTGAGATTACGAGGGAATGACTAACCTTCTATCACCAAAAGAACTACTCACTGGTTTCAACCTAAATGGTGAACACTGAAATACTATTTGAAGTTACTACATTGAAGACTGAGCTGGAAAGTCCGGCATGTCATTACGTACAGGGTCCAAACAACAGCGTAAACGGGTGAGCTCACACGCTCTTGGGGTTACTAGCTATTTTAAGTTAGTAGTGCAAATTGATTGAGCCTCTTCCGAACTTCCTGGCCTCAAAAATGAACTCAAATAGGTATGCTATGAGCTTGCTTGGTGGGCGGATTCGGAAGCCGGAGGAGTCGAGAATGCAAGCTCTCTAGTAATCGAGACACCGCACGAACAATGTCGCAGTGTAAAGTGGATACGGAGAAACGAATGAGCTTCGTCCCCAGCTAATGCGACTGAAACCGGACTCAAATAGGTGTGCTGTAGGTTCGCCCAGGAGAGAATTCAAGCAACGAGCCGGGTCACGAGTTCCAGCTGTCTAGAAGTCTTCAAGTAGTAAAAGGCTCATCAACGGATGAAACAAATGTACTGACTCGAACGAGACCACTTCCATCTTGCTCACGCAAAAACTGATGTGAAAAGGCTATGCCGCGGATTTGCGTCTGTGCCAATCTGAGCGGCGAGCCGGTGCGAGAGATCAAACGCTTCATTTATCGCAAGCAAGCCAAACATCCAATAGTCATTGAAACAACGTGAAGGATAATATACCGCTGTGTTTGACTCGCTAGCGGTAGAATTGCGCTCAAAAGGCCGTACTGTGAGTCCGCTTGTGGGACAATGTAGGTGACCAGCCAGGTCGAGAGACTAAGCTTTCTGGATATTGTGAATAAGTGAAAGGTCTGTTATCGATTCAACCGAGCCCAGAAATTTGAGTGACGATGCTTTTATCCATGTGGTGGTAAAGTTACGAGTGAAGAGTTATGCTGCTGGTGGACTGGGTTGAGCGAGTAGCATGGTGCGATATAACCAAAAGGTACACGAATAAGCTCAAACCCGGCTACCTACTTAGGATCACTACTAATACCTGTTCAGGTATCGAATCCTATTAAAAACGAAGGGTTTGAGGTCATAATTGCGGGGTGTCCTCTCGCGAGAAAGGTTGAATTGAGAGCCCTGCCAGACCTGAACCTAAGAGTCTGTGAGCACGTTGATAGGACCGAATTTTCGTTATAAGAATTCTTTTTTAGCGGGAACTGAAAGGAGAAGGTCTTGTTCTCTGAGTAAAAGTCTTAGGCTTAGAAATGTAGAGTGTTAGTGACTAATCTGAGTGACTAGTAAGGATGGAACACTTTGACCTGTGTAAGGCCAGGCTGGATTAAAATACAGTAGTAAGTTATAAGCTACCTTGATGTTAGTATTACTATATGATTATCCTACTTGTGATTGACCTGGATGTAAAGCCCGGAGTATTGGTTTGCATAAAGGGGACAGTTTTGCAGCTAGCTAATCAGGGAGATCTAGTCTTATAAAAGACAATAAGGTAAGGGGAGAACGGTGAAGCTAGGGTAGACTACGGAGAGTTTAATGAGAATTTTAAGTCCAAGTAGTGGCAGTACAGAGCATGACAATATGAAATATGACCTGCGATGAAATGGCAGAGTTAGTGGCTAGTTAAGTCTAATTACCAACTCCCACTGGGTTTCCATAGGCGCTAAATACCCGGACTCTCAGTGAAGAAGACCTTACGAGCTATATGTACGTGTCTGCGTACCTGTTGGGTTATATTGGACTCCAACGCCGTGTCTAAAGGACGAGGCTTGATCCCCGGCCCAGCCGCCATTTAAGTGCTAGCTTCTATTAACACTTTCCGAGGAAAAGTGAGTTCCCTGGTTTGTTCCTGCGCCGAAGTACGTCGATTTCGCTTATTTAATTGGCCTGTTGGCACGATTACACTCGAACTTTCATGGTCTTCGCTGGGGTTGGGTCCGCTTCTAACCAAGATTAATTCCACGCGATTTTCTAGTGAGGTTCATACGGTTAGCAAATATAATATCTCGGTGAGGTAGAATGATAACTGCCCGAAACTTGTTAGCGCCTGTGATGTCGAAAGTCAGTGTTGTAAAGCTGTTATCTGCTAATCTTATAGGCAATCATAAACAAGGGCACTTGCAAATTCAGAAATGACTGCTTCGACTCATTTAGAACTTGGGTAGCCCTGAACCACTCGTATGGTATTTGGAGGTGTTGTCCACCGGAGAATGTAGGCTCGTATGGCATATGAAGACCAAGACGGATGCTGTTCAAGCTTTTGTCCGGATTGCCCTTCGTTGCTCCGGTTAGCTACGCTATAAGTTGGTTACTGTCTAGAGCTATGATGTTAACGTTGAGACTAACGCCATGACTGGTGTCTCTTCTCCCTAAAGCCCATGGATCTCTAGCCCAAATGGTCAATTCAGAAGAGGTTGAGGACAAACAATATCGCTGCCATACCATACTTCAGAAACATCCCGATCGAGAATACAGCACAGGACCTCGGAAGACACGCCAAAAAGCGTACAGCCGGTGGAGAGACGGTCCTTAAGCTGGTAGAGAGCGATGTTGCCGGCGAATACTCTGGCACTCCTACCATCCAAGCTCAATGTTGAGGATAGCGGTAACGAATTCGATAATGTAGCTACTGCCGAGCGGTATTGAAATACTTCAAACTCTAATCAGTGAGTGTCTGTCTGTCGCCAGATTCTCTAGTAGAAGCTCTAGGCAAGGAAGAGAATAAACACTCCTCCTCATAATAAGCACAAGGTGTGGCAACAGTAGATATAAGAACGGACTGGTCGCGGTAGTTCTTCTAGAATATCGCGATGGAATGACGTGGTCAAGCGAGGGGATACGACTTGGAGAAACTTCGGTCAGCGTGGTCAACAGGAGGCTTTGGTGTACTGTCTCAGCTAGGAAAACGCTCAGTACCGAGAGCCAGTGGATTGATGTTGCGCCGTGTAAGGGAGGGATACTTCGGGGAGGAAGGATCTGCTTGGGGGCAGCGCTCTCAAGGCTGAACAAGGCTAGCCCGTCGTGATTTAGTCAGGACATTGGATATTCCTACCTTGGGAAGACTGTACGCATCAACTCATCTATCTAACCGCTGCTCTGTCCTTGAGACATTGCTGGCATGATGAGACCATAAGGTTCAGATCTACTTATAAGTTCGGATTGCCACACGGGAAAGGTCAGGATACTGAGGATATCTCCTTGGCCGCAATTGCCATGCCACGAGTCGTGCAAACCACTCAGTGCCTCCTACACCACAAAGTCTCGTATTGCCCAACAGCGGACCAGATTTATTACTCTGGACACAACCACAAGATAGCCCAAGAGAAACCGAACCGAATTATTGAAGCGTAAGAGCAGAGGCTTAAGAGCTACACAGCCGATGCTTTGATTCTGCGCCTCGAACTGTGTCTGCAAGAGGAGGGACTCTATCTTCCGCGATCGTCTGCAGGAACTTGACGTTGAGCAAGTTGACCCCAGGGAGGCTGAACGTTCTTATAACAGTCAATATGCCTATTTCAGACAATTGCCACCATATCTTTACTCGCCCTGTGACAAACAAGGCCGACGCCGTTCGGGACGTGCCAGACGGCCAATTGGTCGGATAAGACTATGAGCATGGACAGTGAGATACTAGACTAGGCCTTCCCCGATGGAAGTCCCCTTCATCCTGCACTAAACGCTCGGCGCCCGCTTCACCATTTTTACCCGCTTACCCGGCTCATAGGATTGGAGCCATGAGCCCTTTTCCCTTTTTTGACCAATGCTCTACTGCTGCCAGTCATACACTCTGCTAAGCCCTCGGTACGCAGCAGCGATGGTAGATAAATTTGAACGCCTTTTTTGAGTTCGTTGGTCACTATGGTGGACTCTTGATGTATTTCTGGTACATACTGCGCCATTGACGGCCCGTGGCGGTGGTGGCATGATGAGTTGTGCCACTACCGCAGCTAGGAAAATATCCTATAGCTACACGTCGATACAAGCCCTTGAGAAAACAGTAGAACCAGATCTTGGGAAGAAAAGCAAATGTCCAGAGTGAATGGACGGAACACGGGCGATTATTCTATCAGCTCCTTGGGTGCAAAGTCGAGTAGATGCGGTCATTCGACTCTTTTTATAGTTGCTTGCATGAGTGGGCAATTGACTGGAGATTGCGTGAGGAATAAGGCGGCGTTCAGTGCATTGTATGTGAAAATACCGGCGCCGATACTTGGCTGGCTACTGTAACTGGAGGTTTGACTATGGCCTGGAAGCCTAGCATGACGGGGATTTCGGGCAAGCTTCTGGAAGCTAGGGATGAGTACTGAGCATCTATCTTTCAAGCGGTAGTGACTTAGCTTGACGGATGGTGACAAACTGTATTTGTCCCGCTATATCGGCTTCTGTCACCGTGAGGGCTAGAAGTAGATCTGTATCAAGCACCATCGAACTGAAAAGTTAAAATCTACAAAGCTCATAGACGAGCTACTGTTACGATCAAAGCCTGTGAAACCGTACATGTGCTACTTGGACTGGGCAGATAAGGCCAACTTGCCTGAGGTCAATCAAGCATCTTACACATAAATCTAACACGGCGCTTCTCGCAGGTGTATCTCCAGAGGCGGCAAGTAAGTCGTGATATGCCTGGAGTGGATGAGGCTGATACGTGCTACTTGAAACGTTAACGGAGCACAATAGCATCCCCGCTGGTGCTCTTACTGCTGCTAGCACTGTTCAGAGCTCGTTAAATATCATGAGTCTTGACTTACCTTGGGACAGACCGTGTAGCGCCCTAGACCCCAGATCTTCCGTTACAGCACCCTTGACGTTCTCTGTCCCCAAGCCTTACGAGCTAGAGAATTCAGTAACTATAGATCATCAGTCAGGACTCACAAGCCTGAGAGAGAGGCTTTGTATGCATCCGGAAACCGAGTAGTCTGCCACTACCTCTGAAGCCCTTTGTGGAATGACTTGAACCGTCACACCATGAATAACTGGCTCTGAACAAGTATGTATCTTAATAAGGGATGTAGACTATGTGGGTAGCTTTTAATAGCACATAAACTTCGACGGTTGACGTAATTAGCACGCCCCTTGCTGGAGGCAGCATGATGTCTCACCCCAACACAGCCCGAGACTGTGATACAACTCCTATCTAACCAAGTAGGGCTTTTAGTGGGCGTTCACAGTCATTTGCCCAGAATCCTTTACCCCGTAGCTACAATTCTGTCGTTTATACGCTTGCACTTGACCGTACCTATACAGACGCAACGCTCTTGAGCTCGGGTGGCGGCCAAATGTGAATTAATTGGGGCCATTGTGCTGGTTAGAGGCCGAAATAATGACGGTGACGTTGTTTATGGAACCCTGTCGTTGGGACGGAAGATCCGCGCTCCTGAACTAACTATACTTGAAAGCCCTGGTATCTGTCACACCTGGAATGACTAGAATCGTAATGTCACATCCAGCATACCAAGTCGGCCATATTTCAATCTTCTATCAGTTAAGATTTGCCTTCGAAACGAAGGAATGTGAAGAAGTGTCCTCGATGCGCAGGCCATCCTTTTCCTTGAAGATTTCCTTCTAGAGGGTTGTCACTTCAAGAAAGTGGAAAAAGGGGGGCACATCATCGTCCTGTCCTCTTGGTTGCATCTTGAACCATGAGTGGTAACATTGGTTAACAACAAGACAGATGTTCACCTTTCGCGCCTGTAAGTCATGGAAAGAATGAAGTCACCGTTTGAAGTTGGTGGCTTTGCCTGAGACCCTGAGCTATACGCACTCTTGAGGCATGACAAGCAAGCGAAGGCCAAGCGAAGTATCTCACAGTGAACAACCTGGAGCCTCCAGCCCGATGGGCAGAAGCTTTAAGCCTATTTCAGTTGGCACGCGTGGTAATTCCGTTCTGTGTCATCGTTTTATCGCACAGCGTGCAGAGACCACCTGCTCCTGCACCTCCCTCCTTAATCAAGTGCTATGCCCGAAGACAGATCCACGAGGTCCTCCCCCAGCTACTGAGATACCTCTTCACAGCTTTACATATCTACTCTAGACGAGTGATGCTTCCATTACCAAAGTCAAAATCCTTTCCCCGGACATTAGTGAGATGTTACTGTTATCTAAACCTACACCATCTCTCTTCCTCCGTTTGGCTATTCACCGTGACGGCACCGACGTGGTCTGTTGGGATTTGGAGTCTACACGACCAAACCGGCATTCTACGAAGTTGACTTCCAGGACAAACGCCAATGTCCTTGGAGATCATCATCCTGCTCTACCAAGGCATGACAAGCTTAGTGTTCTGGACTAGATTGACTATAGATTGTGAGTTACAGATATCAAATACATGCCATTGGCTGTGTAAGACAGGCTGTGACAGTATACATGATTAAAGGAAATATATCTCAGCAACCGGTAGCAACTACGTGTCAGTTTCCACTGAACCAAGTTTGGAAGAAGAAGGTACTTTGGGCTAGCTCCGTCTGTAACTGTATTGAGTGCACTTGACTGATCTTCAAATCGGGAAATCTCACCCGCTTCTTACATTGATTAAGATAATACTGGTCGTACTGGACAGCCTTCGAGCTTTCCCTTTCTCCCCAGTGTCCAGTATATCCTATGGCAAAGTTTTCAACTCTGGCACTCGCCCTTTCCTAAAGCACATCATGTCCTACGGTAACAGCTTTGTTGCAATGTATTCTAGTCCCCCCACAGGCACTAGATGTAGAACCAGACCAACTGGGAGCTCTGATGGCTTGACCGTTGTTTCGTTTTTAATCGTTGGAAGACCACTTGGCAAAGGTATTCAGTGTTTCCATTGATAGGCCTCCATAACATGGACTGGGAAGGGTTGCCTTTTAAGACCTGGCATCGAAACTGCAATTGCAAGCCAACCATGCAAGGTATGACGGGACATGGTCCTTCATTGCCAAAAGTCAAGCTTCTGTTGCATCGGATGCTGTCGTAGCAAAACACCATCTAAGCCACCTCTACCGAGTAATCGTCACTCCTTTATGTGTCCTGAGTGTCAATGAACCAATCGACTTCAGCGTAATCAGTTAGTAGCCAAACATTCACGTGAATATGTGTTTTAGTTAGAAGAATAGCAATGGAAGCTTGAACCACAAAGTGTGATTCGACGAGAGAAAGGATACTGGCAAGAGCGACGAATCTACAAAGTGGAATTGTTACTGCAAGATTGGGGGCCTTCTGACTTACTCACCAAGATTGTTTTACATGGTGGGGAGACTTCAATCTATGTTAAAACGCTCTTTTGTCCTACGATCCAGAGGTAAGCGGTATGTCAAGGCATTGCCACATATTACAAATTGTTACGCATTTGTATTCCCACGGCCTAAGAGTGTTTAGCAGGAAACACATTGCTTGCAATGGACATTCAGACTGGTGTTAGGTGCAAGAACATGTCTTGACTACGAAGAAGGCTGAATTATAACTTTGTTAGGAAATACACACCTAAGATAACAAGCCCAAAGTCAGATAGGACTCAAGACTCGGGGACCAGAACATCAAAGTGAGATGGCTGTTTCTCTACAAGCTTACTTAGTCTGTGTTGCAAGAGAGCTAGTACGCTTTCTTCTGTTGGTAGATATGGGGGTCCCATGATGCACATCCCTACATTAGTTCTCTCCATGAGGAGCGCTTGTCCTGACATGGAGACTGAAACAGATTGGTTATTATCTGAAGGTTGTCAGAATCCTGATTTGATGTTCAGGACAGCCCACTGGTGATACTAGGATACCTAATATGACTTGACAATATAAAGAAACAACAATCGCCATCAGTTCTACTGTCCATCACCTACATATCTTTCGTCAGCATTCATAGGATACCCCACGTCGGTACATTTGACGTCACACTATTTGCCGGTATTAGCTTTTCAAACAGTAAGACAGAGTTAGAGCACAACAGATCTGGTACTTGAACTACAGGAAAAGCATAAGAGAGAACTTAATGGTATCGCGACCTTAAGGCATCAATGCATCATCATAGATGACTTTCTCAATCGGATTGCGGCACAACAGATAGGAAAGAACGGGAGTACACCCTTTGGCATCTGATGTTAAACAAGAAAGTCGTCCGCCTGACAGGAGAGACTACGCCGAAATGCAGATCAAGATTCTGGACGCCAAGAGTAGGCTTGATTTGAACAATTCGATGTCTCCTAGTGCAATAGGCTGGATCCACAGGATAACGTCTCGATCAAGAGGTGCTGCTGGGCAATACAGATGTAAGAGAGAGTGAAGAGTGACCTGTGGATGTCGCACACCAAGATAAGCCATGGTAGTGTCTCGACTCATTCCGAGAACCGAATCGTCGGACGCAAAATATGCCGCTTTATTCCAGTAACTTACCAGAAACTGGCTTTCTGTTTCGAGGTCAGTACCAGTTGCTGTTAGGAAAGGGAAGCGACACGATGGGAATGATGGACTGATACCTGCATGCGCCACCACTTCACACTCTGACCCCAAATCTTAGCAAGAGAACACCGCCACATCCTCTACGTATCGAGAGGCTGTTGTTCTGACGCTGGTCATGCGTTTCTATCGTCGCAAGTACGATAATTTGGCAGCGGATTTGTGATACCGTGGCTTGTTACGCGGAATGGAATAGGGTCTGGAAGCCACTAAGGTTGTATTTCTTATCCTCACTACTAACAACCTGAGATTAAGTACGGCCCACAGTCACAGTCGACTGTGGTTGTGGCCCGTGCACATGCTCTCCCAGGGTAGGACGAATAAAGGCCTGTTGGCTAAAGTGACGCTTGAGCCGGCAACGTCTGAACGTCGGGCTTCTTGATCATTGGAGCTGCTATTTTTTCAGCTTGTTTGGCACACGTCGGAGCTCTATTCTACAAGCAATTGAAATCCCATTGCTGACATCGACTCAGTCGAAGAGTCATGAAAGCTTTTTCTCCTTCTTCATTCCATCTTCTAGCCGAAACCTAAAACGTCACCTCGCAGCATTAAATGTACCTCACACCTGCAATATGGCTTCAATGCACTGTCAATTCGTTTCTCAGCGACATTGAGATAAGAGCCACATATTCGGCTCACTTTGACGTGCTATTGTCATGATGCTGTTCGTGGAAAAGAGAACGATTTGTTGGTTTCGCATTTATGTTTGTTAAACTGTGAAAATTCAGAAAGTTTACGCCTTCCATTGCAGCTTGCAAAGAGGCATTTTACATCTTGGCTGGAACGAGGATAGCTAAGTAAGTTCGTGAATGGAATGACATATGTTCCGATCGGATCTGTGTGATACTGTCTTGTTACAATTGTTCATCTATGCCAGCAAGGCTACCTGAAATACGTTGGCTGAGTATTAAGCTCTTACTGGCTCACATATTAGAACATGCCTAGATTTATACATGTGCCTACTTTGGAGACTTCAGTCTATGGCTTTACTACTAGCCACCTATTCATATCTGAAACATTGTTTACTATTGTGTCTTAGCTGGCGATAGCTCTGAAGGAGGACAATTATCTTGACAAAGCAAAACCCCTGTCTTGGAAGCCCAGTCTTCCACTATTTGGAGCATTCGCCGCCCTGACACTTATCCCCGATAATTGATACGACAGTACATCGATCATCTTGGTCGCGATCATGGATCTTGGTGAAATTCAATGTGCAGGAACTCGAGGGGGACCGGCGTTGTTGATGCCCCTCACGACCTCGACAGGAGCACGCAGATAGACGCGACCAATACTTGTTTTAGATGGGCGAAGCTCAACAGATGTGGGATCGAAGCCATCTTCTGCAACCAATACGAAAATAAGTATGGGCGCGGGTCTGCGTACATGAACCCGTACACGGTCGGTAGTACGAACCTCATCCTCATTGGGAGGGGCTTTGGGCACACGGTCGAGCATCATACTCTATAGAGACGGGTCCTACACGTTTAAGGATGTGGTCTAGTGCCCGAACACTGACGGCAGAAGATACCAGTTCGAAGAGTTGCACGTGTACCCCATCCCGACCACGACCATGTAGATCACCCTGAACGAACGAGTATCTCTACGCGTGATTCAGGCGAGCTAGATACACACATCACCGATACCAACATCGAGTACGACACGAGAAGCAGAACAAGTGCTTCGATATGATCTCGAACACGAACTATTACACGTGCGTCCTCCAGAGCACCATCTATCAACGACATCTCCAGGTTCCTGATGTTGGCGTCAGTCGGGAAGTTCTTCGTGATCAGAGTCCCGCTTCTGGATCAACTCTTGTAGATAAGCCCGAACTTCTGGACGAAAACTCACGGCCAGCTATAGGCGCACCAGTATGTGATCGCGCCCTGCACCATGAACGAGACCTGGTTTACATTGACGGACCTGTACCTGACCTCACACAAGATCATGTGGTCAATCATGGACTCGCTCGCAATCACGGAGATGTCCGCGCTCTTATACGCGGTGCGGCTGATGGAGGCGATCTTGAATGTGACTTGGACGAAGTCCATAAACTTGAGACACGACCTGGGATTGCGATGGCCAGGTCGCTGGTGGAGAAGATCGTCCCCAAAAAGCAAACGATCATCGCTTGCGGGGGGGTCCAAGACGATTACCGACATGGACACGATCATATACATAAACATGCGAACGAACAAGATCAGATACTCGACGGAGAACACCGTCACGACCTAGCCTCATATAGTTACGACTACCTGGACTAGAATATGGACTATATCAAGAAGAGCCACTGGACGAAGAAGGAGACGTCGATACCTATCGAGTTTGTAAGCAGACTCGAGTGCTCTGGCACTACCTGGTTTAAGATTTTCCTCAAGTAGGCGCCTCGACTAGAACGTGTCCAGGCCACACAGTGGTTCGTCACCAGGGTGATAATCTCGATGGGGCTCATGGTTCCATACGCCTCCTTATCCGCAACAATGCTTAGATACGCGGACACGATCAGTTACAGCTTCTTAGTCACGACATTGTCTAAAAGCCTATTGGTGACCCCTTGACGATCCTATTCTTGGACTTGATCGAGTACGTGTGGCACTTCGTCGTTATCATTTGGCGATTTCATGCGGTCTTATGTATGTCTGTGTTTATTGGCACGAAATCGTTAATACTCCTACACGCGACCACGCAAGTCTACGAGATACATACAGTATACGAGTAGGCCATACGGCAGAATCCAGACATGAATGCGGGCCGGTACCTACGTCTAAAGCAGTTGGAGTTCGCTAGTCCAGGATCCTGGTGACGGGTTCGCTTAAGATCGTGCTGTCGTCTGATGCCATGATTGGGAGTAGGTTCGCCATTCTCTCTTATATTTCTCTGCCTGGTGCTATCCATCTGCATATTTTCGCGGATATTGTCGAGGTTGGACAGGAGCTCAGCGAAGAGCGAGAACGAGTACTGGTTAACATCAACCGTCTTGTCAAGTGGCTTGAACGTGAAAGTCTTGTAGTACGCGAGCGGGGATATCCATGAGAACAAGCACTCAATTACGTCAGTTTTTATGTACCTGGGCTCTAGTTCTCGGCGAGGATCAGCTCCTCATTCTTGTTCATGAGCGTGACCACATACGTGGCCTCGAACATCTCAATCTACGCGTTCTCAAAGATGATGTGCATCTACGTCAGCGTTATAGTTCGTGTCTAAGTTGATGTACCGCATCTTGTTCGGGTCTGTATGCTCCATGTGGTACGTCTGCACGTCTGATACCCCGCCGTACCACGCCGGCTTAGAAATTCCGTTCTGATTGTGTTCGGACGATTGATATCAAAGTTGACCCTAATGGTACACGCAGGCGTCTAAATGCCTCTCATCAGGTATAAACTATCCATTAAGACGTCCATAGTGATTAGAGAGACACATCCGCCTCCTGCTCTCTCTTTAATAACCTCCAAGGCCTGCGCGTGGTTCTATTCTCCTGTATCTGAGCGAGTGTACACCTGGGGTCCCCTTCTCGGAAAATGCACATGCACTAACGAGGGTGACATGGCGCGGAATGCCGTGACCAGCCTCGACGTCAGGACTCCGCACTTGGTCGCCATAGAAGTGGCTGGGTGCCCAATACCTTCTCACGGACCTTCCCCTACAGAAGGCCGAAGAGACAATCACTGAGAGGATACGCGAGGATGCTAGTCGCCGCGATGTACTGGTCCTTCGAGCTCGCGAAGTCGTAGACTAAGTTAGCCTTGTAACTGTTGATGTTCCTGCAGAATATCGAGTTTAATGTGATTGCTAGCGATGTCAGTGTACCTTGGTGTCGGAATTGTAGACAGTCAATCACGATGACCAAGAGCAGCGACCATCAAAGGACTTCACGTTTTGTCGGTTACAGTTATATATCTTCAGAACAAGCCTGCACCGGGCATCTATAAGCCACCGACACAATACCGTCGGGTACCGCGCAGTCACAAACAGATCTGGCAAATGGATACAGTCCAGATCCCTCAATCACCACAGCCAGCCGGTAACTACACTCACACACTCCCCTCAGCTGCCCCCAACCAACCTCTCAACACTTGGTCGGTAAGTGCTCATTACCTAGGAGGCAATCTACTCACCACCCTTCTCAAACTCCTTTCTCATCTCAGCAAGACTGCTACAAAGGATCATTTAGCACTTCTTCGGCAACCAGTTCCTGTCAAGGCTTGAACTAACTGCGAAACCTAGTTCCCCTTGGCCATGTAGTATGAGAGTATCGAGAATCTCGCCTGAAACGAAACATCAGCGCTCATTATCACCATCATAATAAACGGTTGGGTTTTGGAAATCTTCCACTGAGTACGGCCTCTGTAGTAGCACCCCACCGGCACACCTGGTCTAAGCACGGATGCACCACTCAAACCATCATCCTCAATACCATCTTTCAGACATGCAATCCTAACTCTCGAGGAACGATCCATCATATTTCCCACCATCAGCATAGGAACCTCTGCGCCTATTTCAACCCGTGCTTCAAAAGCTGGTGACTTGGCGTAATACCCATCTCATTCAAATTCATCATCACAGCCGAAAGCAGGCCACCACGCCTATGCATTTCCAGGCAATTCCCTCATTCGGCGTTTCTTCTGCTTGGATATCGCTGTCCCATTCGCGAGTTAGTACTTCCGTTTCTTCCTCATTTGAACTATCATGACCTCACGTCCGTCAGTAACTCGCTGCTGCCAAGACATCTATGTGCTTCAGGTTCTCTCCTCGGACTCCTTTCGCGCTCGCCAGTCTTCCAACATTCAACCCTTCTCCCTTCGGACAGCAACGTCTCCCTTATGTCTGTGTCATCAGTTCATCCCCCTCGGCATGCCGCATACGTCGACCACTAAGCCGACAATTAACACTATACGGTAATTAAGGCTAGAGGTAGAATACATCTTATATGAAAGGAAGTCTGACTAAGCTTTTCCACTTCTTAACCAGAATCACTCACCGTGATAAAAAGTAACATATTCCGACCAACTCTCACGTAAAAATACATCCATCATTAGCAGTAATTCCTGCATAGCACCATCCATATTAAGACAACTCCTACACAGACTCCATTACCTCAAACAAGTAACGTTGTCCCCGATTTCTCGACAAGAATCCTCAAACACTCATCATCCATAGCATCATCACCCATGGATGAATCATCATCCGCAGAAACACCAACAGCCTCTCTGGAAACATTCCTCCCCAGCTCCAAATCATGCATAGGCGTCGAAGGACCCGGCAGTGTATTCGAAAAGCTTACCGGCCTTTGCTTGACCTTGGTCTCTTTCTCTTGGGTGCGCATCACCTTGACGATCACGTTGCACTGCCTCTCAAACTTGTCGCGCAGCACCTTGCCAACATAATCCCTGCCGAATACCAGGCCGCACGTTTCGGCAAGGCTGTTGAGATCAGGCATGGCGCGGTGTTTGAGGAAGGCGTTTTTCACATTGCGTTGCGTGGCGGGGCAGAGGTAGATGGAGAAGCGTATCTTGGAGTGTAAACGGTCTAGGTAGTGTTTTCTGGTATGGCCACAATAGGTTTGTTTTGAGGTGTGGCGGCACATTGTGAATGAGTCAGAGATGGGTGGGCGATGGATTGTCTGGGTGTTGGTTGGGGCTGGTTATGCAGTAAGGGAGGGTGATGTTAGAGGAAAGAGGATGTGAGGAGATATGGAGGGTAGGGTAGAGTGAAATGTAGTCATTCTGTCATTCTGTCATTCTGTCATTCACAATTTTGCGTATGCAGCTTGGACTAGCCGTGCAGATTAATAAGGAGTCTTTTTCACAACTGCCATCAAAAAGAATCCAATCGGGTCAGTACAAAATCATTCAACGAGACAAAGAACTATATGCAACGGATACGTAGAATTGAATTATATTACATATGTGAAGCGCCTCTTTCTTGAACTCTAAGTCTGTATTAACAAAGAGTGAAAGGATTTCTTCATGGAGTGAATTGTCTACGCCAGGCTCACTACGTAGCTGCAGCACCTGCATTAAAGATTGATCGTTCGATTAACCGAATTATCAGTCCTTGTCAAGTGGCCTCAATCCCATCGGCCAAGTTTATCCTCTTGTTGATTGCCAGTACATACTTCATCTGGACGACTGACAATATGAACAGTCGCTCCCTCTTCCAAACTCTCTAACTATATCTTACATCATCGCTCACTGAGCATAGTTCGTACAGAATTTCACCTTAAGGGCCTCTCTTTCTGGGAAATCTCATAAAATCTAGTCATAGCGACACTTTAATCATGCTCGAAGTGTTACTTTCTGTAATTCGCCTTCTGGGTATCACTCTCTGTCCTGGGGGAAAGTGGCTTGCCATCGTTTCCGCTGGCGCATGATCCTAACTTCTGCAGGGTGTTTCATGCGGCACTTGCGGAATTCACGGCTTTGCATGTCTGGGAGTACCCACGGCTGGGGGGTACTACACTGCCATTGACGAGAGAAGTTGTCGCGTGATGCTGTCAAATCTGGCGTTTTTGTTGGCAGAGTCAAGGAACTGCACGAGGAGCTCAATAAACCTTGGATCTGATGCTGAGCGAACGCGTAGTCAATTCTGTTTATCAAGAACGCGACCTACTACTGAGCCTCCAGTGACGAGCACGTCAAGGGTTGTCGGCGATACTGGGACTGAATGCATTCCTGAGGACTACATTTAGTCACAGCGTCAAGTGATGAAGGTCGAGCCTCACCCAAGAAGCAGTCCTACATACGCAAACCTCAGCGGCATAACAAGTGTAAGTCCCTCATGATGGATTCTGACCTTCATCGACTAATATATACAGCTCACACGATAGCAAACCCCCCATCGCCAAAACAATACTCCGATGCCCAATCGACCAACGGAACAGCATCATACCTGCTCGACAAGATCCTCAGCATCATCACCGATCGGCCTCTTGACCTCAAAAGCGACGACATAATCAACGACGCAACCTACGGGAATATTATACCCTACGCCGATCTTCTCACATCTCTCTATCACATGGTGCTGCAGTTGAACGGGTTCCTGGGCCAGGTCCTCCGCGCCTCACCCGCACAAGAAAATCGACTCTCTACAACCCGCATCCTTCAGCAGTTCCGTGAGGTCGCTGTCTTTCTAGATGAGGTGGGCATTTTACGCTTGACGGAAATGACAAAGCAAGCCAAGCGCGGCGCCTTTCTGCACCGGAAAATCCAACAGCAACAACAAGAGCTCAACCGCGACATAGCTACCATTCGCTCGCAACGCTGGGTATCAAAGCAAGCGGGGCGGACCATCTACCACCACCTACCATCGCTGAGGGACGTGATGTACGAAATTAGCCTCACGCAGAAGTGGCTTCTCGCCGAAGCAGAGAACCTCACGACGGTATTTCGCGGTCACGAAGCCGAGTTCGCCATGCTGCATGAGGAGCCCGCCATGGCGTTTGAAGGAAGCATGTGGGATGAGTGGGTGGCGTGGAAAGAGAGGGTCATTTGGTCGCGGTGGTCGTTGAATGACAGTCAGGAGCATCCAGGGGGCGGGGAGTCTTTTTGTTTGCTGGCGGTGTGGACAAGGCGAGGCTTCGACGTGGGGCAAGGTGAAGACTTGGTTTGGTGGAAGGGGGACGCCGCGTTGGTTTCGATGTGGTGATGCTTCACGGAGGTATGGGTGATGTAACGATAATTGGTGTTTTGGTTGGCGAGACTTGTCTTGGAGGTGGCTGGTGAGGATGGTAGCACGCGACTGTGATTCAGAACTTAGACTCTATTGCTCACGAAGTGAATGAATACAACACAACGAAACCCAGACTCAACACATCCACTTCAGCCCATCGCTAATCCTCACTGTCATTACGCCAGCTGCAACTCACTCAAACTCATAATCCAGAACCCCCCCAAGCGCATATAGCTCCGACTCCTTCCTCTTCTTATCCAGCTCCGCCAAGCACAGCTCCTGCATGGCAGTCTTGAGTCGATTCGCCGTAGCTCGACACTCGGTGAGCTTTCCGCAATCGCAGACTCGAGACCTTGAGCCTGTGTGGCATCGTTATCGAACGTGGGAGTCTGGCTCTGGCCGCCGGACGAAGATGACGAGGAGGAGGAGGAGGAGGAGGAGGATGAGCTAGATCCGCCTACAGAGAATGAATGTTAGTTATGTCACTGCGGTAGAGGTAGATTGGATACGCACGTCTCTTCTTCTTCTTCTTCTTCTCGGCCTTTCTGTCTGCCTTTTTCTTTGCGAGGATTACGTCGAGTGTCTCCACGTCAGCAGCTACTCATGGGTTGCCATTAGTAGTGGAGCCCACGAATCTCTTGGTTTTTGGACTCAATCACCCTCTGTAGATTCTTTTTCTGGTCAGGGTAGTCTTTGAGGAACTGTGTCATTTCGCTAGGTACGATGCTGAGATCGGCCATGCTATGGGTGCTTGGGCCTGCCATGATTGTGGATGTTGATATCTTGGTCTGCGGGGCGTAGGAGGTGATGGGATGGAAGAGTGTTGCTAGATTGGTGTTATATGTGTGTCTACTGTGCCTTATGGTCTTCTCTTAAGATTGGCTTATGAGCTCTAGTACGGTCGAATGCCCCTGGCTGTGGTGTCAGCAACGGATATCACCTGTACTACGAGGTCATACTACTATTTAAATCATCCATATTTTCCCATCTCTTGATCTAGCAAATTACATCACATCTCACCAACGAAACCCATCTCGCAATAATTAAACATCTATCCGCCACCACCACCGCCCGCGATGACAAGGTAACTATAAATAGCCTGGACAGTCGGCGCCATTACCTTCAGCGTGAGCATCCTGCTAAGCATTACCTTCACCGCCAGCTCAGAGACCACCACCGCCAAACCATCAACCCCCACCTCCCAACAATCTGCACAACTCACTCACAAATTCAAATGACCTATCCCCCCAAGACCCCAAGACCTTCTTCGAAAGCCTCGGTCTCGACTACACCTTGCATCCCTTCTCAAGCAAGCAGTGGCTCGTGCCCGGTGAAGTCGAGCACGACGAAGCAATCGACCTCATCACCAGGAGCTGGGCACAGAGCGTGGAACGAAGCTTGGGGTCGGCGCACGGCGAGGCAGGACTGTACAGTCAGATCGCTCAGGCTATGCAGAGCCACCAGATCATGACTGTCTACATGACCGCTTTGATGCCGCGGTTGGCCAAGGCGGGGGGGAAGCAGAGGAGGGCGATCCTGGACAAGCTGTGCTTTGAGATGAAGGGGGAGTAAGCTGTACGGGCGACAGGGAGGCGGAGGACGCTGGGTATCCTGGATATTCGCCTTGTCATTTGTCAGATGAGTAGTGAGGTTATTGGTGGTGATTGCTCTTTGAGTGGTTGTGTAACACCACGTATGCAAGGCTCCGGTGGTACAGGCTTGATATGGATTAGTTTAATAAAAGGCCAAGAGGCGGTCAGCAAGTGAATGACAGACTGTCATAAATAAAAAATATCAGTGAAAGAAAAGTTCAACTACTTATAGGGCGGTTGGCAAATTAATAGCAGTCTGTCACAAAGAAGACATCAACAAAAGAAAAGTTGAATTGATCACAATTGAGACATAGTCAATACCAACCTTGTCCCTATGATATCACGGCACAAGTGATGTGTAACCAAACTTTGACATTGCCACCAAATGCAGGTCACACAATCCTGCCTTTACCCGCAAGGCTATCTTAAGAGCCCGGAGTGAGCCAATTTGCACATCTGCGTCATTCAGCCCCTAGCTTGTATTACACATCCCTTTGTACAGCTTCCCACACATTAATCACCAGCCGATGGCGTCATGAGCGGACCAAGATGGTACTCAAGAATAGAGCGGCTCTAGACGACAAAGATGCAGGTTCATCTACATCAAACCGAGTTAAAGTCTTGATTAGCAACGATTGGCTTAGGTCTTCTTTTCAGCCTGCCTAAAATGTTAGTGGCAAAAGGAATTCGCAATCAGAATCATTCAATATAGATCAAGCTGTTTTGGCCAATCACATAGATAACGTACCAGTTCTTAATTTGACTCATCTAATCTTCCAACACTCTTTCTACCACCCTCCCACCTACATCAACATCTGTGCACACAATGTTCACCAAATCCAAAGACGACTGGCTCCTCACCTGCCGCCAAGTCCAACGTTTCCGCTCTGATCTGTAAGCAAGCGGCGGCACCATACTCAACGGCAAATTCACGCTGGAAAATACCCTAGAGCGTATCAACAAAAGTCCCGCGCTGGCTGAGAGACAGCATCGTCAGGCTTGCGCCGCTACCGGGTCCAGACGAGGCTGAGGTGCGCTGGCCGCCGGCTTGGGCCGAGACCCGGGGCAGTTTTACTTCCTCGTGGTAGCATCTCGACAAATAGGTTAAGTAGCAAAGGGTTACGCCTGCACCTGCGCCTGGGCGTCTGGTTGCTGTTGGTGAGGTTTTAGGGGTAAGCCCCTCTACCCAGGACGAGATTGTACCTGTAGAGGAGCCCAGCCAACCTTTTCCCCAGACCTTCAGCATTTGTAACCCTTGAGTACAGGCGGGCCCATGGACTTTAATGCTGTTTTTTCCTGAGCGAGCAAAACATCACAGGCCTCGCCCACAATTAAAATTAAACGTCACACAATTCCTTTACGTCCACACAGAGACGATTCACATACGCCAGCAAACACAAACTCAAACGCAAACACGCTATCAAAAAGTCCGTCAAGCATTTACGTTAAACTTCCAGCTAACACCACATCAGTTATTCAAGACGACACTCCCCTCAAACGTTCACGATGAGATTATCCATATTTCCACGCCTTCCCCTTCTCTAGTCCTCCAGGCAATCAAAGACCTGTGGCGATGCTTAACAGCGATATGCAGCTGGCTCAAGGGCTGCTGGCCACGAAGCCTCCGTCCACTCTATACCCTCACATTGTGCGCCGTACTCTACGCCATCGCCACATTTGCCGCCCGCTTCCTGGACCTCATCTCCAGCCCCCTAAGCAACCTCTGTCTCGTCTTCGCCGGCGGCTTCCTCCCCACATTCCTCCTCCCAGGCCCTGTGGCCCCCGTCGTCAGCGCCGCAGCCATCGGCCTCTCTGCCGTCGTAGAGTGGTGGACTCACCGCCGGGCGTCGTCGTCTCGCGAAAAGCCGGCACAGCATTATCAGTATCCGCCGCTGGAGATGGTGTGGCCCATTCCGCGCGAGGAAGCCGCCGTCATCCCGGTGTATCTGGGCACCATGAAGGCTGATCTGGATCTGGATCGTCGACTGGACGACGAGTTTGATCGCGGCATTCAAGAAGCCAACACCTACAGGGGGCTGAGCGAGCATGTCATGCGCGGCATCCAGGCGAGCATCAAGTCACAGTACAGCATCCTCACGTCTCTGCAGGCGAACATCGACACAGCCATCGCGGCCGCGGAGTCGCTAGCACAAGGCAAAGACAAGGACAAGGGTCAACAGGTGTTGTCGTGGTGGGATGCCATCTAGCCTACCCATGCAGCGCTGCGACGAGCGAAGGCGCACAGGAGGCAGATGCTAGACCTGGTGCAGAGCATGATACAAGCCCGCAACGAGCATCTGCCATCCATTGCACGAGAGCGCGAGAAGGTCTCGCAGGGAAACCACCCGGGCGCCATCTGCAACGTCAAGACGAACCTGGACAAGCTGCAGGGGCCATAGTAAGCGTCAAAGGCCACGAGTGACATGACTGCAGGGGCGAGCGTATGTGCAAACCGTCGCTGCGGTCACAGGCGGGCTGGAACCAGATTGAAAGAGCCATTCAGGATGTATGTAGGATGTGTTTCTTTTTTGTCTTCTTCTTTGTTCCTTTGCTCATTGCTGATGTGAGTGCTGCAGAATCTAAAGAACCTGGCGTATGCGCAGAGCCGTCTGCTGCACAAGCATGAAGACGACGCCGAAGAGTTTGAGATGGTCCTTGCAAGAGAGGGAAGGGCTTTGATAGATGAGTTACACAAGTTGGCCAAATTCGGTTACGGCCGAGAAAGAGAGACATATCATCTTAAGAGAGCAGGCATTTTCTTTGTCTCAAAGGTGGGATTTGCACTTCACCTACGCAGCTGCACAGCTGCACAATGGAATGTATTTTCATATCAACTACTCAATTACCAACATATAATTAACATAGATGCAATTTGTTTTCCCTCTTCATGTTGACTGCAGTCTCTTTTCTTGGGCTAAAACTAACCTCCGACCTGTTTCACGCACTTGCTACTCAGTCTCAACAACAGCCCTCATAGACAACACGCCAGAGGCCAAGAGCGATGTCGAAATGGTGGAGGACTTGGAAGACGATTTTGAAGAGTTTGAGAATCGCCATCTGCAACAAAAAAGCCACCGACGCCCTGGTAAGTTCTCGCTTGTCTCATGTTTCTCATATCCCAGCCTGCTAACCAAGCCAACCAACTTCCACCACATCCGCGGCACATATGTCCCTGACGCGATCCGCGACAACGCTGTTCGCGTTTTCTGGACAGCACACGACCGGCAGCTGATAGCGGCGCATCTCGCACGCCACAAACTACAGCTGGGCAACTGCAGCGTGGAATACCTGCCTGAGCTGGTGACTGCCCTCGGTCTGGAGGAGCGCTGCAGTCGCAGTCCCGAGTATCACAGCGTGGTCAACCGGAAGCTTGGCGGAGCGCTTCCTTTTGTCTTGAGGAGGATGGCCAAAAAGGGGCATGTGAGAATCACCGACAGGAAGCCGCACTCGGCCATCTGGAAGGCGTATACTGAGGACTGGGCGGTAGAGGGCTGGGACGGGGATATGACGCCTCCTGTGGTTTCTCGCGCTATACCTCATGCTCAAACTTCTCCTACTTCAGATCCAACGCCGATAGAGAGTCCATATCAGCCTTCATCTCTATCTCCATCTCCCGCCCAGAGCCGGCAGTCCAGTCCACGTCCAAACCCCCGGACTCCAAATGGAATTTTCCCTTTCTGCGGAACAGTTCAGATCCCCGACGGCACCTGGGGAGAGATCGATTGGATCAAGCGTGAAGACTCTGCTTCAATCCGTGAAAGTAGTCCTCGGTGTTTGAACATCCAAGCCCAAGCGCCCTGGACATCAACACTTATACACATACCCACGACAAAGTCTCACAGTTCCAGCTAGACACAGAGACATAGACAGACACATATACCGACATAAAGACATACCACCCCTCTTATAAATTTAGCTATTGCTTAGGCCCCTATTTATAGGCAAATGCAACCATCATCTCGACTCTTTTCGCAACCACCCCCATCTCTGGCTCTTCCGGCCGCAGCCACGGCGATTCCCCAAGCTCCACAATCCAATGTCTCAATCGTAGCGACAAGATCAACTGGCCTCGCTGCCTTCATCTTTGCCTTGGCTGGGGCTGAGCCTTCAATCTCCCACACCCAGAAGCTCCATCATTCATCAAGGACCTATATCAATTTGTCAGATCTTGCCAGCGGAAAGCGAGCTTTAAAGAGACAGATTAATACCCAGCGACGGCCAGTGCCTCAGCCTCTGCCCCAACACATCCAAGCCCAACCTGCCAGAGCATCAATCTAATTAATATCTAAGTACTTTTTTCTTTTTATCTTTAACCTTTAACTTTATTAAGCCTAGGCTTTTTAAATCTCCTAATAATATTAATAATAAAATAACCCTTTTAAGGTTAAAACTTAATATAATTAAGGTAATAAAAGTTATATAAAGTAATTAAACTCTATTTAAGTAAATATATAGATTATATAGCTATGTATATAAAAGCTAGCTTCCCCCCCCTATATCTTTAACCTAATCTATACTATAAGCCTACTACCTAGTTAATTAACCCTTATAGCTACCTAATAGAGGTTAAATTTAAGAAATAAGATATAAGTAAAGTTATATATAGTTAGTTAATTAACCCCTTTCGGTCTATATTACTAATTTCTTTATAGTTACTATAATAAGTACTATCTAAATATTAAGTATTTACTATAATATAAGCCTCGGCCTAGACTATAATAATATCTATATAATTATTAATAATTATTATAATAGGTAGAAACTTAACCTACTTAAGAATAAGGTTAAAGACTTTCTTATTAATTATTTTATATTACCTTTTAATATTAAATAGGATAATTATAACTTTGTTAAATTAGTTATTTTTAACTATAAACTTTTAAAACTTTATAGTATAAGGCTTACTATTAATTATAATAATTAGAAATATATATTAAATAAAAAATAGGAGGTAAAGAGATAGTTTAAATTACTAAGAAGCCCAGAAAATAGACTTATAGAAAGGCTAGTCCTTAATATTAAGACCTTTTTTATTAAGGTATTAAAGATAAAGCCTTACTATAAGGCTTAATATAAAAGCTTAGAAAAGTAGGTTAACTATATAGTTAAGGTCTTCTAGATTAATAAATAAAGAGAAGTTATATATAAGGCAGGGTAGAAATATAAAAGGTTAAAATTAGTAGGAAAAATATGTATTTAAAGTTAAAGTTAAAGTTAAGGTAGCCCTAAAGTTAAAGGTAACTTCAGGCCGAGGAATTAAATTAGATTATATAACCCTTATTAAAATCCTACTATACCTTCGTGATGTAACGTACAATGGTATTAATAATATTATCAACTGGGAATGTCCGAGTACGCCGGTTCCGTTGCCTGCACTTCAACCCCTCCACTTCCCATTCGCAGACCTTCACTGTCCGTCGACGAACTGCAAGACCTTCTTGGCAAGATGTTCACATTAGCGCACCTCACACAGCAACAAGCCCACCTACCGCAACAGTCGCTAACTGTGAGGAAAGCTCGGAACACAATAACACAGCTGAGGAATTGGGCACTAGGGGGCGTGGCAGCCATGGTTCTCTGGGCCATGTCGGCGGATATAGACCACCTTAGTGGTTTTGCTACAAAACGTTGCTAGGTTTCTCTGTTTGCTTCATATGGAATGGCTGGAATGAAGTTGGGTGAGACAGAGTGGATTTGGAATGAATGGTACCACAGCTTGATGAGTTTGGATGAATACAAAGGAAACCATTCGGCGAGCTAGTAGAAAAGGAGCATTCGGTTGTGTGCAAGTACTACGACTACTTACACTTAACATCAAAGGGTAGTCCCACCAGTCTCATCACTTCGTGTCAGGTTCATCGCATTTTGGTCATGATGCTGTCGTTCTTGGTCTCTTGGTTAGTAATACCGAATGACACCAAGACTCAATGCATTCGGCCTTACAATGTGAACTAACACTTCGAGTATTTCTCGCTCCTCCCAGCCTCCCACTATTTACATGTTTTCCTTCAGGCTTACAATCGGTTTCATAATTGGTGTTAACGTATACGAAATCGCCTCGCCACCCTGGTATGAGATGAGTGCCACGGGTAGCCGTACACAGCTAGAGTGACATTTTCTCGCCCAACAGCTCAAACCAACTCCCTAGATCGGTATCACGACATTATACTCCGTCAGGGATCAAAGGAATACCAGACATATACCGCGCTGGGCTCAAAGTGAAGCTGGCCCGACTCCAGCAGTGGGCCAGTTGTGTTCGTGGTAGTTTAACACAGCTAGATACGTCCGAGGCGGGGGGAGACAAAACACCAAGACAACTTACGTATATGACTGTGGGAGCTTGGTTTACATGAGCCTTGACCCTTCCTCCAGTAGAAATCTTCAATTCGCTGATCGTCTCCTTAATATACCGCCCACTGCCTTTTGTGTCCCTCTTCAACGGTCTCACCATATCCAAAAGCGCAAGGGGAACGGTCACTCGTGAGCCACTTCCTTGAGCTGGTCTTGCTAGCCCCTGATGATGTTCTTGTGAGTCACCCAGCTCTCAAGCCATTCCACCTGGTTGGCATCATTGGTCAAAGTCTGTGCCAGAGATGAAAGACGCTAGAAGCTCCACCAAGCACAACGACAAACCTCGATGGAAACAAGAGAGCTTGGTATGACAAAAAGACCAAGCAAGTGTCGAAGTAATCGTTGCCGCTCCTTTTCTTTTCGAGGAATTTAAACTAACCAGGTTGGCGTTCAGGTCGTACAATCTGGTCTCTCAAGGTTTGGACAGACGTTCACAAACGCCTGACAGATTGCCCTGTTCGCGCGAACCGCGACGAGAGCACTTTCTTCTGAAAATGAGCAAATTTCCTCTGAGAGATTGAATGATGGTACTTGAATCAAATCCTGTCAAGATACAATGTCAAACTAGTCAGACCAAATGAGAGGGTCGCATCTCATAGGCGTAGGACCCATCCCCAATCTCACTTCTGCGTAACGTCTCACTCCATACCTAAAGAGATACGACACAAGGGTATACTTTGCCGCCCCAGTTAATAATATTATTAATACTATTATATATTATATTACGGAAGAAGGTATAGTAGGATTTTAATAAGGGTTATATAATCTAATTTAATTCCTCGGCCTGAAGTTACCTTTAACTTTAAGGCTATCTTAACTTTAACTTTAACTTTAAATATATATTCCTTTAATTAATTTTAACCTTTTATATTTCTACCCTAGCCTTTTAGTACTTTATATATAACTTCTCTTTATTTATTAATCTAAAAAACCTTAACTATATAGTTAACCTACTTTTCTAAGCTTTTATATTAAGCCTTATACTTTATCTTTAATACCTTAGTAAAAAAGGTCTTAATATTAAGGATTAGCCTTTTTATAAGCCTATTTTCTAGGCTTTTTAAGGGTTTAAGCTATTTTTTTACCTTTTATTTCTTACTTAATATATATTTCTAATTATTATAATTAATAATAAGCCCTAATTAGACTATAAAATATTAAAAGTTTATAGCTAAAAGTAATTAATTTAATTTAGCTATAGTTATCCTATCTAATATTAAAAGGTAGGTAATTAATAAGAAAATCTTTAGTTTTATTTTTAAGTAAGTTAAGCTTTTACTTATTATAATAATTATTAATAGCTATATAGATATTATTATTTACATTGAGTCTGGTAGCACCTTTAAAAAAAGAGATCCAGCTGTCCTAATTAAACCCACAAAAATATCAACAATAGAGGTCCCTACACAGACCGAAAAGCAACAGTAACTCAAATTCAATAAGGTTACCTACCATATCAGCCATAACTCTATTTCTCAATGGCATAAAAACCCCTGCAAGGATCACCTGCTGGGGCCACATAGATATTATTATAGTCTAGGCTAAGGTTTATATTATAATAAATACTTAATATTTAAATACTTATTATAGTAATTATAAAGAAGTTAATAATATAGACTAAAGGGTAAGGGGCCAGGGGTTAATTAACTAACTATAATTATAAGGGTTAATTAACTAGGTAGCTTATAGTATAGATTAGGTTAAGGGTATAGGGAGGGAAAGCCAGCTTTTATATATATACCTATATAATCTATATATTTATTTAGATAGAGTTTAGTTACTTTATATAATTTCTATTACCTTAATTATATTAAGTTTTAACCTTAGAAAGGTTATTTTATTATTAATATTATTAAGAGATTTAGAAAGCCTAGGCTTAATAAAGTTAAAGGTTAAAGATAAAAAAAAATACTTTGCCACCATACATATTATTCTCAACTAATAATTGCACAGATCGGCTACTACTCTTCTAAGTGCCAGTCTTCAGGTTCATGGTGCAACTTGCGGGCGTCTACAGCCTGACTTAGACAATCGCCTTAAGAACACGCTCCAGCGACGTGATAGAAAGTCACACTACAACCAAGTTTCTGAATAATCACTGGATCTCAACTTCATTATCACACCATACGAGTATTTCAGACACCCAAGTTTGAGAATCAGCCTCTCCAAATGAGCAGACTTCAAATCAAGTCGGATAATACCTTGTAGGATGTCATGCTGCACTCGGGTGGCTTCTTTGCTCACCTTGGACAAGCCTTATGAGCACATGTCGTGCTACTAGGATATTTTGCAAGCATCTTTGTCAATGCGCCATCAATGGCGATATGTTTACCTGGAATCCATTTCAACAGACATGACTTCCAGATTGCTATGCTATTAACGTCCCATTTTGTATCGATCCTTTTCCTCTTCTCGGCCAATAGAAACTAGAATATTCACAAATATTGAGAACCATTGGCTGCACGTGATCCAGCCACTGTCGATGGAGCGCCTACGACGTC